TTTTTGGCCGAAGATCGTATCTGATAGCACGCTCCAATGCACATACTTGACGAGACGAAAACGAGCGGATGTGCTGCTGCTTTCAAGGCATAGCACGAATGGTGTTCGTGCCTGCTTTGACAGTTGTGTGCGATTTCAATGATATTTTGGAAGATTGAGGGTAAAAAGAAATTGGAAAAGGTAAGGTAAATACCATTGTTGTATATCACACCCGGGCATCGCACTGTTAAGTACATGTGGGAAAACCAGCTTTTGTCAAATTCTACGAAGTTATTAATTCAGTACGGTAACGTAGTTGCCCATTTGCCGAAATTTGCATATTTAGTTACCCCTTATGGTTTCAAATAGTTCATGCACCTTCATTTAGGATTTTTTTTAAATCAGTGAGGATATATACTCATCGCTGTAACTTACTATTGCTCATTCACTTTTATTTGGCGTTTTGAATCAAAGGGTTACAAGGTTCACCTAACATTCACTCATACCGGTACTATATTGTATAGTCTGATCTCTCAAGTGTTTGCTCCAAATATGGCTTGTAATTTTCTACTAAAACCCTTTATTAATTGGTTATATACCAAATTAAGTAAAACATTTTTTACATAAAACATGAGATATTGGATTTATTATTCTTTTCATTCTAAATCATATAGACTGCTTTATTTATTCTTAACGAAATTAATAAATCTCCTCTCTTTCTTCAGATGTGGAAGTGGTGGACAAACCTGTCTAAGCATGTGAGACTCCTGTAGCACAAGAAGCAACAGCAAAAATAGTAAGTATATCAATCAAAAAATTAAGCCGACATAAAGCAAAACTTTCAACTATTCGTCTAACATCAATTTGCATATTATTTATTCACAGGACAACTAGCAGAGGAGAGATATCAGAAGTCTGGCGACATATCAGTGACAGTGTGATTCCAAGGAATATAATTAGAGTACTCGCATAAATGTTTGCAATAGAAGAACAACCTATAGAGGCATGCAAACACATTTGACCCTCCGGTAGAGTTGTGTATGGCCCCCCATATCTTGCAGGGCTTGAGGAAATAACTAAAAATTCCAAAGCGTAAGATTCCATAAGCGGTTTTGTTTGTAAAGGGCACAAAACACGTCAGACATACTTAAAACAGCTTTGGAAAATGAGGATTACGGGTCACTCACTACACCCTGTGTTATATTTGGTTCATCAACTTTTGGTAGTAACTATAGAAGAAATTCAGGAAAGGTATAGTCATGATACACGATAAAATACTGTTATATATTTTAGCCAACTTTAATCTAGACCAGGGATGTCAAACTCGCGGCCCCAGAGAACTTCCAGTGCGGCCCTCGAACGCCCTAACAATAATTCTAATAGTATTTTGGAAGTTTTTTTTATCTAAATGTATAGATTTTTTCAAACCTTTTAAAGTGAAATTGATTATTCACACAGAAAACAATTTACTGAAAGTAGTTTTGGAAAATCAAATTTTTTGTTCACATTTTGACCCAATTAAGAATACACATCAAGCTAGCAAAAGAATACTTGAATAAAACACTTGAGTGAATAAATTAAACGCAAGTACATGAAGAAGGTGGCATTTTCGAAGAAATAGGAGTTGCAATATTTTCTGCATTTCAAAAAATTCTGAAGCACATTGTTTAATTTGTCATATTTCCATCAGTACAATGAAAAACACAATAAGCTCAGCAGTCAATATGACAAATTCGAAGACCAACTTCGAACAGAAAATTTCCATGTGTTTGTATATTAATATAATTATACAACGACTTAGTTACTAAAAATCAATAATAATTCAAGCAATCCTATGCCACGCAATGTGGCGCGAAATGTCTTGTCGAAAAAATCTGTCATTTGTTTTTTTACTGATCTATACATGAAATGATAAAAGTAACTTTTTTGCATTACTGGAATTATTTAAACATTCGCAAAGATCCAGATTAACCCATGATCATGTGACCTCGTTAGTTAGAGTTGGTACTATAAAATCATTTCAGCCTGGCCTTAGTATGCTGGTGACACAAAAAGATGCCAAACGCCAGTACAAATGTAATTAAAAAATTGAGTTTATACTGTAGTATTTTTGTTAATTTTAGGTTCATATATTTAGATTAAGTATGTATTATTCTTTCCTTATCCAAAGCTTGTTCAAAAATGATTTTGATGGTTGTACATAGAATTTTATGATTTTTGTAAAAATACAGTAACTTGCAATAATAGTGGAATGCAAATATTAATATGTAATTGCATTTGAAATTAAGAAAATAATAAAACTTAATCCAACTGTTTAGTTGCATCACAATATATGTCACAAACTAAAACTATCTTTCAAGTATACATTATCAAAAACTGTTTGCGGCCCTTTTTACAATTTCCAAAATGCAATGCGGCTCTCGAAAACCCATGAGTTTGACACCACTGATCTATTCTAGACGATTCAAGCATTGCTTTGGGAAATAATATCACTTCAATTAAATTGAAAAAAATCTCGCTATATTAAATACAAAATCGTTGCTATCATAAAGGTAAACCAATTCAGCCACTCGGAATATATTGGCCTTCACAAAGCAATGGAGGCAAAATTGAGAGTTCATGAGCTATGAACTTTTGTTCTTTTCTTTGTCTTGAACTTTTCATACTCCACAGCCCCTATTAATTTTTTTTTAATTTTAATTACCATGTGATGGTCATACATATCTTTAACTTGTATTTTCTGTCATGATGTATTATCTCAATGTGTCAAACTTTTAATTAGTGTGCATATTTTGCTTCCAGATGACATAAATGTATTGTCTTGTTTATTACCTCATCTTCGAGTATTGACAAAGAAAAGGTGCCAGTAAATTACGTAAAAAATCGGAGGAAGGCAAAACATATAGGTAGTTCCCATTCACACAAGTCTTTCAAGAGGACTTGCTCGAGCCAAACTAAATGAGCATTGTCAGGTGATCGGTAAGGCTGAAAGTTGAATTTAGCCCTGCAACCTCCTGCATCAAAAATAATATTAATTAGTGAGCTATGAGCTAAATTTAGACACAAACCGGGGCATTATGTACCAGAAATGTTACCTACGATTAGCTGAATATGTAATATGTCTAAGAAATTCACCTACTAAAACAAGCAGTTCGATAGGTGCAAACATTGTGTTATGGAATTGTATCACAGCACCGTAAAAAGAAGTAAAAACAGTTTTGCTGTTTTGTATGACACCCTCTTTAAATGAAATTTCAATGTTTAAGCGCAAACATTAAAATTATTAACTTTGAACTTTGTCATTATCTGCAAAATGTTCCAAACATATCTTTACGCTATCGCGTTTGTAATCTTCTCTGATAAAAAAAAACGTCTATGATGTGCAGAATTACTCTTCGCAGCTTGTCTGCAATTCCAGCTTTCCAAGTGAGCAAAACTTCTTAGATATAAGGATTATTTTCTTTTGTTACAGGCGCAAAAAGGCAGGTACTACACGTAAAGAAAACGCCGAGTAGCAAAAGCGAGCGGAAAACGGTCGCGAAAGGCGACGAGAAATATGTGCATTGAAGCGTATCATGAAATACAATCTTTTGCCTGTAGCCTTATGGAGTGACGTCAGAGTTGCCTATCACGTTGTTTAATGTCATTGGTGGCAGCGAATGAAATAATACCGTAGCTCGCTGTGCGTCATCAGAACCACCTCTGGGTACCACCTCAGAATGATGCGTGATTTTTCATGTACTTTTTACAGAAATCTTAAGCTGTTCAATATCTGCAATAATTAATTTCTAATGTATGAATAATATAAATTCACCATTTTCCTGAAATAAACAATAAATAACGCAACTATTCACCCGGTCCAAATAATTCCGTTCCGTTAATAAGCACAATCGTTTTCGCGGTATTTATTTCTCCCTTCAAACTGCGAGACGTTATTGAAGTTGAATGCCTTACGCCTGTATGCAGATCAAGGTGAATAAAGTCACTTTGGTGCAGATCAACTAGAAGTAGTTATGTGGTTTGGGGGCTTTTTAGTTATGTCTGCGGGTTCGAGGTTAGCATCTACCCGTACCAGTCCATGGGTACCGTACCGGTACCGGTATAGGATTAGTTTGTCAGTTACCGTACCGTACTTGTTGTTTATTTCGGCGCGGCGGTGTGGCTCAACGGGCTAGGCGGTAGGAATCCGCTCGCCGGCGCACCTCTAATTAGGGTTCGCAGGTTCGAATCCCATGCAGGGATGGTTATGTGCGAGAGGATTGCTGGACTCCTCGCCGTCGTTGGGTTATTCACGTAACCGCTGGTCGTAGCCGTGGTTGGTACACTATTTGTGATATACCGGTATATTCTGATATTAGATGTAGGGTGGCATAGCCAGTTTCTACTATTACAGTATTAGAGGTTAAAGCTATACAAACCACCAAAGTACGACACTCTGACGACATATTTGCGACCGAACGACAATGGTCAGATGGTGCGACCACGGATTTCAAGCCTTGAACATCGTTTCTGCTGCGACGAAACTAGAGCATACGCATGCATGCTTGAAAAAATTGGGCTTCTTATTGCATTTCTGACCGTCATATATTTCAAGAATACAATTATTTTGAACAAACTCGTCAAATTATAAACAAAGCACCGCATCACAGCAATCAAACAGACAGAAATACGGTGGTCGCAAATTGGTCGACAAAGATATTATCGACGTATCGGAAATGCGCACCCCTCTATTTCCCCTCCTTTACATGTAGAAATTCGAAACTTTAAAGATGGTTAAAAGAAACACAACTCTACCCACCTTTTGTTTCTTTCGCTAAAATGCAAAAATATGATTACAGCTGTACAGGAATAGCATGAATGGATTATACAATAAATTAAGCTTCTAACATCTGAACATGGAACATGCTGTACCAGGGTTCTCTACCAACAGACCAATAATAAAAACTATCCAAGACGATTAGGGCATTTTGATCTCCACTATCCGATGATCTGAACATGTAGCTGAATAGAAATAACTGAAATTTGAATTTTGTTTTCTATTATGTGTTTCCAGTGTTATATATCTCTATGTGAATTACTTTCAAATTGTTATAATAGTTCGAACTTTCTGCCATTGGCAGAAAAATGTCATTTCCAAGAGCACAAGTAAAACGTTTCAATGAACAGCCAGGTATGTTTCACAATTACCGGTACTCTGATCCATATTTTAAAAATACCACTAAACATTGAAGTCCTATTTTAGTTGTCATGAAAAAGTCTGGACAGGCCTGTGGAGTCGTATGCTTCATTTATCCTTCTGTTTATTTATTATGTTGTTTTATAGTAATAAAGCAAATAGCCATATTTATAGCGGATCGACAAAAAATTTAAACTGCAGTGGGGAACCACTGTTCTACAACACATAATTTTTATCTGTTTAATGTGAGAATTGTTGCCATATATTGTTTTCTTATATTCTTAATTTCCAGGATGTGCACCTCCCCCTGGTCATTATACTGTGCCTGATGTAAAAAAGAGTGGTTCTGGTATCTTGTCTTTTGAAACTGGAGGACAGAGATTCAAAACAGAGAATAAATCGGAGAGAGATGCCATTGATGATGTCACAGAACAACTTTCTACCGCATTAATCAATCACAATACACATTCTTCATCAAAAAAGAAATTGGATTTTGCTGTTCCTGCACCAGTTTCAGTGAGTTTTGTTATATTTTAGTAGTTTCCAACCCTTTTGCAATATTTTCTACCATTTACCCATCTTCATTCTTTCCTGGCTAAAAACTCATTTTTTGTTTGTTGTTCTCATTAGCTAGTGATATGCACAACTTGTATGCGTCTCTGTTCTCATACATTGAATAATTTATAAAATGTGCGCATAAACGAGTGTGGGATATTACGGAATAGCTAAAACATGTACTACATGCAATAACAAAGTAAAAATCCCCCCCCCCCCCGATTGGGAAACCTGGTTATATTCGATGTTTGCCAGCTATTTCACCTCATCTACATCTTTTTGGGGGTATGAATATTTATTTTCAAAAAACAATTCTGCTTTTTATTCAGACTTGGTTGTTGATGATATTCAAATGTGAAAGATTCTATATTCCTTGAAGTTAACATTCTCTAATATGTAAATTATTCTATCAATGTAGTTATTGTGTATTTTATTTATGTGACACCCATAGATGGCTTTAGAAAAATAAAACCTCTTTGTTTGTTTATCTTAAAGTGGAATAAACACTTTCTGGTATTGAAGTGTTCCTTAAATTTTTAATTAATCGTGTCAAATAATATTTTTTTTGTTCACATAAATAGTTCTGATTTGTTAATTTAGTATAGAGTATTTTTTTAAAAGAGCAACCATATAGAGCAAATAATTTTGAAATAGTATCTTTCAATTTATTTTGATGATGTACAGCAGTGAATTCGATTAATCCTATCAGAATATCCCACTTTATTTTCATTACGTAAAATCTAATGTCACTAAAAAATGTCAATTAACAATGACTAAACCTTTTTTTAGCAATATTTACAAGACGAAATCAAAATCCAATTCAAATAAAACGAACACCTCATCCATCTCCATCTATGAATGGTAAAGATAAACAACGATAATGAAAAAGAAATCCCGAAAGCCTGGTTCAACAAATTAGCGAACAAAGAGAGAAATTACAACTTAAAAATTCAGGTACATTTTTTGATCATATAAGACATTTGCTGCAGAAGTTGTCATAGTTTTAATATACTATGCAGGCATGAAGTGCAGTGGAACTGGAGCTTTATTTTTCACTTCTGAGTTCTGAGCATGGCTGTGGGGCAAAAATACATTTGTCTTAAAAATTTGAAATTAAGTTCAATCAATTATTAAAAAATTATACCCTAAAAAGGATAGATTCTATTAATTTTATAAAATTATATAAATAGGAAAAACTAATTTGACTGTTTGCTGCTTGAGCTATTAAACTTCCTGGGAGCTGCGACTACAGCTCTATCAATTATGATAAACTTGGCTTTAACAAACGCTAGGGGCCGGCTTCCCAGCCATTGTGCAGAAAACCAATTTCCCAAATACTTATTTAAAAACCAAGAAATACTTTTGGCAATAGGCAGAGTTATCAATAAAGATGTAATGCGATGCCGATGGATTTTCGAATTTTTGTCTCAATGAAATCAACCAGCTCTCCATTACTATTGTTCTTGTCTTGTTGTCTAATATACAATATTCTCTGGAAAACCACATACTGAGTCTACATTTTGTTTCTGAACTAATATTCAACTTACTGTTAATATCTGACATTTGTACATATTCAGGAAAATGTAAAACTAGAAGGAAGAATCAATCTGCTGTCGAAAGATAAATCAAGCTTACTTGCTCATGTTGCGACTACTGAGAAGAAATCTGCAGATTTAGAAAGAAGAAATTGTGTGCTGCAATCTCAGGTACAGCATTGGTACTCTTGTAGTATGTGTACCGGGTTCGGGTTAGGTCATAATTTTATTGCTTTTTCCCCTATTTTAGTTCTATTACTAGTTCGGGGACTGTCTGTGTCCACCAAGTGATGAATGCCCATCCCTTTACACAACTTGATGTAAAGTAGGCGAACAAAATTAGTTACCTCCGTAGTGGTACATACACTTCTAGAGCGCCCAACATTTTATATATTTGGATACAGAAGTGTATTAGGCTTTGCTAAGTTGTGGTTGTTATGTTGGGAAAAAAGATTTTTGTTTGCAACTAATGGACTCAGAGATGGACATGATTCGGAAAGAACAAAGTGTGTTACAAATACAATCTCAGGTGCAGCATTTTATAGACTATTATGTGAACCGCTTTGCTAAATTGTTGTTGTTATTCTTCTTTTTGTGAAAAAGTATTTTTTTCTGTTCTAATGGAATTTTCGATTTTCAGTACCCAATCCTTTTCAACAAGTGGCTGCGGGGTTATTACCAGTAATTTTTACTTTACCGATGTGCGATATTCTTGCAAATTATTTCGAGTATTATACTCCTATTATCTTATAGTCCTGAGTCCTGACACTTTTTATCACTGTTATATTCAGCCTATCTATATACGGTAAATCTTTTTGTAAATTGACAGAAATCTGTAGAAAATGAAAAACAGAATAAACGGGAATGTTTGGATGAAGAATTGAAGAAAACGAAACAAAAGTTGGAAACAGCAAAAAAGGTTGGCAATAGTTTTACTCAATTTTTCTGGAATTCCTAGGATTCGTTAAAATCACTTTAATTTATGGATCAGGTAAAATGACAGTCTGGTACATGTGCATGGCATGAGTTTTTTGGGCATTCAGCTTTACTTTCGGTTCATATTATGGTGATACCTCGGCTCGGCAGTGACACAGAATTATCCAGTTCATGAAAGGGGACTTCCCTTCCAAGCAGTAACCTTCCCCCATCCACCCTCTTTACATCTATTCCGGTAAAGGAAATGATACAGAAAATTTTTATTACCATTACTCGAACAAATCGATAGTCGAACACCAATCCTAAACGAATTACGTTCGACCACCAAGGAGCTGTATATTATACCTCGATTTCTTTATGCAACAATCATTGTCGTTTTCAAATTCCAGAAACCATGGATTGCAGATCCCTTGTTATGGAACATTGTTAAAAAAGAATAGGTCACATCTTTTCATCTTGAAAACGGATTTGCGTCACAGATTTAATCAGTTTTCAATCAATAAGAAAACTTCTGTTGTACAGTTATTGTTAGATGGAATTTAGGTCCGTGTTTTTATCACTTCAATGTTTGTACGTTTTTTTTAAAAATAATTTTTACCCTGACAGGTCACCAAAAAACCTGATCGGCCACTTCAGTGACCCGTGGATTGATGGTTTGCCCCCCAGGGTATTACTAGATTAAATTTTGTCTTTCATTTTTTATAGTCTCAATGAGTAACCCAATTTTTGCAGGAATTGGACAAATGTCGTTCATTACTGGTTGCGTTACAATCTGACCTGGAAAGTTCAAGATCAACAATATCAGCTCTCAAGCAATCAAATAACGTTTTAAGTATGTAATGAATGAAGTTAATTTCAGTATTTCCATTTATATTAGAAAGCAGTGGGTTAGCAGTTAAGATTAAAGCGATAGACTTAACCGTGTCTCAGGTTTCACATCTTTTGACCAAATCCCATGCCCGTCACCTCACCCAGGGTGTAATAAATTGGGTAGGCGGTGCTCAATCCAAACTATAGTAATTCCTCATTATCATTAGATATCAGCGCTTGCTTGGTCTTGTTCGGAGCAATGGTGCCAGAATAAGAATCGTAGGAAAAATTTTGCTTTTGAAAAATCGGAGTTTTAAGCACCTGTCTTGACAAAATATGACTCAATGGAAAATATTGGGAACGAAATTATAAAACTTACCTTTTACAGCTCAACTAAATAAAGAGGTTCAGGAACACAGTGATGATGTTGCAAGTCAAGTTTCAAAACTCCAAGGTAGGTTTCATTTATTTCTCCCTTCAGTCAGGGCTGTGGATTCAGAGTTTGGAGCCCGAATCATATTATTTAACTAGACATAGTATAGTCGAAGACTCACAGGTAAAATTCTAAATTAATCAAGGCTGGAATTTCAGACTTCCAATGAAGATAAAAGAAGTCAAAAAAGTTGCACAAAAACCTCAAAAAACTGTCGAGAATATATACAATAAAGTTTTTGTTATCAAATTTGGATTTATTGGGAACTGGTGTCATAGGCAGTATTTTTGTTACAACACAGAATCCACAGAGTCTTAAGTCTGATGCAAATTTTTTTTCAAGCAGTTGTCAGAGTCCATTGTGTTTTTATTGATGATTAATAAAATGGTTGTATTCTAATTTCTAATATCTTTCAGGTCTTGCTGATGTTCTAAGAATGGAGAAATTGACAGCTGAAGAACATCTTGCGACAGCGAATAATAAACTACAAAATGTAGAAAAGAATTTTGGTCAACTTCTTCAAGAAAAAGTACAAGAAATTGAACAACATTTGAATGACAAACAACAAGTAATTCTTTTATGTTTACAGGAATTTTCATTTGAGTTGGATATCTATAAGTTATTTGTAATTATTGAGATAATATTCAGTCAGTGATTCTCTGGCCTTCACAACGAAGCATCTGTGAAAACTACATTAATTGATGAAGTCATTTATTCAATTCTTTGATTGGAGGTTCGTTTGCTTTCATTTGTTTTATTATTGAATGTAAATTGGAAAAAAATGCATTTTTCATAGAAAAGCAGAAGGCCACGGGTTAAAGTCTGAGGTTAAATGAATCTGTGATATTTTATCTTTGTTAGACTATATTAGTTTTATATGTTTTAGTTTTGTATGATTTTTAGACAATTCTTGCCAATTTGAAGAAAGCAGAGGAGATTATAGAAGATTTGAATAAAAGAGAAGAAGATTCAAGGAGTTTAATCACCTCTCTTCAGAATGAAAAGTAGTTGTGTCCATTTCCTAGTATATAAATTCTTTCTCGGGGCTATTTCAGATCGGCCTGTGCCAGTGATATTATGTGTTGAATGCATATATTCATATAGAGGTTAGGAGTCCCATATTATCCCGGGTGAGATTTATTTATCTCTCGCAGGGTAATCAGAGATGCGATGGCAAGCATAATCCTAATGCTTAGCATGACCCACTGTACCGACGATATTATTACAATGTGACCTGCTTAAAATTAGATTGATAGTTTTCAGTTTTGAGGGCTATAAGTGAGTGTGCTTAGCCTGTTGCTTTGCGATGTTTTGAAGTCACGACTTGTTTATATACCTACCTGTTCAAAATCATGTTCTTGTAATGTTTGCGTAGAGGCTTGCGCTGTATGGAGACATGAGAACTCAATTGTATAAACTGAAAATCTCCCGACTACTTTATATAGCTCCAATGATAGTTATATCATTGTCGATGGTGTCATCATGAATATATTTACAATTACAGAGCAAGTTTGATTCAAGAAAATGGTCGTCATGGAGGTGAAATTTCAGAATTGGAGAAGAAGCATAAAGAGTGTGAGCATACAATAAGGTATGTATCATTCTTTAGCTTGAGCAGTAGTTGTTAAAGATCATTTCTTTTTTTTCATCTTGTTGCCAACATAACAAACAGCAGCACAGTGGGGAACTGGCAGGATAGTTGTGCTCGCAAAGCACTACGACTGTAAATAGTAGAACCTTGTTCTACCGAACAAAAATTGACTCTTCCCAATTCATATTTGTATTCAGGATTTTCAATCCTAATTCTCAAGTAATCGTTTAACAACCTCTAAGACTGTTTGACCATTTAAGTCTAGATAATGCTGTTTTCTGCTTATCTGTCTTTTATTACTTACTAGTATTTACTAGTGACTTTCACGACCTTTAATAATTTCAATAATATCTGAGAATATGATGAAAAAAAACTTTTTTTCAATTCGTTTCTGTCAAAATCCCTATTTATTTTGATTTTAATAGCAACCTCAGAAATGAAATCTTGACCTCTAGACAAAATCTTACACTCAATCAAGAAGAGGCTTCGCATTTGAATGAAAAAATCTGTCAGTTGGAGAGTGATATTCAGAGGTACGTACAAATTTATCACAATCACTTTCAAGGCCATCTTTGAATGGAAATATATTTTAGTCAAATCTCAAATATCCATGAGATTTTATTTTGTATGTTGCTATGAAATGTTGTGATTTTTGATTGAGATGCAAGGGTATTTTGAAAGCAGTAGCCAATGTTCAGAAGAATAACTCCATGATACATTTATATGTTCTATAAAGTTTTAATAGTATTCTAACAAATCAATCAAATCATTTTGTTGTTGGCTATAAAAACAGTTAAAAGTCAATGGCTTTGTAGTGAGGTAATACAGGGTCTGATTCAAAAAGAAAAGTCAGTCCCGCCTATATACCCGCATATAAGCAGAGTTCAAAACTCAAAAAAAGGGTGACTATATAAGGAGTTCAGAATTCTCTTCTGCTGCCAAGCATTCATATTGACGTATCTAAACCCGGTTTTATTTTACAATTTACGTTTGTTTTGGATTACATTGCACTAGACTCTAGAGCACGGGTGGGCACGGTTTTGGACCAGGGGCCAAAAATTTTGCCCACCTATACTGGCGGGTCATTTAAATGGAAAACAAGGAGCCTCGTGACAAAACTAAATTTAATCTTAATCTCAACAAATTCCTTGAGCTATTTGTTAGCTTAACATCAAAATTTGGCTTTAGTTTGGTTGCGGCAGCAGCAGGCGGGCCAAATTGAACTACCCAACAGGCCGGATTTGGCCCGCGGGCCGTAGTTTGCCCATGTCTTCTCTAGAGCATATGGTGTTACTTTTGTGTGTTTAAGAGCATATGTATATATACAGTATAGTATTTTCACCTTCTTTAGTTCTTGTTTGAGTTTTTGAACATATATATCATCTGTGTAGTTGGATTTCCTCAATCTTTCTGATACAGTAACACCGTCTACTTCAAACGCTTTGGTCAATATAAACTGTGCTGATGCCAGCATCATTGTGTCAACTTGAATCTTTAAGCCTCGTAGTTTCTGACATGCAATGCTAGCCAAACCTTTTACTTCTCTGTAAAGACACAAAAAATAGAGTAAATGTGGTCGACTCTGTCAAAAAATGGTTGGCTGGTCACATTAATTGTTAGGTGCATATAGGACTGCACTGAAGTATCTCGGCTCGGCAGTTGGCGCATCGAAATAAACGTTCGGAATATGCTTGCCATCGTACCTCTGATCACCATGTGCGTGTTCGCAGGTTCGAATCCTGTGAAGGAATAATTATGTACGAAAGAATTGCTGGACTCCTCAATATGGTAGGGTGGTTCGCGTAACCGCTGGTTGATTACACCTTCCTCCACCATCAAGTCCATGCATCTGAACCAAATTATTGATCAACTTAATCATACCCAACATGGACTGGTAACTGTACGAGAGACTATGACTTGTCATATGATTGAGGCGCATTATCACTTTCCTCTTCCCTGGGATAAATATGAAAATCCTATCTTTCGCGGGTTTTATATCTAATTTATTCAGCTAATTTGAGTCGAAGATCAGTATGTATGAAAGACTGAAAGAGGTTCAATTCAAACTAAGCCTGGACTACTTCTAAATATACTGAATATATTTAATTTAGTATGTACTCACGTTATTGCATCCTGTATCGCTTCACTTATAATATCTTCAACTCTGAGCACCGATAGCTTGATACCAGCCCTGTGTAGATTTGTAAGTGCTCGCTGGTTTACATAATGGCACGGATGAGCGTATGATATGTTAAAAATCACGGGGCTTCCCCCTCCTAGTTTTCCTCTTAAAGATCGTAGCACTTGAGCGAAGTGATCGGCGCTGATGATGCTTGGACTCTTGTTAGAGATGACCTGTCAGTTGATATTTGTATGAGTTAGGTATGCTGTATATATATAATTGTGCTTATGTTTTCACCATTATTACTTATCGATCTTAAGATCGGTAAGTATGTTGATAGGTATTTGTCTGTTTGTTTGTCTGTTAGATGAACGATATCTCACAAAGGCGAGGTTGAATCTGCTCTAAATTTTGCATGTGCATTCATCATATCTCAGACCAGAAGCCTATTGATTTTGGCTGAATTATGTCGTATAATTAGTGATGGGACACGCGGTGTCACTATAGAGTCACGAATCGAAACCGCAGTTTCGATCGATAAGTCTTCGGTCTCCGACCGATATTCTCGTTTCTGAGTTTGGGGAAATCGCCCCGTTCATCTTGCAATATGTAAAGTGGAAATCCGTCTATGGAATATTGTTTTGTACATTACTTGGCCGTGAGATGGACATCAGGTTTACAGAAAAAAAAATTATAAGAATATTATACATCATGTAATACTAAAGCTGTTATGATGAAGATGATATTAAAATTTATTTCAAACTTCGCTACAGTGCAAAATACCGACAATACACAAGACGAACACAAAGTTTAAACGAGGTTTAAAACTTGAGAAATAAATGGGCGATCTCGCCTTATGGTATAGAATAAATGCGAAAAATACGGGGACATAACGCAGGAGTAGTAGTAATACGAGCAATACCGTGATAAATACCAACACATATTAAAATTATATAAACTTTATAAGAATAGCTGAATCGTGATTATCGTCCGCAAAAAAAAGTTTTTTTTCGACAGTTATATTACCTGCAGTTCACATGGTCCTCGCGGCCAGTACTTGTCGTCAGCTAGCAATACCCTCAGTTCTTTCGCTAACTGTAATTCTGCATTTTCGCCCTTATTCTCGCCACCACGAAACACTTTGCTGAATCTGGCAAGTATATGTGCGTTATTGAAAATAAAATAAAATTTGTAATGTATGTTCTTTTTACCAAAAATGTACGTAGAAAAGAAAAGCAACTTTGTATACAGTGCTGACCATTCCATCGCGTATTGACGCTTATGTTCGGAGTCCTCGGCCATAGACCTCATTTTTCTTAATTAAACCATTGGAATCACTAATGCGATAATTCTGGTTATGACGTCCACTCCTGGCCGTCCCATTTTTAGTTAACAGTGAAATTCACCGTGCACTTTTTACTTATCTTCTCATCAAACTATTTCAACTTGTATAATAAAATTCTTACCGTAGGATTCCTGCGTGTACCAGATTGCATTTAACGACAAGCTTTCCGCCCGTTGGTGTTGTTGCGTTTGATTGAGTTTGCAAGAAGAAATCTATGTATTCCTTCAAGCTTATACTTGCCTGTTGGCAATCTTCTTCCAAAACCATGACATTGGCTACGAGTGTTTATGCCCCTCTATATTGTACTGAGGAAAGAAAACTTCGGTCAAGACTATATATTTCTGCGATTTCTTACAACGATTATCCCTTATTAACTGCAATGTATATCGTACGAATCGTACGGCGCTCCAGAAGTGTATGTACCAATATGGAGGTAACTAATTTTGTCCGCCCACTTTACAACATCAAGTTGTGTAAATGGACTGAAACCTATGGGAAGGGGGTATATTCACTTGGCTAACACAAACAGTCCCCGAACTCGTAATAAAACTAAAATGAGGAAACTCGGAAAAAAATTATAGCCTAACCTGGTACTTACACTACGGAAATACCCGAATTTCGATATATGATATCCATGCAGTAACAAGTTTTGTTTACGTACGAAGTCTGAGCAAGAATGTAATTTATACAATTTGCGTTTTATTAAATATTAATGTCATTTTCACATATCACTATAATGAAGAATCTAATAAAATATTCATTCGATGTGCAATTGCCTCCGCAGTGACTATTATTATACGTAAATTATAATTTTGAATGCATATTCCAGCCATCATACACTTCATTTATGTGTATATACCATGCATGAACTCGCATTATTGTTTTGTATTAGTTGCGCTCTGCTATGGTTTGGATTATCTTGCTGTTCTGTGTAAAATTCTTATATTCGTGTGTGCTCCCTTGACGTGATAACTTGTAAATTTTTTGTTGTCCCAATGTCCGAACTGAATTTGTCTCACGTGTACTTCTCTCCCATCATGCTGAGATAATTGCGTTAAATGCAACTGCCAGCATTTTTGCATGCTACTTCGAAAAATTAAACTAGAAAATCCTCTTAATTTAAATATTCAAGATTCTCTGTATCTATATGTCGCATTGGGGTCAAATAAAATACAAGCAATGATGAAATGCTAATCCCCTATTACAAATTCCATTTCGTAATGCATGGTGCTCGATTGAGGGATTAACATCGAGTCCGCTAACTATCTAAACGAGTTGTTGCTTCCAAAAACTAAGTGTTAGCTACGTTTCGTTTTATTAATGCTCTCCAAATGGGCGTCTGCTGCCGAAAACAATGGCGCTGCTTCTGTGACCCCGTAGCTCTTTTTGACTGTCAGTAATACAATATTAAAAATGGTTTTACACCTTATTACTGAATTGCACCAGATTGGGACGTGATTCATTCTGTGGCGTGATGGATGTTGTTTTCATAATCTTTTAAAATGATAATAATATTTTCAATTTCAATAGTTAGAAATTTATGAATTTATTTCAAAATACAATGTCAAAAGCACTGCTACAGTATTCTACACAAAATATTGTATAATAGATAGACCAGCCATTTTTATTTTATTCAGTTTAAACAGTGACCACAATATGTGCTATCCCGTTCTTGCACTCCGAATAAACATGTAGTAACACGTAACATTTTTGGAGGCGCTCGAAAACGAAAAGTTCATTTACGACCCAAAACTTCTCCGCATTGGCATGTTCTTAATGTAGCTCAAAGCTTGGCTTCATTAATCAACCAGTTTTTAAATTCCCAATGATGTGTCAGACCTCGTTCATTTCATCAGCGTAATCGTCAACAAAGTCTTCATTCATCGAGTATTCTCCATTGCTTGTCTTAATTTTGATAGATTTGTTCAGCAGTCCCATTGCCCTCGTTAGTGCTTCTCTATCTATTGAAAGGTTGGCTCCTCGCTCGTAGTCGAGAGAACTAACATACCGAATGTTGTCTTCCAGGTCTTCCAGCATCTCGAATAATATGTCCTATGAAAAGTAATACTGTGTAATTAAAAGATTTCTTGTCGTGAAGACTACTGGTATCTATTTTAGCCCAGTCTATCCCAACTCTTACGGGTAGTTTTTAGCCACCGCTACCAAACTGATATAAATTGTGGAGTCTATGTTCGAGGTAACATAGATTTAAGCCGCATAATAATTGAGGTTTCCGTTGCTTTTGTGTTGAATGTTACCTGTGTTACTTACGGTGTCATCGATGCTATGTATGGCACAGATGAAGCGTTATTTGTTACAAATTTTAGTGTCTTACTAGCCAAAGTAATACGGGTTTTGCTGCCGCGCTTCTTAATTTCACCAGCATAGTATTAAATTAAATGGCATAGTATATGCACTACCTAAATATATCGCCGAAAATCTGATTGTATCGGGAACATGAGTAATCATTAATCACCCGCAAGCCTAGAATACTGTTTTCAAAATCAAATGGCGTTTACTTTATTTTTTCCTATTAATTATGCCCAAAACGTATTGCAATTTATTTTGAAAAATTAGAACTCGTCGTAATTTTGATAAGTAACGGGTATGAAACTACTGACGATTTAATTTTCTTGTGATTACAGTGATTCCAATGCTAGTTCACCAATTGATTCTGAATAAAACAGGGCGCAACATTATCGCTTGAAAAATATCAAAAATACCTGCACGTGAAGACATTCTATTCGCATTCCTTTTGGGAAACCAAAACTTGTCGTGGCATAACCGTTCGTATATCCATTCATTATCTTGTACTCGTCATTGGTATTTTCTTTTGATTGCATCGGCAAAGCAGGTCCCTCTATACATTGTGCATATCTGATCCGCGTTTCCACTCTAACCTGAGGGATTGGTTTTGTAGGCTGTTAGAAAAAGTAACGTTGTCTGCTTTCTGTGCGAAATTTGAAGGCCAGTTTTGTGCGAGCAAGAGGCTTGATATCCAAAAATTGTACAATTGACGTATATTCAAACTCCTACGAGATACAGAATCGCCTTATTTCATAATCACTAGAAAATCACAACGGCAGAGAAAAAAGAGCTGTATAGCTGGGAGCGTTATTCTAATAATCAGCCATATACTCTTCACGCAATTGAAAGACAAATTGATAGCATCATAGTTATCATTTTTGCTATAACGCATCAAGCATTTCGTATACTTCACAATACCCAGATGCATTTTTGTTGCTAGCAGTTTCAAGTACCTTATATAGTTCACCATCTTCGGTTTTATCTCTCAAAAAATTGTGGAGTTGAGTCACTTCTTCAACCCATCCTGTACGACCGGTGTATTCGCTCAGGAAAACATTCACAGAAATCACGATTTGTTCGCATTCAGACAAATCTCCCATCGATACTTTGGAACCAACCTTGGTGAATAGAAAATATGTCACATAAAAAGAAATTATTTTTACGGGGGGATTTTCGTGAAGCAAGGCCACGCGCACTTAATCATAACTGATTGAAATTTTGAGCGACCACAAAAAAGCCACAGCTACTAAGACTGGAAATCGTTATAATGTACAATTGCAATTAGTGTATACATTCAACTCGTATAATGAATACATACTCGTATGGCATAAATTTTTTGGTTGCTGAAAGTTTATCTACAGTTGTTATTTGAAACGACTGAACAACTGAACTGCTTTTTATGCGATGTTTGTCTGCTTTCTTAACGCCATGTTTCAACTTAAACGAAATCCTATATGTACAATGTTCAACTATTTGTTAGAATATAAAATTTGCAAATGTTAACCGACGTTGAATTTTAGCAGTACCTTTTCCCATATTGATTCCAAATCTAGTTTATTTGGTCTCTCTGGTTGCTTCGGCCCTTTGTTGCCTAAAGATAATTTCTCTAAACTTCCAACAACTTTCTCATACGCTGATTCTTCCTGTAAAAATATTATATGACATTTACGCGATAATATCAAGAGATCGTTCATAATATTCTATTGTGGACTCGTATTTCAGGCTGTGATTGGAATTCACACTGGAATTTTAGTTCACAAAAAATTAGAGACTTCCACCTAGTGGAGTTCCGATCCATCAGAAAAGTACTGCACTCATCAATAATATCACCAAATTCGATAATCTATTTAATTTCGGCTCGTCGGAAAAATACCCTATCCATCGATTAGATCACAACGGTACTCTATCTAAGAGACCTCTGGTGATGTCACGTTGTCGATTCAAAATCGCTGAACTTAAATCATTTAACAATGTTTAGTTCTATTCAATATCGTCACAAAAATAACGGTAAAACGCGGCCGCTAAGCATCAGAGTATCGTTACAGAATATAATTATGAAGTAACTCTGTATTATGAGTTAAGTCAGACAAAGAATTCACCTTAGTGATGCCCTTTTTCACTTTCGTCGTTCCGACTTTTATTTTAATCCATTCCACATCAGCATTTTGTAGCAGTATATATTCTCTATATGTCTCTAACGAAAATACCTCTGGTAAATCCGACGTGAAAAATTTTTTGTATTGTGGAATATCGATGCATTTTCCTGTAAAAAAAATGAAATGTCGTCTCGATTTTGTTCCTAAAATGTAATATTATATTTCATATTGTATCATATAAAGTCGAGCCAAATTTGTTTCATACATTGCAGTATCTATATTTTTTATTTGTCAGTAACTATATAGTACAAAAGTATTACCACTGGATCATAGACTTATAATACAGCCATGTTTAAATATTAGCTATAGTTATATTTACTTCAAGCTAAAATAAAAAAGATTCTCTTACTGACCTAAAATTTCAGCGAGTTGTTCTTGTTGGTCCTGTTGATAAAAATCGCTGCGAATAGTGAGGCTTTGTCGTAATTCGGATATAGCACGATTGACATATGGGCGATCAACGATAATTGTTCCTCTGCATGTTTGGAATTCGTCGAATGATTCGATGTTTTCTTGCAAATCCTCAATCATGTTTTGGATTATTTGCGGAAAACTGAAAAAATATAGATTTATTTTAATATCCTAGCCATACTGAGCTCCATATATTTTAGGTTTTAGTAAAAATTGTACGGAGTGAGAAGGCAAACCGCTGATCCGCGGGTCACAAAGTAACCAATCACGCCTCTGCATGTCAGTGCTTTAAAAAATTTATAATGATGCTGGCATTTAAGATCTACAAAGAAATCTTAATATCCATACCGACCTATGATTATAATGCAGAAAATATGCAACAGCACACAAGTCTCTGTAATAAAGGCATTGATTAAATCTAAAACCCACATTGTTCTTATGATTAAAATGTAATTTGTGACCCATTCAGTAAAATAGTTTTTCATATTAGATGTGGAGATTTCTGCTATGTTGTCATCCAAGTAACGATAATAACAAAGTAGTTATAATCTCCTTATAATCACTTCAGTTTTATTGGCGTGGTTACTTGAGCAGCATCAAGGTGTGTACGCCAATCACGTTCTCATTCCGCCAATTTTCTGGTATACAAGTTATACAACTTACTTTAACGGCCATGCTGTGCAAACAAATGATAAATACATAATTTGATATTCCAAGTAAACGTTATTTACATTTCAAATTTCATGCGGAATAACATACTATGTAGTTTCGATTTTAGAATACCATATTTGAAACGCTCAAAAGCGGAATAGCGTTTGATTTCAAATCAAAATTTATTTGAATGAAGTTCTTGAGTTTTGATGATATTTAATGAACTCTTTATGGGCTCTATTCTAGGTTATAAGGACGTATGCTAAAACGAAACTGCTTGTTTTTATACAAAACAAATAGCCGTAAATCATTGGTCGAGGGATGATTACTATAAACACTCGGAATTCTGTCACCCTTGGATGTGAGGCGTTGCTACAAAATGTACATTTACCTTATAGGCGACAGTTTTACTCCTCTGCTATGTAAAGTTTCAAGTCCTTCTCGGTTGTATTTATTGTCCCAAGTATAGGAATGTGCAAATCTCAGGTGAATTGTAACTCGTATTGACAATTGTCGACAGTGATCCAGAAGTCCCTGTAAATCAACCAGACAGCAATGCTCAAATTAATGTACTCGAAAATCGAATGAATAATGTGATCGCCGCAATTTCGGCTTCAACTTATCTTATTATCATATGTATCGAATGTCATATGAAAGTGTATCCGTGAATTTACCGAATGTAAACCGGTGTATGAAATATGCTCCCCTACCACCCTGAGAAAAAAATATCAGCATTATTTTAACTTTTTCCATATTAAAGAACTAAGGCCTTGAAATTAATTGGTCCCTTAGTTGCGGAGAAGCGATTTTTAGTACAAAGACAATTTTGAAAAACGATCCATTAGCCTACTTTAGTGTCTGCTAATTTTGATGGTAATTTATTTTATATATAATATATATATACTTTCTAATTACTTACAATCAACTCTGCGCTTCCCAAGTTACTCGGACTTCTGCTTGATGTAAGATTTATTGACACAGTGGTGTTCGGTTGCAAGACTCCTTCTTCGTTTTCTGCATTGCTCATTATACTGCTGATATCGGATATACTCGAACCCCTACTCATTCGTCCATCGAGTATATTGGATGCTGTATAAAAATAGCGTTATTTGTAAGTTGTGTTGCAGCAATGAAAAAAAATTGGATGTCCCAAAAACTTCAAGCAATATGTTGGGATTGCACGAGGCTTATTGTTTTCCACTTTTGCTTTTGTAACGCCGTACGTATTTTTCATAAAATATAACATTTTACGTCAAACTTACATGTGCCGCCAACCTATTTTGGCAAAATATTTGGCCGTCGGTTCAATAGATCTTGCCCGCCACTGTATTAAGGAATGAGTGAATGCGCCCAAGTTTTTGTTATCAAAGTCCGAGTCAAATTTATTACAACCCGGAGTAAGGAGACGTAGCAAATTGTATATTTTTCTCCACCCTACGGCGTGTTTGCAATGTCGCCAATCTCAAACATATTTCAATGACTAGGCGCTTTAAATGAAAAGCAATAGACCATTGATCGTTCCAAATTTTGTTAAAACATACCTTTCCTTGCTTTTGTCCCCATCATATCTTGAACGAATATCCCGAATATGTTTTTGTTTTTCTGTCCTGTTATTTTTTTACTGTATAATAAATTGTCTGTTCCATCTTTAGTAACCTGGTATACATTCGCCAGCATTATTCCATGATTTTGTGGAAAATATGTCATTGTTTTATCCGGTGACGGCTGACGACCATCGGAGAAATTTCTTCCGATTGGCGAAGACGGTTTGACTTTTGCATCGTTGTGACTTGGTAATCTTACTCGATTCGCTTTTGCCAACTGAAGGTCGCGATTTAGAAGAAAATGCTGTAGATAGTCTTGAATTGACAATGTTGCTGCCATGCTAGGAAACGTCGCTCAACGTTAATCGTTAAAAATTACAATTCTGAAAGTGTAACTATATTAAGAATCATATAGGATAGTTATCTTCATTATTGCTACAGAATCCTTGCATTAGTACGCTTACCCATCCACTGTCGCAAAGGCACAGAGGAAATGTAGAAGGTTGGTTTCGCGTAACTGCAGCTGATATTTACAATTTAACATATTTTACAACTAATATTATTAAAAGAACTTGCAGGAAAGAATCCCAATATAACTTTCAAAATCAACTACCCGAGTTTGATTAGTCGCACTCGGCCCGGTTTTTTAGAACTTAATTTTTCACCTCTGAATAGTATGTAATTACATTTATTCTACATTTCTACTAGCGATGTCACACTAAAAATTAATAAACCCGCCCTTAGTGCACAACTCCACATCCGCCAAGTTCCCACTAATGAGTGTGTTAAAGTACAATCCTGCCTCATAATCATTAACTAACAATAATGGCAAATATATGTGTCTTTTGACGCATATAAACCTCGTATACTCCGCTATGAAAAAAAATAACAATAAAATCGGCGCCGAGAATTGACGATTATAAACCATTGTTTTCATAGCTTTCAATTCAGGTCAACAATACTCAACGAGAACATTTTCACAGCTGGATAGTAGACAGTTTGTGAATCAATTTAATAAGAATTTGAAAAAAATATAAAAGGATTTAGTTTAATAATTCACAGTAGACCCAAGAAAAATTAATTACACGGCCTTGCTGGCTCAAGACGCAGTTATGCGACAATGTACAACAAATATAAGGACGGCTACGTTATAATAATGAATAATATAGTAAATATAACTAATATTAAAAATAACGAAATAGTTAAAGTACAATATATCTTTAGTTGCCGCTTGCGTTATCCCGAAATAAAATCTACTACAGAATGCGCCAATCAAGTTCATCACATTATCGCATGTATATCCCCATTCCCTTCTATCATCTATTCTATACGCCGGAAACCAATCCCGTTTCAAAAGAGGTCCTTGAAATGAAGCCGACTAGTTCAATGCAAAATCCAATATCAACGTGTCATTAAATCTGAAGAGTGCTGGCCTGACAAAACGAGGAAATAATTTTGCTTTACATATTCTGTTGCGACGTTATCATTACCGGTAGTTAGATTTCAATGTTCCAATTTTATTCTTCGCCTGCTGCTCACTATAATATCAATCGGTGGCAGTTAGTTAAGGGTGGCAATATGCAACTTAACTTTTCTTAATAGCCTGCACATATATATATCTTTCCTTTACATTGGTATATTTTCAAGTGTATCTTCTTGCAAATTCTTAGTTTAGCTCTTCAATATCGTTGGTCTCGTAAATTAGCGCTTGAGCTTTCGCGTCTGTGATTATTAAATGTGTTTATTCACGGCGTCGTGGTTAGCATTTCCAAACGAACTGGTATTGTCGAATGTTGATTTTGTCGCACTGAGTAAACTAAATCAGAATGAGGTATTCATCATTTCTCGCCTGTCGGTTGAAAATTCATAATACATGATGGCCAGACATAATTCATGAATGTTGAATGTGAAAAATAATTTCAGTTGGGCATGTTAGTATCCGCGAATTACGGTATATGCTCATACTGTATAGGACAAAACTCGTCGGAATTCCAGGCATAAAATAATAATGAAAGGAGTCAAAGTTTTCAGAAATTCGAAGCGTTTATTTTTATTAACAGTCGTTTTTAACAGTAAGGTTATTCACGTCGAAGTTGTTGTTGTTAAAATTTGATTTTCTCTGGAGGCGTAGTTTAATTCAAACGTTTATTACAAATTATTACCGGAGTCGAAGCAAACCTCATTTTTTTCGAATATTTCTATGGTTATTGCGCACTATTCTATGTCGGTTATGGAATTCATATCGCGCTTGCATGGGGAGAGTTTGCAACCTGAAAATTATACCGAGTACATGTGTGAACCCGGCCAATGCGTAAGTGTCACTTGACGAAGTAATAAAGCCAACAAGATTCGTTGGTAATCGCGGAAAATTCCGAATCAGTTTCAGAAATTTGCTTACACCTAATCCAACTGTGGTTGTAACTTTTTCCTCTCGCGCATTTTAGGTTGTTTTAAAAAATATAAGTAATTATACATGCATTGAAATATAAATCTGACTATTTTCCTAATAGTATATAATATGAAATAGGAGAAAATTGCGCGCCGTTAAATTCAATTCCACATTTTCAAATTCGTCCAACCGGTAATGTTATAGCCGTCCCGTAAAGTAGAACACTTACTGTAAAATGTTAGCATATTTACTGTGCTTGTCTAAAAGTGTGCATAAATTTTGGTCGAAATATTTAGGTCATAGTAATGAATAGTTTTCATTCAGTATTTAAGTCAATATTTTTACTTTGGAATCCGACGAGCAAACATCGGTCGGTACGTTTTCCTCCGCGAAGCTCTTTTGTCGCTGGTCAATGGAAAACATTCATTCATTCATATTAGAGGATATTGGTTTTTGGACTGGGTGCCAAGAATTTTGCCCATCTAGACTGGCGGGCCATATAAGTGTGACGTAAAAGTTACATTTTATGAACAACATTTACAGTTTTACAAAAGCCAAATTGGGAAACAATAAGCCTCGTGACGAAACTAAATTTAATCGCAATCCCAACAAATATTTCTGGGAAATATATTACTCGCAATACACAATATTCTAGTATCGTATTTATATTAAGTTAAGTTTATTCTATCATTGTCTCGTTGACTGGTGCCAATAATGTTCGATTACATCTTTTATTGCCGTTTTATTGCTTTAGTATCATCTTTGGGATTAGCCATCGTTAAAACTCTTACCAAAACTTTTGTACAAAAATCACAAAGGATTCCGTTTGGATTCCGATATTCAGCGCTGGAATGATCGAAAGCAATGACGCACAATTTGTCATCGTCAAAAAGCGCATTCTTTATTTGCAATTTGTCATTTATGTTTGTTGTTTAGGGTTATGCGCCGTTTTAAATCATACTATGCGACTACTTTAAATATATTACACCAATCGGAAGATACGTTAACTTTTTTATTTATATTGTCTTGATTACCCATATAAAAGAATTTCTTACTTATGTTGTTGTAAATCACGCTTTTGCGTCAACTGGATGCGTCACTAGTGAGTGTATTAGGGTGGCAAACAAAATTGGACTAACCTTAAAAACGTCACCGGGAATCCGTTTGGAATTGTATTACCGACCTGTCAACTCTTCTATATATTATAAGGTTTTTTTAAATGCGAAGGAAATTTATCGATACCGTATATTGTTTTGGCCCTCACAGATGTAATAAATGGAAGTAAAATTATGTTACTGATTGAAAAACAACAAACCTGGTTAAGATATATTAAGAACTGACTTCAATAACAAAATTGAAATTGTATACAGACTTTATGGACACCACTATTAAGAACGCTTCAACCACTTTTTTTTTTAATTTCTTCGAAAGGGAATTAATTCTTCTCGATTATCACCTATGAAAGTATTGTCCAATATCAATCAATGAGTATTCATATAATGTAGAATAAGCTCGGTGGCGTGGCACATCGTGCCAAGCGTTAGGAATACAATCGACATCGCACCTCTGATTGCCCTATGTGGGTTCACAGATGCAAATCCTGTTGGGGATAATTATTTGCAAGAGGATTTCTGGACTTCTCTTCGCCGTAGGGGGATTTACGTAACAGCTGATCTGTTACGGCTTCTTCCACCATGAAGTCCATGCATCTGAAACAAAAAACTGACTAACTAAACCCATACCCCACATGAACTGGTAACTGGACCAGAGGTCGTGGTTCATCATATGATTAAGTCGTCTTATTGACTTTCCTCTCCCCCGGAATGAACATGTAAATCCTATACTAATATTCTATACTAATATCATATAGCCATACCTATCTTAATAATAACACTAAGTTTGATGCTATGTAGCCCATCTCAGTATCAGATTAATATCATTTATACTTTATACAGTCCTGCTATATATCTAGCACTTAGCATGGAACTTCTTTATTCTCTCTGAAAGCATATCTAAAGGTTCCCTACTTTCTGACCACATACTGTTTTCTCACCATATTGAAATATTTGGAATAGCTCAGAACACAAATATTATCTAATGAAGTCATGTTATCATAACACATGCTCTCATGCGTACTTCACTCAGCACTTGAGTACTCTCCACCACCACAGTAAAGACTAAATATGAACAAATTCTCATTTTTTATGGAATTTGTTCTTTCTAAATATATGATTATGGTTTGAAAAAATGTAAATTTTATTTTTTATTGTTTTTTTTAAGATGTATAGCAAGTCATTATCATTATCTACGAATTTTTTAATCTGATGTATTGTGTTTTAAAATATGTTTGTTTTCTTCTGGTATTTCGAGTACCTAATACCTCATTGGTGGGAACATACTTACTAGAACGAGTCACAAATTGGTGGGAACATACTTAATAGAACGAGTCACAAAAATTGCGATATTTTAATTAACGGACCTTTCCAGGTTTAGAATTTGAACTACTATATAAAAATATACAAAGTGTGTGGAAATTGAATCTCCTTCGCCCAAAAATGGAAACTAAAATTATACCAGTATTGTTTCAAAATATATGGAAGATAATTATATATAAAGAATTTGAGATTCTATTGGATGTGCAAATGTACCATAGTTGATTTTCAATGTATTTTTATACACAGATTGAATAATAATCATCGTGAAGAAACTGAAGTCCTGAGAGCAAATATCAAGAAATGTTCTCTGGAATATGGTATGTGGAGATATAAATTTGCTAATTGTGTGTAGGTAGCTGATACTCCCTAGTAAAGGAATCATATCTGTAATATGATTAATAAGCCAGATGTACACCAAGATGACGCACAACCTTAATCGTAACCTGGTACACATACTATGTTCAGGTTGTTCATAATTTTCCAGGTATCATGTATGAAGTTTCTATAATAGAAAATTGCCATAGTCAACATTCATTATTATTCACTGTTACTTACTAACTTGTAATTTATTTAATCAACCATTTATTTATTTGCCTCGTTTAGAACAACTTACTTCTCAGAATGAAGAATTACAAAATAATTTGAACAATTTTGAACAAGAAAAAGATGATTTGCATAAACAAATTGAAGGAAAGTTGAAAAGAGAAGAAGAGAAAACTCAGGAAGTCATGGAGGCAGAAGTCAGTGACTGATTTTATTGGCTATTATCTATAGTTTTCAAATATATCAGTTTTTAGTCTAAAATCTGGCTTCTATGAAGACAGCGTATCAAATTTGATGTTTTTTAAGATTTTTTTTCAAAGATTTTTACATCATTGCTTTTGAAATCCTACATATCTAACTCCTTACTTTGGGGAGATTGAAAATACAACTCTCAATTCTGTGAAATTATTCTGAAGGCAGGATTCACATCCTGATATACCTATTCCACAATGTCCTATTTTTATGAATTTGCTACAACGTCATTACAGCGTAAAACAATCATTTCTTATTTGATGATAGAAAACACAATTTTAAATACAAAATGATATACTTTGTCGTTTATTATTTATCTTGGCCATTTAAAAGTACTTTTTTGTCTTTAGGCACAAAGAAAGGAAGCTTATCAAGAATTGTCAAAATTAAAGATTGAATTGAAGAAATTTACTGATGAGAGATCGGGAGAAAAATCTGAAATGAATAAATTGTCCACAAGATTTAAAGATTTGGAAAAAGAAAATGAAAAAATGTTGAAGAAGTACAATCATTCTCAACATGAAACTTCTGAGTAAGTTTCTTCTTTGTTATGCAACATTCTGTTTGAGCTAGATTCTGAGATGTTCACTATTATCCTTGTAATTTGATATATTCTGTATGTGGTGATTGTTGAGTTTGTCTTTAAATGAAGCCAACTGATAAGCGAACTCTTTGTAAAGGTTTCAGGTTTAAATCGTGTGAGGAATTTCAGATTTGTCGTTACTTCATGCTACTAAGATTTGATTATCATATTAATCGTAGATGAGAGGAGAGCCGAAGGGTTATTCAAATGGCAGCCTCTCATCCGGTTACAAGTCCATGTATTATGGGAATGGTTGTTCAGTTATTTTTTTAGATAAGTAGGATGGCGCTCCAAAAGTTTATCTACCACTAATGTGGAAGTAACTAATTAAAACAGTCCCGAACTCGTAATAGAACTAAAATAAGGAAAATCGGAATAAAATTATGGTCTAACGCTAACCTGGTACACATACTACAGGAGTACCAGTGGGGTTTATAGTTTAGGAAGCCATAATTGACCAGTGCCAGTGGATATGTAAACCACACTACAACAATGAGGAGTTCAGCATTCCACTCACACATAATTATTCCCTACAGTATTCGAACCTGCGAACTCGTCAATGGTAATCAGAGTTGCCATGGGAAGAAAGCATGGTATAAATGCTTTGCATAATGTGCCGACCTGCGTTATGCATCTCCATGACCCATGCACAACTAATTTTTCCTGGTTGTATTTAAAATGCGACAGATTTCCACATTAGGTTGTCCCATCGAGTTTCCTCTGTCTGGGATAAATAAATAAAATTACTGAGTTCCATAGATGAATGTGTTTTACAGGTTAAAAGAACAGATGATACTACTCGAAGCAAAAGCAGATCATTTGGAAACTCACTTGATGAAAGCCAATCAAAATAATTCAAAATTTCAAGAAAATGAAGAATTAGCCAATAAGAAGATAGAACAATTGGAACAAACGCTGAAACATCGGGAATCACAGTATCAAGCAAAACTCACTGAATTTACAAGGTAACTTTGGAGTAAATTTCTGAATAAAAAACCATAGATGTGCTAATATTTTTAGTCAAATCTGGAGTATTTCATTATATCCTGGGGATATCATATGCTGAACCACGGCCTCTCGTCTGGTTACCAATCCATGTCGACTATGGAAATAGTTAACCAGATATTTGTATCAGGCTAATGGACTTGACGATGGGGAAGTCGTAACTGGCCAGCGGTTATGTGAACCACCCTCAGATGGTGAGGAATCAATCTCCTTGCCATAATTATCTCCCACAGGATCTGAACCTGCGAACTCACACAGTGTGATAAGAGGTGTCATGGCTGATTGTAGTTTATAGCACGATGCACCAACTGCTGAGTCTAGTTTTCTATTAAGCCCATCTATATTGCTTGCTGACTTGAAAAGTTGGACAATTTTAACTTTCTATCAGAGTTCTACGACTCCTTGTATTCAGCATGTGCTTTTATTCAACTTTTTCAGGCGTCTCCTTGAAACTCAGAAGAAACTGAATCACAAACAAGAAGAACTTCATGAAATTATCAACACAAAAGAATCGAACATTACTGAGATGAAACAAATGAGAAAATTATTAGAAGAAAAGTCACTCAAACTACATGATCTTAATAGGTTATACAAGTTTTTTTTTAAATTATAAATTTATTTTTGTGGTGCTGAATTGTTCTGGTAAATCATCAAATATAGGTATCAGGCACAAAACTATGACTATGAAACTGCGAAATTTGGTGATGAGTGATGACTATTGTTCATTGTTTGTTATCCAAGTGTCATTTTACTTATACCTTGATTTGTGGGCATGATGGCCTAGTGCAGAGGTGTGCAACCTTCGGCCAACAGGCCGCGTTGGTCCACGAAACGAGTTTTTAATTTAATTTATTCTAGTACGTGCGAGTAATTTAAAGCCTAAGTCCAATTTATTATATATTCCCATGACGTTACAATGCCCTAACAGATAGCTTGTGCGAAGCGAACAACACTTGTCAGTTGTCAATACCAAATTTAAATAAAGGTGCGGCCAGTGGTTTCACCCAGTTATTTGCATCTGGCCCTTCTGTATTAAAGGTTGCACGTCGCTGGCCCAGTGGATAAATCGTGAGACTTAACTATGATGACATCACAGGTTCAAATCCCACGCCCACCCAGGGTGCAAGAAGCTGCATATGAACCCAAAAATAAGGACATCAGGGAAACATAATAATAGAATAACAAAGAACAACATGTAATAAACAAAATGTATTCATGCCTGTCTAATCATACTTTGCACTAGAAAGGATTTGCTCCAGCAGTTCTTTATTCTTGGAAACTATCTGTTTCATCTCACTTTTAAGTTGTATTTTGATTCATGTTACACGAACTGATTTTGGCTATTGTTTTGTCATTGTGTCAATTAATTTGCTGTTATTGCGTAATGAATGCATGTAGCAATCAGTGAGGTTGTAAAATAGCATTTCTACCAAATCAATCATTCGAATTGACCAATCTAAGTGCTTGGTATAAGAACCTCTACCCACAAAATGAGGACACATTTGAAAATAAGGACGTTTTTTAGAAATGAGGACAGAAATATTTTCTAGGACAAAGACTTTCCAAATACTAGCAATGCTTGCTTGTGCAGCACCTTGTTTGGAGTGAAGAATAAGTCATTTAAAATAATTGCAGAATTCAAATAAAGAGGTATCAGAAAGAGTAAATAATTTGTAGTCTTGGCATTGGGGGATGAAAAAAACACCAATTATAATAATTTATGAAATCATATTTAATATTATCGTTTTTAGGTTGGAAAAAGAAAACCATGCCATGTCTGATAAAATAAACAACTTACAAAAAGATTTGTCCTTCGCTCAAAAAGAGAAGTCTTCAACAGAAGATCTAGAGAAGTAAGAAGAAATATTACAAAATATATTCATAACTCTTGTTGTGCGTCGCTGTAACTATTCACTTTGTTATATTCGAACTCATATCAAACATTTATGTAATGATGATTGAAAAGCACTACTTATGATATTAATAAATTCGGCGCTCCAGAAGTGTGTGTTCCAATATGGAGGTAATTAATATTGTTCGGCTACTTTACATCGAGTTGTAAAGGAACTTAAACCTATGGGCAGGGGGTATATTCACTTGGCTAACACAGACAGTCCCCGAACTCGTAATAGCACTGAAATAAAGAAAATCGGAATAAAATTATCGTCTAACCTGGTGGTTGGTACACACACTACGTAAGTACCACGAATTCAATGTAACACAATATCTTATTTTGCAGGTGGAAAAAATTATATGAAGATCTCAGAGAGAAAGTGGAACCATTTCAGGTATTGTTTCGGTGTAAATTGTACTGCTATACTAGATGCTTATCTGCTCTTTGACCTGTGTAAAATTCTGCTTGCACTAAACCAGGGGTGTGCAACCTGCGGCCCGTAGGCCGAATGCGGCCTACAAGGAAAAAAAATTGTGCGACCCGCATAGCAGTGTCAATTTTAAATGATGTGCGGCCCGCGATACGGGTTTTTAATTTAGTTGGATCTGGTACGCGCAAGTAATTCCAATCTGTTTAGTGTTGCAAAGCTTATACCTGATGCCTATGACATTACAATCCCTTAACAGCTGGCTTAAAAACTTTTGTGCCTGAAATTACTAGAAAGTGTATGTTAAATAGAGATGCGGCCTGTGATTTGGCCCAGGTATTGGTATCTGGCCAGTCTATTAAAGAGTTTACACACTATTCTATTCTAACTTTTTTCGAATGATTTTTTGATTACTGCAACAGAATAGAACCTTCTTCGAAGGCAATATATTAATTCGCAATATAAAATAAAGCATAACCAAAAAAACAGTAGAATGTCTAATTAATTTGAATTTCTGACCAAACCTAATCATTTGCAGGTTCAAATTGATGCATATTCTGCGGAGAAGTCTATGTTGTTGAGTGAAAATTCTGCGGCTCACGCCGAAATGCAAGCATTGGGAAAGAAATATGCGGAATTGTTGGGTCATCAGAATCAAAAACAAAAGATTCGTCATGTCGTCAAAATTAAGGAAGAAAACTTGGGTTTGAAGCAGGTAAATAGGGTTAGAATAAGAAACTTCATTGGGAATCTTTCGTTCGATTTTTCGAAAGTCTGTTCCTTTTTATGTACCAGTTTTTAGAGTTTTACTTTTTTTATCTGATACCTACATTAATTATGTTTCATCCTTTTCAGGTAAAATATGAAATGAATAATCGAGACATTTTGTTTCGTTTCTATTTATTAAAGATTCTTTTTTATATTATTGCGCTAAAATTTTGAGTTCAATGTTTCCGTATACAGGAGGTGGCGAAACTTCGCATGCAAATGAGTAAGTTACAGAAGCAAGTACTGGCAAACCGGAACGCAAAATTCAATCCTGCGGAAGCTTTTCAACACAAAAAAGAAAACGCAACACCTTTTGGGCCCAAAAATTGAAAAGTATTCTTCAACTCACCATTTTGTCATTGGTCTTCGTGTATTATATGCTAATGAGGAGCGATTTTCGTTCGAATTTTTACAGAATTTCTCTGAATGCGAATATTTTATTTTTCAAAGCTGCTATTTGTTATCATTCCATGAAACCTCAATAAGGTTTTTTATAATGTTCTTGATTTTATTTGACATTCCTGATTATTCTTGTACAAATAATAACTTGAACAGGGCAACATATACCGTGTTTCTCCAAAAATAAGACGTAGCCTGAATTTTAAAAATGATTTTAATATAACCCCCTAAAATAATATCTAGTCGATAGCAAGAACTTTTTCCTACACCTTTCAATTGATTGGTTATTTTTGAATAATCTGTTTTTTTTTTCAGTTTTTTTTAAATAAAAATGTGTCATTTATAAGTAAATGGATATCGGTTTTCATATTTTGTTTATTTGAAAATCTCGTAATTCTCTCTTTGTAATTTAGTTTTTGATTAATGAAAATAAAAGACATCCCCCAAAAATAGGCCCTAGTATTATTTTTCAAAAGAAAATTGAAATAAGCCAGTCTGATTTTCGGGGAAACATGGTCCTACATTTATACTATATTAATGAGATTAGCAATCTCGGCTTTCCCCGAATAAATATATTTTAGTTTTTGCTTTCTGGTTTTTAAATGAAATTTTCATTACTCAAAAAATACCCCGAAGTTTTATACTGTTTTTATTTTTTTCACATGTTGCTATACGTGTTTTCTTTACTCATAGTGGCGGCCGTAATTTATCACTCATGTCTCTGAGGCAGTGGTTCTCAAACTTCTTAAACCGGCCCCCCTTTTTAGAATTTGTCAAGTCTCGCGCCCCACCTCAAAAATAACTAGCTAACAATAAGCTACAAATAATAGACAGTAAGGCGTGATGTTTTGTTCAAAACACACCTTGAAAATATGTGGATGGAACGTAAATAAAGAAATAAATGGAAAGTTATGAAAACAAACAAGGCGTGCAAAAACAAATCTAACAAAATTTTTAATGAGTTTCACGCTCCTGCAAAAAATTGTCTATGTGTATTGTATACAAAATTGTCTAATTTTCTGTTTGAGAACCACTGCTCTAAGGCATGAGCGACTATTTTGCTAAACAAAACCCATATGCCAGAAATTGACCCGCAGGGAGGGATATGGGAGCTTCTAACCTGTCCGCTGGCTAGAGCATGATAATATACCACTATCATGGTTGGTCATTTTTTTTACTATCCGCTGATAATCATTACATCTTCGATTTCGGTGTTATCGGAGTTTTGTCTTATGTCAGTGAAGCCTCATTATTTCAACATTTTAAAATACTTGCCTTTTTGTAATAGATTGTTTGTTAGTCTTGTTTTTATTTCAAGATATCTAATCATTTCTTTAGCTTGGTTTTCTTACCATAGAAATTAATCTTAGCTGGGACTGAAAGGTCGAATGTTGATTATTTCAAAACATGCAATTCACGAATTGTTGAATGGAGAGAATATCAAATATTCTCCTGGAATTTTTGTGCTAAGAAATGTTTTTAAGATTTAAAAAAAGATTAATTTGTATGTTTACTATGCCGTTATATTGTGAGTTAGACCAGGCAGTTATAATAAGTATTTCCATTGGCGATTTTCTGATTTTAAGTGAAAATACGTCCAAAAATCGGTAATTGGTTCCGGAATACTGGAGTCTAGTTCACGTCAGGAGGGTAGAATGCAGAGAAATCGACCGCCAATAAATAAAAAGGTAAGAGATGTTTAAAAGTATATATGAGTTTTTCTCATAACGGTATTTCCAAGTTTCGTCCCATTGGGTTAAAGCCCTTGATATCCCATCTACCTCTACGATTACCGCATAGCATGTTTAAACTTATCTCAAATGCATCCATTCGAGTTACCACTGATTGCGCACGAGAAACTTGCAAGAATGAGAACAATAATATTAAACGTAGATAGTAAATCATGGAGAGAAACTCTTTTACATGGGAAAGCAAGATAAGATTGCGCTACTTATGCTTACTTTGAATTTTACGCAATGAAAGTGTCTACGGTTAGGGTTTGTTTTTTATCAATTCTAAAAAAACATGTTTTAAAATAAGGGCTTTTTTAAATCACAAATTTTCTGTATTTTTTATTGAAATATCCCTTGCATCGCCGCGAAACTACGCCAAAACGTTGCATTCACGCAGCTGGAAATATAATTTCAAAGATATAAGTAAAAAAATTTGTTTTGACTTTTACTCCTATTGCGTACATTTATCTCCACCAAAGTCATAAGATTTTTCCCGGAATGTTTCTACAGGGGTGGTAGCACAAAAGTCATATTGGGGGTGTCAAAATAGGGCTGACGAAATGCGGTCGTTGCGTGTCAAATCAGGGGTGACGAAATAGGGTCGACAAGGGCTTGTTTTAAATCAAATTTTTTCCGTATTTTTTATTGAAATACCCCTTGCATCGCCACGAAACTACGCCAAAACGTTACATTCTGGCAGCTGCACATGCAGCCGGAATTATAATTTCAAAAATGTAAGTAAAATTTTTTATTTTGAATTTTACTTCTATTGCGTACATTTATCGCCACGTTTGTATCTCCACCAAAGTCATAGGATTCTACCCGAAATGTTTAGCCGAGATATCAGAGAGACGTTTTGAGTAAGAAAAATCATGAAAATTAGCTCACGAGCCTCCTACAAACGCAATTAGATCAAGTGCAGTGCTTTGGCAAAACGAGTGGCCTGCGATAATGAAGAATATGCTTATACCGGCGGTAATCTACTGATATAAACGATGAAAAAACCAAACCTAGTTTTTGTTAATTATAAAAGTCCTCTAATGCAAAGACGCCACAACTAATCTTTTATGACGCCATAATCTGAATTTCGAGTTCATGTATTGACATTTTTCATAAAATGATGGCAATATTACGGTTATACTGTTCGGTTTATTTATGCTCAGCATACTTTGTTTTTATGGTCGAAGTGATACAGTTTTTCAAGGTCATACAAATTCATTTATTCGAGCGCATTTCAATTCTCGCAAGGTGGTTTCACGCCAGGGTCATTCACATAATGGCTTATCGGTTGCGTCTTACTGCGCCAACCACTGAACTACAGCTTGAGAAGGTGTGCATTAGCCTCTATCGACATTTGTGGCGCTTTGAAAGATTTATTGCAAATAGGAAGCGCTTGGCGAGTTTTTACATCCATTTTTCTTCAACCTATTTAATACAAAAAAATCAAATAGTACGGCCATTTTGAACAAAACAGGCAAAACAAAACATGATTTAAAACAATTGTTTTAAAACAATTATTTTTGAACAAATCCCTAGTTCCCGTAATAGCTTATCGGTTGCATCTTACTGGGCCAACTACCGAACTACAGCTTGAGAAGGTGTGTATGAGCCTCTATCGATATTTGTGGCGTTTTGAAAGATTTATTGCAAATAAGAAGCGCTTGGCAAGTTTTTACATCCATTTTTCTTCATCCTATTTAAGACAAAAAATGCCATTTTGAACAAAACAGGCAAAAAAACTCGATTTAAAGCAATTGTTTTAAAACAATTTTTTTTGAACAAATCCCTATCTACGGTTGCAAGTTGTTTTTGCATGTTTTGAGGTTTAGCTTGAATGTTGAGCGATGGAAGTCCAAATATATCGCGTGCAGGCTTATAATGTATCTGTAAATTACCGATAATGAAGACAATAGCGTAGCCAGCCCAAATATTTTTTTTTGGGAGGAAGAGGGTCAATTTTATTATCCAATTTGATGCTTACATTTGATGCATTTCGCTGAGAGCGAGGCCAAGTACAAAAAGCCACTGATATATAACGAATATTTAAGAAGCTTTTATTTAATTTTTATGACTTTTCATGTTGATTTTGAGTGTATATAGAGGTCTTTTAGATCCCAAATCCGGTATAAAACATTAGCGAGACGTGGAAAGTCTTCTCGATCCGAGGCTACCGACCACTAATTGCAGTGCAAATATATTAAAAACGATTTAAACAACGGCGAGAACACTCAACATCAAACGGGTCAGTGATCTTAATGTTGAATATATTTGAAATGTAATAGGAGGGAATATTTGTTCGACATGTTATTTGTTTTTGAAAAAATATTACTTGGGTCGCCGGTTCCCACCGTATTTCACTGCAATAAAATTTCTACAATATTTTCCTGCACTGGGATTAGTCAGTACCTCCATCAATATCATCAGATGTTCCTGTACAAATATCGATCGAACAACATATGGGAGAATTGCGCTGTCAATTTGGCATTGACCCGAGGTCATAATTATACGTCACTTGTTAACACAGCGGGCGGTGTACAAATGTAACAACCCGAATGTTTCTTGTCTACGAATAATATAATACGCGGTCTAGGTGTTAAAAATATGTTCTCTATGTTTTTGAATGTGATAAAAAATGGACCATGCATGTTCACTGCAAACATCAGCAAAATATTTCACCACCTCGCGTGCCAATGTGTTCACCTTCAAATTATTATTGTCTATTCGTTCGATTCATATTGTAGGCTCACAGTATAATCAACCTACCTTGTAGATTCGTAATTTGGAAAGGCTTTACTCAGAGTCTGAGCAACCCAGGTCACCCAAACATTTTCAGAAGGCGCGGATGAACTTGACTCCATACCTCTCTCAACTATTTAACAACTTTTCGTAAATGGAATCAATTCATACCACCTGTTTGCAAATTAAGACCAGTTCTTCGATAACCAAAATTCTGGTTGTTTTAATAAGCGCATGCTCTACCTAGGATGGAGAATAGGATTCCCATATTTATCCCTGGGGAGAAGGAAAGCCGATAAGACGGCTTAACCATATGGCGAACCACGGCCTCTCGTCCGGTTACTGTTCCATGTCGGGTATGGGATTAGTTAGTCAATTGTTTTCGGAAGCATGTACTTGATATTAGAGGAAGCCGTAACCTACCAGCGGTTACGTGAAGCACCCTACGGCGGCGAGGAGTCCAGCAATTCTCTCGTACATAACTATCCTCGCATGGGATTCGAACCTGCGAACCCACGCAGAGTATGCGGTGGCTAGCGTATTCCTAACGCCTAGCCGATGAGTCACGCCGCCGCGCCTACTGTCTACTAGTGACTCTAGTTCCCTTCAAAATTCCCCAGGCTAATTTTCGGAACAGCACGTTCTACGCTGAAATAGGGAATTCCCCGTCCATCTGTTGGTCTTATAACTCTTCAATTAATATAACCCGTACTATATAATTTTTCATAAGTGGTGTCAGTCATACCGTACTCGCCGTCAAAATCCAATTTTTTGAATTAGATATTAGAACTTCGGGTGTCGATAACCAGCTTTGGTTCCCCGCGAATTACTTTCGCCAGAAAAACTGTGTAATTATCATTTTCTTGTAATTTGTGCTGGTGCGATATTTTTTTACTGGTTGGAAAAATACACTCGACCTTGGCTAGCTATAACCAGTTTGGCATCAACAACATCAAGCTAAAACTGACTTGACAAACCTTGAATTAAACACAGAAAGAAGAGCTCAAAATAAACAGTTTCTTTGCAACCTTTATTTACAAATCCACACCGCATTCCTTCAACGACAGTAAATTCCACACAAAACGCAGGTTTAATATAAACAAAAATGCAAAAAACTAATTAAGGGTTAACCACTAATTCAAATAAAAAATAATCTTCATTACGATCATCAATTACTCGTGGACATAATTTGAATGCAAAATGCTCTTTGATTCTGTGGTGCAGAATACTGAGCAAGGAGTCTCGGACATTCTTTCATAATATCAGAAACATAAAGAATCTTCTTCTTATTCATTATACAATGATGGGCCTGACAAATATGTTGCCTGTTGTCAGACATGAGCACAAGATAAGTGGATTATGGACCAGTAAGATGAAATACATTAGTACTAAATTATTTTAGTCAGGGTACTTAATTCTTGTGAATCTAGAATTCATTTTGTCATAGGAAATGATCAAGTTAAAACATAATCATAATTTTCAGATTATATCATATTTTCTTACATAACCGTGCACCCAAGAAATTTCAAAATATGAAGGAAGATTATGCCATAAACTAGCCATAAGCAACAATAAGATTCTGACCTAAATCTACAGTGCAGCGGTTTTCTGTGATTGAGAGGAATTTTTGAAAAGCAAGTTTTACTTTTGACACAATGAAAAGAAATGATTAAAAAAAATTGGTTTCAAATTATCTGTGAAGTATTCAAATAATATTGTTGTTGCATCTTGAACATTTTTATTCATATTATGCCAGGGATTGACCAGAAGATTCGGAACAGAGAACACCAAACAATGTATGGGAAAATACAACTAAGAAGTCTTGACTCATATTATCAGTCACTTTTCCAATTTGTTATTTAATAAGTCCTGAGATTCTGAGGAACAATATTTAAACATGATTTCCTGTTAGTAAAGCAAGGACTAGAAATACGAAAACGTTTTTATAGTTGTATATCGCTTTGCCGCAACAAAATGTCAGGATTGGGACACATCGTGTATTCCCAATGAAATTAGGAATTTCATTTGCTTAAAATTGCAAAATCAGAAACGTTTGAAAAATTTATCGTCTTCAGAAAAATTAGATACGCATAGGTTGTGGCCTGAAATATCAATGTGAAACAACAGTAACCATATTATGTAAATAATGTTCTCAATTTGTCGAAAATTTTTTTTTTTGCAAAACTTTGTGTATGCTCGAAATTAAAAGGCAAATAATATAATAAACAATCAACAAAAATACAGGATTTTAGAAGAATCAGATCAAGAATATCATTGAAACATGATGAAAGATTTAAATCATTATCTCTAGCAAATTATTTGTTACAATTTGCAAGCAAACTGCATTTAGATGATAAATTGACATCTTTATTAAACCATAATCATCATCGCTCATAATATGTGAAAGAGTACAGTGCAAAAGACGAAGTGTTTTTTGATAACTGAGTAAAAATATTGTAAAGAGAATTTTTTTCCACAGTTTGTAGTTTCCTGGAACTTATCGCATAGAACAAGCATTGAGATTTACCGTGCCACCTACAGAAATCAATAAAAACATAAAACCTCAACAAAATCACCGACAAGCATGTTGTCTATGCTAAGTCAAAAAAGCGATCGCCATATTTTCCTCCGCTGAATCTCCCATGATCGCCTTCGCTGACAAACCGCTTACGACTTTTTGTTGGCACAGACATCATCAGTTTTGCATCAATAATTTGGAGATCATGACATTTCTTCACAAAATTTTGCAGCTGTGGATATGCCTTCGGAACATCGATACTCAGGTCTGATATTTCTCCATAGACTCTCTTAAATCCATGCACGAGCTGGTCTGCAGTAACAACGACAGTATCAGCGAGTCTTTTGAAAAGGTGGACCATCATATTTGCAGAGCGTTCATTGCTTAACTCAATCAACATAATGATAGCCTCGTAAACGACCTCGTGATTAAAATGAGGGACATCGAGGTCCGTTATGCAACGTATTGCTTCCTCGGAATCACCAGATGACAAATATTCTTTCAACAACAGATTAATTTTCTTTTTGAGTAAAATCATGGGTTGGTTTCCACCTCCGACTCCCCAAATGTGACTCAAATTATAATGCGGAATACTCAAGAGCAAACGCGCTTCTTTTGCGCAAGACTTTCCGTATTCATCATCATTCAGAGAAGCAGCTTCAATAATTCGGCTCAAAATTTTCTCTTCGATTATCTTTTCTGAAATTGCACGAGCCAGAAATCTTCCAAGTACTTTTGCTGCATCAGGAGTATCGAGTACCAGCTCAGGTAAACTATCACAAAGATCTAAGAATGCATGACTCAAATCTTCGGCGTTTGCATAATATATTATCTTGGAAGCATTTTCTCCGCTGTCATTTTTTGATGACAATGGTGCGACTAATCTTTTCAACAACAGAGATGCCAGCTCTCGGAATTCATTCTTCTTCTCCATAGCGAGTGTTATCAACACCACAATCACCATGTATTTGCGATCGGATACATTAAGACCTTCAACCGATTCATGGACTTCATCCTGCTGTCCATGTTCAAAATATTCTTTGATAATTGGTTGTAAAGTCTTTATAATTTCATCTTCACTCCACACTGGTGTGACAGGCTTGTACATAATATCGTTGTCTTGCTCTTCTGAATCATAATTTGGATCTTTATTATCCATAACACCGTCAGTTAATAATTCCTCGCCGGGTCGGCCCCATGTTCCTTTGCCCCCTCCACCACCTTTCTTTGGCAATCCCCTGCCATAAATTGTGCGGGATTTACGATCACCGATTTTTCCTGCACGTTTTACTGCGCCGTTTGACACTCCATTACCATTTCCAGACTCAGAGTGTCTGCTATTCTGGCTATTTGATGAATCTTTGCGCGTACGTCTCTTTTCTTTAGCTTTTGCCGCTTCAGCGTCCATTTTTACTTCCACTTTGGCATCACCACTGCCTTCTTTTTTATCGGTATCCATTCTTCCCTTTGTACTTTACTTTACAATACCAAATACCGACCCAACAAACACAGCCAAGCTTTTACAGTTTTAATTTGTCCTGCAAATCTGTTTTCATGAATCGTTCGATAACCTCCGTTCACTTTGCACAGCAGATCAACAACTTTGCAGACACTCGCGCTGTGCGTGCACACTCCGTCGTAAACAATCGTTTAGAATAGAAAATGGGTATGACATGCGGAAATTGACATTTTCTATGAATTTATATTTCTGTCCTTTTTGAAATTACACATAAAAATATCTGTACAAAGTTGTATTTGAGGTTATACTGGTTTTAGACGCAATAAATTATAATTTTAATGACAAAAGATACAGACAAAAAATAAATTTAACAATACTGCCACAGGAAATGAATATAATTACAAGTATGACATTAAAGTTGGTTTTGTGTAGCTACAAATGTCTTTATTGTTATTCCCAATTCAATAATATCGATCAATCTGGAAAGATTGACTTTTCCAGTTTTTTTTTTATATTCTTCATGTTTGCATTTGTCTAGAGAGAGCCGTATAAATAAAATTGCAATGATCGTATTTGCTCAAAATTGCAATCACTAAATAAATGTCGTGCTCCATCCTGTCCATACCACAGCAATTTTATTTCTGTTTTATTTTTTTCACTGTATGTATTTTGGTTGATGAAATAACAAATATATCTCTCTGTTAGACTCCATCTTATAATGAGTTTTAAATAATTTCCCGGATTTCATCAATTCTGTTTTCTTAATACTCGTAAACACACACGTAGCCACCATGGCGTGATGTGATGTCATAATCAAATACCGAACCACGTGTTCTGTGACGCCATTCATAAGGAAGTATACAGATTTAGTTTCTGTGGTTTGCGTAGATTTATAGAGACTAGTTTTCATTATGCCAAGTGACTAACAAAGCTAAAATAGATTGACGTAGTAATGGCGGGAATCGCTCTCGAGGTTTCGCCAGCAAACGCTCCCCAACCTTTAAAGAAAAAGCGATTTCTCCAACATCACAAAAATGGAGTTTTGAGTCAAAACGCATTGGCCGCTGTTCGTCGTTCACTCCCCATATTTTCTGCCAGAGACAGACTTATTCAAGAGTTGAAAAAGTCTCCAACAGTGATTGTGATCGGTGAAACTGCTAGTGGAAAAACTACACAAATTCCTCAATTTTTGTTAAAAGCTGGCCTGGGCAAAACTGGCTGCATCGCATGTACCCAACCAAGAAGGGTAGCAGCGATTACTATTGCTCAAAGGTATATACATTTGGCTCATGTTATTTTAGTATATTCAATACAAAATATTGTCATAACTTCAAATGTCTGAATGTAAAATGAATAACTATCAAACCACATATTTATGTTTTGATTTGCAATTGTATTTGTGCAATTTGACATACAATAAAATTATATATTTTAGATTACTCCATTTTCTACAATTTATTCATCTATATAAATCATGTTTGCGCAATATTTTATTTTAAATAACTAGACTATAATCATTTCGAGAATTTGGTATTTCATGGTCAAGACTTCTAACGGTGTAAATAGAATATCAATCAAAATAATGTTTTTGTCAACATTTCTGCGTTATCAATCTCCTGATCTCCATTAATTTACAGTGCTTTATTCATATTTGTTGTTCAGTATGACCCAATTTTAACATAAACTCTGTATTCTATATTCGAAAATGTTATTCCAGAATGTATTCAAAACTGTAATTTCTATTTTTAAAATTTGACACAATTCAGGATTCAAATTAAAATAAATATACCAATATTACCAAGTAAATTGGGCATTCTTGCTGTTAGTATGCTTGCCCCTCTATGACTTATCTCAATCCCCAAATGTTATCTTCAACTGTTTAGCCAGTCCCCTTAATTACTTGCTTCTAAGTGGTTCTTAATCTGTTTGTGTATTTTGGAACCTTAGTGTTTGTTCTCTGGGTTTGGCAAAATACTAATCACTCTACAGTTTGAATCAATTGGTTTTATTTTTTTTATGTGACATAAGTGCTGGTTATGTATGGCACAACTTTGAACAGGGTGTCCATAAAGTTTTGAGATATTTTAAAGGAAATTTATTGATACCATATATCGTTTTAGTCTTCACACATGTATTAAATGAAGTGAAAATACTTCAACAATTACTGATTAAAAAAAAAAACTGGTAAAGATATATTGAGAACTGTCTTCATAGCAAAATGGAAATTGTAAAGGGAATTTATGGACACCCTGTATATATTTTACATTTACATACACATATTATTCATACACATTTTTGTAATTTTATTTTTAGGGTATCAGCTGAGTTGAATGTCAAGTTGGGTGAAGAAGTCGGTTACTGCGTCAGATTTGAAGATTGTACAAATGAGAAAACAAGAATAAAATACATGACAGACGGTATATTCATTTTCAATTTTTAGCCTCCCTGTTGAAACGTTGACGTTCCTCCACCTGTAAAATATCATACTTTGTTGTGCTTCTGGTAACCATGGACATAGGTCATTTTTTGTGAAAAAATAAATTTCCTGAAATGGTGCTTGAACTGTTGACTTTAATTTTTAAAACGATTTCCAAAATAAAAAAAATTTTCAACTATTGCTTACACAGGAATGTTGCTGAGAGAGTCACTTGGAGACAGTTTATTGTCAAGGTATTCATCCATTCTGTTAGATGAAGCTCATGAAAGAACTGTTCATACTGATGTGTTGTTTGGAATCGTAAAAGATGCACAGAAGTCTAGAAAAGAGAAAGGTTTGCCAAGGTAGGTTATTTTATGTTTTTACTAATTTTTGAATAATATATGTCTCAACGCTAATAAATTGCGAATATTTGCCAAAAATTCAGATTTTTATTGTTTATATTATATTTTTGACCCCTGTTTATTTAAAAGGGGGTTTAGTTTAGTTAAATTAATGATTTGTGACTACTGACTATCATTCTTTTATTTATCTTTCAATCAAGTATATTTCTGCATTATTTCTTGTAAATGGAAAAACTCAAATTTTCAAGATTTTGTTTCATCTATTTCATGGGAATGTTTTTATAATGAATTCTACATTTTGCAGCATTCCTGTAGTGTGTGTACCAGGTTAGGATTAGGCCATAATTTTATTTCAATTTTCCTAATTTTAGTTCTATTACGAGTCGGCGACTGTGTTAGCCAAGTGAATATACCATACCCCCTGCCCATAGGTTTCAGTCCCTTTATACAACTTCATGTAAAGTAGGTGAACAAAATTAGTTACCTTCATATCGGTACACACACTCTGGAGCGCCAATATTTTCAGTGAAGTTTGCTGAGCTAACCTCGGATCTTACTGGTAGTATAGCTGAGCCTTGCTTTCCTGCATTGCATTATATTATAGTATTTTATTTTCCTTATGTAAATACAGCCTCCGTATCATAATCATGTCTGCTACCATGGACGTAGATCATTTTTCAAAATATTTCAACAAATCACCTGTACTCTACCTCGAAGGACGGTTACATAAAATCGATATTTTATACACAGAAGAAAAACAATCGGACTACCTCGGAGCAACATTAGTTACTATATTTCAGGTGATAATTTTGCGTCATTGACTATTGGTAGACTCTTTTAAATTGCAAATGATAATTTGATCATTTATCTTTTGAGTGATCAAAGAATTGAAATCGCTGTATAGTCTGCAAAATCTGAACGGCATGTAGAAATCTGTAGAACCCCAAAGTATTCAGACCAATTTCCCTTTATCAATGGCAACATAGTCAGAGTCAGGGCTGTGCAGTTCTTACTGGAGATATACGATAAGTAAAAGCCGAAGTCATTATTACAGACTACTCGATATCTGGAGTTGGAGACCAGGGTCGTACTCGTAGCCAGGAATTTTCACATGGGATGGTTCTGAAATTCCAGTTGCCAAGTTAGATCTCATCATCTTAAAAATATGGTTTTTTAAGAGTCTTCAAGGGTCTATAAAGCTACGAAAATTTACAAAAAAAAGTTTTTTTTTTTTTTACATTTTAGAACTGTAACATTGGCCTTTCTATAAAACTTGATTAGGATGATTTGTAACATTTCTAATAACAGATCCATCAAGAATCAAATCCTCAAGAAGACATTCTGGTGTTTTTAACTGGACAAGAGGAAATTGAGTCGATGTGTCGAACAATAAAAGATTTATCGATTTCACTTCCTTCAAACCTTCCAAAGTTACTCATCTATCCACTCTATGCATCCCTTCCTAAACATCAACAACTGAAAGCATTTCATGCGACGCCTCAAGGTGCAAGAAAAATTGTTCTTGCCACGAATATTGCTGAAACGTCTGTCACTATAAAAGCAAGTTATATTTACATTTTTTTTATTTTTCTTATCCTGAATTGATGATATAATGATTCAGAATTAGATATAATTAATTACTAATTGTAGTTTATTTGTAATATTATATTATTCGCCGATGCAACAACATAGAAGCCCTCTCATCAACCCAAATTATAGTGATGCTATCAGTTTTAAATTGGGAAACATTTGTAGTGCCAATTGATTGACTTTAATTTTTTTAGTGAATCAAACTTTCTTTTTATATTTATTCATATTTGAATGATATTTTTAAAATCTGTGTCAATTAATTGATATTTCAATGTCAAACCTTTCAACAAAAATCCTCAGGATTTTAACAAAGGCATGCACATGGTATATCCATCTCATATATTGTGTACTATACATGGAACCGTCATGGTACAAATAAATTACAGTATAGAAGACAAACACAAAGGACAGAAATTCTGGAAAGTCTGGAAAATCTCAAATGAGGTTTAACATCATAAGACATGAAAGTGAAAGTACTTCACAGGCAATCTCACTTGTCTAATATGTGACAAACGTTCTCATATACTTTAAACAAATACCATTTTCTTCCAGGGTATCAAATATGTGATTGATACTGGAAGAGTGAAAGCAAAGTCTTTTCTTCCGTCAACGGGATTGGATATTCTTGCAGTTCAGAAAATATCAAAAGCACAAGCTTGGCAAAGAGCAGGGCGGGCTGGAAGGTAAATTATGAATTTGACTTTAGAAATAGTCGACTTTTCCTATAGTAATTGATTGTTTTTTTATATTACCTCTTCCATGGAGCAATAGTTCAAATGCAGTGTACTGCTGAAGTTTCTGGTATCTTTGGGTTGGCTCCAGCTTCATCTGATATGGTAAGCTTCAGCAAAACGTCACTGCTCCAAGCTGGCTCCCCATCCCTGCCTGTATCCACACTGCTGAAATACTATCAAGAAAAATTGTTATACTTGACAAATTTTTAATGTGATGTGTATTTTTTGTAAACATGTATATGTGAATACATTGATTATATTTAGGGTTACTCACATAATATGTGTACCAGGTAAGGGTTAGTCCATAGTTTTATTACGATTTTCCTAATTTTAGTTCTTTCACAAGTTCGATGACTGTCTCTGTTAGCCAAGTGAATATACCCCTGCCCATAGACTTCCGTCCCCTTACACAACTTGATGTAAAGTAGGCGAACCAAATTAGTTACCTCCATATTGGTGCACACACTTCTGGAGCACCTATTTGGGATATTAAGCAATAAAAAATCAGAACATCCGTCCTATTTTAGTTTTATATACAAATAATACAACATCCATTCATAACAGAGAATGTCCTGGGACAGTATATAGATTATATACAGAAGAAGAATACTCAGAAATGGATGAAATGACCAAACCAGAAATACTTCGTTGCAATTTATCGAGTGTGATTCTTCAACTTATGGCAATCGGAATTACAGATGTACAGACCTTCGATTTTATGGATCCTCCTCCAAAGGTTTGTCCTTCAAATTTTTAACTGTTATCCAGTAGAAGAAAGCAGAAACACCTAGAATTAAGTGCTTCATAAAAAGCTTGGCTGTTATCAAATCGTTCCAATTCTTTTGCAAAATTTTAGCTTTTATGGTTGTGAATTCCCATTCAAAGATGAAAGTAGTTTCTGGAAGGCTATTTTAAATTGTTTCTCAAGTCTTATTTGGCTCGATATTTCACTTGTTTTGAGTATATCCTGTTGAATTGTGTCACCTCCTCTGCCAATCATTCCTTCAAACTCTTTGCATGTAAGGCTCTTTTGAAACTGACCTACTAATTCTTTTTATGGTTTAACATCAGGAGTCTATTGAGGATGCTTTGAATCAACTTCAAATTTTGGGAGCAATCAGTAAAAAATGCGAATATCAACTCACTGATCTTGGATGGAAAATGTCTGTTTTTCCGCTCGATCCGAAATTATCAAGAATTATTTTGGCTTCAACAGCTGCGGATAGAAGGTAAAATAGATACTTTGATTTATTCAAGCATAATTTCATGCAAATGGTTAAATGCATTACCTTTTCTTATTGTTTATAGTGTTTCCCACATTTTTGAATTTTCTGTGCAACAAGTAGACTAAAAATGGTTTATTTCATATCATATTTAATAACAAATACTAGACGTTGTTAATAAGTAAAATTTAATTTTTTTCAGGTGTACTGAGGAGGCAATCAGTCTTGTTGCGCTACTTTCTGTTGACAGTATTCTATATGTTCCACATGGTAAACGAGAAGAAGCTCATGCGGCAAAACAAAAATTTGTCTCTAGCGAAGGCGATCATATCATGTTACTCAACATTTATAACTCATTCAAAAAATACAAAGGAGACGCTGGGTGGTGCTATGACAATTTCATTATCACTCGTAATTTAAATATGGCGGGAAACATAAGACGTCAGTTACGAGATCTGTGTATTAAAGCTGGGATAAAAGATATTAATTCAAACAGGACTGACATGGCACAGCTACGAAAAAGCGTGGCATCTGGGATGTTTGTAAATGCCGCGGAACTACAACATGACGGGACTTATAAGGCGCTGTCCACTGGGCAAACAGTTCAAATCCATCCTTCGTCTTGTCTTTTTCGTTGCAAACCAGCTTACGTGATTTATAATGAATTAATTTATACTTCGAAATGTTATATCAGAGATTTATGTGTTATTGATCCAGAATGGTTGTTTGACGCGGCACCGGAGTATTTTCGTAGAAGATTAAAAATAGAATAGGGATGGCCAACTTTTCGCGTTATCTCAAAAATGCTGTGTCACACGCTCGTCCTTTATCTCCATGTTGCATGAGTTAGGATAGATATATATTATGGTGAAAATGGTTGAAGTTAAGTATGTGGAGTGAAATCATGATATGTTCAGGTATGATATGATACTTGGCAAAAGGTCAAAGCAGGGGTGTACAACCTTCAATACCTGAGGGCCTGATACAAATACCTGGGTGAAGCCGCGGGCCTCGTAGGCTTTCTAGTAGTAAAAAGCATTGTAACATCATAGGCATAGATAATGAATTTGTGACGCAAAGGGATTAGAATTACCCACATGTACCAGATTAAAGTAAATTCATTGCGCGGTCTGCGCATTCAAAACTGCCAAGTGGGCAACATGTTGCACGCTCCCCCAATGTAAAGTATTCATTTGAAGTACGATACATAAAATGTGTACATTTTTGAGACACGCATCTTCTTTTATTAATATTTGCGCTCTTGTTTTGAGCTGTTCTTGGATTGTGCTTAATGATAATCATATTTCATTGTTTTTCTATGTTTATTAAAGCCAAGTATGTTTGCAAAGGTACACTAACATTCGACATTGAAAAATATTGATCGAAACATGTATTGTATATAAATAATATTTTTGTTGGATTTGTACAAATTATGTATTTACTTCTTTTACTGATAAAAATAATGCCAATCAATTTTTTTATTTTTACTTCTGTTTATAAAGCTCACACACACTCAAATAATATGTCAAACTTTTCCGTAGATTTTTAAAATAATTTATAAATCTATTACATCATAATGGCACAAATAAACGAGAGCCCAGATCCGATTCAAGAAGATGATAATGGTTTGGATGAAGATGACTTCGATAATGTAGGTTTATGTCATAGAGTTTGTTACAATATTTTTAGATTTATCCAATTTTTAGCACCGTAATTTTGGTTAGTACTTATTGTTATGTTCTGCTAACACCAGTTGTGCTTTATTTATTATCAACTGAATTTCCTTTGTTGTCATTTTTTGTACTATGGTGAGGTTCAAAATAAATTGTCTATTTATCAAATGTATTTTATCTAGACTGTGACCATCTTGATTAGAAACAAGTGAAAAAGAATCATAAGTTTATTAGGAAATCCTGAAATATGCGCACCAAAATGGCGCACTGCCTGAACTCAGGTTGTGTACCAGATTAGGGTTCAGGTTATGCGACATCTTGGTGCGCATACTTCAGGAGTACCGTCTATTGTTAGTCATGGCCACAGAAATTTATAAAAATTGTTAATTTTTTTTATTTTTCATGAAGTACCTAGCAACACATCCAGCATTTATGGACAAGGATCCAACTCCAGAAATGATTGAAAATAGTCCTTTACTTCAGGTATGATCAATCAATATTGATGTATTAACGTAATTATTGTTATATATAGGCGCTGTGTACCAATATGGAGGTAACTAATTTTGTTCGCTTAGTTTACGTCAAGTTGTCAAGGGACTGAAACCTGTGGGCAGGGGCTATATTCACTTGGCTAACACAGAGAGTTCCCGAACTCGTAATAGAACTAAAATAGGAAAATCGAAATAAAATTATGGTCTAACCTGGTAAACAAACTACTGGAGTACCGTTATATATACAGGATGACCTTAAAAACAAAGCCCAAAGGCCTGTTATTTGTAATAAAATGAAGAAAATTTATTCAACACTTAGAACTGCTGTTTGCGTGTGATTGTACCCAAAAATTTCAATAATCAATGACACTTTGCACAAAAGTTATGCTCCAAGTGACACGAGTTTCGTTTTCAAATCCTAAAAATTGATGTCTAATCAATTCATTCAATTGAACTTGTGACTCGCAAGTTGTGACAACTGAGAAGGATGAAAAAAAAATTGGGCATTTTGATATATGTATAATCACTTACTAAAAAGGTCTTATATCATTAATTACCGATGCAAACTTGTTAATTAAATATTGGCTACCTGTTCTCGGCTGAACCCTGTCAAATTTGTTAGTTCAGAATAAATTGACTATCTTACACATAACTGCTTTTTCCAGTTGTTTATTGAGATATAACTAATGTTTTATTAATTTTTACCAGGGTTTACAGCAACTAAAATACGAAGATGATGATGACACTCCTGAAACTCAGGCTCTTGCTTATAAAGAAGATGGAAATTGGCATTTCAAGAAAAAATTATATGCCCAAGCAGTCAGGTGATTAAATTATCATTGGCAATTTTTGAGATGGACCATGATGGCTGTGGTGCCGCAGTTTGGCATATTTTCATTTTGTTATACATGAATGTAACTCTGATAATTGAAGTCGAAATTTTTACGGAAACTCAAAAAAGTAGATCAAGTATTCTCAACAGTCAAAAGAGACTTAGAAACACTTGTTATACATGAGAATAAATAAATTAAAAGTCAAGTAAGAGTAAAATGTTTGTGATATTATTGTTCAAATTATCAAACTAGGCAACAATCTCATCCCTATGATGTGCTGCCTCTTTGGCCCCCTGTATACACACCTGTTTAACACATATACATTTTACTTACTGAATACTTGCATAGACCATGCTAAAGATGATGTTATGTAGGATTCCTCATGAATTATCTTTTCTTCCAGGGCTTATACCGTGGCTTTAAGAAAGCAATGTTCTGATAACACTCTGAACTCTACTCTTTATTCTAATCGAGCTGCAGCAAATTATTATTTGAAGAACTATCGGTCATCAATTGCTGATTCAATCAAGTAGGTTATTGTTTTCAATCTCTAAACTGATCGTACTATAGTAATGGCTCTGTGTCTAGGATTATGGCAGGATACTAATTTGATATATAACTCGCGGCTTCATTGCAAAAATTGTGAATTCCATTGACAGTAGGAACTAACTTTGCAATCTTCTATGTGACCAACAGCCACATTTATCTTCTTGCAAGCAAATTTATCACTGATTCAGTTTCAATTTACTCCCAGTTGGTACCCCTTGTTCCAAGCTTTTTTTTTTCAATTACAATCTCAAATTTTGTTTTTGACTTGATACTTATGAGAGTTGTTATTACAATTGGACACCAAATTTTTTGCAGAGCGTTAAATATTGAACCAACAAAAATCAAGTCACTTCTGAGAGGTGCTCTGTGTTGCGAAGCGCTGGAAAAACATGATGAGACTATTCGGTGGGCGAAAAAGATTGTATCGATTGATGAAGACCACAAACAAGCTAAAGAATTGTTAGAAAGTGCACAAAAGAAATTTAAAATTGCTGAAAGGGATCGCAGAAAACGTGAAACGCAAGAAAGAATGAAACAGAAAAAAATGAAAGCCCTCATTGATGCGATAAAAAACCGCAAAATCAAGTTGGATTTGAGCGACTTAAAACCTGAAAAAAATGAACTGCTATCTGAGGAAGATTCGTTAACATTATCAAGCGTCGATACCAGCAATCCTTCACACGCAAAAGTTCATTTTGAAGACGAATCATTAGATTGTTTAGCGGAAAAAGGCAGGCTAATATGGCCTGTATTGTTTTGTTATCCAGAATACCAAGTTTCTGAAATTGTTGAACAATTTCACGAAGATGCAACATTTGATGATCATTTGGATATTATGTTTGATGACCCACCACCCTGGGATACGCATAATTGTTATAAAGTCGGAAGCCTGGAAATTTATTATGAAAATAATGAAGGGAAATCGATTCGCAGGGTTTCTTCAAACTGCACTTTGGGTGATGTCTTGACTTCTGAAAATATAATAGTAAAAGCTGGTACTCCAGTGTTCATTATATTGTCAAAGACTTCCACATTTAAAGATGTATTTTTGTCAAAATATCGTACAAGATGAATTTTTATGAAGCTTCTTAGTTTTCTACTGCCCATGCATGCGGTGCTCCAGAAGTGTATGTACCAATATGGAGGTCACTAATTTTGTTCGCCTACTTTACAACATCAAGTTGTGTAAAGGGACTGGAACCTATTGGCAGTGGGTATATTCACTTGGCTAGCACAAACAGTCCCGAACTCGTAATAGAAATATAAGAAATGATAACAAAAATCGAGATAAAATTATCGCCTAACTTGGTACACATACTACAATAGTTAAGTGGTAGACCGCCAATGCTGCTTCGTCTCATAATATTGTTTGATTGATTTATCAATTTAAAAAAATATCACTGACATAAAATCATCTGAAATGTTTTGTGCAATAATGAAACACCTATTCGCCTAAAATTTGGGAAGATATTATTGTGAAAATAAGACTCATGTTTTGGGACTTTGCTCGCAAATGCTGCCTTATTATACTGTATGACAACTTAAGCTAAATAAATAAAACAAACCTTTAAACAAAAAGTTTCAAATTTATCCAAATCGTGGTGGAACTAAAATCACTAGATGAAAAAATATTTCTGCATATCTGTTTGTGGATTTGATCGGATGCGGCGAGATTGGTTACACTTGACCAGAGGCGGGCAAGCATTGAGTCCCAAATTTGTAAGTTCAATGAAAATTTAAATGACAATTCTGTCAGATTCATGTCGCTCCCGCTAACATTTCTATTTCTATTTGCTCCCATTAAGAAAAACTGTCCTTGAACGGAAATTTTTACCGTGGGGTCCAAGATGATTTTTGAGCTAAAACACAGCACTGGGGATATAGCCCACAGTTTCAAATTCCACTCAAATATTTTGATGGTAGGTGCGTTGCCTACAGCTGCTGCATTAAACGTTTTATATTATTTGCTGAGACATTAATGGTTAAACTTATTACAAAAAATTTTATTGTGTAACATTGACAACAAACCATTGCGGTTATTTAGAAGTCAGAGATTGGAGGTTTGCAAACAGTTAATTCATATGTGCAACCAATAGTTTATAACAGGGTGGTCTAAGGTTGTCGGCTCGCGGGCCAACAAAATTATTTTTGCATTTTTCGCGGGCCACAATAGTTCCACATTCAATATTTAGTTTTCTCTGATTTCTATATTGTTAGCATATATTCCCGACCAGTTAGATAGCCAGATAAAAATTAAGACTGCCAAGCACATCATTCAAATTGCAATTTCGCTAGTTGCCTTAGTCAGCCTTAACACTATTTAATTGAGTGACATTAGTGATGACAGTATGTCAAAAGATTTTTCTGAATAATTTTATGACGAAACAACACGAAATGCGATTTTTCGATTACTCTCCGAAAGTGACGCGGGCCTGGGTTTGGACCACCCTGGTTTATAACATAAAACAGTACTCTGCGTTTATTGTGCCAAAAAAACACAAAAGCAGTTTTCATGGATCTCGATTTGAATCGACCTCATAAAACCAAACAAATAAAATTTAGCTGGAATGAATCTTCGAGGAAAAACGTAAACCACAGGAATGTGCAGCAAACTGAAAAAGCAAGCGAATTATGTTCACGAGGCTGTCATCTATTTGAAGTAGCGCAGCTGGGACCTCCAGAAGTATGTGCACCAAGATGACATACAGCCTGAACATAGTACGTGTACCTGGTTAGGGTTCAGGTTGTGCGCCATCTTGGTGCACATACTTCGGGAGCACCCGCTGCTGATGCAAGTATAATGGTAGCCGACAATATCGCCAAACGCAATAAGTCTCTAGTACCAAACTCCAAGCGTGAATTAATCAGAATGCTATATCAGTGCTCATTAACAAGTACAGCCTTCTGTTATCTTCTGCGGAGTTGAGGTGGCCCACAAGTCGAACAATTGTCCCGCTCTCCGATAGCCTGGACAAAAGAAGCTCGAGAAATTATTAATTCACTTGAAAGTTTCAAATTTGCAAAGTCTCACTGTTAAAACTTACTTTATCCGTTTAGAAGATGTTCATAGTTAAGTCAAAATATCGGGGAAATACCGTATACATTGGAAAAAAATCCTTGAAATACAAAGGTGTCCAAGTTTGGAGTAATGTTATATATCAATCAATTTATACCCAACACTTAGTTGTGAATCAACTCAAAATACCTACGACTGTTCAATTAGTTTCGAGTGTGTAAAACTATTCACTGAACTTCCAAATTCATCTTCTTATTAGAGTTCAAAAGTTTGACCAGACCATTCCTAGTTCTGGTAAGTAAAACCACAGGCAGACGACACTGGTTCAGATTTCGATCTTAGCGCCAGTTTAGGGATCACAAGCCATACTTACATGATGTACAAACCAGAAGTTCTGCATATGACTATTTTGAATAAAACAATCGCATTTTGCAAATTGAAGAGCTAGCTATTTCACACATAAAATATCCCAGTTTCTTCTACATTCCATACAACAAGTTTACTTCGTAGAATTTACTTCTGAAACTATACATATGAATAACATAATACTAGAATTAAATTGCACAAAAAATAGACAAATCAAACAAAGCATCACAAATCAAAAAAACAATGCATTGGGGTAAGACAGGGGGTCAGCTCATAGAGCGAAACTATTCCTCATTTTGTTTTTTAGATTTCAACATTTGCAAAAGTTTATTCCTCTCGGTTTCCGCTTCTTCCAGTGAAATTTCTGTTGGTTGAGGCCCCAGGGTCGTGTAACCGGGACCCATTTTTGATTCCTGTGACCCAGATGAAGTGGAATCATTTGCTGTTTCATCTGGTTGTGGCCTCATAGTCTCTGGATCAACTTGCATTGCTTCAGTCAAGCTGGGATGGATTTCATCTTGCAACTGAAAAGCAAAAAAATTATATTAACCAGACTTTCAGTGCATATTCATAAACTGGGTGTAAAAGTACATTCCAGCCAGAGAGTAAAAGAGTTATTCAATAACATTCATTTTTACAGCTGTTTCACTTTTATGGCTAAATTTACCCTCAGGCTAATGAGACGCCTTTCATGAACGAAGGAATTCAGAAATAATCCTTGGAAGATCAAAACTTGTATACCTATAAAGTTGTCATAGTCCTGTAGTATTTCAATCGAGGAAAAAAGCTGTCAATATTTGGATTAAAAAGGTTAAACTTTATATGACATCCACAGAAACTTTATCATCACTATATTCTGATAGAGAACATACCACCGAAGCACCAGTAATATCATCCTGACTGTCCATTTGTTCCTCTTCGGTCAATGTTTCATTTTGTTCCTCAGCATTTGATGCTTCCGAACGACGTTTTTCTATTATTTCAATAGTTCTGACAATACCAGGACCTACAGCATAGTGACCATCAGGTTCCTTACACAATTCAATCTTGTCAGTTATTTGATTATAACGAAAAACATGACCTGTAATGTTACATACGGTAAATAGTAAGCTTGTAAAAAAGACAAAATCACTAAACTTGCAGGCTTTCGATAGTAATAGAAGACAGTATCCATGACAACCACTACTTTGCATTATATCCTTTTACCAATTGAATGATGTAAATTTTTGGTTAGGCCATAATTTTGTTCCGATTTTTCTTATTTCAATTTTATTACGAGTTAGGGGACTGTCTGTGTTAGCCAAATGAATATACCATAGGTTTCAGTCCCTTTACACAACTTGATGTAAAATAGGCAAACAAAATTACCTCCATATTGGTAAACAGTACACACTTCTGGAGCGCCTAATTTTGCATCAATAAAGTTAGGAAGTCAAAAAATATATCTTGTACCAAACCCATTCAAATTTACCTCAAAACATCAAAGAAACAAGCTAACCTTAGAAAAAATTCCATGTGAAACAATATGACAATAACTGACATTTTAGCTGAGGTGATATATTTTAATCATACCTGGCAAAAGTGGTAGTTTGCAGTGCTTTTCATGGAAGAGCCCGATATCTCGACCAAACTGTTCATAAAACGCTCCACCAGGTTGAAATAATTCAGGATGATTCACGGAATAATCCCATACACTTTCTTTCCCAGTCATTTCGGCCATTTTGGAAACAGCTGAAAGAGCTGTATCAATACTTGCACTTGTCATAGTTGTATATCTGTGAAATAATGTAGTAACCAGTATTTGGACTGGTGTTGCAAATCATATTACAGAACCTCAATGGTAAATTTTTATCCTAATTTTGCATAAATAAATTGTCATATATACCATAAATCCAGAACTCCACCAATATCACAAAATTTCTTCCGAAAAACACAGCAATAATTTGCTTGAAAAGAATAATAAAAATTCCACTACCTTGGTGATTGTTGATTTTTTGTTGATTGTAGCAAATGAACAAAAGTATGCAAAGTATCTTGATCTTGTGTGTCATCCCTTGCATCAGTTTTAATGGCATCCCTCAACAACCCTCTACGCCTAGGAATGCTAGGCATTTCATTATTGTCCGTTTCAGAAGTTTTATTTTCTCGTTTTATTTCAACCGTAACTCTGTCTCCGTTTCTCAATCCAAGAGGTACTTTACCCTTCACAGGTTCGAGCAGTTTCGGAGGAAATCCAAGTTTTAATATTTGCCTGTCAAAATATATTCACTAGATTGATACCTATGTCAGCATCGAATTTCCTTCCACATGAATAGCTTTACAGAAATAAGGGCGCTCCAGAAGTGTGTTTACCAATATGGAAGTAACCAATTTTGTTCGCCTACTTACTTTGCATCAAGTTGTGTAAAGGGACTGAAATCTTGGCTAACAGGGGGTATACAGAAAAGTCATTATACGCTGAAATATATGGCTCTTTTAATGAGAGCGTAATCGCAGCAAATGTTTCAGGAGGGAAATGGAAATTTGATTTTGAAATTCGCCCCCAAGCCCCCCGCCTAACTTTTTGAAAAGTCAGACTGCGACCCTGTGTAGTATAAAAAAATTCTGTGCACAATTATCACAGGTATTAATTATATCATTAATCTTAAATACCTCTGAAATACTCAAACTCAACTATTCAAATATGAACACATCACAGTTGTAAACATTAGAAAATCAATGAGATCTTGGTAAAAAGTAGTTAGATTCAGACACAATTATTTCACTAACCTTGACAAAGAAATTCCAAAGTATTTTTGCACAGTGTTTTGCAGGTCAGTATAATCCATGTCAGAATCTATTGCTAGAGTTTCTTGTCTTCCATCAGAAGTTGAAATCCGAATTTTAATTGTTCCATCATCTGTGTGACCTGAAATCAACATGCTATCTTTTACATAAGGAAAAAAAATGACGGTTTGTTCCGAATATAATCAGCAAACCAGATTTGAACCAGCAAATAGTATTAAGTCGAAACTGGTAGTATATTACTTTAGTTTTCTTCAATCGGAGCAATAATTAAACTCTCCCATATTTTGACTGATTTGTCTTTACCCTCGTAATGCTGTTACATCATAAATACCAGTGTATCGAAACTACAAAATAATTTGTCCCAAGTTTGATGAAGAAAAAACAGGACAGTGACTGGTCAGAATATTGATGATCACAATAGGTCAGTTCCGCCAAATGAAGGCCTTGGATTTTTGATGTAGAAATATTCGAAGTATTCAAGAGATATATGTATGTACAATCCAATGGCTAGAATACCGTTTTCAATATTTTAAAAGATACATATTCATATAAAGTATAATTCATAACTATGTCAGTAATTCTGGAGAAATTCTGAGTAAAAGACGTATCAAAATAACATTGAAAGACTTTTTCCTGACCTGTTCTTTTCTGTTGTGAATCAACATCCGCTACTTTTCCAGATTTTGTGTCAGGTTTTATTTTTACAGTTAATGATGGCTCATCCAGGTGGAATATCTTCGGTGAATTCTCACAAAGTTTTGTTGACGTACTACCTAGCTTTGTTTTATTTTGTTGTATTTTTGTTTTGTTACGACTTGTCTTCAAAAAACTTGATGCTTCATTAGAAGAGGATTGATCAGCAGAAAAAATTCCGTCATTCAGTCCATATTGTGAGAGATTTGTTTCTAAAGATTCTAGAATTCCGTTTGTAATAGCATGGAAGTTTGGCTCTTCAATGCTACAATACTTCTCAGCAATATCCTTTGCAATTTTTGTTTTATCAGAATTTAGAGAAGAATCAACCTCACCAAAGAACCATGTAACCTGTAAAGACAAGTAAAATAAAATTCAATCATTATCAAAAGAGTTTAGGTTTATAAATTACAATTATAAATAAGATATTGCTAAATTTTAAATAGCAAACGAATTCACACAATTGTTGGTTCAATAGCGCACAATGACACAAATGTATTTCTGTAACATTTTGTCTGACCAGAATACAATCGCTATTTTCATCGTAGTTGAATTACTTTTGTCTACGGGAGTCCAATTTTGGTCAAATGTAACAATACAGAAATACATTTGTTTCAGCACGCAGCCGACTTTCGAATATTTAGAATAGCATCCAATGATATATCCTTTTTTTTCAAAAGGACTTTTTTTGTTGCTCTGCATTGACTAATCAGCATGTGTAATCTGTAACGCCAACATTGATATGACTAACAAGTAACAATCCTCCTCCAGGATCCTTAATAATTTTATCATTATTTGTATGAAAACAAAAGTTTTAACCTTTTCTTCAATAGTTTTTCCTTGTATAGTTAAACGCAGCATAAATTGTTTAGGAATATTTTCATATTCCTTTCCTTCCCAATAATGTTTGAAGCCACAGCATTGTCCTGGTACTTCAGCCGTGGTGGGCGTGGGATCCCCATTTTCAAACATTACACTTCCAAGATTATTCACTCGTCTCAATCTCTTGACTCCACACCAACAACAAGGGAATTGATAAGGTACTAAACTAAAATAAGAAATCTGAAAGGTTAGTTTGATGTAGGGTATTCTAGATGGGTTAGTATAATACTTATTATATGATGTATTGATACTAAAGCTGGGAATGGTTAACCGGTTAGTTAGTTAACCGATTTTAGATGGTTAACAGTTACGATTTATTTTAACCGTTAATTGACATCTCATGTATAAATCATCATTATGATGTACAATTTCTTCAAAAATGATTATGTCATCGCAAATTTATCTCCTGTGGAGTTTAATTCAAAAGATTATCCTGAACTGTATCGGTAAGGACCCAATAAATGTGAAAAACGAGAATATCGGTTGGAAACAGAAGACTTATCGATCGATAGTTAGGGGATCCCCCAAAACAGAAACTGCAGTTTCGATTCATCCGCTCTTGTAAATTGCGCACTGCGCATCGCACACACAAACTCGGCGGGTCTCAAAATTCTCTCGCTTTACAAAAATCTAGATCACTATATCAATAATTGATTGATAACTCGCTAATTATACGACATAATTCGCCCAAAATCAATAGGCTTCTGGTCCGAGATAAGATGAAAGCACATGCAAAATCTGGAGCAGATTCAATCTCGCTTTCGTGAGATATGGCGTGCATCTAACAGACATACAGACAAATACCTATCAACTCCGATTAAAATCGATAAGTAATAATTGAAATACCAAGATTGCTGATTATGAAAACTTGACAATGATAAATTCAGTTTTCGGGTCAAAATATATTGTTCAGGATTTTATTGCAAAATCGTACGTTCAATGTCACCTAACAAGTGCTCAGTTGATGCTGTCTTTCAATATAATATATTCCTGAGTAGAATTTGCATGCCGAACACTGAAAATTTGTCACATAAATGACATTTAATACCGGATTCGGGTTTTACTAAAATACTTTCATATGTTCGAAGCACGCTGCATATCTCTTGCAGCAGAGCGATCATGAAACTATCTCCGTTTGTTGATAATTTTGAGCAATACCAGGATAAGACCACCCAAAATTGCTTTGTAACCATTGTGACGTAACAAGCTAAAATTATAAATTATTACGTCAAACATCACGCTGCGGTCAACCGGGTAATTTTACCCGATTAACAGTTTTTAAAGCGTTTTTCCTAAAATTCCCAGCCCTAATTGATACGACTTTTGCAAATTGGACAATGCTCTCCACAATTGGCCATTGTTAGGTTAAGGAACAACTATAGTTTGAAAAGACAGAGATCTCTTCGGTTCGGTATTGCATACCCAATTTACTACACTCTGGGTGAGATGGGGGTCATGAGATTTTAATTCAGGATTTTAACCTGCAATGCCATCATAGTTAGGTATGATACAAGTAATGGGTATTCAACAATAACTGATGAGCTTATGTAACTGAGCTTATTAAAATTATAAATCACTTACCAGTCTTTTAAAGCATCATATCTACACAATAGTTCAGCCATTGGAAAATTGTAAGTGACATTCTCACGAGGTTTTCCATGAGTACTTCTCATGACTTCAAATAAATATCCACCCGGTTTCAAACCATCATCGTCTACATTACAGAGACTCAACGCATTACACACCTAAATGAATGAAAACACTTATGCAATAATTTGAGATTTGGAACTCAAGTTGAAGCGCATCAAATCACAAATAAAAAATTGTTCGATGAAATTAAAGAAAATTTGTTCAACACTCGTACTTCTGTTTGTGCATGATTGTACCAAAGGTTTCAGTAATCTGAACGCCTTGGATAAAAAGTTATGTTCGCTTTCTAGAACCTTAAGGAAAATGTATGCGGCCCCCGAAGAAGTGCCAATTTTGAATGGTGTGTGCCTGTGCGGCCCACGGAACGAGTTTTTAATTTAGTTTATTCTTTAACGAGCGAGTAATTCCAATCCTCTTGCGTTGCAAAGCCTATACCTGAGTCCAATTTAATATTTATTCCTATGATGTTACAATGCCCTAATAACTAGCTTTGCGAAGCGAAGAACGCATGTCATAAGATCGATGACCAAAATTTTTGCGCCTTCAATTACAAGAAAGCCTGTGTTAAATTAAGGTGCGACCCGCAGTTTTACCCAGTTATTAGTATCTGGTCCTCCTGTATTAAAGTTTACCCCCTGCTCTAGAATACGTTCCAAACAAAGGACCTAGGTTCTGTTTTTTGTGGTATGTGCCAACCATTGAATCAGAGAAAAACGAAAATTCCATCTTACCAAGCATTGAAAAATTTTATTATTCTGTGATGCATGTTTCGTTCTTTCGATTGCGACATCAGGATGGAGTCCAACAAATCCAACACGTTTGTAAACATAGAAATGCATATCTGATACTAATTTTGCTGTGATGGAATGACTCTCCAGGAATATTTTTTCCATGGCTGACACCAGACGTAGCAAGTAACTAAATAAAACATATAATAGAAAATGAAAATAAATAAAATAAAGAATTTGGGAACATAATTTAAATTTGAGAAAAGATGATTTATTATTACTTGTTTATCAGTGAGAGCTTTTTTCGGAGTGAAGCACCATATATTATGAGGGAGCAATGGCCTTGTGGGTTAGTTCAAAATAAAAACACCTACCCAGTTTGTAGAGGTTTCCCTCCTGCTACTGTTAAACTTCCATCTTCATTGAATGTTAGATACCTTGCACCTTGATTTGTATCGATTCCCCAAATATTGGGCAGTAATGATGAAGGAATAGCCGGTAGCGATCTGCCAGCAACACCAACCAATGGAACAAAGTGATTATGGCTAGCTCCACTCCAAGCTACACATAATGGCAGATTTTCTCGACACTGACTTGGTTCGACTAAAGCAGGCACAAATATTGCAGTATAATCTGCAACATTTTTCATCCCCTGAAAAAAGATAGAATGACAGACAAACGTAAGGCAGGAATTTTGTTGCTCTTAGATAGGAAATACAAAAATACTACATTGTTTTCAGAGAAGTTTTACTAATATTGCCAACGTATATAGTTATATAAACTGTAAATTACAATCTGATCAAACTGCGCTAAAGTGCGAGTTGCCCCCATCGTTTGCTTAACACCACTGCCCAAGTATCTAAAACAGGGGTTCTCAAACAGTGGGCGCGCCCCACAAAAGGAGCGTAGATACTTTTTGAGGAAGCGTAAATCTAATTAAATATAATTGTTAGATTTGACCTTGTTCGCCTTATTTTGGATATTTACGTTTCTTTATTTTTGTAAAATTTACGTTCCATCCACGTTTTCTAACATGTCTTTTGAATAAAACATACTTTCGCCTTACTATCTGTTATTGTTAGCTAGTTAAAAAATGAACGACTTAAAAAGTTTGAGAACCACTGAACTAAAACATTTCCTATATTTAGTCATACTCATGCATGACAATGAATCAAAAAACAATAAATCATATTAAACTACCAACCTCCAATGAATCGAGCAATACAATAGGTCTTTTTAAAACATTAGCAAGAGCAAATATATGAATATTCCCAAGTCCTATGTTGAAACCTTCAGGAGATGTGTGATATGGATCAGCTTCCTCAATGATCATTCGCCAATCATTCTTATCAATGAAATCTTGAAACATAATCTGATGAAATATGATAAAACACAATCATTTGATAAGTAACCATAAAAAAGAACTGTTTATAGCTTGGAAAAAGGGATTTACATAGGTGTGTCTTTATGCTGCAGGAGGGAAAAGTGTTGAGCTGCTTGATGGCGAATTGAATATTAAAATGTTCAAATCATTATTTGAATTACGTTTTTTTGCAAACATTATCCGAAAACACAATAAGATCTGTAGCACACTTGCAAGACGTATAAGCGTACGTTGGACAATTTTGACAGGTGTAGTATAGTCGGGAAAAGTTTACAATGTTCTCTGACAACATATTCAATGATGGAATAAATTTCAATTCAGACACCAGCTTTGAAATTCTGGCAAAATCAAAATTTTTGTAATAAAAACTTTAGAATGTTCAAGCTTTCTTTAATAAACTGTTTGAAACGCTTGGTCAATTTTTTGTGATAACTGTTGAAAATTTACCCACTATTTAATTACGACTAAGATTCCTGACTCAAAATTTAATAAAAACATGTCACACTAGGACAATCAACTAGATCAGATATCTTGCAGTTCACATAAACATAATATATCAAAGTTAATACACAGCACAAGAAAAACCTACTTGATAAGTTTGCAAGTTTTTTTCTAGATGATGTACAAGATTATCACGCAATGCATGCCAAAATATTTCACGTCCTGTCGTAGCTCGAGACAATGCATGAACAAGACAATGTCCATCTCCATCAGCATGAACGGGTATAAGACGTTCCTCTCCTTCGTGATATTCTTTGATAATATCTGGTAAAGTGAAGAATAATTGCTATCCTATATGATAAACTAAATATTAATTTAATTCAACATTATGTAACATATTAAATTTCTGATTTACAGACTTTGCATAGCACAGTGAGAATAATGATAGGCAAGCCGCTAAATCCTGAAGCCAAGCCATAAGTCATCCGAGTCAAATCTAAGTCTCAGCAAATTTCAAAATTTCTGTTTTAAATAATAGCACAAAATTTTTTTTGAGCCTCTCTAACAAATCATCGAGCTAGAGTCTAGCCATCCTATTCCATGTCAGGTTTCACAACTTTTTGATTTATAATCTTTCAAATTTTATATGCTATTTTACGAAGAAAATAATACAAAGCAAAAGACCAAGAACACGCATGTATATTACAATCTTACCTAATAAACCATTCAAATACTCAACACTGCCAGATTGATCCTTCCCATAACCGGTTATATTGATATGTTCTGGTGAGATAAGAAATGCACGATGGCTCAATAATCTTCCACAATCTGCAGTTTCTCCGTGACCAAGTTCAAGTAACAGCTTAGGGCTGCACAGGAATAATTAAGTTATTTATGATGTTGAAATCAGCGAAAACGATGCAGCTTTTGCAACTGATTGATGAGAATTGGAAAAATTTACTGAATATCTTTTGATATAAATAGAGTAATTAAAAAATTCATACAGAATCGTTACTTAAAATGAATACGCTATTAATTTTTTTCTTGTGCATGAGGGAAGCTGAAAAAAAATTTTGAGTGCTGTAGCTGCAACCCTCATAGATATCATCCTTGAGTGAGTGGTATACTGCGGCTAATAATAAATATTGTATGATAAAATTCCCAAGACTTCCCCAGTTCATGGATTATCAATAAAAAAACATATGGGCTGTTTTGGAACCTGACACAAAACAACATACTACAACCAGAAACCCTTGAAAGATATTTGACAATAACAATAATGCATAATACCGTAAATCATGGTGCAATCATTTCAATTTGGCACTCGAGAAACAAACTTGGCTGAACAAGACAAAATCGAAACATACTTTCCAGCTTTATCCATTCCATATCGGGTGAATAGAGGAGACAACAATTTACAGTGATAATTTGATAAACCTCGAACTTTAATAGAATCACTTCCTTTCTTGGGCAATTTTGCATCCCAGACGATCGATTTCAACTGAAGTATAGAAAATTAAATCAGATATGTTCAAAATGAATAAAATATTACACTATTAAGTCGCAAATAAGCTGAGTTTAAAACTAAAAAAAAAGTTAAGGGGCCAAACTAAGGGGCCAGTTAAAGCCAAACTAAGGGGCTATACGCACATAACTCCAATCGCACTCAAACAAAATAACATCATGGTCTTTTAATTCTAACAGCTCCTACTCGAACCATGCTAAGTGCTGACAAAAAGAGTCCGCTTATATGTAAATTTTCATAAATAAACAGTTTTAGGGCCGTTTTTTCGGGGTTGGCTTATATGCGAGATCAGCTTATATGCGAGGATATACAGTAAGATATATTTAAAATAAGTTATATTTCTGAATTGAAAATTGTTGATTTTAGAAATAGGTTGTACAGTATATCTTACTTTCCTGAATATTTGAAATTTTTCAATTTTGGATAGATTTTATGAAATGTTAAAAATCAATTCTGAAAAATTAACATCTGATGTGTAGACTGAAAACAAGTTCATTATATTTTAATGACCATAGAAAAACCAATAAAAACAATGTTTATTTTAACTCATGTTTGAAATTTCCGAAAACATTACTACAGAATGTGTTCGATGAGTAATATATTATTCATTTTATTATTTTTGAATTCACCCATTCATTTTGTGCAGTGATTCAACAAAGATGAACCCTTTGTTATGCACACAATTCAATAATTAAATTCAAAAATTAGTATATTTAATGGGATTTCCATGTAATATGTCAATAAAGCATTTCAAATAGATATTATTAATGAATAAGCTTTGTGTAGGATGAAAATCACTAAATATTACTACCGTCTGTAAGTTAATATATTAAAATATATTCATTAAAATTAAAATAGTCGATAAGTCATTATTCAAATTCCGCCAAGCGTGACTCACCACTTCCGTGAATGCTTCTTCCCCATCTGTCACCTCTATGATGTTGTGAAGGTCAACTTGTGAATGACTTTGGCCACAGTTTGAACATTCTATGACTCTCTTGTGAGCAGGAAAATAAAGTTTGCTCTAAAAAGAAATGAAAATGGATTTTTGAATTCTGAAATCACTATAATGTTGAATATTCACTTAATTGATATAGAAACCATTGTGAGTGAAATATTGTTAGGACAATAAAAGAGACTTCATCGAGAAATATGACCTCTCAGCTATAAGCATTTTCGAATTTTAATTGAATGATTTTCAACTAAGTTGAAGCAACAGCTCGGTTACAGGTAATGAAGGTCATGAATGTTTTTATAAAATAACAATTAGATTTGATAACTGATATTCATAATTTTGAAATAATTCTGGATGAAATGTAACAAATCCAAGATTTAAATTAAATGGTAAATCTAATATATGGAGATTTCAAGTAAATACAGCAAAAATGAATGTCCATAACAAAATTTTAACAGCTGTTCTATGACTAAAAATTTGAAACTAACCTGACATTTTTCATCTGGACAAAATCCAGAATAAACTTTGTAATCCAACGACATTGTCACATATTGATACTGGATATAATTATATAACAATTTACACTAAAAAACATGATTGAGTGAGTGATGATATGCTTTCAAAACATGAACGAATGAAAGACTTAGCAAAGAGTAAAATGGAAATTGGCACCGAGAAGTATAGAGACAAGTAACAAGAGACATTAGTTAAAACTAAAGTTGTAATTCAGTATGCAATAAATCATTACAAAAAAGGTTCTATTGAGTTATAATTATAATGTTCCAAAAAGAATCAAAAGTTGAAGCATTACTAAATAAGCCTGCTGAAAAAAAAGATACTGTGTAGCTCTTAATGAACTCAGATTTTATTACAATCAACTAGTAAGACGTGAGTCAATATTCATAATGACTTGAGTCTATCCATTGAAAGGACTCAACTTGACTTAGTTATAGAAACCGATTTGACTGTGCAGTGGTTGAATTGACTTATCAGTTCCATGACTCCCGATCTTAAATTTTGAAATTCATTGACTCAAACACACAACTACGTCAAAAATGATGATTATTATTCACCAAAAACAATACTGAATCTTTAATTTATTTGGTCCCCATAACTTATATCCATAATTAACTGCATAACATATAGTCTCCATAACTTGTATCATTACCTACAACCACCAAATCAATCATTCATTCATTATTTTATTTCGTTTATCTCATGGTTTTGCTGATATTAGAGTATCCAATCCCAACACAAGTCATTATCACTTTATCACCGCCCATCCTCCCCCCTTTTTCATCATGATCAAACGTTTTTGTTTCGAGTTTGAACATTACTTGGAAAAAATCTCTTATGTGTCTTAGCAATTCTATTGTGTAGTCCGTTAACGAACCAACCATCAATTTAGAAACATCTTGCTCGCAAAGAACCATGAATAAAGCCGCTAGTCCTTGATTTACAGAGTCCACACATCCTCCGTTGAATATTTCTTCGAGCAAATCGTTTGCAGTTTTTGTGCCTAATTCTTCAGGAATAACAGGTTCACCTTGCCCTTTGGGATTTGATGAATTTTCCACGGCTAAAACAACACCTGTTGTGGTTTCCGCGGTTAGTACGATTCCAAATCCAGGAGATTTCCCAGCAGCATTTCCTTTCAAATGATCAGCGTAAATATAAATATCAGGCAAATAAGTATTTAACACAGACCTTGATGATTCTATAACACGATTTGGAATTTGTGGGGAAACATTTGATGCAAAAGCAGTACCACGTATCCGTTTTATTTTTCCTTGGTCGAAAAACTGAAGGGGTCTTAATTTTCTTGGATTTGGACATTGAAAAAACACTTCACCTCCCCCTTCAGGGGCAAATCCTCGCTTAATAACTTTGAGTTCCAGGTCATCAAGCACTCCGAACATTCGCATGACTGGTAAGCTTGTCAATCTATAAAAATCAACTGTCGGATCAGATGAATCATTGGTTACTCCACGAAACGTCGCTTTAACCCTTTCTTTACAAAATGGTGCAAGGAAGAATATAACCTCTAATAAGTAACTGATGGAACGCTGAGGGTTACAATCATGATCTATCACCCCTCCTATTAACAATCCAGGCCTAAAGATTAAAGTAGTTCCAGTGACATTGATTTTCGTTGTGGTTCCATTTGTAATTTTTTCCAGAAATCTAAGAAGATTAGCTTCGTATTCATTCAAACCAGGACTCTCGCTGTTGTCTCTGATCGAGGAAATACGAACAGGTTTCCCACTAAGAATTGACAGAACCAATCGTTGTCGCAAGTAATTTGCTCCGACATATTCTAACATTTCAAACCAGTTTAGTAGACAGATTGGAAATGTAAATTCTGAAAATAAAAAAAGAGAAAGGAACTCTATTAACCAAGAATACAATGCAGAACTGTCACTGCCATACCACAGAGTTGACATATTATATTACTAGTTAAAAATATTCCTGTCTATCAAAGCAATATATGTTGTATAGTATGATATATATAACAGAGGCTTGCTCTCTGATAAAGCTTACAAAACATTGTAATTTATTACCATTTGGTCATTTTTGATAAGATACGTAATGTACTATCATGTCTTATATTCAGAAATTCTTGGATAGGATATTGGAACAAGTGCCCGAACCCAGACTATGATTAAATTAAACCAATACTTTATGGAACAGAGAATACTTGTCACTTAATAATTTATTTCTAAAGCGAAGAATGTTGTTATATATATATATATATATATATTCCTTTTCTTTCTGTCTTTAGACAGATGCCTACAAAAAATCTTTGATGAAAAAATCTGAATAGACGAATAATGTTTTTCTTGATATACCATACTCGGATATTATAAATAGAGAAAGGCAGTCTTGAAATATTATCGACGTTTACTGTTTTGAATGAACCCTGACATAGTGCAATAGTGCTTGATCACTGCAAAAAAATCAAGGGTCTGGAGCAGGGGTGCACAACTCAAATGAGGAAACACGGCGTACTGCCGTAAGTGCCTAAACAACTCCAAACAACCAAGTGACTGTGTGATGAAAGTAAATGCATCGACTGCTTGAATATGGTCAAACAAAAATGTAATGTGAAAACACAGCCCAAATTTTACGGTTATTTAAAAAAAAAAATCTGTCTCGCACGGTAAGCTACTGGGGTCTAGTATAGTACCACAAGTACTTCCAGTGGTGTAGCATAACGAATTTTGCATATGTTATTCCTAACCCCCACCTGACTACGTCACCAAATAATTACGTCACTAGGACGTCACCATCATGTTATATGGCTTGCCAATATATAATTACAATCGCCCGAAATGGCTTCTGCACCGCCGATAACGAACTCGCTAACGCCGACGATCTCTCTATGGTGATCGTTGTGACGAAAAAACGAGAGAACTTGATTGCTCGATTTCGGGTGATCGTCTGCGCGTTTTGGACGACCATCCTCATACTTTGGTGGGTCTTATTACGCCACTGTGACGTCGAAATGACATAATTTTTGGGTGGCGTAGTCAGGTGAGGGTTAGGATTGACATATGCAAAAATTGTTGAACCAGGCCAACTAGAAGTGCATGTGGTACTAAACTATACCAGACCCAGCTACTGGTACCCTAGCTGGCATGACCTGCTTAGTTGAAAATTTAAATGTGTTTGCTAAAAGTGTCTGTCAAGAATTCCATCCCGTGCCAGAAAGACTTTTTAGGAAAAAAAAAATCAAAGTTTCACATCACATTTCTGTTTGTGGTTATTTAAGCAGTTTAGTGTTAGTTTAAGAAGTTACATACTGACATATGAATGCAGGAATAAAAAAAAAAAGCAAGCTAATGCAGGTAGATGGTACGGTACCGAAGTCTACTAAAAAGGTCAATATAGACTAGGTATAACTGCATAGCGAGCAACTGATTCATGTGTAAAAAGAGCTCGAAACAGAAACAGTGCAAACTGGCAGAACAAAACCAATATTTTACCCATTCCAACATTCAGACTAGTCATATACACACACACCCGCTTTCAAACGATGTAAACGGCTAAAATAACTATTTCGGTTTCTTCATAATCATAATCACATTCCCGACGAACTAAAATGCTGTAGCATACGAGACCCGACACACTGACAAAGAGGAACATAATATGAAAGCCCTTGAAAGACGCTGTCCACTACCGCCACCAGCGTGGGAATATTAGCCAGGCATGTGTGAGAAAGCTACTGCCATTCAAATCGTTATTCTTGGAAGTAAGTATCTGGCACTGTGGTCGAAGGTTCTAAGTTGAAATTGTATTTTATAATAGTTTAGGATTAAAATAAGGACTTCTAGGGCTAGACCGTGCGCGAAGAGTTGCGCTGGCATTCCAAAAAATGGCTGGAAACCCCCCATGATGGGAAAGATTTCTATCTAGACTAGATTAGGAATTTCGAAATCGGGGATTATATTCAACAATTCGGTGAATAAATACGGAAAAAAGTGACCGAACTTTTTGTTTCATGATCCGGCTATCTCACTTGTAAACAACGCCTTTTTATTTTTACTTCTGTTTCTCTGAATTTATTATTTTTTTCTCTATTTCGTATTTTCTATCAGAGGAGCCGCCCTGCGGGGGTTCGAACCCGTCTTGGTTTCATTTTTTCTCACTTTCTTCGCCTGTCGATCGCAATGCCTTCTGGTCCGCAGCATCGATCGGTCTTTAATTCCATCTTTTCATTTCGATGGATTTGGTTGGTATTTTTGTTGTTGAGGACCAGGTTGTGTACCAGGTCAGGGAGTTCAGGATATGCGACATCTTCTTCTCATCTTGTTTTTTAATTCCTTCTTTATATTCGGCCTCTCTTCTTATTTTGTGCGCTATCTTGTTTTATTCCTCTCTTCTTATTTACCCAAAGCCTGTTTGTTTGTTGTTCTGCCTGCTACTTGTCCACAGTACCACTTTCCCTGCTGTTGGGGCTGGCTCACCGGTCTTTTTGAATTTGCTTTCCCTATTCTTTTCTTTATGCAGCTTGGTTCTTCTCACTCTTGTCCGCAGCCCTTCGCCATCTCTTTCTTCCCTGCTGTTCATGGGTTTTCTTTTCACCCTCATGCTGCCCACCCGTTATTCCCTACAGTTTCTCTAGTTTCTCTGCTGCTGCTCATCGGGCTTTCCCTTTCTTCGATCCCTTTCTGATCTGCTCCGGCTGGAGGTCCTGCGTCCAGCCTTCTTGGTCTTTCTCACCTTTTTCGCCTGTTCGTCTCGCCTTTTTGTTCGCAGCCCTTCGTTGCTCCTTGCATGCCCTCCTTTATTTCTATTCCCCTCTTACTGCCCTCCGTCTTTTTCCTTTTGTCTCTCTTCTTATTTTCTATTTTGTCGTAGGGCCCTGTTCAATTTCTTTATTTTTTTGATCTACCTCATCTATTTTTATTCAATCTGGCTTGGGGACCTGTACCTTCTTCAGGGTTCGAACCTAGCCTTGTTGTTTTACCGTAACTACACGCTTCCTCTGCGCCACAGCTTCTGACGAAGATGTGAGGGATCAAAACCTTAATTAATTAGCAACGTCACGCTTGGCAACCCTCTGCTATTTACCTCGACAATTGACAGGCTGCGTTGATCAAGACACGTGCATTCATGCCTGCCGTGTGCGCTGCATGAAACTACTGAATGAGCACTGGCCTCAAAAATTGTATCATGGTGTAAATCACATGATATCCCCCTCTCCTTTGAAACTTTTGAAATAAACCATGGTTTTAACTTCACGTCTTGCTTTTGGCATCGTCATTGGGAAATACGGTGACCGTACATTTGAACCCATACATTTGCGCCTGTATATCCGCGGGATCAATCTATATGAGGGTTATAAAATCCATAGGTTAGGATTAGTATGGGTTCAAATATCCGCAAAAAAAACATTTCCATAGGTGCAATAGTATGCAGGTGCAATTGTCGTGGGTTCAAATTACGGGTTCAAATGTACGTGGGTTCAAATGTGAGCGAACCGGAAATACACTTATCTAGAGTCACTTAGATCAGGGGTTCTCAAACTTTTAGTGTTGCGGAGCCCTTGGAAAGGTTAACTATTATTTACGGAGCCCCAAAAGAAATGTTGAAATTGTTACTTCCCCATTAATATTCCTGAGTAAAGGTAAAAGTACTTAATAACCTTTCTCAATAGAGTTAATACAAGTGGTAAATAAATCTAAATTTCGAAGATAAATTATGTATACTAAAGCTGTAAATTTGACACTTGACAAACATATTAATAAATTGAGGATCGAATCTTTTCCCTTTTGACATTTTCGGAAGACTTAAAATGACGCAGATAATGTGCGCGAATGTATTTTGTTACAATCGCCGATTGTTTTCGTCAACATGGCATGTTTTTAAACATCTTTGCGCCGGTGTTTATTAACCCTAAATCAAAAATTTCTGTCGGCATATACTTGTATTGTTCCCCAATGACGACGATAATTGCTTTTTTGTTCTCGTGGGGAATTATGAGTTCAATGTGAAAAACCTTGTTACCATATTATAGTCACCGGCGACGAAATGCTAAAAATAATAATTAATAAAGAGGTAAAACCGCAACTCATTTTTTGATTGAAAAACGACATTCTGAAATATTAAAATTTAAAAAGGAAGATCACACTATAAGTTTGGTTTCAGCAGTCTCACGTCAGATAAAAAACGCTTTTTTAGGCATTGGAAATCACAAAATTTGGTGTTATGTTAGGTTTTCTTTGGTTATTTATTGTAGTAACTGTGAAATCGAAACACATTAAATTGTGCGTGCGATGTACCTTTTTTTCATTCTGAATTTTCATTCATTTCACGGAGCTGCATGCAATAAATTAATTTCAATCGTTCGTATTTTGCCGACACCTTGTGATTTTTTAAACGGCGTTATCTTGCTTGAAAATAATCTCGAGTGCGAAAGAACAAATCAAGTTTGACAAATCCCAAGATCGCAAAAATACGACCCAATTTATTTATAGTTGGCAGTTTATCAAGTATTTTATGTTATTTTAGAATAGTAAAACCTTTTATTTTAGTAATCTTTATAGTAATCTCGAATGAAACGGGAGTAACGATGAGCACAATTACATTATAACGACGAGACACGTTAAATGCTCGCATCGGTCATGGATTGAATATTTTACGCAACTTAATCCGTTTTTTTTTAATCGTGAAGAATGTTGCGCGAAAATTTCCGATTCCATCCCCACCCTCTCCTAAGAAGCCTGGCTGCGCTCCAGCTCATAAATAATGTCATATTTAAATTCCGTCTCTTTGCCATATTTCGAGGCTATATTGTGTCGAATATTATCAAAGCTGTTATTGCTTCTTTGAACAGTTACAAAATTAGCCAAGTCAGTATTTTGAAAAGAAATCGAATAGCTTGCGGAGCCCCGAGGCTCCGTACGGAGCACTTTGAGAACCTATGACTTAGATCATCTTTACAATCTTTTTTTATTTATTTATTTTATCTTTTACATTATTTATCGTTATCTCGCTTGCTTAATTGCCGCGCATTGATACATTTGGGTGGTGTCGGATTAGGTTGTATTGTTTGGCATCCTTCTTTTAAATCGGGAAAATGTTATCATTTACTTGGGGATAGCGTAGTGGAAGTACAGAGATAAATGCACAGCAAAAGTTGAACACAACAGAAGTAAAACGGAAAGTTAAATCATATATCAAAAGATAAACCAAATAAAAAATATTCCAAAATCAGCATAACCACCACAAAAATACCTTATTGAAATACCAGGATTTTCATAAAGGGTATTCCATGATCGGGACTAGAAAATGGGTCAAAATTTATGAATCGTGAATTTTTGGGATCCCAACCCCAAATATAGGGAATAGGTAATACACTTCATCAGCCTTTCTATCTGCCCACAACTATAGACCTAAATTTCCTGCGAACTTTGAGCGTCTTTCTTCTTCGTGAAATGCCATTTTTATGTGTGTTCCTAGTTTTTGTTTTGTATTTCCAGTATGGCAAAAAAATAAACAATTGACTGCAGATTTGTTGAACCCATCGAACTCAATCGGATCCGTTTAATTTGAGGTAAATAAAAGCCATCAGAATGTCATTCCTTTTTCACAACAAAAAATGTCTCTATTTTCGCCAATATGGCGAGAAGGAAATTGTAGCCAGGTCTGGCATGCGCATGTGCTTAGCATGTGCTTAGCCTAATGACATCAAGAGAAAGGGGACACCAAAGAAATTGCCATAGTCGAACTTTGGCGCCTCGGTGTTTAATGAAATAATTCGAGTTGATCTGACGACCGTTTCAGTTTTTAACAGTTTTGAAGTTACGCTGAAATGGTACCTGATTCATTTAACGACCGACGCTTTTTAACAAAGATACTGTTAAAAACGTTAGTTATTAAATGTTTAAATAGCATTTCACCGTAACTGTAATACTGTTAAACATCGTCAGTCGTTATATGTTTGAATATCATTTCACCGTAACTTCAAATACCTTAAAAGAGCACAATTTGATGCAACCAATATGAAAAGGTGGTTGCGCATAACAATAATAAAGTTAAATAAACAACAATTTCAAGTGATCATTATTCCACCATAAAAAATAGCCAGAGCTTTACAGCCCTGTTTAAAAACGAGAAAAACTTTCTACTAAAAAGATATTTTATTTGATATCAATAAATTCAATAAAAAAATATATTGTTTAATTTCTATCAATTTCACTAAAAATTACAATTAATAATACAATTTTCCGTAATTCTTCCTTTATTTGAAAAATCTGCCGCAAAATTTAAACTGCATTCCAAATCCTCGTCTATGTTTTCTTTGTTACAGTTCTTGCAAATGGAAAGGACTCATGAAATAACCTAAAGAAATAGAGAATTTAATCTAAAAAGTGGATTATTTATTATAAAACAATGTTGATAACTGTATTTCTACTATTACATCACAACGGCTGTTTAATCTGATGCAAATCGCACATTACGACTGTATTAAACCGGAAAGTGAGCAGAAAAAAATTGTATCAATAATATTTAATTGTATTACGTTGACAAATCTGAACAGGTGCGGATAAGCGTAAGGAATATCCATTACCCTTTCCTGCTTTTGATGGGCAATCGTCTATTTTATAGTAACGAACGTCTTCTAGAGCCTCCCTGAAACTGACTGCCTTTTTGTTCTCGTTGTTTCGGCCACTGGAAGGTACAAGAGCAAGACAGGACTTTCCAGGAAAAGCATTGTTTGGTTTGATATATTTCGACATCTTTGTGATTTCAACATCCTTAAAAATATATATATTTGTTAACAATTGTCGTTATTAATTTATTAAAGAAAGATCTAAAGGTGTTAAATCGCCGTGACGCGACAGAGTTGACAGTATTGAACTCCGCGTTTGAGGGGCTTTTTAGTGTCTCGTACAAAAATAGCATTAAACCATCGCCAAGTAGTTTTAAACTATCAGTTAATTTGCCGGTTCAATTTCCAATATATATCTGATATTATATTTTATTTCCAAAAATTTCAGCCATCCACCTCCCTTATAATTTTTAACATGATAAACATAAGTGTCGCAATTCACGACCGCAGTATATGCAGTCACAATTGTGCTGTACAAATAGTTTCAAATAACAAATATAAATTGAAACATACCTCTGAACTTGGTGAGAGGTCATCATCGCTTGGCAATTCATTCTGGAAATCAAAAATAATGTTTTTGTCGAGTATTATTAATAGTAATACTCTGCATTGCATTGCACTGGCATTTCACTGAATTACATTACACTGACAATATCAGAGAATTGCTAGAAATTTATTTGGAATGAAACAAACGAATATAAACTTACAGATGATTTACTTGATTCGTCAGTATCGCTGTCAAAATCATCCTGGGTTGACAAAAAGTATAGTTATAAATATTTCATAATTTCAGTTTATATAATATAAGAAATTTTATGGCTTAATTAATTGTTTTTGACAAGTATTTCTGTTTTGGGGAAAGCAAAAGTAAGGATTCCCCAGGGTATCCCACATCCTACCATATTTTACATATATATATAGTTATATCATGAGTTTTTTTGAAAATATTAATTCAATATTTACTTCGTAATCATCTTCGTCATCTTTATCGACCAGTTTTTGACTTTCCTCCTTAGACTGAAAACAACAATAAAAATATGTTTATGTGAGCATTTAAAAAAATGTAAATGTTTATCTGTGCTATGTGTTGGGTTGCCAACTACTTATCCTTCCTGTGGAATGAATATAATGCAGTGATGATGTAGCAATAATCAAGATAACTATATAAAGTGATTTGAGGGCCTTGTTACACACTAACACAAATAATATGCTTATGTAAGCATTCTAAAAAGTAAAGGGTTAATTTTATTCAATTGATCACTTTCCCCGTCGATTTTCTTCATAAAACTCAAACATCTTACCTCTGGCTTCTCATCATCTTGATGAGTGTCGTTAATTTTCTTCTCGTCTACTTTCTCATCGTGAGATTCCTATTATAATCAAAATGCAATACTCGTACTATAGGAAATCTTGATCATGCAAAACACGTGGCGTGCAATTCAAGCACGTTTAAAATTCTAATATCTGTCACGGCTACTTATAGTATGGAATCACGAAAATAAATATTGCAGAAAATTGAATGCCAGGAAATGCAAAGGCAGGCAAAATACAATTAGAAGGCTATGTTGGAGCTGCCGTGTTTTATGTTCTTAGTAAGATGGAGTGTCTGATCGTAAATTTGGACTAGTTTTAAACGCTATTACTGCCAACAGGGCTTAGTCATAAGTATAAGAACGCAAAGACAATTTCGTACTATTTCACCAATCGATATTGACATATTGTTGCAGATGCATCTCTATCCGTAACAGACATAACGTATAAATTAAGGCTTTTGTCTATTGTTATTACTCGATCACTCTCTCTTTAATGGGTTCAGCATTCCGGATACGGAAAATAAAACCTTACATTTGTAGTGCAGGTAAGCACAGCATTGGAAGTATCGCCAATTGGAGAAGCCGATGGCTGAGGAGATTTGTCCTCTGTTACCTGAAAGCAATTTATTGTAAAGATTATTGACATCAAATAAATAAAAAATAATCGATTGTGAAATGGTAAGGGTATATTATTGAAGACTTCTACAATTTTACCTCTTTTTCAACTTGTGAGATTTCCTTGAACGACATTTCCCCCTTGATGTTGTCTTCGATGTTCTGAAAATACGGGTATGGTTTTGCGTAAGAATTTATGTATACCATGCAATAACCATTGGATCTAGTTTATTTTACTACCGTACCGGTACTGCCGTAGTGTGGGTAGCCTACCAGGTTTGTGTTAGGGCATAATTTTATTCCGATTTTCCTCATTTTAGTTCTATTACTAGTTTGGGACTGTATGTGTTAGCCAAGTGATTATACCCCCTGTCCATAGTAATCAGTCCCGTTACATAACTTGATGTAAAGTAGGCGAACAAAATTAGTTACCTCCATATTGGTACACACACTTCTGGCGCTACCGTACCTAATCCCATACTCAGCCACGACCAATTGCCGTATGAAAACCGTAGTTAGCTATATGTCAGTCATCATAGTCAAGTCATCTTCGTCTCGAGTCGACTCAATCACTGAGGTAAATCGTGAATGACTTCAGCCTATTCTACATTATATGAATATGAATTGAAATATCGAGAACAAATTTTACGTTAGCTTTGCCAGTCAGCAAAGTATTGCTAGAATCTTCAATTGGAAATGGAGTTTCTATCGGAGCTTTGTCGTCAGCTACCTAGAGGTAAAATACGATGATGAATGATAGAAACTTTGCCGGATAATTGCACGATTAAATGACTGGAACGTTGCACCAAGAATGTAAATGTTTCATAACAATGGTACTTGTGTAGTATGTGTACCAGGTTAGGGTTAAGCCATATTTTTTTTCCGATTTTCCTTAGTTTAGTTCTACTACGAGTTCGGGACTTTCTGTGTTAGCCAAGTGAGTATACCCCCTGCGCAAAGGTTTCAGTTCTTCTACACAACTTAATGTGAAGTAGGCGAACAAAATTAGTTCCATATTGGTACACATACTTCTGGAGCGCCTTGGATAAATATATCATCATAGGTTACATGCTGGGGTCTATACCAACTTTCTTTAATCTGAATATACGGTCTACATTTACCAGCAATAAAAGAATTTTAAACGTTGCGGTAAGTCTCAAAGGTTTTGCATTTTGGCTCGGACTATAGAAGAGGATTCATCGTTATTTAATACCTTGTTGTTGGGTAAAGAACGCGAGTTGCCATTGGAAGAAAATTCTGCTTTGTTGACTTCATTTTTCTTTCCCTGTGTGAAATTACAATCACAAGTATTATAAACTCAGCTATGCTTAAGTTATAGTGAAGAATAACTAGATAATTCTCCTGTGTTTAATATTGGAATTGTCGTATCATGAATATTCCTTACTTTTAGTCAATGAACATCTGATCGTACTAATTTCCATTCGCAATATTGTTTCTATTGAGTTAAATGCTGTTAAAATTGCGCCTAACGCAACGTTCGTACGAATGTCTACTTATCATGACCGTCAAACAAGAAACAAAAATTCAAAACACTGAATACCATTGTGTATTGTGGGCGCACTTTGCATATCGGTTCATCGTAAAAAGGATCGTATGCTCTTCTTTTAGTTATTGCATCATTAACTTGATCCTTTTCCGGTAGTTTCACCTCGGTCGTCTGAGATACCTGGAAAACATATTTTTTTAAAAATAAATAGCAATAATTTGAGCTAGAAAACTATCCCGCGAGGCTTGACAAAATAATCAAAACGGAAAAGCAAGTTACACTATTTTCTAATACGAGTTGCATTTTATATGTTCACTCTAACATATTAACACATAATTTGTCACTCGGGTTATGACTTCAAAAATAAAACGTTATTGGACACTCGAATGCGAACCATTTCAAACGCAGACTCTGCCTCAAATACTCGATTCGTGGTTTTAAAATGACTGCGACTTCTGACGTCAAGTTGAAAAAATTAACTTCGATCTCCAAAATAACTAAATTTTGACGACGGAAACTTTGGCAAAATAGTGTGCACTTTATTCACAATTGTTAGATTACCTTCGATCATTTGGTACTTCCGTAGTATGTGAACCAAGATGGCAGACACCGGAACGTAGTATGTGTACCAGGTTGGGGTTAGGCCATAATTTCAGGTACAAATACTCCGGGAGTCACTGGGCTAATCCTACTACGTTCCGGTGTCAGCCATCTTGGTTCAGATACTACGGATGTGCCCATCATTTTGCTGAATTTTACAAATATTGACAGTGCCATTCCATATAATAAGCATTTATCTATGTCGTTTCGTAACAAATAAACAGATTTAATATTGCATTTATGGCCTTTTCAATTGTTACTAATCATCCTAACTCGAATTCTGAAAACAGAGAAAAAACCGTACGTTTGCATCGCTGGTAAGCTCAGTATTGAAAGCATCGCCAATTAGAGACGTAGCTTGTAAAGAAAATTTGTTCTCTGCTACCTGTAAGCAAAATATGATTGATTAGTTAAACACAGATGTGATGACAATCAGTTATTCAATAATCTATTATTAGATCAATATAGGATACAAGGGTAGTGTCGCGTTAGAGTAATATTATTTTATACGTTGCAGGCAATGATATACCAAAGTGTCAATCCCTGAAGCAAATTGGAATTACTGCGGACTGCGGCACCCAGTCTCATACTTTGTCAGCGTCATTCACTCGTATAAATATGAATTGACATCGATTAAAACATCTTACATTTGCATTGCTAGTCGGCAGAGTACTTGTAGCTTCGTTAGTTCCAGGTACAGTTACCAAATGAGCACTTTCGTCAATTACCTACAAGTAAAATGTAGTCATGTGTGTTAGGAACCAAATATTACCGCGTGTGTACATTTTGGCGGATTCGAATGTGACAATAGATTGATTCATAGAGTCGTTACATTATTATTTAAACCGATGTATTAATTTTCATGATTCTATGCTTCTAATTTTTGGAAAGAGATCCTACTTCTTAACTTTAGCTTTTACAAGTCACATTCACATAATTTGGCGATAAAAAAAAATGAAAATCACATTTTTAGAAGAAAAATATACTCACACCTACCTTCTCAACTTTTTGTTTGCCAACTGTATGATTGTTAGTCTGAGTTGATTTCTGTTCAAGTTTCTGAAAAATAAAGTTTAACATGCATTCCAATATTTGAGGTTTGATTGTTAGCCAGGCTGTGTGTTTTATATATGGCTCTTAACTTGAAGTAAACAAATAAAATTTTGTTTAAAATGTGATTCAATGTTTTTAACTACGTGAAAGATATTAAGTTCGTCGCAAGATATAAAATACGACTCCGATGAGTTTAAAAAAAATTGTGACTTCAGTGTCTTATATTAAAAACAATATTTGATTGACATTATAACAAAATTTATTTTTCGATACCTTGGGTTTGACGTCATCTGCTTTCCCCATTGTCTGCAAAAAAATGTTATGACATGCTTCATTACACTCACCGAGCAACGCCCTAGATAAGCTGCCACCGATATGTGATAAGATGGTAAAACTGAATGAGCATGGTATCTGCTACGAAAAATGCCAAGTCACATCTCTTTGTAATAATGCAAAGTTAGGTTAATAAAAGACTCTTGGGTTGACCCTGAAATCGTATTAGAACGTCCCAATGGAAGTGGCAATATTACGAAGTGAAATTAATTGTATTGTGTGTCTCTTTTCCAACGAGTATGGAAGTAACCTACCTATACAGCAACCATATTTTACCGTTTAGCATTTTACTAAATTCTGTAGCTTCTGCAGGTAGGTGTAGATGACTCGGCCGTTAGCAAGATTTTAGTATGATTCATACATAATGTGAGCAAAACCTCATTCAACTCATACACTGTTGTCAGACATAGAACGTAGAACAATGTCGAAAAGATATTATATCTAACATACAGTACTTACCCATATTTTTGAAGATGCTACAAATTGTTCCAATCTTTTAGCTGTGTTGATGAGTGAATGTAATTGTTGTTCTGTTTCCGCCATGTTGTCAACTTTGAAGTTGCTCAACGAGTCTCCCGATTGAGAAACTGCAGTATTTTTACGCAAATTAATTAAGACAATTATCTTATATATATATATATATATATTGAATGAACTTGCTAGCTGTGTACATATAACATATATCGCATATAAAAAAAAGATTTAAGATTTCATCTTACCTTTATTGCAAATATTTTCAGATGATGTTGATGTTCCCGACAAAGCAGAATCTTCATTTATGTTCAAATTCATTTGAGACTGTTTTTCTTTTACAAAATCCAAACTTTTTTCGAACCATAATTTTGCCGAAGCAATTGATTCCAAACCACGAATCAATGATTTCTTTTGATCATCTAATTGTTCCATGAATTTTATCTGCAAAATTAGCAATAAATGATACAAATAATTCACTTTCCAAATGAAATTTTTATTGTTGTTTTAAACCAATGCCCTGAACAAGGCTATATACCCAAGAAGCAGGTTGAAGTATAGATCTATAGAGTTAAGAATGATTACAAAAATGGTTATTAGAATCGTCATAACCGAGGGACAACCAAGGCTGTGGAATCAGGGAAAATTTACGCCTCCTAGGTAAAGATATTTTTACTCCGATTTTGGACTCCTTCTCCAGCTGTGGACACCAGAGGAAATCAAATTTTGATTAAAAACTTTGGCCTTCTTTGATAGTGTTAGCAACGCTTTGTCAACGTAAATTTTTTTTTCGAGTATCTGTAAAAAACTTTGACTTCTATTACTGCTATGAAAACATTCCAAACTCCGACTACATGTCACCAAAATAAACCGTTGCATTTTCGTAGTTTTCAGTCAGAAATGCTAATAGAATAAAACTAGTCTTTCTTAGCACTTTTAACAGAATAAATAATTCTCAGGTTATTAGTGGTATGTTTAGGCAACAATTTCAGGAATTTAGTATCTTCCGACGAACCATGTTGTCGTCTATTTCTTTGCTCATTCCTTGACAAGGAACGTTTTTTCCCATATCGACAGACTTGTCACCAGACTGCGGCAATATTCCAGTCAATACAGGTGGAAGAGACATTGATGTCGCATCATGATCTTGATCTTTCGAACTTTTCGAATCTGAAAGTTCTTTGACAACTTTGTCTTTGGTAAGACTTCTCTTTTGCAAATCAGCGTTAGAATGAAGTTTTGAAATTTCTCCGTTTCCTCCACTGGCGAAGTCCCTGGCAAAATATTGAGAAATTTTTGATTTATTTTTTGTACAAACAATTATTATATATATATATAGCATTTAGGATGAAATTTCATGCGATCGATTACTCACTAATTATATATGAAAAAAATTATCAAACTCAAAATGATATTTTTGCGTGGAATTTGTAGAACAGCGTATATATATTATATATTTTTTCTTGCTTTGAATGAGTGAAGGATACTTGCAGCTCAATCATTTTTGCAAATATCTTTAGAAAAGGAAGTCAAGTAATGAGCACGCACAGGGTTATTTGGAAGCAAATATAGATGGATTTAGAAAATAAGAAATACAATTTTGTCGAAATTCTATCTAAATATGGAAATGTCAGAAAAGATACGTAATGTCTCTGATTCAAAGAATCTTTTTTAACCTTGGCGATTTAGTGCCAGGAATTCCAAGAGGTGGGAGCGTATTTCCACGTTTTCCGTCATTGTATCGCTCATGATCGATATAAGAAAGTGTTTCTTTATCATCAATTGTACTAATCTTGTCAGATGACTTTTTCGGGTGCTGTTGGTCACCCAAATTCGATTTATTTCTGCAAATATTCACTTTTATTTATTCTCTTCTATGAACCCATTTATTGCTAATGTGGTAAATATAACAAAATACCTAAAACTACCAATCGTGATTTCGAAGAATAATACGAACAATGCTGGGTTAAAGTTTTTACCATAAGGGTATCGAGTCGCGTCCGATATTGAAAAAGCCAGTCTGGGTCAGTCTCACTGGCGGTTATTTGATGAGGCCCCCGTGCCATTCCATTTAGATAAGCGGGGCTAGAGGCTATCCAACACTGAATAGGAACCTAAGGCTTTGTATTATGGTATTTCCACCTTCGCGATCACATTGTTATGTTCTGAAATAAACTTTCTCTCTCATTCACTAGCTAACCAAGCAGTAAGGTTTACGTTACCCGTTTCCAGAATAAAGCTTCTCGACCATTTCAGATCCGATATCGTCCTGATTTGCAGACTGTGAAGAAGTCTTTGAAGAAATCTATCAACGTTATTTAAGAATGAAAAATGAACAGAAAGTAGAATAAGAAACCCCGTGGCAGTAATAAGATGAAACAAATGATATGGACTGAATTTAGCCACAGAAATCCTAAAATGTCAATATTATTTCAAATAATTCAATATAACGTGTTTACCTTTCCATCCCTATGAACTTCTCTAGAGTTTTCCTCGTCACCGCCGTTTCCAGTCGAGGTTTTACAGCAGCGAGCGAATGTCTAGCAAAAGAAATGGTATTTTTATTAGTTTTTCCTTGCCGCTAAAAAAGCTGTATACAAGAAGTCACTTAGGTAGAAGAATAACGTATTCAGGAAACAAAAATCCTTACAACTTCTTGTATCCTGGATTACATAACGGGTATGAGTTTAATAGCCAGCTCAAGGCTCAAATCCCAAATCTCATACCAGCGGTGTTAATAGTAATTAGATACCCATACGAGGCAAATGTTATCAAGTTATTTAAAAAAGATGTTTACAAACGTCTCACCAAGATTTTGTTTGTCTTCCTTACTCCCCGACCAAACCATGATGCAAACGCATATACGCATTGTACTGCAGTCAAATAAGATGAAGCCTCATCTTGCTCCTGGAAATAAGAGATCAAGATTTAGTCCAGAAATAAATATCCTGCCTTCATTTTTAGATACATACATGAACTCATAGAGACTTGGAACTCCTGGGGTTTGACGTGATTACCGGTTCGATACAGTTTCTTCCAACATATGTGAGACGATGTATGCCAACTTAACTAGTAGACAGAAATCTCCATTTCTTTTAATCTAAGATGCTTAAACATAAGCATCGCTATTTCCAAGTATGATCTATGATTAACTCAAAGTCTAACTTTAATTTAAAAAAAACAGTAACAAATCCGTACACCTCCGTCGCGAATGTACTTGAATCGATTAATAAGGCGATTTACAGAGCCGGTCATACTTATTGCGGAATTATATATATGGAACGAGTTACGCGGGGCCCAGTCTCCCGGTAGGGCGGGGAAACCTACACGATAGTTTCTTCGGTTGACCATTTAGAACTATTTCAGACATGGTTATGTTAATTAAGGGTTACTAAACAGTTTTCCTTTCCCCTCTGTTTTTGTAATAAATCGAAGAGTTTTTTGGATATTTTAAATGGATGCTGCCATTGTGCATACCTCAAGAGCATGAGGTCTGCTGTAGTAGGGGTGTGCAACAGGAGTCCCGGAGGCCGGCCCGCCAAGCCATTTAGTGTGACCCTTGTGTCAACACTCAGGTTTTCCATTATCATACATAGGCTATAATCTTAATCTTATGTTCATATAGGTAAAAATACATAATATTTTTTGACTTTATCGCTGCGTTATATCCTAAACCTGTTTTTATTCCTGAAGAAGCGGTAGCCGTATTCCGCATTCCCCTGTGCTATAGCGATGGGCCAATTAGGTATTCAGGACTCAGGTGCGATGATTCCATCTCATATTTATATTTTTAGTAACATATAGGACCATGAATATAGGATTATTCATAGGTCTTAAATATAAAACTGGATTTTCTAAGGTGTTTCCACAGAGTCCAAACAAAATTGAATCAACACTTGATTATGAAATTGCATGGCGATAAATCTCAATAATAAATCTCAATGAGTGACTTACCTGGTGAGAAGATTTCCGAAATCTTCTGCCTCGTCGCTTCCGGCCACATGATACCCTGTGTCCCTCGTCGTCATGATCCGTCGTGAAACCGACTTTATTTTGCCTAATAGGCATCTTTGATAGTCAAATCAGCGCATATAGAACAAATCCTAATACGCTAAACTCAAATGATATTTCGCGCAAAATGGTATTCAATTCAGTAAAACATCTTCTTTGTTACGTCATAATGGCTCAAAATCTAATTGACCGAGCAGCAAAGATATCTAGTTCATATTCACGAAATGTATGTAATACGAAATTTGTGGAAAATTTTCAGATTACGCCATGTCATCCGTCACTCATGACGTCATAATACAATCAAGTAGTCTATTCGTTTCGAACCGACTTGTAAGCGGTATTACTTTCGGTGCGTGCCCGGCCTAACCCCAATCAATTGCATTACATCGGAACATACCACCTTCATTTGGAAAGGGTGTAATTCATGTTTTATAGACTGTGAATGAGGAAATGAAACCGACAAACCGACGCCAAGACGAATATCTCGGCTACTTGTGTGGTAAATTGTAGATATAAACCCACCAACCGACTCTCATAAATTGGAACTAAATTACCGTCAAATGGAATAACTTCGGATGCTTCCTAACTTGGGTTGGAAATACCAAGCAAGCAGGTTATTCACTGACTAGTTTAAAAAGCTGGATGTTTCACTTATTTCCATTTTTAGATTCCATGGCACGCACAAAATGTGAGTGTCGCCTGGACATTTTATAGTCGGATCATCGTACAAGACAAGTTTTTTTTTTCCTGACGTCCAATTGATTATTTTCGATGATATGTTGGGATCGAACTCGCTATGATTATTTTTTCCGTCATTCGTGGGAATACAGAAATTTTGCGACAACAGTTGTTAAGTTGTGATCGAGGCGGTAGGGTCCGGCAATCGTTGGGGTGGTAAAGTTGCTCGCGGCTAGCGAGGTTGTGGTAGGCACAAACAAAATAAGGCCCCCATTTTTTTTTCTTTTTTCATAGCTACTTAGTTTCCTCTTTTTATCCGCCACCACTCACTTGTATTTCCTCCGCCACTCTCTGTTTTTATGTACCACGCTTTGTTTTTTTTATCCGAAACTTCTCTTTCTATCTCACATCTGCATTACAACACTCCGTGCTCTCTTTTTTTTATCTATTATGTTTGTCTCCTTCTGACAATTTCCCTTCTTTCTAGGGGGTTCGAACTTTTTCATGTACTCTGTCTCCGTCTTTCCTTTCTCTCCTTTTTATTCGCCACCACTCACTTCTTTTTTATCCGGCCCCACTGACTTCATGCATTCCTTCCACCACCCCTTCATTAACACTCCGTGCCTTATTCTCTTTTTTTCCCCGTTCTATTTACTTTGTCTTACTTTTCTCTCCTTTTTATCAATCAACCTTATCTTTTTCTAACTTCCCTCTCCTGCATTGCTTCTAGCACCGCCGCATTACCGCACCTCTACGCTTTCCTTGCGCCACAGCTACTGACGAAGATTCGTTGGTCAGCAGATTTTTTATCAACGTCACGCTTGGCAACCCTTTGGGGTAATTACTTCGACAATTCACGGGCTGCGTTAGTTTTAAACTACGTGCATCAATGCCTGCTTGGACCTTTCGCGTGCGCTGCTTAAAACTACTGGACGAATACTGGCCTTTAAAATCGTATCTTGGTGTAAATCGTGGGATATTCCTTTCTCCAGTGATAAAACCTTTAAAATAAAGCAAATCATATGTAAAACATTCTCTCAACTACAAAAACGTTGGTGAGTCAAAAATGGAATCAAAAATACCTTATTGAAATTCCTGGTCTAAATGTTTTTTCATGATCGGGACTAGAAAAATGGAAATTTATGGATCGTTAATTTTTGGGATCCCAGCCCCACTGGAAAGTCAATTTCTCATACGTATTCCGAAAGCCGATAAGACTCTAGTTCGGATGGTAATTTAGGAATAGGTTTTACACTTTATCAGCTTCTCTATCTGCCCAGAACTATAGACCTAAATTTCCTGCGAACTTTGAACGGGTCCCTTCACCGTTAAACGCCATCTTTTAGTGTGTTTCCTGTTTTTGTTCGCATCAAGTGTATTTTCAGTTTGGTGAAAAAATGACTGAGTGACAGAATTGTTGGACCCCTCGGACTCGAACGGATCCGGTCAACCAAAGGTAAATAAAAATCCATCAGAATGTCTTTCATTTTTCGCAACAACAAAAATTGGTCTATTTTAGCCAATAAGGCGAGAAGTAAATTGTATCCAGAGCTGGGATCAACCATTATGCAAAATAAGCATGTGCTTGGGGCATCACGAGAAAGGAGACACCACAGAAAATTTCCGTAGTCGAATTTTGGCGCCTCAGTGTTTAGGGAGCTTGTAAATGCTTTTCTTGTGGTAGTTGTTGAGTTCGGAGTTGGTAAGATCCATTGCGTATACAGAAGTCCCTCGAAAAAAAGCTAATTTTTTGTGGTGCTTGTAGCTTCTTCGTGAGACTTCCATGTTTAATGTAATAATTCTGGTACTTCAAACATTTACTGACGCATTTTACCAGTGATACTGTTAAAAAACTTCAGTTAATAAATGTTTGAATAGCTTTTCACCGTCTTCAAATCTGTCATAAGAAACATAATTTGATGCAACCTATATGAAATTGGAGGTTGCGCGCAACAGTAATAAAGTCAAATAAACAACATTTTTCGTCCTTATTCCATCATAAATATTGGCCAGAGCTTGACAGTCCTGTTTAAAAATGAAAAAACTTTCTGCTGAATAGATATTTTATTTCAAAATCGATAAATTCAATAAAAAATATATATATTGTTTATTTTTATCAATTTTACTGAATAGCACAAAATTATTAATATGATTTTCCCGTTATTCTTCCTTTATTTAAAAAATCTGCCATAAATTTAAACTGCATTCCAAATCCTCGTCTATGTTTTCTTTGTTACAGTTCTTGCAAATGGAAAGGACTCATGAAATAACCTAAAGAAACAGAGGATGTGATTTAAAAATAGATTATTTATTATAAAACAACGTTGAGAACTGTATTTTTCCTATGACATCACAACGGCTGTTTAATCTGATACAAATCGCACATTACGACTGTATTAAACCGGAAAGTGAGCAGACAAAAATTGTATCAATAATATTTAATTGTTTCACGTTGATAAATTAAAACAGGTGCGGATAAGCGTAAGGAATATACATTACCTTTCCCTGCTTTAGAAGGGCAATCGTCTATTTTATAGTAACGAACGTCTTCTAGAGCCTCCCTGAAACTGACTGCCTTTTTGTTCTCGTTGTTTCGACCACTGGAAGGTACAAGAGCAAGACAGGACTTTCCAGGAACAGCATTGGTTGGCTTGGTATAATTCGCCATCTTTGTGATTTCAATATCCTGAGAAAAATCTATTTGTTAATAATTGTCGTTATTAATTTATTAAAGAAAGATCTAAAGGTGTTAAATCGCCGTGACGCGACAGAGTTGACAGTATTGAACTCCGCGTTTGAGGGGCTTTTTAGTGTCTCGTACAAAAATAGCATTAAACCATCGCTGAGTTGTTTTAAACTATTATTTAATTCGCCGGTTCAACTTCCAATATATATCTGATATTATCGTTCATTTCCAAAAATTTCAGCCATCCACTTTTTTTCTGATTTTTAACATGATAAACATAATATATGTGTCGCAATTCAGCCGCAGTATATGCAGTCATAATTGTGCTGTACAAATAGGTTTAAGTTCACCAAATATAAATTGAAACATACCTCTGAACTTGGTGAGAGGTCATCATCGCTTGGCAATTCATTCTGGAAATCAAAAATAATGTTTTTGTCGAATATTATTAATAGTAATACTCTACATTGAATTACACTGACATCAATACACTTAATTACATTACACTGACAATATCAAAGAATTGCTAAAAATTTATTTGGAATGAAACAAACGAATATAAACTTACAGATGATTTACTTGATTCGTCAGTATCACTCTCAAAATCATTCTGGGTAGACAAAAATTATAGCTATTAATATTTCATAACTTTAGCTTATATAATATAATATATGGAATTTTGTGACCTAATAATTTGCCCTGAGCTTTATAGGTTTTTGGACGAGTAAGTATTTCCGTTTATGTGACTTCGAAGCGCAGATATACTTTTTCGCAGTAGTTGCAACGTTTAAATCTGGAGTTAGAATAACTTTGTCGGGGAATCGTTTGTTTTCAATTTCATTTGATTATGCCAATAGCGCTATTTAGACTCCGACAACTTCAAATTTTGTACACTGCGACAGGCTGGTAAAGCAAACGTAATGATTCGCCTGGGTATCCCACATATTACCATATGTTACATAGAATCATATCCTGATTTTTATGAAAGTATTAATTCAATATTCACTTCGTAATCATCTTTGCCATCTTTATCGCCCAGTTTTTGAGTTTCCTCCTCGGACTGAAAACAACAATAAAAATATGTTTATGTGAGCATTTAAAAAAAAGTAAGCGTAAATTTTATTCAGTTGATCATTTTCCCCGTCGATTTTCTTCATAAAACTCAAACATCTTACCTCTGGCTTCTCATCATCTTGATGAGTGTCGTTAATTTTCTTCTCGTCTACTTTCTCATCGTGAGATTCCTATTATAATCAAAATGCAATACTCGTACTATAGGAAATCCTGATCATGCAAAACATGTGGCGTGCAATTCGAGCACGTTTAAAATTCTAATATCTGTCACGGATACTTCTAGTATGGAATCACGAAAATAAATATTGCAGAAAATTGAATGCCAGGAAATGCAAAGGCAAGCAAAAGACAATTCGAAAGCTATGTTGGAGCTGCCGCGCTTTTGTTTTTAGTAAGAAGGAGTGTCTGATCGTGAATCTAAACTAGTTTTAAATGCTACTGCTGCCAACACGGCTTAGTCAAAAGGATAAGAACGCAAAGGCAATTTTGTACTATTTCACCAATCGATATTGACGGCACGTTTACACATATTATTGAAGATGCATCTCTATCCGTAACAGACATAACGTATAAATTACGGCTTTTGTCTATTGTTATTACTCGATCACTCTCTCTCTTTAATGGGTTCAGCATTCCGAATATGAAGAAAAAAATCTTACATTTGTAGTGCAGGTAAGCACAGCATTGGAAGTATCGCCAATTGGAGAAGCCGATGGCAAAGGAGATTTGTCCTCTGTTACCTGAAAGCAATTTATTGTAAAGATAATTGAGATCAAATAAATAAAAATTAATCGATAGTGAGATGGTACGGGTATATTATTGAATGCTTGTACAATTTTACCTCTTTTTCCGCTTGTGAGATTTCCTTGAACGACATTTCCACATTGATGTTGTCTTCGACGTTCTGAAAATACGGGTATGGTTTTGCATAAGGATTTATGTATAACCATTGGATCTAGTTTATTTTATTACCGTACAAGTACTCCCGTAGTGTGTGTAACAGGTTAAGGTTAGGCCATAATTTTATTCCGATTTTCCTTATTTTAGTTCTATTACGATTTCGGGGGCTGTATCTGTTAGCCAAGTGATTATACCCCTGTCCATAGTAATCAGTACCTTTACACAACTTGATGTAAAATAGGCGAACAAAATTAGTTACCTCCATATTGATACACACACTTCTGGAGCGCTACCGCACCTAATCCCATACTCATCCACGACCAATTGCCGTATGAATACCGTAGTTAGCTATATGTCAGCCTTCATCTTACTACGGGATCAGTAATGAGTCCTAAACCCCAAGTCAAGTCATCTTCGTCTTCAGTCGAGTCCATCACTAAGGTAAATCGTGAATGACTTCAGCCTATTCTACATTATATGAATATGAATTGAAATATCGAGAACAAATTTTACGTTAGCTTTGCCAGTCAGCAAAGTATTGTTAGAATCTTCAATTGGAAATGGAGTTTTTATCGGAGCTTTGTCGTCAGCTACCTAGAGATAAAATACGATGATGAGCGATAGAAACTTTGCCGGATAATTGCACGATTAAATGACTGGAACGTTGCACCAAGAATGTAAATGTTTCATAACAATGGTACTTGTGTAGTATGTGTACCAGGTTAGGGTTAAGCCATATTTTTTTCCGATATTCCTTAGTTTAGTTCTATTACGAATTCGCGACTTTCTGTGTTAGCCAAGTGAGTATACCACCTGCGCATAGGTTTCAGTTCTTCTACACAACTTAATGTGAAGTAGGCGAACAAAATTAGTTCCATGTTGGTACACATACTTCTAGAGCGCCTTGGATAAATATATCATCATAGGTTACATACTGGGGTCTATACCAACTTTCTTTAATCTAAATATACGGTCTACATTTACCAGCAATAAAAGAATTTTAAACGTTGCGGTAAGTCTCAAAGGTTTTGCATTTTGGCTCGGACTATAGAAGAGGATTCATCGTTATTTAATACCTTGTTGTTGGGTAAAGAACGCGAGTTGCCATTGGAAGAAAATTCTGCTTCGTTGACTTCATTTTTCTTTCCCTGTGTGAAATTACAATCACAAGAATTATAAACTCAGGTTACTCAGCTATGCTTAAGTTATAGTGAAGAATAACCAGGTAATTCTCCTGTGTTTAATTTTAGAATTGTCGTATCATGAATATTCCTTACTTTTAGTCAATGAACGTCTGATCTTACTAATTTCCATTCGCAATATTGTTTCTATTGAGTTAAATGCTGTTAAAATTGCGCCTAACGCAACGTTCGTACGAATGTCTACTTATCATGACCGTCAAACAAGAAACAAAAATTCAAAACACTGAATACCATTGTGTATTGTGGGCGCACTTTGCATATCGGTTCATCGTGAAAAGGATCGTATGCTCTTCTTTTAGTTATTGCATAAGTAACTTGATCATTTTCCGGTAGTTTTACCTCGGTCGTGTGAGATACCTGGAAAACATATTTTTAAAAATAAATAGCTATAATTTGAGCTAGAAAACTATCCCGCGAGGCTTGACAAAATAATCAAAACGGAAAAGCAAGTTACACTATTTTCTAATACGAGTTGCATTCTATATGTTCACTCTAACATATTAACACATAATTTGTCACTCGGGATATGACTTCAAAAATAAAACATTATTGGACACTCGAATGCGAACCATTTCAGACGCAGACTCTGCCTCAAATACTCGATTCGTGGTTTTAAAATGACTGCGACTTCTGACGTCAAGTTGAAAAAATTAACTTCGATCTCCAAAATAACTAAATTTTGACGACGGAAACTTTGGCAAAATAGTGTGCACTTTATTCACAATTGTTAGATTACCTTCGATCATTTGGTACTTCCGTAGTATGTGAACCAAGATGACGGACACCGGAACGTAGTATGTGTACCAGGTTGGGGTTGGGCCATAATTTCAGGTACAAATACTACGGGAGTCACTGGGCTAATCCTACTACGTTCCGGTGTCAGCCATCTTGGTTCAGATACTACGGATGTGCCCATCATTTTGCTAAATTTTACAAATATTGACAGTGTCATTCCATATAATAAGCATGTATTTATGTCGTTTCGTAACAAAGAAACAGATTTAATATTGCATTTATGGCCTTTTCTATTGTTACTAATCATCCTCGAATTTAGAATTCTGAAAACAGAGAAAAATCGTACGTTTGCATCGCTGGTAAGCTCAGTATTGAAAGCATCGCCAATTGGAGAAGTAGCTTGTAAAGGAGATTTGTTCTCTGCTACCTGAAAGCAAAATATGATTGATTAGTTAAATACAGATTTGATGATAATCAGTTATTCAATAATCTATTATTAGATCAATATGGAATACAAGGGTATTGTCGCGTTAAAGTAATATTATTTTATACGTTGCAGGCAATGATATACCAAAGTGTCAATTCCTGAAGCAAATTGGAATTACTGCGGACTGCGGCACCCAGTCTCATACTTTGTCGGCGTCATTCCCTCGTATAAATATGAATTGACATTGATTAAAACATCTTACATTTGCATTGCTAGTCGGCAGAGTACTTGTAGCTTCGTTTTTTCCAGGTACAGTTACCAATTGAGCACTTTCGTCAATTACCTACAAGTGAAATGTAGTCATGTGTGTTAGGAACCAAATATTACCGCGTGTGTAAATTTTGGCGGGTTCGAATGTGACAATAGATTGATTCATAGAGTCGTTACATTATTATTTAAACCGAGGTATTATTTTTCATGATTCTATAGCATTCTATGCTTCTAATTTTTGGAAAGAGATCCTACTTCTTAGCTTTAGCTTTTACAAGTCATATTCACATAATTTGGCGATAAAAAAATAATAAAAATCACATTTTTAGAAGAAAAATATACTCACACCTACCTTCTCAACTTTTTGTTTGCCAACTGTATGATTGTTAGTCTGAGTTGATTTCTGATCAAGTTTCTGAAAATTAAAGTTTAACATGCATTCCAATATTTGAGGTTTGATTGTTAGCCAGGCTGTGTGTTTTATACAGGGCTTTTAACTTGGAGTCAACAAATAAAAATTTGTTTAAAATGTGATTCAATGTTTTTAACTGCGTGAAAGATATTAAGTTCGTCGCAAGATATAAAATACGACTCCGATGAGTTTAAAAAAAATTGTGACTTCAGTGTCTTATATTCAAAACAATATTTGATTGACATGATATCAAATTTTTCGATACCTTGGGTTTGACGTCATCTGCTTTCCCCATTGCCTGCAAAAAAATGTTAAATATGACATGCTTCATTACATTCTCCGAGCAACGCCCTAGATAAGCTGCCACCGATATGTGATAAGATGGTAAAACTGAATGAGCATGGTTTCTGCTACGAAAAATGCCAAATCACATCTCTTCGTAATATTGCAAAATCAGATTAATAAAAGACTTTTGGGTTGACCCTGAAATTGTATTAGAACGTCCCAATGGAAGTGACAATATTACAAAGTGAAATTAATTGTATTGTGTGTCTTTTCCAACGAGTATGAAAGTAACCTACAACAACCATATTTCACCGTTTAGCATTTTACCAAATTCTGTTGTTTCTGTAGGTAGGTGTAGATGACTCGGCCGTTAGCAAGATCGTAGTAGGATCCATACATACTGTGAGCAAAATCTCACTTAACTGATACACTGTTGTTAGACGTAGAACGTAGAACAATGTCATAAAGTTGTAATTATAGCTAATACACATGACTTACACATATTTTTGAGGAAGCTACAAATTGTTCCAATCGTTTAGCTGTGTCGATGAGTGATTGTAATTGCTGTTCTGTTTCCGCTATGTTGTCAATTTTGAAGTTGCTCATGGAGTCTCCAGATTGAAAAACTGCAGTATTTTAACGCAAATTAGGACATTTATCTCATTTAATAAATGAACTTGCCTCCTGTGTCTACATATAATATCGCATATATAAAAAAAAAGGTTTAGAATTTCACATTACCTTTATTGCAAATATTTTCAGACGATGTCGATGTTCCCGACAAAGCAGAATCTTCATTTATGTTCAAATTCATTTGAGACTGTTTTTCTTTTACAAAATCCAAACTTTTTTCGAACCATAATTTTGCCGAAGCAATTGATTCCAAACCACGAATCAATAATTTCTTCTGATCATCTAATTGTTCCATGAATTTTATCTGCAAAATTAGCAATAAATGAGATAAATAATTCACTTTCCAAATGAATTTTTTTGGTTGTTTCTAAACCAATGCCCTGAACAAGGATATATACCCAAGCAGCATGGAGTATAGATCTATAGAGTTAAAATGATTACAAAGATGGTTATTGGAATCGTCATAACCGAGGGACAACCAAGGCTGTGGAATCAGGGAAAATTTACGCCTCCTAGTTAAAGAAATTTTTACTCCGATTTCGGACTCCTTCCACAGCTGTGGACAACAGAGGAAATCAAATTACGATTGAAAACTTTAGCATTCTTTGATAGTGTTAGCAACGCTTTGTCAACGTAAATTTTTTTTCGAGTATCTGTAGAAAATTTTGACTTCTATTACCGCTATGAAAACATTCCAAACTTCGACGACATGTCACTGAAATAAACCTTTGCATTTTCGTAGTTTTCAGTCAGAAATGCTAATAGAATAAAACTAGTCTTTAGTGATTCAAGAGTCTTGCTGCACACTAACACAAATATATTTCTGTAACGTTTCGTCTGACCAAGGTCAGACTTCTTCAGACATACATAATTCAACTATCTTGAATCACTTAGGATTGTTATCTCTACTCTTGCTACAGCATCCTTGCAATATATGCATACGGATCCACCGGCACAAAAGCATAGAAGAAGGATAAGTAGTTAGTCTCGCAGAAACCAAATAATCAGCGCAAGTTAGCATTGTTGCGAGACTTCTGTATCCGAAAATGGATCCTACCTACTCCGGACTCATCAACTACAGTAGTTGAATTATGTATGTCTGAAGAAGTCTGACCTTGGTCAGACGAAACGTTACAGAAATATATTTGTGTTAGTGTGCAGCAAGACTCTTGAATCACTTAGGATTGTTATCTCTACTCTTGCTACAGCATCCTTGCAATATATGCATACGGATCCACCGGCACAAAAGCATAGAAGAAGGATAAGTAGTTAGTCTCGCAGAAACCAAATAATCAAACTAGTCTTTCTTAGCACTTTTAACAGAATAAATAATTCTCATATTATTAGTGGTCTGTTTAGGCAACAATTTCAGGAATTTAGTATCTTCGACGTACCATGTTGTCGTCTATTTCTTTGCTCATCCCTTGACAAGGAACGTTTCTTTCCATATCGACAGACTTGTCACCAGACTGCGGCAATATTCCAGTCAATACAGGTGGAAAAGACATTGATGTCGCATCATGATCTTGATCTTTTGGACTTTTCGAATCTGAAAGTTCTTTGACAACTTTGACTTTGTCTTCGGTAAGACTTCCCTTCTGCGAATCAGCGTTAGAATGAACTTTCGAAATTTCTCCGTTTCCTCCGCTGGCGACGTTCCTGGCGAAATATTGAGTGATTTTTAACCTTCCTACAAGAGACTAAATTTATCAAATAATATACGATGGAATTACATATGATATGACTGATGACGGGATGAATATATATACAAATAAATCTTTAAACTCAAAATGATATTTTTGCGTACAATAGACATTTTTGCATGCCTCTAACTAATGAGTGAAAAATACTTGAAGCTCAATTATTTTTGCGAATACATGGTGAAAAAAAAGTAAGGTTATTTAGGAGCAAATATCGATGAAGTCAGAAAAAAAGAAATACATTTTGGTCGAAATTCTATCTGCATAGCTATTGTATGAAAATGTCAAAACAGACTCGTGACGGATCTGGTTTAAAGAAACTTTTATAACCTTGGCGATTTAGTGCCAGGAATTCCAAGAGGTGGGAGAGTGTTGCCACGTTTTCCGTCATTGTATCGCTCATGATCGATATAAGAAAGTGTTTCTTTATCATTGATTGTACTAATCTTGTCAAATGCCTTTTTCGGGTCCAGTTGGGCACTCGAATTCGATTTATTTCTGCAAATAAAATCTGTTCTCTCAGGAAACATTCAAATCTGGAAACTTACTCTATGTTGCAGTTGATGCAAAAAGCACAAAACTACGTTAACTACCAATCGCGTTTTCAAAGATTAATGTAAACAGTGTTAGGTAGAAATCCCCACCATTCGAGTCGATGCCAATGTCGAGTCAGGCAGTCGATTTAAGTATCATTGGTCGTTAGTTGATATCGCGTCCGAGTCATCCCATTTAAATGGTGTCGAGTCAAAGACCTGGGTTTCCTCTAACACTGCCTAACCCTGATATGAATTTGAAGTTTCGTTTTGTGACGTTGAGTTTTTCATTATAAGGTCGCATTAAATAAGTTTAAACTAAAATATCTCCTCCCTCATTCACGACCTAACCACAAGTAAAGTTTACGCTACCCAATTCCAGAATGATGCTTTTCTACCATCGGAGATCCAATATCGTCATGATTTGCAGACTTTGAAGAAGTCTTTGAAGAAATCTATTAATGTTATTCGAGACAGTAAGATGAACAGAAAGTAGACTAAAAAAAACGTGGCAATAATAAGAGGAAAATTATATGGACTACATTTATTCGCAGAAATCCTAAAATTCCAATGTTATTTCAAATGATATAATAAAATAACGTGTTTACCATTCCACCACTATGAACTCCTTTGGAGCTATCCTTGTCACCGCTGTTTCCAGTCGAAGTTTTACAGCAGTGAGAGAATGTCTAGCAAAAGAAATGGAATTTTTGAAAGTTATTCTTTTAACGCTAAAAAGCTATATACAGGAAGTCACTTAGGTAGAAAAATATCGTATTCCGGGAAATACAAATCCGTGGAAGTTTTGCATAAAGGATTAGATAACGGGTCTGTGATTAACAGCATTCAAGGATCAAACCCGTAATCTTATACTATCGTGTTTCCCCCAAAATAAGACGGGATCTTATTTCAATTTTCTCCCGAAAAATAACACTAGGACTTATTTTCGGGGGATGTCTTAAATTTTCAGTTATCAAAAACAAAATTACATAGCGGAGAATTACGAGATTTTCAAATAGACACAATATGAAAACCTATATCTATTTACTTATAAATAACACGTTTTTAAGCATAACATAGTATATCAATCATTCAAAACATGTGGAGAGATTTCTTGCTATCGACTAGGACTAGGTCAAAAAAAAAATTCATTTTCGACTACGTCTTATTAAGGGTTGGGCTTATATTAAAATCATATTAAAGTTAAAGTCATAATTCTTGTCTAATGGAAACCATTGTAATCAATTTATTTTTAAAAAAAATTAAGAAATATCAAACGTCTCACCAAGAATTTGTTCGTCTTTCTTACTCCCCGACCAAACCATGATGCAAACGCATATATACATTGTACTGCAGTCAAATAAGATGAAGCTTCATCCTGCTCCTGGAAACAAGAGATCAAATTTAGTCCAGAAATAAATATCCTGCCTTCATTTTTAGATACATACACGAGCTCATAAGGGCTGGAAACTGCCGGGGTTTGACATGATTATCGGTTCGATACAGTTTCGCTCAACATAGGTGAGACGATGTATGCCAACTTAAATAGTAGACAGAAATCCCCATTTTTTTTAATCTGAGATGCTTAAACATAAGCATCGCTTTTTCTGAGTATGGCCTATGATTGACTCAAAGTCTAACTTTAAATATAAAAAAAAATAGTAAATATAAAGTCAGTACACCTCCGTCGCAAACGTACTTGAATCGATTAAGGCGATTTACAGAGCCGGTCATACCTATTGCGGAATTAGATGGAACCCAGTATGGCGGGGAAACCTACACAATAGCTTCTTTTGTTGACCATTTCGAACTATTTCAGACATGGTCATGTTAATAAAGGGTTACGAAACAGTTTTTCGCTTCCCTATGTTTTTGTAATATATCGAAGAGTTATTTGACTATTCGAAGTGCTTGCTGCCATTGTGCATACCTCAAGAGCATGAGGTCTGCTGTAGTAGGGGTGTGCAACAGGAGTCCCGGGGGCCGGCCCGCCAAGCTATTTAGTGTGACCCTTGTGTCAATACTCAGGTTTTCCATTATCAGACATAGGCTATAATCTTAATGTTCACATACATAATATTTTTTGACTTTATCGCTGCGTTAAATTCCAAACCTGTCTTTATTCCTGAAGGGATAAGCGGGAGCCGCCTTTCGCATTATTGTGCCGTTGCCGTTGAGGTTGTATATATGGCCCACCCACAAAAAATGTTGTGCTCCCATGTGCTATAGCGATGGGCCAATTAGGTATTCAGGAATCAGGTGCGATGATACCCTCTCGTATTTATATTTTTAGTAACATATAGGACCATGAATAGGATTATTTATAGGTCTTACATATAAAACTCGGTTTTCTTAGGTGGTTTCACATAGTCCAAACAGAATTGAATCAACACTTGATTATGAAATTATATGGCGATAAATCTTAATAATATATCAGATATCTCAATGAGTGACTTACTTGGTGAGACGATTTCCGGAATCGCCTGCCTCGTCGCTTACGGCCACATGATACCCTGTGTCCCTCGTCGTTATGGTCCGTCGTGAAACCGACTTTATTTTGCCTAATAGGCATCTTTGATAGTCAAATCAGCGCATATAGAACAAATCTTAATACGCTAAACTCAAATGATATTTCGCGCAAATTGGTATTTAATTCATTAAAACATCTTCTTTGTTACGTCATAATAGCTCAAAATGTAATTGGCCACACTTATCTCGTTCATATTCACGAAATGTATGTAATACGAAATTTGTGGAAAATTTTCAGATTACGTCATGTCATCCGTCACTCATGACGTCATAATACAATTAAGAAGTCTATTCGTTTTGAACCGATTTGTAAGCGGTATTACTTTCGATGCGTGCCCGGCCTAACCCCAATCTATTGCGTTACATCGGAACATACCCCCTTCATTTGGGAAGGGTGTAATTCGTGTTTTATAGACTGTGAATAAGGAAATAAAACCGACGCCAAGACGAATATCTCAGCTACTTGTGTGGTAAATTGTAGATTTAAACCCACCAACCGACTCTCATAAATTGGCCTTCACTTACCGTCGAATGGAATAACTTCGAATGCTTCCTAACTTGGGTTGGAAATATCAAGCAGGTTATTCACTGACTAGTTTAAAAAGCTGGATGTTCCACTTATTTCCATTTTTAGACTCCATACCACGCACAAAATGTGAGTGTCGCCTGGACATTTTATAGTCGGATCATCGTACAAGACAAATTTTTTTTTTCCTGACGTCCATTTGATATATTATATCTTATTATTTTAGATGATATGCTGGGATCGAACTCGCTATGATTATTTTTTCCGTCATTCGTGGGAATACAGAAATTTTGCGACAACAGTTGTGATCGAGGCGGTAGGGCCCGGCAATCGTTGGGGTGGTAAAGTTGCTCGCGGCTAGCGAGGTTGTGGTAGGCACAAACAACATGAGGCCCCCATTTTTTTTATAGCTACTCCGTTTCCCCTTTTTATCCGCCACCACTGACTTGTATTTCCTCCGCCACTCTCTGTTTTTATGTACCACTCTTTGTTTCTTTTATCCGAAACTTCTCTTCCTATCTCACATCTGCATTACAACACTCCGTGCTCTCTTTTTTTATCTATTATGTCTGTCTCTTTCTGACAATTTCCCTTCTTTCTGTGCTTTCTAAGGGGTTCGAACTTTTTCATGTACTCTGTCTCAGTCTTTCTTTTCTCTCCTTTTTATTCGCCACCACTCTCTTCTTTTTTATCCGGCACCACTGACTTCATGCATTCCTTCCACCACCCCTTCATTAACACTCCGTGCCTTATTCCTTTTTTTCCGTTCTATTTTAGCCAATAGGGCGAGAAGTATTGTATCCAGGGGTGGATTAACCATTATGCAAAATAAGCACGTGCTTGGGGCATCAAGAGAAAGGAGACACCACAGAAAATTTCCGTAGTCGAATTTTGGCGCTTCAGTGTTTAAGGAGCTTGTAGATGCTTTTCTTGTAGTAGTTGTTGAGTTCGGAGTTGGTAAGATCCATTGCGTATACAGAAGTCCCGCGAAAAGAAGCTAATTTTTTGTGGTGCTTGTAGCTTCTTTAATGTAATAATTCTGGTACTTCAAACATTTACTGATGCATTTTACCAGTGATACTGTTAAAAAACTTCAGTCAATAAATGTTTGAATAGCTTTTCACCGTCTTCAAATCTGTCATAAGAAACATAATTTGATGCAACCTATATGAAATGGGAGGTTGCGCACAACAGTAATAAAGTCAAATAAACAACATTTTTCGTCCTTATTCCATCATAAATATTGGCCAGAGCTTGACAGTCCTGTTTAAAAATGAAAAAACTTTCTGCTGAATAGATATTTTATTTCCAAATCGATAAATTCAATAAAAAAATATATATATTGTTTATTTTTATCAATTTTACTGAATAGCACAAAATTATTAATATGATTTTCCCGTGATTCTTCCTTTATAAAGGAATCAGCCATAAATCTAAACTGCATTCCAAATCCTCGTCCATGTTTTCTTTGTTATAGTTCTTGCAAATGGAAAGGACTCATGAAATAACCTAAAGAAATAGAGAATTTGATGTAAAAGTGGATTATTTATTATAAAACAATGTTGATAACTGTATTTCTACTATTACATAACAACGGCTGTTTAATCTGATGTAAATCGAACATTACGACTGTATTAAACCGGAAAGTGAGCAGAAAAAAATTGTATCAATAATATTTAATTGTATTACGTTGATAAATTTAAACAGGAGCGGATAAGCGTAAGAAATTACCATTACCTTTCCCTGCTTTAGAAGGGCAATCGTCTATTTTATAGTAACGAACGTCTTCTAGAGCCTCCCTGAAACTGACTGTCTTTTTCTCCTCGTTGTTTCGACCACTGGAAGGTACAAGAGCAAGGCAGGACTTTCCAGGAACAGCATTGGTTGGCTTGGTATTATTCGCCATCTTTGTGATTTCAATATCCTGAGAAAAATCTATTTGTTAACAATTGTCGTTATTAATTTATTAAAGAAAGATCTAAAGATGTTAAGTCGCTTTGACGTTGCAGAATTTACAGTATTGAATTCCGCGTTTGAGGGGCTTTGTGGTGTCTCGTCCAAACATAGCATTAAACCATCGCTAAGCAGTTTTAAACTATCAGTTAATTTGCCGGTTTCAACTTCCAATATATATCCGATATTATATTTTATTTCCAAAAATTTCAGCCATCCACCACCCTTATGATTCTTGACATGATAAACATATGTATATGCAGTCACAATTGTGCTATACAAATAGGTTTACGTTTACTAAATATAAATTGAAACATACCTCTGAACTTGGTGAGAGGTCATCATCGCTTGGCAATTCATTCTGGAAATCAAAAATAATGTTTTTGTCGAGTATTATTAATAGTAATACTCTACATTGAATTACACTGGCATTTCACTGAATTACATTACACTGACAATATCAGAGAATTGCTAGAAATTTATTTGGAATGAAACAAACAAATATAAACTTACAGATGATTTACTTGATTCGTCAGTATCGCTGTCAAAATCATCCTGGGTTGACAAAAAGTATAGTTATAAATATTTCATAATTTTAGTTTATTGAATATAAGAAATTTTATGACTTAATTAATTGTCTTTGACAAGTATTTTTTTGGGGAAAGCAAAAGTAATGATTCGCCATGGTATCCCACATCCTACCATATTTTACATATATATATAGTAATATCATGAGTTTTTTTGAAAATATTAATTCAATATTCACTTCGTAATCATCTTCGTCATCTTTATCGACCAGTTTTTGACTTTTCTCCTTGGACTGAAAACAACAATAAAAATATGTTTATGTGAGCAATTAAAAAAATGAAAATGTTTATCTGTGCTATCTGTTGGGTTTCTGCGGGACCAACTACATATCCTTCCTGTGGAATGAATATAATGCAGTGATGATGTAGCAATAATAAAGATAACTGAATAAAGTGATTTGAGGGCCTTGTTACACACTAACACAAATAATATGCTTATGTAAGCATTCTAAAAAGTAAGGGGTTAATTTTATTCAATCGATCACTTTCCCCGTCGATTTTCTTTATAAAACTCAAACATCTCACCTTTGACTTCTCATCATCTTGACGAGTGTCGTTAATTTTCTTCTCGTCTACTTTCTCATTGTGAGATTCCTGTTATAATCAAAATGCAATACTCGTATTATAGGAAATCCTGATCATGCAAAACATGTGGCGTGCAATTTAAGCACGTTTAAAATTCTTATATCTGTCACGGCTACTTATAGTATGGAATCACGAAAATAAATATTGGAGAAAATTGAATGCCAGGAAATGCAAAGGCAAGCAAAAGACAATTCGAAAGCTATGTTGGAGCTGCCGCGCTTATGTTTTTAGTAAGAAGGAGTGTCTGATCGTGAATCTAAACTAGTTTTAAATGCTACTGCTGCCAACACGGCTTAGTCAAAAGGATAAGAACGCAAAGGCAATTTTGTACTATTTCACCAATCGATATTGATGGCACGTTTATACATATTGTTGCAGATGCATCTCTATCCGTAACAGACATAACGTATAAATTACGGCTTTTGTCTATTGTTATTACTCGATCACTCTCTCTTTAATGGGTTCAGCATTCCGGATACGAAAAATAAAATCTTACATTTGTAGTGCAGGTAAGCACAGCATTGGAAGTATCGCCAATTGGAGAAGCCGATGGCAAAGGAGATTTGTCCTCTGTTACCTGAAAGCAATTTATTGTAAAGATTATTGAGATCAAATAAATAAAAAATAATCGATTGTGAGATGGTAAGGGTATATTATTGAAGACTTCTACAATTTTACCTCTTTTTCCACTTGTGAGATTTCCTTGAACGACATTTCCCCCTTGATGTTGTCTTCGATGTTCTGAAAATACGGGTATGGTTTTGCGTAAGGATTTATGTATACCGTGCAATAACCATTGGATCTAGAATATTTTACTACCGTACCGGTACTGCCGTAGTGTGGGTACCAGGTTTGTGTTAGGGCATAATTTTATTCCGATTTTCCTTATTTTAGTTCTATTACTAGTTTGGGGACTGTATGTGTTAGCCAAGTGAATATACCCCCTGTCCATAGTAATCAGTCCCGTTACACAACTTGATGTAAAATAGGCGAACAAAATTATTTACCTCCATATTGATACACACACTTCTGGGCGCTACCGTACCTAATCCCATACTCAGCCACGACCAATTGCCGTATGAAAATCGTAGTTAGCGTCAGACTTCGTCTTACGGGACCAGTAATGGGTCCTAAACCCCGAGTCAAATCTTCTTTGTCTCGAGTCGAGTCAATCACTGAGTTAAATGGTGAATGACTCTTTCTACATTGGATTTATATGAATTGAAATATTGAGAAAAAATTTACGTTTGCTTTCCCATTCAGCAAAGTATTGCTAGAATCTTCATTTGGAAATGAAGTTTATATCGGAGCTTTGTCGTCAGAAATCTAGTGGTAAAATACGATCATTGGGTGTTAGAAACTTTGCGGATAATTGCACGATTAAATGTCTTAACGTCGCACCAAGCATGTAAATGTTTCATAACAATGGTATTTGTGTAGTATGTGTACCAAGTTAAGGTTAAGCCATAATTTTTTTCCGATTTTCCTTATTTTAGTTCTATTACGAGTTCGGGGACTGTCTGTGTTAGCCAAGTGTTTGTGTCTGTGTTAGCCCTGCCCATAGGTTTCAGTTCATCTACACAAATTAATGTGAAGTAGGCGAACAAAATTAGTTCCATATTGGTACACATATTTCTGGAGCGCCTTGAACAAATATATCAGCATAGGTTACATACTGGGGTATACCAACTTTCTTCAATCTAAATATACGGTCTACATTTACCAGCAATAAAAGAATTTTAAACGTTGCGGTAAGTCTCAAAGGTTTTGCATTTTGGCTCGGACTATAGAAGAGCATTCATCGTTATTTAATACCTTGTTGTTGGGTAAAGAACGCGAGTTGCCATTGAAAGAAAATTCTGCTTCATTGACTTCGTTTTTCTTTACCTGTTCAAAATTGCAATCATGAGATTTATGAACTTGGCTATGTTAAGTTATAGTGAAGAATAACCAGGTATTCCTTCTGTGTGAAACTCTGTAATCGTCGCATCATGAATATTCCTTACTTTTAGTCAATGAACGTCTGATCTTACTAATTTCCATTCGCAATTTTGTTTCTATTGAGTTGAATGTTGCGCCTAAAGCAACGTTCTTACGAATGTCTACTTATCATGTCCGTCGAACAAGAAACAAAAATTTAAAAAATTGAATACCACTGTGTATTGTTGGCGCACTTTGCATATCGGTTCATCGTAAAAAGGATCGTATGCTATTCTTTTAGTTATTGCATCATTAACTTGATAATTTTCCGGTAGTTTAACCTCGGTCGTCTGAGATATCTGGAAAACATATCTTTTTAAATAAATAGCAATAATTTGAGCTAGAAAACTATCCCGCGAGGCTTGACAAAATAATCAAAACGGAAAAGCAAGTTACACTATTTTCTAATACGAGTTGCATTTTATATGTTCACTCTAACATATTAACCCATAATTCGTCACTCGGGATAATACTTCAAAAATAAAACGGTATTGGACATCCGAATGCGAAATCCGAATGCGAATGCATTTCAAACGCAGACTCTGCCTCAAATACTCGATTCGTGGTTTTAAGATTCTGCGACTTCTGACGTCAGGTTGAGAAAATTAACTTCGATCTCCAAAATAACTAAATTTTGACGACGAAAACTTTGGCAAAATACTGTGCACTTTTAAATTTTATTCACAAATGTTAGATTACCTTCGAACATTCGGTACTCCCGTAGTATGTGAATGAAGATGGCGGACACCGGAACGTAGTATGTGTATCAGGTTGGGGTTGGGCCATAATTTCAAGTACAAATACTACAGGAGTCACATGGCTAGTCCTACTACGTTCCGGTGCCTGCTATCTTGGTTCAGATATTACGGGTGTACACATCATTTTGCTAAATTTTACAAATATTGACGGTGCCGTTTCATAATGGGCATGTCTGTATTTTCGTAACATAGAAACAGATTTAATATTGCATTTATGGCTTTTACTTTTGTTACTAATCATTCTAACTCGAATTCTGAAAACAGAGAAAAATCGTACGTTTGCATCGCTGGTAAGCTCAGTATTGAAAGCATCGCCAATTGGAGACGTAGCTTGTAAAGGAGATTTGTTCTCTGCTACCTGAAAGGAAAATATGATTGATTAGTTAAATACAGATTTGATGATAATCAGTTATTTAATAATCTATTATTAGATCAATATAGGATACAAGGGTAGTGTCGCGTCAAAGTAATATTATTTTATACGTTGCAGGCAATGATATACCAAAGTGTCAATCCCTGAAGCAAATTGAAATTACTGCGGACTGCGGCACCCAGTCTCATACTTTGTCGGCGTCATCCCCTCGTACAAATATGAATTGATATCGATTAAAACATCTTACATTTGCATTGCTAGTTGGCAGAGTACTTGCAGCTTCGTTAGTTCCAGGTACAGTTACCAAATGAGCACTTTCGTCAATTACCTACAAGTAAAATGTAGTCATGTGTGTTAGGAACCAAATATTACCGCGTGTGTAAATTTTGGCGGATTCGAATGTGACAATAGATTGATTCATAGAGTCGTTACATTATCATTTAAACCGATGTATTAATTTTCATGATTCTATGCTTCTAATTTTTGGAAAGAGATCCTACTTCTTAGCTTTAGCTTTTACAAGTCATATTCACATAATTTGGCGATAAAGAAAATAAATAGAAAGTTCTTTGAGTTTAGTGATATTGTGAAATCGAAAATCAAAATCACATTCTTAGAAGAAAAATATACTCACACCTACCTTCTCAACTTTTTGTTTGCCAACTGTATGATTGTTAGTCTGAGTTGATTTCTGATCAAGTTTCTGAAAAATAAAGTTTAACATGCATTCCAATATTTGAGGTTTGATTGTTAGCCAGGTTGTGTGTTTTATACAGGGCTCTTAACTTGGAGTCAACAAATAAAAATTTTGTTTAAAATGTGATTCAATGTTTTTAACTACGTGAAGGATATTGAGTTCCTCGCAAGATATAAAATACGACTCCGATGAGTTTGAAATAAATGTGACTTCAGTGTCTCATATTCAAAACAATATTTGATTGACATTATATCAAAATTTATTTTTCGATACCTTGGGTTTGACGTCATCTGCTTTCCCCATTGTCTGCAAAAAAATGTTATGACATGCTTCATTACACTCTCCGAGCAACGCCCTAGATAAGCTGCCACCGATATGTGATAAGATTGTAAAACTGAATGAGCATGGTTTCTGCTACGAAAAATGCCAAGTCACATATCTTCGTAATAATGCAAAGTCAGATTAATAAAAGACTCTTGGGTTGATCCTGAAATCGTATTAGAACGTCCCAATGAAAGTGGCAATATTACGAAGTGAAATTAATTGTATTGTGTCTCTTTTTCAACGAGTATGAAAGTAACCTACAGCAACCATATTTTACCGTTTAGCATTTTACTAAATTCTGTAGCTTCTGTAGGTAGGTGTAGATGACTCGGCCGTTAGCAAGATTTTAGTATGATTCATACATAATGTGATCAAAACCTCATTCAACTCATACACTGTTGTCAGACATAGAACGTAGAACAATGTCGAAAAGATATTATATCTAACATACAGTACTTACCCATATTTTTGAAGATGCTACAAATTGTTCCAATCTTTTAGCTGTGTTGATGAGTGAATGTAATTGTTGTTCTGTTTCCGCCATGTTGTCAATTTTGAAGTTGCTCAACGAGTCTCCAGATTGAGAAACTGCAGTATTTTAACGCAAATTAAGACAATTATCTTATATATTAAATAAACTTGCCTCCTGAGTCTACATATAATATCGCATATATAAAAAAAGATTTAGGATTTCATCTTACCTTTATTGCAAATATTTTCAGACGATGTTGTTCTTCCCAACAAGGCAGAATCTTCATTTATGTTCAAATTCATTTGAGACTGTTTTTCGTTTACAAAATCCAAACTTTTTTCGAACCATAATTTTGCCGAAGCAATTGATTCCAAATCACGAATCAATGATTTCTTCTGATCATCTAATTGTTCCATGAATTTTATCTGCAAAATTAGAAATAAATGAGATAAATAATTCACTTTCCAAATGAAATTTTTATTGTTGTTTTAAACCAATGCCCTGAACAAGGCTATATAACCAAGCAGCAGGTTGAAGTATAGATCTATAGAGTTAAGAATGATTACAATAATGGTGATTAGAATCGTCATAACCGAGAAACAACCAAGGCTGTGGAATCAGGGAAAATTAACGCCTCCTAGTTAAAGAAATTTATACTCCGATTTCGGAATTCTTGTTCAGCTGTGGACACCAGAGGAAATCAAATTTTGATTACAAATCTTGGCATATGAAAGCCTTCTTTGATACTGTTAGCAACGCTTTGTCAACGTAAATTTTTTTTTCGAGTATCTGTAAAAAACTTTGACTTCTATTACCGCTATGAAAACATTCCAAACTCCGACTACATGTCACCAAAATAAACCTTTGCATTTTCGTAAATGCTAATAGAATAAATGCTAATAGAATAAAACTAGTCTTTCTTAGCACTTTTAACAGAATAAATATTTCTCAGGTTATTAGTGGTCTGTTTAGGCAACAATTTCATGAATTTAGTATCTTCCGACGTACCATGTTGTCGTCTATTTTTTTGCTCATTCCTTGACAAGGAACGTTTCTTCCCATATTGACAGACTCGTCCCCAGACGACGGCAATATTCTAGTCAATACAGGTGGAAGAGACATTGATGTCGCATCATGATCTTGATCTTTTGAACTTTTCGAATCTGAAAGTTCTTTGACAACTTTGTCTTTGGTAAAACTTCTCTTTTGCGAATCAGCGTTAGAATGAAGTTTTGAAATTTCTCCGTCTCCTCCACTGGCGAAGTCCCTGGCGAAATATTAAGAAATTTTTGATATATTTTTTGTACAAACAATAAATATATATATATATATATATAGCATTTAGGATGAAATTGCATACGATCGATTACTCACTAATTATATATGAAAAAAATTATCAAACTCAAAATGATATTTTTGCGTGGAATTTGTAGAATAGCGTATATATATTATATATTTTTTCTTGCTTTGAATGAGTGAAGGATACTTGCAGCTCAATCATTTTTGCAAATATCTTTAGAAAAGGAAGTCAAGTAATGAGCACGCACAGGGTTATTTGGAAGCAAATATAGATGGATTTAGAAAATAAGAAATACAATTTTGTCGAAATTCTATCTAAATATGGAAATGTCAGAAAAGATACGTAATGTCTCTGATTCAAAGAATCTTTTTTAACCTTGGCGATTTAGTGCCAGGAATTCCAAGAGGTGGGAGCGTATTTCCACGTTTTCCGTCATTGTATCGCTCATGATCAATATAAGAAAGTGTTTCTTTATCATCAATTGTACTAATCTTGTCAGATGACTTTTTCGAGTGCTGTTGGTCACCCAAATTCGATTTATTTCTGCAAATAATAACTTTTATTTATTCTCTTCTATGAACCCATTTATTGCTAATGTGGTAAATATAACAAAATACCTAGAACTACCGATCGTGATTTCGAAGAATAATACGAACAATGCTGGGTTAAAGTTTTTACCATAAGGGTATCGAGTCGCGTCCGATATTGAAAAAGCCAGTCTGGGTCAGTCTTACTGGCGGTTATTTGATGAGGCCCCCGTGCCATTCCGTTTAGATAAGCGGGGCTCGAGGCTATCCAACACCGAATAAGAACCTAAGGCTTTGTATTATGGTATTTTCACTTTCGGGATCCCATTGATATGTTCTGAAATAAACTTCCCCCTTTATTCACGAGCTAACCAAGCAACCAAGCAGTAAGGTTTAAGTTACCCGTTTCCAGAATAAAGCTTCTCGGCCATTTCAGATCCGATATCGTCCTGATTTGCAGACTGTGAAGAAGTCTTTGAAGAAATCTATCAACGTTATTTAAGAATGAAGAATAAACAGAAAGTAGAATAAGAAACCCCGTGGCAGTAATAAGATGAAACAAGTGATATGGACTGAATTTAGCCACAGAAATCCTAAAATGTCAATATTATTTCAAATAATTCAATATAACGTTTTTACCTTTCCATCACTATGAATTTCTCTGGAGATTTCCTCGTCACCGCCGTTTCCAGTCGAAGTTTTACAGCAGCGAGCGAATGTCTAGCAAAAGAAATGGTCTTTTTGTTAGTTTTTCCTTACCGCTAAAAAAGCTGTATACAAGAAGTCACTTAGGTAGAAGAATAACGTATTCAGGAAACAAAAATCCTTACAACTTCTTGTATCCTGGATTAGATTACGGGTCTGAGTTTAATAGCCAGCTCAAGGCTCAAATCCCAAATCTCATACCAGCGGTGTCAATAGTAATTAGATAACCATACGAGGCAAATGTAATCAAGTTATTTAAAAAAGATGTTTACAAACGTCTCACCAAGATTTTGTTCGTCTTCCTTACTCCCCGACCAAACCATGATGCAAACGCATATACGCATTGTACTGCAGTCAAATAAGATGAAGCCTCATCTTGTTCCTGGAAATAAGAGATCAAGATTTAGTCCAGAAATAAATATCCTGCCTTCATTTTTAGATACATACACGAACTCATAGAGGCTGGGAACTGCTGGGGTTTAACATGATTACCGGTTCGATATAGTTTCTTTCAACATAGGTGAGACGATGTATGCCAGGGTCGTCCAACCTTTTTGGCCGACGGCCACATGAAATTTACTAATAAGTGGCCACTTATCATTGTAGTTTTGTTTTAGTCTTGATACACTGACTACAGGTAAATAAAAAAACAATAAAACTGTTGTTTCCCAACCATTGATGGGGCGCTATCAGTGGTTATTCCCAAAAGTTTTGCAAAAAACAAGCCAAGACGCTTGATCATTTTCATCACAGCTCTCAACATATCAATGCCCATAGTCGTGCCCCTAATTGGGACAATGGCTGCGAACTCTTCGGTAATTTCAAAATCATCATTAATTAACTCCACGCATAAAGAGCAGCAGACTTAATGCCAGTATTTTCGTCAAGCGTCAAGGAATACGATGAAAACTTTCCTGCTTTTGCAATTGAAGCTTCTGCTATAGAATTCCCAAGCTCTTCAACCCGACGAGAATCGTCTGTCTTGACAGGCTTATATTTGCAAACGCCTCTTATGGCCCGCGGGCGACTGGTTGGACGACCCTGATGTATGCCAAATTAACTAGTGGACAGGAATCTCCGATTTTATTATTATCTGTGATGCTTACATAAGCATCGCTATTTTCGAGTATGGCCCATGAGGCCATGATAGACTCTAAGTCTGATTGAAAAAAAACGCTCCGTACACCTCCGTCGCAAATGTACTTAAATCGATTCAGACAGGCGATGTATCGCGATTTACAGAGCCGGTCATAACTATTGCGGCACCCTATGGGAAAGGAATTGCGAGTGTAGGGATATATAGCAAACATGCCGACATATTACAACGCTATTTCCGTTTGGTGCATATGCTGCACTGAATTTTTAAAACTATAATTAACCCCTATACATATGAAAGAGAAAGCGAGACTTTTTCGAAAATGCCCTAGATTAGATCATACCAGAAAGACGAAATCATTTATATTTCACTTATTACCTACGTCCTACGCAATAGTTAACCCTTCTTCCGTTGACCATTAGAAACTATTTTGAACATGGCCATGTTAATTAAGGGTTACTAAAAAGTTTTCCTCTTCCATCTGTTTTTTGTAATATATCGAAGTGTTATTTAGATATATGAAGTGCATGCTGTCTTTGTGCATAACTCAATGGCTTGAGGTCGGAAGGATCAAACTGTTATTAGAATTAAATTCCGGTGTAGAACTCTCTCGACCCCTTATCAACCCACTGCAATGTTACCATCTCATATTGGTACTTATAGTAACCTGTATGAATAAGATTAAATATCGGTCTTAAATATTGAACTATTTAAAATAAATTTATATTAAAAATATTCAACGGATTTTTGAAATTGGCTCCACGGGGCCTGATCATAACTTAATCAACACTTTATTAGAATTTATGGCGATAAATTCCAATGATATCTCAACAAGTCACTCACTTGGTGAGGCAATTTCCGAAATTTTCTGCCTCGTCGCTTGCGGCCACATGATACCCTGTGTCCCTCGCCGTCATGGTCCGTCGTGAAACCGACTTTATTTCGCCTAATAGGCATCTTTGATAGTCAAATCAGCGCATATAGAACAAGTCTTAATACGCTAAACTCAAATGATATTTCGCGCAAAATGGTATTTAATTCAGTAAAACATCTTCTTTGTTGCGTCATAAAAGCTCAAAATGTAATTGACCCCGAGCAGCAAAGATAAATCTCGTTTATATTCGTGAAATGTATGTAAATTTTTAAATAACGTCACGTCGTTCGTCACTCATGACGTCATTAAACAATTAGGATTTTTATTCTATATTTTAAACCGATTTGTAAGCGGTATTACTTTCGGTGCGTGGCCGACCTAACCCCCATTAATTGCATTATCTATTATGGATCATCGTTGAAGACGCCTATTCTATCCAAATATGCGCTTTGATCACACTTATAATGAAGAGTTTGTTTTCTTTTCTTGACTTCTAGTTAGTATATTCGATGATTTGCCGGGATCGAATTCACTATGATTATTTTTTCCGTGATTAGTCATGCGTGGGAATAGCTGACTGATAATTCAGAAATTTTGCGACAGCAGTTGTTAGTTGTTTTGTTGTTGTTGGAGCGGTGGGGTCTGCCAGTCGTTGAGCTGGTGAAGATGATCCTTTTGGTGCGTCCGTGACGTTTTGATGCGAGGGTATGGTTATTGGAGATAGCCCGGATTTTTAGTACGATGTAAGAATGACTATACTGGATTGATTTTAAAAATTCAGTGATGGCATAGATACCCGCACAATTTTCTCACTTTCAGACTTTCCGTACTGACTCAGGCGTAATTTCTGGAAAAGTAAATGTTTTGTAAAAAGGATTGTGTTTGTTCATTTCATTTTGCGCCATAAAAGTCTGAAAGTACCACACACACCGGTTAGTCTGTTAGTATTTGAGCATATCCTTAGGTCTTGAGATTTTACGGTACATGTTTTACAATATTTTTTTTTTTTATTTGAGTTGCTTGAAAAAGGTTCAGAACCACTGGTCGGGTCTCGTGTAGTTTCTTACCTAACATACTTTCAGTGGGCGTAGCATCACAATTTTTCGACATGTCAATCCTAACCCCCACCAGACTATGCCATCCAAAAATTACATCACTACAACATCACAATCACGTCATAGAGCTTGTTAAATATACGTACTATCGCCCGAAATGGCATCGGCGCCGACGATAAAGAACTTACTAACGTCAGCGATCTCTCTTATATTGGAATCGTCGCGATGTAAAAACGAGAGAAATAGCCGCTCGATTTCGGGTGCGCAGACGTGCGCGTCTTGGATGACAGTTCGTATAGTTTGAAGGTCTCTATTACGTCACTGTGACGTCCTATGGACGTAATATTTGGATGGCGTAATCAGGTGGGGGTTAGGATTGACACATGAAAAAATTGTTGTACTACGCCCGCTAGAAGTATGTTAGGTAGGAAACTACATGACACCCCACTGGTCTATGTCTTAATAAAAATAAAATAATAGAAATAACGAATAGTTCCTATTTAATTTAATACTGAACTAGGTATTTCAAAATAACCACACTGTTAGGAATTAGGATATTATTTTAAAGTATTTCTGTATTTGGTTGGCTGACTGTCGGACTGTATATGGTATTGTGATATTCCAGTATTTAAAAGATACCCCTGATTTGCAGAATTTGAGCATTTTATATTGATGAAATTTGTTTAAAAACATTCAAATTCTTTGATTTTCATAAAACTTTAGATTTATAATATTATGGCTCTTTATTTTGACCGGGCATTAAACACACCATCTGGAAATGTAACTGTTCATTCGGCTTGGCAGAAAGTATCAGGTCATTTTGCAGTATGTTCTGCATCTCCTGGGGCCGGTGCTGGCTTCGTGGATATATTCAATGCAGAGGTGAGAGTTTTTGATGCCTATCTTTGAGACAATATATATCAATGTATAGCATAATTTTAATCTTTTCAAATTTTCACATTTTTTTTACCCAGGTTCATAATCCAAAATGGAATTGATATGTGCATTTCCAATCTTGATATTCTTGTATATTTTGATAACGAGGGATGCGATCAACTTCGTCCCTCAGGTTAAAAAAAATTTGGCTCAGACATAAAATATTCTAACTCTCAACTCTTTTTTAGAAAAAATAGAAAATCCAATTCTGATATCAAAAACTCTGGTTATGCAAGCTGTTAATAGACTGATAAGAAAAGGAAACTGGCTCCAATTTTGGTGAAACATACTAAAGCCAGTCTCCAGGCTCTGAATCCATATCTCTGACGGTAACTTTGACTGAGTCTGGACTTCATTATATATTAACTGAATCCATCTCCTTTTAACCATATATTCCACAATATATTGAGATATATTGTTTCAAAATCCACCCTACCCAAATATAAAAAGTTTTTATTTCAATATTTTGTTCAAATTATAGGGAGAAAAGAAAACATCAAAAGAGCACGCAATTCAAAGATCGTGTCAACCAACTATATGTTCCTGGCATCCAATTAAAAATATACTTGCAGTTGGTTGGGAAAATGGTAATATTATTCATATTTTTATATCCTTTCTTAAAATAACTTAATATATTTGTATAAAACAGTGAAGAAAAAGTGCTGGCAGTCGAAGTCATTTTTAAATCATCATATCGATGGAGATAAAACTGTTAAATATTCAAAAATGTAGATGCTGAGAAAGTATTTTTGACCAAATTTTTGATGATAAAAACATTGATTTTTGCAATCATCAGGTGAACTTGTGATTTATAATGGACACAATGATGAGACGCATGAAGTACCTACACTGCATACTCAAGCTATCACTTCAATATGCTGGTCAACTAATGGTTCAAGACTGGCATCTGGTGACAAGGTAGCTTGACAATATATAAAGAGTTGTGTATATTACTGAATGTAATAGTTGATTTTTTCTTCAAAAACAACAAGTTGTTTTTATTTCTTATAATATACCAATAATAATTTGTTTTCTTATAGTACGACACATATAAGAAAATATTACTAAACTTAAAATATATGTGTTCAAAAATTCATATATTTTCTTATTAAGTTACTTGAAAACATGAGAGGTATAATGTTCAACATTGTGGAAATTTGGGAAATTGCTTTATTACTTCCTTTATTGGCTTGTTGGTTGAAAGCAGTAATAAGAAATTGGTCAATTGATTTCCCTCTTCAGTCCATCTTTCAATTTGATCATTTAATGTAGACTTTTCACAGCATCTATTTTGTATTGTATAATTCAGAATCTTTGGAATTACATTAGTCATATTCTTAGGCAAAACTGTTAAATTGAGTTGCATTTTAGTGACAAGATTATATGTATGTAATGTGCCAATATGTATATCCCTATCACATATTGAATTTTATCGTATTATCGATTTAAGTTCAAAGTCTGTTGATAGTAATGATTGAAAATTGAAAAACTCTCCTACAGGCGAAATTCCAGTCAAAACGGTGCTAGCAAATGATGGGACAATGTTGCTTGCATACTTTCTTCATTGTCATCGATCTTTTATAATATTGTACTTGCAAAAAAAAGTTAGTACCGTAGGTATGTGTATATTCAATTTTAGGTTGGTGTAGCAGCTGTGTGGCGAGCTGATGATCGTGGAAGAATTCAACACAATCCTGTTTGTAGGTTTGAAATTGGAGCTGAAGTCACTCAATGTATAACACCAACATCATCTAGCAATGAAAACATCATGAGGTGGACAGTGGGATTGAATTTTGTTATTTTACAGTTTGCCTAAATACTGCAGTAGTTTCATTTCTAATTTTAAAGATATTTGGATTAATTCAATGCTTTTTTAAACCATGAGTAGTAATTTTCACGCTATAGTAGCACCAAGTGAAGTAAAATGATATAATGTTATCTTGTGGGACAATAGTATACTAAATTTTTTAGTTGGAAAGTGGTAGAAATTGTCCGGTGTTCGATCGGAGATATTGGTGTGGTATAAAAAGGATACTCGATTTGAACCTACCGGTACTTAGTTAAACGAGTATTCAACCCAAGTCTTCCACATCACCCAATATGAAAGACATGCCTAACTGGAAAGATTCTGCCTATTTTACACCTTTTGTAACTTATAGGTCCAAGTAGCTACTGATATAGTACTTTGTTTTGAGCAAAATTGTGAATTATTTTTATATTCTTATAAAATACTACTGGAATACTGACAAAAGTCATGAAGTACGGTAGCTAAATGCTCCCCTAGATTCATATAGTCTACTTCATTGAATGAGATATCAATCATACAAACTATTGTGTTATCTATTTTAATAGCAAAATTGCAAGTCTTGCTCGTGCGGCTGTAAGTGGTGATGAGAAAGCACTCGACCTTTTTGCAACTTTGGATACGAAGAAAGGTTCAAAACTACAAATGCCAAGTGTTGCCGACGGACTTTCTTTTTACTTTGGAGCAAAAAATGGTGAATATTGAATACATTTTTAGCAAATTTTCAATACAGGATATCTATTATTGAGTCGAGTAACTTATCGATACCATTATATAGATTGTAGGCCTCTATAGATAATGAAGTAAAAAATTGGAATAAACAACGATTAAAATAAAACAAATCGCCTGTCACAAAACTAAAATTTTGTTCAGGTGAAATTTTTTATATCGACGGGAAAGGACATGAACACCAATGCATGAAAATGGAAAATTCTGTTCATAAACTCATGTATTTCAGTGCAAAAGAAGCACTCGTCTCTATTTCATCAGACCTACAGGTAGGAATATCTTACGAGTCTAATAATCAAAAAGTAAAATTGAAAATTTAGCAGTAAAGAAAAGAAAGATCTTATTTTATTTGAGAATTTGAAATGATAGAAATGCTTTTTTCGACAAATAAGTCCAAATTAGGTGCTGATTTATCCATGTTTCTTGCAAAATACCACCAATTAAACGGTGAAAGATTCAGAATTGTTAGGACGTTGATATAAACTGTTTGATCTATGTTTAAGATGATGGAATGATTATTCCTCATAATATATCTAATTTGGAAAGATCACTTAAGTAAGTACTGAAGCCGAACCATACACATTGGCTATTTGTGCGGAAGTTGTCTGCTTTATTTCAATTTTAAATCGATCAGTCGCTCAGGAGAGTATTGAAAGCCTTCAATGGAGAAATTGTCCTTTTATGACGTGGAGCCTGATTTGACCATTTTAATTGTGAAAACTGACTTTCTACTTGTTATTTATATAAATATAAATTTTTAGGTTGTTTTGAGTCGAGTTCACGGTGATGGCAAAACGGAAGAATTGTATCGAGCAAAACTTAGTGGTCAGGGAACCAAATCAGACATGACTTGGGCTAGTGAAGGACTACTCGCTTCTGCCACATCTGACCATTCATTGAGGTAATATAAGAACAATGCTTAAATATATGAACAGGAAAATTTAATGACCAACGTATTGCCGGTAGACTGTGTGACTTACACTAAAACCTGTTATCTGATCATTCAAAAGCTTCAAATCAGTTATTCGAATCAAGTCCCACTGCTGCATTAAAGTCATATGGTAAACCCTAAATGACCAAGTTTGCTTTTCTGTAAAGAGTGGTTGAGGTGGTTAAGCTTGAGTCAATAAGAAGTGTGCACGATGGAATAGAAAGTGTTCCTCTTCAATTACAATAAAATAGCTTACATTTTGAAGGAATGTTGTGTCCCATAAAACTTGAGGAAAAAAAATAAAAATAATACCCTTTCGGAGACATCTTTGGATACTGTAAATCTGAATTCATGACTCGTGAAAAAAAAATCGATAGAAAGTCTCATATTATACCCAAAATTTTAATATGTTATCCTAATTATTCTTATTAATTATATCAGAAACTAATCTCAGTCATGTGATCCAACCAGATTCAATCATGTTACTTTCTTCAACTTTCTTCTGCACCTTATTCATCTGAAATACCATTATAATATTTTTCAGAATGTGGAATTTAAACTCTGATGATAATTATACTTTATCGTTGGATACTGCCCTTGGTTTTGACTCTGACGAACGTATTACTTCTGTGGCATATTCCGATCAAAAACGTAAGTTTTGAATTTGAATCATTTTTTGACAGCACAGAATTTTAAGCAAGGCTGTAGGGCAGTGGTTCTCAAACAGACAGTTTTGGGGGGGGGGCGTGAAGATAATTGATCTTGCCCCTCGTTTTTTGGATATTTGCGTTCCATCCACGTATTTTCAACGTGTTTTTGAATGAAACATACTTTCGCCTTACTATCTGTTATTTGTAGCTTATTTTTAGCTAGTTATTGTTGAGGCAGGTGCGAGACTTGACAAATTCTAAATATGAGTCACTGCTTAAAATGTTTGGGAACGACTGCTGTAAAGTCAGAGTTTGGTGTTTTGTCTTATTCTCAACCCCTGCCAGAGTCCAGAATTCCGAAGGCAAAATTTCAGACTTTCAACTAAAACTGAAAGAAATTTAAATTGCATTCGTAACAGTTTATTTAATAAGGCTTGCATACATCATAAGTTCTTATTATTTTTATTCAAGGATTCGGAACTGAGAGTTTGAGTGGTAAAACTAATATCAAATATATCCAATTTAATAGGAAAAATTTGACCAAAGCGATATTTTATTCATACGTTTCAGGTATTCTGGCAGCTAGTACCAACAAATGTAAAATAGCAATGTGGAATTTTTCTCCAATGTTTGATTCCAAAACAATACAGGATGCCGAAAGTCAATGGCTTCTACAGCAAGCTACAACAATTGAAACAGAAGCATTACATATTGAGGTATTATTGTTGAATTTTGTTATTACTTATCGATTTTAATCGGTAAGTATGTTGATAGGTATTTGTCTGTATGTCTGTCTGTCTGTCTGTCTGTTAGATGCTCCAGATTTTGCATGTGCATTCATCATATGTCGGACCAAAAGCCTCGAGTTATTAATTAATTAGTGATCAAGTGATCTAGATTTTTGTAAAGCGAGAGAATTTTGGGATCCGCCGAGTGTGTGTGTGCGGTGCGCAAGTGCAAGTTACAAGAGAGGATATATCAAAACCACAGTTTCTGTTTTGGGGGATCCCCTAACTCTCGATCGATAAGTCTTCGGTTTTCAATCGATATTCACGTTTTATAGGATTAGGTATTTTATTTTTATCTGACATTGTAATTTTCTAATACTGCAAAGATATTGATATCAAATTTTACTTGTTTCATAATCTTCTGTAAAAACAAAATTCAGTCATGTTTTATTTTTAAGAGTAGTCATGTCTGTTATATTATATCACAAACTTTTTCGAGCAATGAAATCATTTTTAAGTTGAATCAATAGTTTTTCAGTTTTTGAAACATTATAAATACAAATTCCTTTATTATGTACGATGTATCAGAAATCAGTTCTGTGGACGTAATTCAGGCTAAAAAATTTTGACTCTGACATCAATTTGATAGAAATTTTAATTTCTGGCTTCAAACTCTGGAAAAAAATCGAATTTTCTTCACTGAAACTTTGGTGTATGTAAGCTACAATTACAAACACTTAGCATTAATCAAATCCGCTTTTTTTGAGTTTTTTTATAAGAAAATTTATCTTTGATTATCACCATTAAAGGTTTTAAATTCCAACTCCCAGGAATTCAAAACCCCTACTTTAATGAAAACATACAAAACTCAGACGAGTCCACAACCCTGTTAAAAACTGTAAATTGATAATTTCTTATTTGCAGTGGTGCAACAGGAAAGCTGTGTTAGCTGTAAACCACGACAGAGGAGTTACTTTCTTGACAGAGCAAAGATTAAATTGGGCGATATCAAATCGGATTCTTGCTGTTCAAACTGCACCAAAACAAGCTTTTGTTGAAATAAGCCCAGAGCAATCTACACAGTCTATGGGTAATAATTTGATTTTTTTCTGTGGGACACACAGTTTGTTATTATTGTTGGAATCGGGGAATTTGGGGAAGCTTTGAAATTTTGTGTAGATCACGCATGATACTACTTTACTGTGGTTAGTCATTTGACCTCCATAGCCATATATTTGAGCATTGCAAATTATACCCTATTCCCATCCTTTCACATCGTGGAACCTGGAACATGAACGTGCCATAAACTGACTATTGTACATCTCGTCGTAGTTCGTACCTCTTTGTCCTCTGTATTGTACAAGAGTTTTATTTGTATATTTCATGTCTGTTGTCCTACTATAACACAGCAGTCCTGAACTGCAGTTATACTTGTTGGGGTGCATGTCGCACCGTGTCTTAGGCCAGTAAGGTCTTGAACATGTATCCCATCTCTGTTATACTGTTTAAATATTATTCAGATACTGTTACATTTTTGAGGCAAATAAACATACATACCATGCTCTGTTGTGAGCATTTTAATTATTCAGCATGAAAAAAATGACTGAAGGTGTCTAGCTCGTTTTCTAGTATATTCACCTTCTGTTATATATTTGTCAGGTGTTCCAACATTGTCTCCAACTCGTTCAATGGATCAATGGAAGAGCCCGACCCATTCTCAAAAACCTGTTCAAACCGAACTTAACACTGAAATATTTTTTACTGGTATTGCTGTCAGCAAAGTAAGTTTGAAAACGTGGGATGGGTCGGGGCCCGTGGGACAGTTTATGTTAAAATATTAGAATGTTGATATATTGCATGATTATTGGATGAGCCAAACAAGGCATATGGACAATAAGTTGGAATTAACGGTACTCCTGTAGTGCGTGTACCAGGTTAGGGTTAGGCCATAATTTTATTCCGATTTTCCTTATTTTTAATCTATTATTTCCGGAACTGTCTGTGTTAGCCAAGTGATTATACCCCCTGTCCACAGATTTCCGTCCCTTTACACAACTTGATGTAAAGTAGGCGAACAAAATTAGTTATCTCCATATTGATACACACACTTCTGAAGCGCAAATTTACAAAGTTTGCATTGCTGTAAACTGATTCCACAACACCCAATACCCCACCCAAGGGGTAATAAATTGAATATCAGTAATTAATCGGGAAGGTCCAGACATTTTAAAGTCATGCAGCGATCAAAATAGGGGAAGATGCAGGAAGATTCTGTCATATGAATAAACTATTTTCAGCCCTGGTCGAGCCTCATTATTCATAATTGGTGAACTTCAGGAAAATCGTCACAGGGAATTCTTTCATATGTTTCATAGATTGAATATTACGCCACAGAAAAATAACCCTGAAAAAGTTCTTTTAATGAACGTGTAGTCACGACGACCGTTTCAGAAGCCGCTATATCAGATTATGATCTTAAAATTCCCATTTTTGAAAATCCTGGCTGCGACCACAGTTATATGTATTTTTGTGATATCGGTTATAACCACAATTTTTACAATTGAAATCTTTTATAAATTTAGGATGCTTTGGCTGTTTGGAATGGGAGTCAAGTTGTTGTGTATGATGTTGTCAACAATACATTGATACTAGCAGGTAACTATTTCGATATTTAGGAAATCGGTAATTAAGAGTCTCATAATAGAGAGTTTGATTCAATTTCTTTGGTTATATTTGCCTCAAACAAGTCTATAAGCAAGCTGCGCTCTAACACACAGTTTAATAACTGAGATAGGCAAACTACGGCCCAGGGGCCAAATTCGGCCTGTTGGATGATTTAATCAGGCCTGCCTGATGTTGCCACAACCAAACTAAAACCAAATGTTTTAGCTAAAAAATAGCTCAAGGAATCTGTTGAGATTGCAATTAAATTTAGTATTGGCATGGGGCTTATTGTTTTCCAATTTTGTCTTTGTAACACTATAAATATTGTTTATAAAATGTAACTATTTATGTCACGCTTACATGGCCCGCCAGTTTAGAATAGGGAATTTTTTGGCCCTTCGTCCAAAAACCCTGCCCACCCCTAGTTTATACTATTGCAGTTTCACGAGTCATCAGTTTGAACTGAAGTCGGTAATCTGCAATACAACCAATAATACCCAATGTGTGAAATTACATTTTTAATGTGATTGCTTTACTAAAAAGTTGTTTTTACTTGCCATTTGATGTTATTTGTAGAATCGCCCGTTTACTTATATAAATGTAATATTAGTAAATGCCCATAGCCAAACTTACTCCCATAACCGACCAACAGTACTCGTGAGAGAATATGGTCATTTCATCGTCACAGATGATTAGTCATAATCAGTCATCTGTAACTGCTGACATCTTTGATAATGCTCAAAACATCATGCAAAACACTTGTTGCCAGAAATACAATAAGAATGCAACATCATTTGCGTCAATCTTACAAATTACAATTCTTTTTATTTCAGGGAATTTTTTTATTGAATCTATTGTCAATGCTCTTCACGATCAAAGTTTCTTCACTGTTGAATCTGGTAATAACAAGGAAAATAATAAAGTGCAAGTCAGAAATTTTAAGGTAGGTATTGTATTGATGGAATAGTTAGAATGCTTTCGAAAGGTCATTTTGTTGTAAAATAAATTGTGGACTTCAAACTTTGTTAGTCTTTTTTAGATAGGTTTTCAGCAAACATTTTGAGTATGCAAGCCTTCTTTAATAATCACTTTCAGAAGGCTAAGCAAACTTAATTCCTTTTTTTATCATCATTGAAAGTCTGAAATTCAGACTCAAAATTGAGAATTTCAACTTCTGGACTTTAGGGTGTTCGAAAATAATGTTCTGACAGCCCTGTGATATACATCCATAAATATCTAAGTATTTAAATAATATGAATGAATATCATCTTTTTTATCAACCAGGGCACAGTCAAACAAGTTCTTCAATTTCAAGACAAAGAAGGTGAAGTCGTTCATCTTGATGTCTGCGGAAATTTCTTGGTTGCTGCAACAAATCAAGGAGTTCTGAGAATTTATGATTTGAGTCGAAGGTCAGAATTTCTTATTTTTATATTTCGAGAGTAAGTGAAAAAGACAAACGTTGATATTTTGAAAAAATTAGTATTTAGAAATATTACAAAGAAGCGAGTGCTCTTCAAGCTGGTATCTAATCAAAATTTGAATCTATATTCACCAAAGTATTTCAAGAAAAAGTTTGAAAATTAAAAATTATCATTTTTCAGCATTTTCTCAAGTTTTGCCTTTCTGGGCTAAAGCCCTTTTAATTGTTAATCAGTAGCAATTCGATTTTTGAATATGACATTTTTAGTTCTTGTAACATTGAAGCATATTATATTTTTGTATTCAGGGATGCAAAACCACACTGTAATTCTAAAAACATGGCTGAACTTATTCCATACTTTGGTTCGTTCAAAAGCATCAAATGCAATAGTGCAGGAACCAGGGTTGCAATGGTTGTAAAGCAGGTAAACAATTTTATTGTAAGATGTGTACTGTTGTCTTGTCTCTTTTCAACTTTCATTTCAATTTTCAATCTGTCACTTCTAATTTCTTTTTATTCTCTTATTCTTTTTTTTCGTATTTGAATTGTCTTTTCATTCTCTCACTTCTGAATTAATGTTCTTTCCCTTTTTCTATTCTCTCGACTCTCACTCCTAAAATCTGTTTTATTCTCTCGCACTTATAAATTTCTGTGTCATCCTGTCACTTTTGATTCCTTTTTATTGTTTCACACAAGAATTACCTTTCATCTCTTACTTATAACTGCTTTTCATGTCTCACCTTGAAGTTAGTTTTCAATTTTAGACTTTAAATACCTATTTTATCTGCTTTTGAAGTACTCTTCTTTCCTTCACTTATAAATACTTTTCCTTTTTCCATTATTAATTTCTTTCTATTCTCTCACATTTGAATTACATTTCTATTCTCTCACTTTTAAATCTCTTCATTCTCTCACATTTAAACCATATCTCATTCTCTCACTTTTGTAACTTGTTTATATTACTTTGTCAGGATAATCAAGTCACCAGTCCTAAATTATACATTTACAATGTTGAGAAAGATCGAGTTGATTTGTTTGATTTTGCATCCGGAAAAAGTGGAGATGGAGATCTGATGAGATCAACAGAGGCAGAAGAGTAGGTTTTGTTGCACAGTTTGCTGTAATTAGTATTATCTTTTGCTTCAGGATGCGAGACAATATCACATCTTGATCGTGGACTAGTTAGTGTTGGTGTTTATGTGATTATAGTTGTTGTTGAGAAACATCACTTTGATCCGCAGCTAATGAACCAATTGTTTCAGATTTTCAGAACTTGAAAGATGGAAGTAATTTAAGATTTCTAAATAATATGGCGTTTTTCAAAATCGTGATAGTGTAGAAATAAAATTTAATTTTAATAAAATAGCTCAAATTTGGTTATGATAATTTATTTCCATTTTCAAATCCTGTCTAAATTAATAATACATGTTTGATTCATAGACTCAGCCAGTCAATATTCCAATTTTAAATAACTTCGTTTTTCATTTTTTTATTTCCCAAATTTCTTCACAGAAACAGAATACAAAATGCATTAGATGTGGCAGGAAGATATCCATTGTCTATTCACTGGGACACAGAAGAACCATGTTTGTTAGTTTGTGAAGCACAACTCTCAGATAATGCAAGAAGAACACCGGTACAAGCTGTTACGTCAAGCTCATCGATTGGAAGTGATACACATGAAATACCGGTACGTTAAACTGTTTATTAGTATAGAATTTTATCATAAATCACAGGGAGCAGAAAGATGATAAAATGGCTTAATCGAATGACGAACCTTGGCTTCTTGTATGGTTACCAGTCCCTGTAAGTTATGGGGTTAGTTAAAATTGTTTCTGGCGCATGGATAAGAACTAGATGGTTGAAGAAGCTGTAACTGTCCCTTCCCTTCGGCAGTGAAGAGTACAGCAATAGATGTCGTTGTAATTTGTTGTTATCGCTGGTTGAAAATTGGGGGTTCAAATTCAATGCTCTTCCCCTAATAAGTTAGTAGTCGATGCTGAAATATATTTCATAGAGGAAATATTGGAAGAGCAAGCGACATTAATAATTTATTTTGTTATTAAGCTTTTTAAAATCACTTGTTATTTCTTTTTTTCAATATTTTAGATCGAACAGTTGATAGTACTTCTGTACAGCACAACAGATGAAGGAGTTCTCGTGCAAGATTCTTTCAAAAAATCGATCGAGCAATCTGCTATTATTGGTTTGCGAGTTCCCAATTTTTATTTTACAAAAGCTGTAAGTATCAAATTTTAGCTAAGTCTTGTGCAGTATTTTAATATGCAAGTGTTTCATATATGATAAAGCTAAATTTCATGTTGATTTTTATTTTTGTCTATTCACATAGTTTTTTATTACTTCCAGGTGATAAGCAAAGCAGAAAAAGAACTTTCGAAGGAAAATGGTGAAAGTGTAACTTTTAGTTCGGTAAGTACTTTTGGTTTGTAATTGTTTTAACGAGTATTAGCCACAAACTAATGTTATTTTAATAAAATTGTATAACTGGCCCTCATTTGGTTGCCATGTGTTACACCATGCGAATATATTGGATCTATTGCAAAGCAAGTTAGGTGTCTTTATCGTGCTCATAAATATATGGTACCTAAATATAATATACTTGCATATTGCTTTCCAATTTGAGCTGGGCTGACTGTATTCTTTCATCGAACTGGAACAAGTAACGTATAGGGTTGGCCAAAATTGTCTATGTCAGGGTTTCTCAATCAGGGGGTGAATTTGTACTGCATTGGGGATAAATTTTGCATCCAAGCAAAGCACATGACCAAATTTCACTGTTGACCTTTGAAAGATTTCAAGTACTCCTATTTATAAATGAAGTTTATTATGCTTCGGATGTGATCGTTCTGTCCAGTATCCCAATTTCATAGTTTAATCCACAGTTATGGTTATAGCAAATTTTTACAACATATTTGATACTATGAGTACTATACCTTCCTCTATGATGCCAGGGGATGCGTATCTTGCAAGGATGTTGTAGCTGAAATAAACATGAATATTCTATGCAATTCAAAAGTCCTGCTGCACACTAACACAAATTTATTTCTGTAACGTTTCGTCTGACCAAAATCAGACTTCCTCAGACAAGCAGTTTACAACAATGTTGTTGCTAGTGTGCAGCATGACTCTTGAACTGCATAGAATATTTGATACTAATTTCATTTTTCAGAAACCATTTTCTAACGTACCAATGAGAGATTTTGTCGGTTTGGAAGATTGTGATCCAACAACAAGGCGGGCAATGTTGGATTTTAGTTTCAATTTGACTTTAGGAAATATGGATGAAGCTTTCAAAGCTATTAAATTAATAAAAAGGTGAAAATTTTTGTTTTAATATAAATATTATAAGTCACAATTTTAGTTCTCAAAATTTAAATGTTAGAATATAATATTGGTTGTTTGTACGAAGATTGGTTTTAGCAAAAAAAAAACATAAAAGGTTCTATATTTGGTAAATTTTTGTATAGGTATGCAAACTTCATAATACTTGGGTTAAAATAATTTTTATTTAAAGCCAAATTTAATATTGAGGACAACAAGGACATCCAAAAGTTTTATATTAACAAAAACGTACATTTTTGAACATTTATCAGTCCTACGAATCGTTTTGTGACAATTTGTTGTTGTTGCTGGATTGATTATGGTTGTTGTTGTGAAAAATCGTTTCTTTTGCAACTTATGCACCAATTGATTTCAGATTTTCAGTATTTAGAAATGGAAAAAGTCGCTGGAAGACTGTTACTGTTTTTTAAATTAAGTTATCAGTTTTTGGTACGCAATGTTTCACTCAAATGTTTTCTGATCTTCATAATTAATTTATAGGTACATTTCCATAGGAAATTCAGTGTCATTTTTCAAACATTTCATGCTATAATTTCATGTTTTGCGCTTAAGTTTGATGTTTTTTATAATTTATGGACGTACCTCCATATGACATTCAGCACAATTCTTTAAACATTTGAATGCTGTTTTGCCAGTACTCCGTAGTATGTGTACCAGGTTAGGGCAAAGACATAATTTTATTTCGATTTTCCTTATTTTAGTTCTATTACGAGTTTTGGGATTGTCTGTGTTAGCCAAGTGAATATACCCCCTGCAGATACGTTTCAGTCCCTTTATACACAACCTGATGTAAAGTAGGCAAACAAAATTAGTTACCTCCATATTGATATACATACTTCTGGAGCGCCGTTCTGCCTATCTTGCTGTGGCCATGTTAGTTACTTAACCTTTTTCCATATATTTGATCATTGTTCTCTCCATTTTATATAGTGAAGCAGTTTGGGAAAGTATGGCTAAAATGTGTGTAAAGACGAGAAGAGTTGATGTTGCTAAAGTTTGCCTTGGAAGGATGGGTCATGTCAGAGGAGCTCAGGCATTAAGACTTGCTGATAAAGAACCAGAGGTTGATGCAAGGATTGCGATGCTCGCTCTTCAACTTGGAATGAATGTAAGATTTTATTAAGCGTATGATGTTTGGTGTTAATTTTAAAAGCTTGTTTGCAGGATTTAGAAATGACTTTTTGTTAAAATCGTGTATGGAATGAATGTTATTCCACTATCAAGCATTTTCGATCGTTTTGAATACAAAGTTCAAATACAATACATTTTAAACAATGTTTTCATATGCTTTTTACTCTGAACAAGACTCTGTACCCATTGAATTTTATGTCATGCTCAATTGTTAGCGGCTGGCATTATTCAGATGGATAATTTCTCCGATATTTTGTAAGCATAGAAACTGTGAGATAGAAGGGTTTATCTATCTCAAATAGTATTTTAAATCAATAATTACAGCAATATAATAATATTGGTTGAAAATATTGTTTATGTAGGGTTGGTCAGTGAGGCCAATAAGATCATCGAGGCACCCATCTTTATGTGCTGTGTATTCATCCCGTTACACTAGTGATGATGATAACAAATTGAAACAGTTAATACATAGACAATCTTGCTTAAGGGGTTCTATTCATCCTTACCATGTCATAATTTTTCTTAGGATGAAGCTGAACGTCTGTACAGAAAATGTCAAAGATTCGACTTGCTGAATGAATTTTATCAAGCAACTGGGAAATGGGCAAAAGTAAGCAGTTGATAATATAACATGTTTTTGATATTTAGATTAGGAAGAGCCTATAGCATTTAGACTAATATAGCCAGTACACTAATAGACAGGGGCTGAGCCAGGGGTGATGGGGGTCAGAACACCCCCTCTGAAACGTGAAAAAAGGGCATTTTTCTGTATGATACATACCCCTTTTTCATAGCTTAAAAAATAAACCCTCAAAACTCTTGGAAAGTCTCTGTTTTCGGCGTCCGACTGGTCCAGCCCAGTTCCAGCGGGCTTGGCAACTAGGAATTTCAGAATACTCACCCCACATTCCCTCGCTACGATCCTGCTAATAAAGTCTTGAAACAATCTGATGTACACGTCATTAAATTGCACACACCCATTTCACATCTGATTTGTTTTGTGATTAGGATGTTATGTGGAATTGACTATCACATAGTTGTTTCCCTGATTTTATTGCCTTGAACTTTGAACTCTTTAAATCTCGCGTCGATCAGTATTTACCATAGTTGTAAGTGAAGATTTTGTAAAAACATGTCAACTTCTAAGCACTAATGGCCTGTACTACTGCTAGATTTAATGTTGACTTTGTTTTTCTTTCTTGTTTCATTTCAGGCGCTTGAAATAGCAGAGCAATTTGATAGAGTGCATTTGAGAACAACATTTCATAATTATGCAAAACATCTTGAACAATCTGAGGAAATTGCTGGTGCAATACCAATGTAAGTTCTTTAAATCACTGAAAAACTGAGATGATCAGAATTTACTGTTCTGGTTAGACTTCGAAAATATCAAAATCTGTATATTTATAATGTTTTCTAAGTTTAAATGTATCCAAGAAGACAAATGTATAGTCTTTATAGTAAGATTAAAATAATGCAAATATGAAAAATTTCATCGATTATAAAGAATGACTGAAAGTGACTTTTATGCGGAATAATAAAATTTTGACTTTATATTTGGTGTGTGCGAGACTTCTTAATTCATTGTTAAGAAGCCTTAGAGAACCCTGTGTTCCTACAGAAAATAAAAATTCGGAATTCTGAGTCTGACTCTCGACTTCGATCAGTTTGAAAATACCAGTGAAAACACGCCATACTCAATTTTTGTGACTCAAAAGGATAGTTTTTAGATTATTTTCAAGTTATTTCTAAAATTGAGGACTTTCCATATTGTATATATACTGGTTCGCATTTAAGTTATCTATCTGTTTTAATTTGCCCAAAATTTCAGATAAAGTGGAGAATTATATTAAAATTTTTTTTAAAAATGATCAATTGTATAAATAATAGTGTAAAAGTTTGAAGGTAAATTAATCTTTTTTTTTCCAGGTTTGAAAAAGCAGGAACTCATTCATTTGAAGTCCCGAGAATGTTATTTGACGACATCGACATGCTGGAAACATATGTTCTCAAATCAAAGAACAAGTAAGTTCAATTTTACTTTGATGGGAAGATTTGACTTAGGATTTTTATTCTGGTCTCAGGTTGAAGACATTTTGATCTCAGCTTTTCTCTCTCGGCAGAACCAAATTTTAAACAAAAACAAAAGTTTTCTCTAATCGCATATTGTCGTATTGACAATGATTTTTAGTTTTTGTTGTAATTTCTGAATTTGATTATCACAATGAAAAATCTTATACATCATCTCTGAAAAATTCTTCGACTTCGTTCTGACTTCTAAACCTGGAGTGTTTGAAAATACGTCTTCAGCTCCAGCAACTTTTTCAGTATAATCATTTCATCGACTCCAGAATACTTTGAATCCACTTTAAATGCCTAAGCTAGAATATTTTTTTTACTTTTCTTTCCAAGGACTTTTCTTCGATGGTGGGCCCAATACATGGAATCAACAGGAGAAATGGAGACAGCACTCAAATATTATGATCAAGCTGGCGATATTTTTTCTCTCGTTCGTGTTTATTGTTATTGCGGCAAAGTGGAAAAGGTAAAACCGAATAAATTTTTTCAATAAGACTTTTGAACTAAAATTTCAAAAGCCTGATCACCGAAATTTTGAATAAATAAAATGAGGAATAATAAAACGAGAATATTGGTTAGAGACCGGAGACTTATCGATCGAAAGTTAGGGGATCCCCAAATCAGCGCTCTTACTCCATAGTGACACCTTGTGTCCCATCACTGATTAATTAATAACTCGCTAATTATACGACATAATTCGCCCAAAATCAATAGGTTTCTGGACCGAGATGAGATGAATGCACATGCAAAATCTGGAGCAGATTCAATCTCGCTTTCGTGAGATATCGCGGGCAGCTAACAGACATACAGACAGACAAATACCTATCAACATACTTACCGATTAAAATCGATAAGTAATAAATGGCCACCAGAATCTTTTAATACTTTTTTTTTGTTGTTAGAATATGAAGTTGTCCAATTATTGATCATTAATCATGAAAGTCACCCTCTCCTCTAACATTAGCAGCTATCAATTTTATATTTTCAATTTAATTCCTTAGATTTAGAATGTCTTTGGGGTACCCTTGTAGTATGTGTACCCTAATTTTATTCTGATTTTCCTTATTTTAGTTCTATTACGAGATTGGGGACTGTCTGTGTTAGCCAAGTGAATATACCCCCTGCCCATATGCTTCAGTCCCTTTACACAACTTGATGTAAAATAGGCGAACGAATTAGGTTACCTCCATATTGGTACACATACTTCTGGAGTATTGTCCATGGTGAGTTAACTAACTCACTTACTATTTGAATGTACCTTCTATAAAATGTTCTTTAGGCTGCAGGAATCGCTAACGAGACAAAGAATCGTGCAGCGTGTTATCATCTTGCTCGTCATTTTGAAAACAGTGATGATATAAAACAAGCAATACATTTTTATACTTGTGCTGCAACATATGGAAATGCTATCAGGATTTGTAAAGTAGGATTTGAATTTTTTAATTTTTACAAAATTTTGTTTCTGTTTATTCCCATTTCCAAAGCTCAAACTGCAGTATTGATAGCCTAAGCACCTCAGGTAAGAACACAGCTTAGCAGTGAGCACAGACGTTGTCAGGACCTAATCTGATGTAATGCCACATGGTGGCGCAACATTCATATAACATCTTCCCGGAGAATTTCACCATCTCTAACTGCTGAAAATTAACTTGATCACCTTTGACCTGTACGTAAAAATGGCAGAATAACGAACATTGAATTTTTTCCCATTTAGCAATAATAGTAAAACTCTGACTAAAATACGATTATTTTAACAGGAACATGGATTTGAAGACCAACTGATGAATCTTGCGTTATTGAGTTCACCAACAGACATGGTAGAAGCCGCAACGTATTACGAGACTCGACCAGACTTGGTTGAAAAAGCTGTTCTGCTCTACCATAAGGCCGGACATTTCTCGAAAGCGTTGAAATTGGCATTTGATACCCAGCAATTTGGAGCTCTTGAATCTATCGCACAGGTTTGTCTGGTGTTCATTTTTAAATTGTTTAGAAAAGTGGTTCTCAGACTTTAAGTCTGGCGTCCTACTTCAACAATAACTAGGTAACAATAAGCTACAAATAACAGATAGTAAAGCGAAAGTATGTTTTAATCAAAAAACATGTTGAAAATACGTCGATGGAACGTAAATATCCAAAATAAAAAAATTCAAGTATTTAAAACAAGGCGAGCAAGATCAAATCTAACGAATATTTTTATTTTAAATTAGCTCCACGCCCTCTCAAAAAATTGTCTACACCTCACTTCGCGCGTTTCATCGTTTGAGAACCCATGGTTTAGTATATTAGTATTAATTTGAATATACTGTAACGCTGAAACCGAAGCCATTGTGATTCCAAGTCAGCTTTTCCCCCCTTTCCTGTAGTAAGTAGAGTGGATGAGTGATACAGGTATGATTAAAACTTATTGCTTTTAATTTTGAAGGATTTGGACGAACGAGCTGATCCTGTGTTGTTGGAAAGATGTGCAAACTTCTTCATGGAACATCAACAATATGATAAAGCTGTCAGCCTGCTTGTTATTGCAAAGAAGGTTTGTTAATAATGGTTGTTATTTTTTTTTTCACACTCTGAGCAGGGATACGATTCTTCTTGTTGAGACTTATTCGTTAGTTTTTGAGTTGAAGCAGAAGACATAATTTTTCCCCAGTCCCACTCATAATTTTGTATTTTCCATGATTGAAGCTTGAGTGGATGGATTCTATAACTTGAGTCTTGTATAACTCAAGATTCCCTGATACTGAGGCTGTCTAAAATTATAACAAATGCTGATTTTCATGATGCAAATTTGTTTCTCGCACAATGTGTGTCTGAGTCGTAGTTGGTTTTACAGTACTCTCAAAAAAGACACTTTTCCGAACAGCACAAATTTAGATAACCTTGTATTGTAGGCCGTAAGCTATGGAAATCCTATGAAAGCACAAACAAACAAATCGCTTTCCTCTCTCCTGGGATAAATATTCAAATCCTATCCTGTTCTATCCAGTGACAAATACCTACCATGTATACACTATTCTACCTTTATATCTCACAAACCCCATTTTTCATCTTTCCAGTATCCCGAAGCTGTTGATTTATGTCTGCAAAACAGTGTCAAACTAGATGAATCGTTGGTGGAAAGATTGACACCAGACAAAGATATGACGCCGTCTTCAGGAACTCGTGAACAACTTCTTATCAAGCTGGGAGATTGCTGTATGAAACAAGGATCTTATCATTTGGCTTGTAAGAAGTATACTCAAGCTGGAGATAGAGAAAAGGTAAGATGTTGGGCACTCCAAAAGTGTGTGTACCAACTACCAACATGGAGGTAACTAGTTTTGTTCGCCTACTTTACATCAAGTTGTGTAACGGGACTGAAACCTATGGGCAGTGGTGTTCTAGAATATTTGCAATATCCTGACTTCCCCAAAATTAGATTGAGTCGCATTTTGTTAAAGATTTTTTGAGTATCAATTTCTGAAAGAAATATGTCGCACTTTTTGGAACAATTTTTAAAGACTCTTTTTGTGTCTTGCTTTTTGTGAGGCTTGATTTGAGCCACCCATTTTTGAGGGCTCAAATTGAGTTGCAGATTTCAAAGACTCAACTTGAGTACCACTCAATGATACAGTTGCACTGTCTTTAAAGACTGCGCTTGATTACATTATTTCCTATTTATTTTAATTTATTGCCTTATGAATATCTTGATGTTCGCTTAACTGAGATCATAGTGACTTGATATTACTAACCATTGAATTCTATGTGTTTTTTGAGCGAGATTCAACTTGAAATCTGGGAAGCAGGACTTTTTATATGATGCTTATTCACGTGTTCAGCTCAGAACAAGGCCTGTCCTTGAAGTGAAAGTATTCAGATAATTTACAGAGTTCAAAAATATTTTTAATATGAAATTGATTGCTTTTACACATACTTACGCTGTTCTCGTTTCAGGCGATGAGAGCTTTGCTAAAATCTGGTGATACAGAGAAGATTATATTTTTCGCTGGAGTATCAAGATCAAGAAACATTTACGTGATGGCTGCAAATTATCTTCAATCGTTAGATTGGAGGAAAGATCCTGAAATTATGAAACATATCATCAATTATTATACAAAAGGAAGAGCTCTTGATTCTTTAGCTGGGTTTTATGATGCTTGTGCTCAGGTGAGAAATGCTCGAATAGTTATCGATTAATTTATATTCAATAACACTTATTCATATGAAAGAAAATTTTCTGATCAAAGTATGTTTCAGTTACCTGTTATAATGTCTTGAAACCTTCTTCGAACTGTGACTTTAGATGTTTTTATTGTCCCAAATTTCAAAAAGATTAATTTTTATGATTTTTTAGAATATATTGTATGTAATTGTTGTAGTATATGTATCCTATAAAATGTATTTATTGAAAAAATAGTGATAGGGATTATTTTATAAAATTGGTAGAAATGTAATCATATATTCATTAACATTTTTTCAGGTTGAAATTGATGAATATCAGAATTACGATAAAGCTCTCGGCGCGATGACAGAAGCATTCAAATGTTTATCGAAGGCTAAAATGGCAAACAAACAACAGCAAGAAGACAAAGTTACAGAATTAAAAACCAGGATTGCTCTCGTCAAGAAGTTCATCCAAGCTAAAAGGTGGGAATCATAAGTGTGGAAGTTTCTTCTGTGTTGTCACTGTTTTTCATCATAATTCATGGCATGGTGCATCATGCTTATCATAGGAACATGCTTGCTACTGCACCTCTAATAACTCTGTGTGGGTTTGCTTGAATCCTCACTGACGTAGGGTGGTTCATGTTCCTCTCGTAAATGTCATGGATTCACCACCATAAGGTCCATGCATCTGGAAACTAATTTCTGGTTTACTAAACCCGTACCCAGCATAGACTAATAAGCGGATTAAAATCTGTGTTTTTCTCTAATGATTGAGCTCTATTGTAGTTTTTGCAATTCATATCCGGTATTCTTATCCAAATCTGGTGAAAGAGTAAGAAGGTTGTTGCTATATTTTTACTCTGAATCAGATGTTACCAAATTTTTGTTCATATGCGCCAACTTATCAGTGAGAAAAAAATCACGGCGCACTTACACAGAAATAAAACTCAACGCTGTGATCGTTAATGTTTACTTTATGCCTATTCCAGTTGTTCAACACAGTTCTGTTAATTTTCTGCTCGCTGCTCTAAATCATATTATAGTTCCTAAGCATGTAACAAAATAGGTTTTGATATAATAGGATTCTGAGGGAAAGGGTACGTACACATTGGTGATCGATTTTCAATAGCAAGACTTAGTTTGAATTGACATGGTTTGCCAGCAAGAGTATAATGTTACCAGATAAATAGCTTGGTTGATTTCCAAACTTCATAACTAAAATATCTTTGTAGGTTGTTTGATAGCGATTCATTGGAAGCTACAAAACAGTGTCAAGTTCTTCTGGCTGAAAATGATTTGGATTCTGCAGTGAGAATTGGAGATGTTTACGGAGTTTTGATTGAAAATTATGCTCATACCCAAGATTATGAAAAGGTAATTTGAATTTTTTAATTCAAATAAATTCAAGAAATTGATATAGGTTTCAGTAATGTTTACATTTTTGTGTCTTGACAATTATTGTGTTATAATTGCTCTTAAATGATATCTGCTGTGGTGCTCCAGAAGTGTGTGTACCAATATGGAAGTAACTAAATTTGTTCGCCTACTTTACATCAAGTTGTGTAAAGGAACTCGTAATAGAACTAAAATAGGGAAAATCAGAATGAAATTATGGCCTAACCCTATCCTGGTACAATACTACAGGAGTGCCCCCGCTGTATACTGATTAGTAACTCGCCTGAGTGGGGAAGTTGCAATCGATGAGGTGCTCGCAAGTGTGCAGGGTAGTTATTAAGTTACGTCTTCCTCTATCATCAAGGACGGACTGAAATCAAAAACCGGTAGACTGGTAACAGTATGGGAGGCTGTAGTTTAAGGTTTTTATTGACCATCCTCTCTTTAGTATAAGTAGGAAATCCCTTTCATTTTTATGTATCTTCAATAATGTCTATTATCCAGGCTTATCAAATGATGCAAGAGATGCAAAGACGAATCCCAACAGTCAACATGGCGTATTACGTCAACATGAGAACGATTGAAACAGTTCATCAGGCTCTCGGTGTTAGTCAAGGACGAAGCAACAACACAGCAGTTGTCGGAAAAACTATCAATTCTGGTTTTGATAGCGACGATGAAGATCTCGACAAAAATGATATTTCTGAGGAGATTTATGATAACGGAGATTCCAGTGTTGATATGTATAGATTTAGATGAATTCAGGAATTAGAAATATCAGGACCGCGCATAACAAAAAAGTTATAGTTACGGGTAATAATAAAGCATTGTAAAAAAAATATCATTGAAGTTAGGGTGCAGGGTTTCATTTTTAATAACAAAAGAATCCATTTGAATAATTAAAACATAGATTTAGATGAATTATTGCTCTATAAATCAGGGGTCGGCGATCTTTTGTCACTCGCAGGCCAAAATTGAGAGTTGCAAATTTCAGTTGGCCACACATGATGAATCACATTTTTCACACAGATCAGAAGTTGAAATTTTAGACTTTAAATAGCGAGCAAACACTGCGACAACGCGTGGACTCAAGTTGTCTCACTAGGCAAAAATTTTACAAATGACATTTGAATTACGGTTATCGCTGCTTGGTTGCTAAATTTCAGTGAAGCAACATGTGTCGGATTATTTTACTCACAGCTGTAGGTTGCCGACCATTGCTATAAATTATCAAGTTCGTAGATTAGAAGTATCGCAAACACGTTAGAAGTAGTTTTCACTCAATTCTGCAAACAGAAAATCATTTTTTAGTAGATGTAGTAAAATCACAACATTGGTGGCATATGGAAATTTGAAAAAGACGAATGCACCATTAGAGTAAATTGTACCTAATTATTAGAAAAATTTTTTGTATTCATAAATTGTTATATTAATGGTTTAAAAACGCAAATTTTTTTTTGACCCGATTATTTATAAGGCTCGGATGAAGCAACACCCTAGGCAGAACAAAACTTAAAGTGCTGGGACTTCTCTGTTTAGCGTATTACTATTCCGAATTCAGTACTTTTTGTGGGTTCACTCTTGACCTCCACTCGAATCAGCAGATTAACAGTCTTAAACTCAAGGTCCCTAACACCCATTCATTCCTTTATGAAGCGCCAATTTTAGCAAAGTCAACATTCCTGTTTTATTTGGCTGATTGCTGCTATTAGGTTTAGTGGTTAGGTGCAGAATTCTCATTGTTTGTATTAACATTAGTCTTTATTATTTATAAGAAGTTAGTTGGTGTTATTATTTTTGTGGAACACTGTGTTGTATATTTTGTTTTGCACTCCACGCTTCTATAAAAGTGTCAAACATGTGAAATTTTGATAAAAAATGTTAATTCTTGTTCTATTATGGCTATTCAGACGGAAAAACTAATCTTAAATTGGTATTCCTTTAGTTACATTGGTTTTTGATTTATGGCTTCAAATTTTGTTCTGGTAGCTGAATTTATGTATACTTTAGTTCTTCATATATTAATGTTTTGATTTTAAAATAGACCAACTTGTGACATTGTGGTACAAAATTCATTTTTTTTACAACTGTATTTTTATATGTAGAAAATATATTTACTAAAAATGTTGCACATTGAGTCAAATCATATTTTGTTCTAGGTAGGCTGTATCTTTCTGGATTGCACGAGGTCTTCACAAAGCGCTTGTTTCAACTGAACCTTTCCGCGGAGGCATGGTAGCGTGAAATGCAAAGCCTCATTTGGTTGTATGCGGGGTTCATGATCGATAGATTATGAGCTGCGCTCGTCGCAATATCAGGCGCCATGTTAACATAATGACGCAAGTACTTCTAGTTGGCGTGGCACAACCATTTTTGCACCTTATTTCTAACCCCCACCTGACTATGTCATTCAAAAATTACATCACTATAACATAATAAGGCCCCCCAAACGAAGATGCCATTTCGGACGATCGTAGCTATACATTAGCAAGCTCTTTTACGTGATTGTGAGGTCCTAGTGACGTAATCTTTGGATGACTAAGTCGAGTGGGGGCTAGAAATAACATATGCGCCACGCCAAATAGAAGAACCTATGGCGTTTAGTGTACATGTACCAATAGCGACTTATTTTAAACTCATCTCTCATCAACTGATGAAATCATAAAGGGTAATGGTGTTTGCAAAGAGGCAGTTTCAAACATGGAATTTCAACAAAAAAGCAGGTCTGGAGCTGAGACTACCATAATGGCTGGAGCTGCGAGACTATCAAAAATTTTAGTTTCTACAGCTTCTTTCAATCTGACTATTTTCCTTTAATCATACTAATAATGAAATATAATAATATGTATTCATGTAAGATTTTTTTTCCGAGGTCGTTTATACTAATTTCAAAGTTTTAAGTGAATTTTGACACCCCACTATCAAAGTTTCCTGTCCTGCTAGAGCAAGACTGCATTTGGGACGATAATCCACGGTAGCCGACATGTGCGGTCACACCAAAGAGGCGAGCTTCATTGAATGCAATTCCTCAACACTGCTCACCAAATGCTTCTGAAGCTTTGAGACAAGTTAATTTCTAACTCCATAACCTTAATGCTGAGGGCGCTGTATAAACAGTTTATGATACAAACCAAAATTTTAGATTGAATACATCTCATGCTTGAGAACATTCCCTACACAACAAAAGCAATCCAGTCTTTAGTTGTCCAATATCCTAACGCATAATAAAAACCAACATACCTTCCTCAGATATTTTTTTAACAACAAAATCTTAATGCCTGATACCAAACAGTCTAGGAACTTCAAGAATAAAAAAGGAATTTATAAACGTACATTCTATTATAAGGAGATATTTCCCAATTTCTAAAAAAATCTGACCAAATCATGATAGAGAAAAATGAATTGTAACATGTTCAATTCCATCAAGCCATTACCAGTTCACACTCATGATCTGGCAAATTGCTTCAAATCAAGGGTCCGACTATCTGTATTATGAGAAAATACACGAGAAACGCTTTAAAAAATTATAGGAGAAAAATTTCATTCAATGTAAAAAGCAGTATTTTTTATTACAACATTCAAAACGCAGGATGGCGTTCATCAATCAAGCAAAAGCAGGGGACACTGACCCTGTTCTTCGACGTTCATTCCCTTTTAAGTGCAAATCTTTCCACGTCACATTCCGCTAAGCAGTCTTGTTGCCGAACTCATGTCCGTATATCCGCTTTTTTCTCATCGCTGTACCTATCGTTAGTTCACCAGATTGGTTATCGTTATTTGAGGTATGATTTGTACAGAAGTTTTGACCTGCTCGTGTCCTTTTCTTGTTCCAAAACAAAAATTAAGTCTTTAACATTGACTCTCTTGATCCTCGGCCTTAGCGACTGAAATAAAGAAAGTTGCAAAAATAAAAAAAATGTTGTAACTTTCACGGCTGTTGAGTTTGGAGTGGAAAATGTCTAGAGTACGCGAACATGCTTTGATACACTATTACAAAAGTATGATAAATTTGATGCTTTTGCAGAACTTCTGAAATCTTTATCATTGAAGGTCTGAAATTCAGACTTTAGAATATTCAGAATTTGGACTTTGAAGAGCTTGGTAACAAAATACATCTTGATGAACCTAATGATGTGCCAAAAATATTCAAGGTCTTCGTGATCTGTCATAGATGTATCTTAATACAACCAAATATCCAGCAACTTTACAGTAAATAATGTTTAAGAACTGTTTTAGCCAAATACACAATGAAAAATCACTTGATTTTCAAAAAAATGCTTATACATACCGACGAGCGAAGTGGCGATGAAACATCTTTGGACTAAAAAAACAAAGTAAAAAGTGAGCACAAATAAAAAAAACTAGAGGAGAGTTCATTAATCAAGTAACTGGGTGACAATAGTAAGGGCTTATAAAAAAATTTGATAATGCGACTCAGGACAAATATCGCGATGTTTCATCGGAGTTGTAGCCAAGCTTACTGTAATAGATGAGAGCTGGAGGCGTAGCTACAAGAAATTTTAGAGGCTTCATCTCTGAAGCAGATGATAATTTTAGTTCACATTTACAATTTAAATACTTAATTTTATATGCGCAAGTGAAAGATGAAAATAACTAGGACTTGGAGACATTGTCATTTAAAATCAAATCCCCAGTTTTAATTTTACCTTAGATATGCATATTGAAGTATATAATATCTGGCAATATTATCAAATTGGAAAAATACCTCTGACAACCCGCTGTGTAAAGTAGATTCAATTTTCGCTTTCTTTTTCCTAGGACCGATTGCATTTAAAGCCGTCTCATCTGCGTTCCTAATTTGCATTCGTTCCATTTCCAATTGTTGCATTTCTTTTGCACGCTGCTTTAATCTTAATTGTTCTGGATCTTCATTTTTTGACCGACTCTAATTGTGAATAAAATTTAAAATTGGATTACTTTTACTGAAACGCTACTTTTCTGAATATGTATACATTCTTGAAATAGTAATTTTAACTTCAAAAAAAAAAAAAAACAGTACAGTATAGTTGACAAAAGAGTAGAAACTGAAGATTTGTGATGAAAAATAAAAACTCGATAACATTTATATTATATTCAACTATAATCTCTTGACGCAGTATTATTCAAGAATCTTTGCTGAATAAAATAAAAAAGCTGTTTTTTTTCTCAAAATGGAATCCCGATTCGAAAAATAAAAAGTTGTGATTCATAGTAATAAGATAAGAAATAATGAGCAAAGAGGAAACCTTCATAGCTCTCATTAAAACTTCTCTCTCCGACTGCGCATGTCGTTTCTTTTCTAACTGATCAAGTTGCAAAACAAATTTCAGTTGGGATTTAACGTCTTGTGCTGCTTCATAATGATCGGTCTCCTATAAAAAAATATAATTGATTATGATTGCTGCAATATTGACTGAAATACAAGATAAACAAGAGAGGGATTTTGGGATGCAGCAGCTCAAAGAAGTGTGTAACACTGCTAGAATGTACAGGATGCATCTAGAATGGAAATGGATGATGTATGCCAGCAGGGATGTGGGGTCAGCATTTGGTATATCTTGAGTCAAAATTATGAATTACCCATAGTTGAAAAGAAGTTGGAATTTCATAGTGATAATGAAGTTAAATTTTTTGTACAAAATTTAAAAAAAAAAGGTGGCCTAAAGATTCCTTATGAAGTTTTGCACATATCAAAGTTTATATTATGAAAAATTGACTTTCTCTAGAGTTTGGAACTGGTGTCACAGTCAATCTTTTTTTTCAAGTTTTACTCAAGAGTCGATTGCTAATTTTCTGGGCTGCATAACCCTGGGTGCCAGTGGGTTGGAGGTGCACATATCCAAAACTTGAGCAGGGTAATACACATGACAGTGAGATAAAACAACAAAGTCCTCCGCTTGGGCCATGTACAATATACTTACCTGATTTTTAATAAGCAGTAATAACATAATTGTTAAATGGAATAAACCATCAAATAACTGACCCTAAAGTTTGATATTCGATGAGAGGCTGCTAACGACACCTTTTCTATCAAATCTTTAATTCTGGTTTCCACTGCACGCGCTGTGAAATTTATCACATCGGGATGGATCTGATGAACGTGTGGGTTTTTCGAAACTGAAAAAAATAGATATTATTGCATCATAGTGGTTCGACGGTTCACCATGTAGCTATCGCATTGCTAATTGCCAGTTTATAGGTTCGAATCCCGCTGAGGATAACTATGTGCAAGAGAAATGCAGGACTTCTCAACTTCATAGTGGTTCAAGTAACCGCTGATCAGTTATGGCTTCATCCATGATCAAGATCTAGTTAACTAACCCATACCCGACATGGACTGGTAATCGGATGAGAGGCCATGGTTCACCAATGTTCAGGTCCTCCTATAGGTCTCCCCCGAGACAAATATAAAAATCCTATTGTGTATAAAATTTGTTTTCAAAAGTTATTCTCCATGAAATCAAATTTTCTACCTATTGCAGTAAGCTTTCTTCTTAAAGCTTGTGAATTAACGATTGTCGTATCAGAACAAGATCGAATTTGCGATCCAACCAGTCCGGAATTCGTTGCTAGGATACGAGCACTTTCCTCTGAAAGATTGACACCCGCCATCGAAGCAACGTCATTGATGTCATCATCATCTCTACAATAAAAACAAGGATAGGCAAACCTCATCTTGAAAATCCCAATTATGTAGGTCTAAAAGAAGTGTGTGTACCAATATGGAGGTAACTAATTTTGTTCGCCAACTTTACATTGAGTTGTGTAAAGGGACTGGAACCTATGGGCAGAGGTTATTATATTCACTTGGCTAACACAGACAGTCCCCAAACTCGTAATAGAACTAAACTAAGAATAGCGGAATAAAATTATGCTCTAACACTAACCTGGTACACACACTACTGGAGTAACAGTCTAAAATTAGAATCATAAACAAATTCAAAAACAGAAATCTGACCAAATGTACATCAGTATATACCGTATCTGGTAACATGATACTGATCATTTTAACTGATGCAAAAAAAGAGAAAACACATTTAAGGAGGGAGAGTGATTCATTATCACAAAACAAAGTGAACACTATCATCAACATAAGCCAAAAAAGGGTAATCCTGAACTGATATTCCAATAAGTTGCAAATTTCCTGCTTCTCAAACCAAAAGCTTACATTGCTCAATTAAAGAACTAAAATATCAGGTAATTATTAACACACACAACTGTGTATATTAAAAAAAATATGGAGCATAATGTATCCACCAGATTAAAAATAGCAAAAACAGCAGAATTTGTAAACAAATAATTACTTGAAAGTGCCTCCCCCACCACCTCCCCCTGCTGATGAAGGCGACGCCCACTTTTGCGAGGAAGTACGAGGTGATGATGTTACGGCAGATGGAGGCGGCATTGAAAGTGATGCTCGACACACAACTGCGTTAGGACTGGCAGTGAGCCTTTGATACTGAAAAGAAATCAGAAGGTTGTTATTTGCGGTAAGCACAATATGATCAAAGCAACATATTTCTAAGGTTAGAACAGCCATGGGTAAACTACAGCCCGCGGGCCAAATCCGGCTTGTTGGGTAGTTCAATCTGGCCCGCCTGATGCTGCGACAATCAAACTAAAACCAAATTTTGATCTTTCAGCTGAAAAATTTCTCATTTCTCCTCCTCCACATAAAGCTACTGGGCTGCCATATTGTCAAAAAAATTAATTTTTACGAAAGCTATGCTTGCCAATAAATTGTCTTCTTACATTACACTTGCTATTCATACAGTTACGAGACAAATTATTATTTCATAATCTTAGAAGTCTGATTTTTGTATTATAGATTTCTTTCAAAACAGATACTTACGGAAATTTGATTGGGTGAAGTAGATACTCTCGGAAGTCTGATATCGGGCACAGAATTCTGAAACAACCAAGCAATCATTTTAGCCAATATTTAGACACAAAGTTTACATATGGATCGATTTGCTAAATGGTTGTTGTTGTTTGTCTCGCTGAGCAATTTTCTCGGTACAGAAATTAATTTCTATCGTAACTAATAAACCAATTAATTTCAAAATTTCGTTACCTAATTAATAAAGATGGAGATACTCCACAGAAGGCTATTACTTTTATTTTTTCTCAAATTTCCGTCAGAGTCCTATGAGATCTGACTTTTACCGAAATTTTTGTTGTTTTATTTTGAATTCACAGAAACACTGAATTCATTTTGTCAAGCAGGACCGCCTACAGATGCGGCGGTCCTTCATTTTATTCTTCCAAACTCAGTCCTCGGCAACAGTTCACAAGCTTCTGTTACTGCCTGTGAATCGTTGTTGGAACTTTCTTGTTTATACAGCAATAAGTAAGCTAAGAATTTCAATTTTAATCCAGATAATAAAGACACATATGAAAAATCATCAAGACCTTTTTTCCAACAACTTTAGTCTTTGGTGGTGGTCGTTTAGGTGCTGTTGTTACTGGTTTCGGAGAATTAGCTGCTGCATTCGTGGGTGACGGTGATGACGTCGCGGCAGAAGACGCCCTCAAAGCCGCCACCGCGATTGCCGATGGGACTTGTCCTGACCCACCACCGCTCTGTTGCATCATAGTAAGTCGCAACAAAGGGAGACTTCGCTAAAAAGAAAATTAAAAATAAAATCAGGATCTCACTTAATTTAAAATTAGGAAATTCTAATTAAAATTGGTGATGGCCTAGCGGTAAAAGTGTTAAGATTGAACTGTATTTGCTGTATCGCAGACTACACATGTCGGGTTCCATTCCCACGCCCTCCACATCACCCAGGATGTAATAAATTGGATAGACAATGACAAATCAGAAAGAATCTAATCCTTTCAAAACACAGCAGCTACTTACGTATTGTCAGATATCAGTTTCTACATGTACCGGGCCTTATTCGGGGCAGAAAGACGTGAATAAGGGCCATGTATGAAAATAGACGTGAATAAGGGCCATGTATGAAAATATATCAGACAACTATGATAAAGCAATGTTAGAGAATACGTTTTAGTTACCTTTAAAAATGGAACAAGGTAAGGTTGCGGTGCAGAATGCAATTCAATTTGAAGTTGTTGAGTGAAAAATTCCGGCTCAATTTTATCATCGATTAAATTTTGAACGAGTTTCTTAACGTTACTGACAGTTTCCATTGATTGACCACCGGCCGAAGCCAGTTTTATTAATGTTGTTAAAAAGTTCCGACATTTTGATACATTGACTACATCTTCCTGTAAAGTAGAATAATATGATCAATAAACGACATTTATAGTTTAATCGTGTCGAGGAAATGTTGGGGTTATTATTAACATTTACCCCGTGTTAAGTTTCAAAAGTACTTTTTGCTTTTGTGGCTCATTTTTGTTGCACAAAAATTCCGCGGCCGATTAACATGTTTATGAAAGGGAAAATTCTTCCCGCAAAAATAGACACTTCCACCTCTATAATTAGGAATGGATAATAGGAATGGAAATTATCAAAAACAGCATTATTATTCATTGCTACTGAATCAAAATTCAACTACAGTGACACAAATGAAGGTGCTCCTGAAGTATGCGCAGCAAGATGTCGCACAACCTGAACCCTAACCTGGTACAACTCAGGTTGTGTGCCATCTTGGTGCGCAGACTTCAGGAGATCCCAAATGAAACTTTAAAAAGATTCTGTGGCTCAGCAGGAAGCCATGGCCCCCTGGTTGAGGGCCGGTGATGTGGACTGTCCATTCAAGTATACTACGAGTAAAGTATGATAAGGTGCTATGCAAGAAGTCTATTGCTATTATGTCTATCCCGTTTGAGCAATCACATAGTAATACAATAACACCTCATTCACTGCCAAAGGCTTTCGGATTTAATTGATTGGGAACAGTATTTGGTTGTATAAAGATATGTTTTCAACAGTTACAAATAAATGATATTAGCCTTGTTATTTGTTACGCTGCATTCGTAGATAATGAATTTACAAGAAGATGTTAATCAGTGAAGAACATCAGTCTTCTTATACCTGAGATAGCGTTATAGATTGAGAATTCTGTGGTGTTGTCGCTGGACTTGTGGTAGATACTTTACTGACAGCAACCGTCTGGAAAGTAATGTTTTGATGAAAAAAAGATTCAGATCAAAATATTTATGATCAGTACATGATAAGAAAAATATAAAACAAAGTCTTGCAGACAAAGACAGAGCAGCTAATGCTGTATATTGGTAACATATTAGAGACTCATTATGGCAGAATCCACTCTAAGTTCAAATTGCTAAGAAACAATTGAAGTTTCATGCAATAAGTGGTGAATTTTGTGAGATCAGGGGTGTCCGAAAACAAATGGAGTATTAGAATGCATTTGAACTTGGTAGGACACAGATGAGCTAATTAACAAATTTAACTTCTATTAACAGTCTGAGTGATTTTCACTGTAGACATGGCCCATTTCAGAATGTGATTGGTCCATATTTGGAAATATTATTTCAGAATGATAAATTATTTGGTTTTAGACAACATATTATATCATCTGGGCATAAAATCACAAATAATTAATAAATCTGATTAATAATCAATCAAAAAATAAAAGATGAGTAGAAATCATTATTATTATTAATAAACAAAGATATGCCATGATTTCACAATGTATTAATGGAAAGGAAGATATTACAGAAGAGTTACTAGTACTGGGCATAAAATAAATATAACTTGAAAAACTTTGTGAAAAATACATTCCATACTTACTTGCTTAGCAGCAACAGCTTTAAGGTTAATTGAATTTGTAACTGGAACCACTGTTCTTGCTACCACCTGACCAGCTGTTGTTGCAGTTATCTTAATCAAAATTGGAATTAGATTAGATTTTTTTCAAACTAAAAAATTGATATATTGAGAAGTTGAATTAGGCATTATCTTCGCCTCATTTTATACTTATTCATACTAAAAGAAAAATCATTTACATTCTTCTATGTACATTACATGAACAACTGTTAGGCAGGATATGGACCTGTTTTAACAGATCACAATATTACTCATAACTTTCATCCTTTATTCTGTTGAGCCTGGCTTTGGCTTCTTTTGTAAGAAGACGATATGAAACAAATTGTCAAAAGAATGGAATGGAAATTAGCAATAAAAAGTTGCTCGATCTGTTTCATACGATAAAAGCAAATTTACAGAATCGTGGTAAGATTTTGATTTGGGCAAAACATTTGCAGAATAAAACATACAGAAATGTTTACAAAAAATTTGAGGCAGGTGTTTTCAAAATTCCCTTATTGGGTAGAAAGAGTACATGTACCATTTTGCTAACTATTGTAATTGTTATCGTTTTCTTGCAACTAATAGACCAAACAAAATCATATTTCAGTACTTCAATGTGGAATAAGTCCCTAGGAGGCTATTACTTCTATTTTGTTCAAATTTTGTCCTACTCAAAATTTTGCTGTTTTTTTCCAATTCACAGAAATACTGTTATATGACATCTGTGAAACACCTACAATTACTAAAAAAAATTGTCAGGAATTTTGCTAAAATTCCAGTATTCATTTAAAAATTGGGCACTTATAATTGATCTTTGCTTTGTTATCAACTTTAATACTTACTGCGGGTTGAGGTGATGATGTCCCAACACCTGCTGTTGTCGAATTTTTCAACGTTGTTACAGTCCCAGATGTCGCGGTCTGAGTTACAGGAACTGTGGATGTATTTGTAGTAGATGACGATGACAACGAATTACTACTCACAAGGAGCAACTGTCCATTCTGATGTCTTGCTAGAACCATACCTATATACGGTTGGAATCAAAAATAATATGGGAAATCAGCAAAAAGCACAGATCATTCATCATACAGGAAGTAAATCAAGAAAAAAAGCTCCATCAAATCATATAACCAGCGTGTAGATAGGCTCAGCATGTTCACTAACAGCCCTGTATCGATGCTCAACAACTTTCAATCAGTTCCACATTCGAGGGCGTATGATATTGTGTGGAACATAACTCTTTATATAGGAATGTAATGCTTGATAGTAAAATACAGTTCACTTGATTGAAAAAATAAGAAAAGGGGACATATTAACTTTCAGTATCTATAGCTAAGTCTGTTCCAGGGGGTTTTGATCCCTTTTGCCACATCCAACTTGTGTTAGACTGGTTTTCTGTCGCTGTAATATTCAAGCTCGAATAATGATGGAAAATTATCGTGGTGAGACAGTACAGCTAAGGACATGTGCATAAAAACAAGCTTCATGTATCGTAATAGTTAAGTTTGTATATATTTTAAAACTTTTAATTTTATTATTTAAGTTTGAAAAAAATGAATTCATCATCCACTGCATTGTCGTATTAAAAACTTAGGAACCTTTGACCCAATAACAATAGTCCATGAGAGTTTCCAGTACATAATTATGTACCATTGTGACTGCATAGCGTATGAAAAAGGGAATTAGATAAAAAGCAGAAATCAAATTAACCTGGAGGAATAGTTATCCCAGATGCTAGTTGCACTGCACCACCTTGTTGAGGACGCGCAGTCACCATTGGCTGAGTCGTAGAAACTTGAGCCTTCGATGTAGGATTCAATAAATTATTTTGCAAACCAGTATTTGATTGCTGCATTCCTGGTTGTGGAATTTTATTTACTGTGGTCAGAGTCGTTAATTGTTTTGCCACAGGTGTGGATGCTTTAGGCAACTGTGAATTTAAAACTAGGGTCGGCTGTTGTGGGGTTGGGGCCCCATACCCCTCATTTAGACCTGTTGACCAGTCATTAAGCATCCCTTGCTGCTGAGAGGTGACCGGGCTAGCAGTCCTGACCTGCTGTACTCCGTTTTTTGCTGCAGAAAATGGAGGTAAACTATTCATTCCAGAATTATAGCTGTTCAACGTGTTTGGGGTACTTGATGAAGATGTGAGAACTGTGTCCGTCGATCCAGGTGGGCTAACCCTCATTGCATTGAACAAAACAGCTTAGATCTATACATCACCTTGGAAAAATATATTTAGAATTAATTTTTGACTACGATTGCAAGTTCTTAAAATAAATCTATGCATTGAGATCTGGATTAGAATCTCTCGAAAAAGACTTTAGTCATTTAATTGCAATCCCACAAAGAGAAATAAAAAAGTTGCATTTATTTGTGGAATTATAAAGGTGCAATAAACTTGATATATACATGAGTAAATGACTGAGCGATGCGGTGTTTGGCGGAGCGGTGTGGCTCAACGAGCTAAGCGTTAGGAATACGCTAGCCACCGCACCTCTAATTACTCTGCGTGGGTTCGCAGGTTCGAATCCCATGCAAGGATGGTTATGTGCGAGAGGATTGCTGGACTCCTCGCCGTCGTTGGGTGGTTCACGTAACCGCTGGTCGGTTACGGCTTCCTCCACCACCAGGTCCATGCTTCCGAAAACAAACAATATAGCTAATCCCATACCCGACTTGGAATGGTAACCGGACGAGAGGCCGTGGTTCGCCATATGGATAAGCCGTCTTATCGGCTTTCCTCTCCCCCGGGATAAATATGTAAATTCTATCCTATCTATTACTTGTGTGGGTCTGGTATAGCTTAGTACCACATGCACTTCTAGTTGGTCTGGCTCAACAATTTTTGAATATGTCATTCCCAATTCCCGCCTGACTGCGTCACAAAAAAAATCTGTCACAGTGGCTTAAAAGTCCCTACAAAGTTTGCGGAACGCGCAGACGATCACTCGAAATCAAGCAAGCTATCCATCATGTTTTCTCGGCACAACGATCGCTATTAGAGAGATCGCGGGCGTTAGTGAGTTCATTATGGGCGGCGCAGATGACATTTCGGGTGATTGTAACTGTACTTTGTCAAGCTCCATTATGTGATTGTGACGTCGTAGTGATGTAATTTTTGGATGGTATAGTCAGGTGGGGATTAGGAATAACATACGCAAATTTCGTTATGTTACGCCCACTGGAAGTTCTTGTGGTACTAAACTATACTAGACCCGTTTAGTGCAATGCTACCACATGCTATGCTCGATCAAAACCTGAGAGGTTTGACAGACAGATCGGGCAAATTAAAAATACCCCAATACAACAATATGATCTGAAAAATTAACAATATTACCAAGTCTAAAAGTGGCTTTAGACAATACCATATCGGCATGACTGCACTGCTTTACATAACCATTATACCAGATTGGCTACACCCGTACATGAAAGTATTCTTCATACTGTAATAATTAAACAGATATTTCCTGATTTCTGTATTTTCATATGCCATATATTGAATACGGTACTGGTCGTGCCATAGGTCACTATCACCCTGATATGTTACCCAATACTTGTATTATCTTGTACCTTGGTACTTGATTGTTGTGCTCTGTCAAACAACAACATGTCAAGAATCCTATATCACAAGACACTTCTTTTGCATTACACAGTTACAGGATTATTAAAAGAAATGCTGAAAGTTGATGTATAAACGACTGACAATAATATTCGAAACAGGTCAAGCACCCTTTACAACTATAAACATATCAGTAAAAAAATGTATTTAGCAACTAACTATATGATCGTTCAGTGGGCCATTAGCTCCACCAACTCACAACTCCCAAATGCACACCTCGAAACCTCGGGCGCGAATGAAGCGCAGCGACCCGTTGGGCGCCATCACTACTCCACGGCCTTCACAACAAGAATGAAGTGCGCATGCGTCATCATTTTCCGATTCAAGGGAATGGATCGTGTTTTGAAATGAAGTACGGTCATATGAGCAATTAAAAACATTGTATTATGAATTTTTTTTTAATTTTCATTGTATTGCAAATGTAAATTTATGTTATACAACAATTTTTTTAATCGAATAAACAAATATCAGTGTATTTAAGTTATAAAACAAGTCTCCGCTGACACCCCCTTCATATATAACGAGTGGTTCACACCGCGGTCCTCAAATTTTGCTTTTTTCTTTTTCTCTCATTTTCATTTTTCATTATATCACAGAAAAAAAGAAAAAATGGATTTTCAGACGAACACTAGAGCGCGATTAAGAGCAACGCGTCATACAATCTGAACGCGGGTCATGAAGTGTTTTCATGCCTTATCCGTTGTCGCTATTTCAAATTGGTAGGAAATCAAACTGTTAGTTATCGTTTCTTTCTTGTTAATTTACACGAGGCAGGCCTTTTCTATGAGATTTAATATACTCGGAATAGTATCAATGGTAATACAGCTTTAATGAAAACAAGCTCTGAAGTTATTTGGCTATCCGTGTCAGGTGGTGTCACATTGGTTATTTGCTTTTTAAATACCGTAGTGGGATGTGATATTTGCTGTTCAGCAGTGCAAATTGGGAAATCATTGTTTATCTCAAACTTAGTTTGTTAGTTCTTAATGGACTGCAGCACATATGTAGACTGGATTTGTAAATAAAAAAATGTACCATAATGACAGAGTTTGGAAATAAAAACCTGTCTCTCTCGTTCTCTTGGAAATCTTTTATGTCTGTATGTGCAGATACTGAGATGTGTTTGGCAACTCTTAAAAACTATAAAAATATTTCATAATTTTTACCTCCTAGTTTTTTGGCGATATGAGTTGTGGAACTCCATATATCGGCAGTAGGATTAGTTTGATATCGAAGGCAAAAATCCGTTATGAAGGAATTTTGTTCACGATTGATGCTGAAAATGCTACAGTTGCTCTGGCAAAAGGTATATTTTACGTTTCCTTATAAATTTGTCAATTTATGTTGTTCGTTCCACAATTTATTTATTTGAGTTTTATTATAAATTTTACTTGAGGAATATTGATTATACGTAGCAAAAATTTATATATTGTATAAACTAAACTGCAAAATATTATACTTCCTGACTTCATAATAATATACATTATATTATTGAATTGATAATAAGGATGATTAATATTATATTTTTGAAGTCTTGAAAATCTGGTCTAGGTATTGCAGACAAAATGCTGATACCAAAAACTGAAATCTACCATGCTTTCCATTGTGGTAGTAGGCTATACCACAGATTTCACATAAATTTATGGAAGATACAAAGCAAAATATACCTGCATTCCGGCTACCAGCTGCCTCATTCTAACTTGAAAAAACAAGCTATTCCAGATAAAAGGGATATTAATGCTGTGGTATATCAGTCAATTCATCAATTTTAGTTAAAATGAAGCATAATCATAGTTTCCCAATTTTGAACCATTTTTTATTATCTTGTATTATGCATATGTCAGTTAATTGAGTATTATTATTAGAGTTTTTACCGATATATAATGCTTGGCACAATTTTCCAAGAAAAAACTTATTTTATTCCATTTACAGTTCGATCATTTGGCACAGAAGATCGGCAGACCGAATGTGTAGTACCTCCACGAGATGATTTATATGAATATATTATATTTCGTGGAAGCGACATAGAAGATCTGACAGTATGTGAACCTCCGAAGCCACAGCAGCCACCAACGACTTCTTTGCCACAGGATCCTGCTATTGTACAGGTGAAATGAATTTTATCTGCCTCAAAGTAAATACAGGTGTTAGAGAGGACGAGTCTTTGACTCGAAACAAGTTGATTAGAATACGATAATGCAGATTAGTTGGAAATGTTCTTTCTCATTTTTTTTTTTTTTTTCATAGTACAAGAACTTTATTGAAGTTTATTTTTTGTCTGAACATCAGATGGCAAATACTTGAAAATGTCAAATTTCAAATGAAGCTATTCTAAATCAGATTTAGTATATATTTCATTTATTTTGGACCCTGCTCCTATAATTCTAACATGAAGCATTTTTGACTTCCTGTCTCTTCCCAGCCAGGTGTATTGTATATTACCACCACTATCATGTCACTGCACTAGATAAAAATTTAGCACATGGAAATGCGCCCAAAACTTATTGTTTCTAGATATATTTATTTTAGACTCTTGTATGGTAGAGCAAATTAAATTTTTTGCTGTAGTGACATTTTCAATCAAATGACGACTTATTTTTGTGAATTTATGGTAATTATATATTGTTCCTTGACTTGAAGTCTACGAGATAGATATATAATATCTCCCATATATAATTTATATGTCTGTATTATTGTATATGGTAATCCACTTTTCCTTGCATTTACTTATCTGATACCTCTTTCAGTCTGTTGTGACATCTCAGCATTCGGGTATGCCTCCTAATGCACCAACTCATATGCCGCCACCATACATGCCACCGTATGGATATGGAATGCCTCCGTACAATATGGTCCCGCCCCCAAACCAACCACCGCATATGCCATCCGGTCCACCACCACCTGTTGGACTACCTAGATCTGCACATCCACAGCCTGGTGCTGCCCAACAGAAGCCTCTCCTACAAGGTAACCATTGTTTATTTTTTAATAAGAAAACTTCCTCACAAGGGTGTCGCACATGTGCGCTCAGGTGTAATGTAGACACATCTCTGAGCAAATTTATGGGCAAACACAAAACTTTAAGATCTGCTAGTACTATTTAGAATTAGGATAGCACGTTACTCGAGGTCTATGAAATATGGCATGTTTCCATTTTCAAGCCTGAGTCTGTGTCATATTTTCAAACTCTGTCCGCTAGTTGACAGATAGGAACTGAAATTTTAAATTTTTGTGATACTCACAAATTTTGGTGGCAGTAATCGAGGTCAAGATATGTGATAAAACCCAAAAGCATTGAGTGGACTGATAATTAAAGAAGGCTCGCATATGCCAAATTTTTGTAATCAAAATTTGATTTTCTTTTACTTTAATTCTAAAGAATCCTTAGTTTTATCTCCGGCAATTGGGGATAACAAGTTGTGTTTTATTATAGGCCTCTCATTAAATCATTTTACTTTTTTTAAACAAAATCCAGGTGCTAAATCTGCTTCACCTGTATCACTTGGTAGAATTTCTCCGACATCAGATCAGGGAATTCAAACTGGAAGTCCACTAGCTCAGAATAATGCAGACAGGTGTGTGATTACTAAAACATAATATGGTTCTACTATTGTTTTCATTACATAGAGTTTGCATCTATTATTATGTCTATTGGAATATCATATTTTGAATTTTGGCAATTTTACTTAGTTCTATTCAGTACAAATGTTCCACTTCTGTGCTGAAAAATCAATAAATATTCTAAATTAGCTGAAAAAATTAATATTCAACATTAACATGAAATTACTGAAACACTACTTTTTTTATTACTACTATACATATAATTTGTCTTGAAACTTTTTGGAATGATGTTGAAACAGTTTTCTTTAGAAGCCTCTAAACCCTGATCAAGTCAAGTCATTTCATTTATGCATCGAATGGAGTTATCTAAGTCTTTGCTGTATGGTCTCAAGCCTTACATGTTTTTTCAAAAATCTCAGAAATTGAAGTCTCGCTTTTTAAATATTTTGTTCATTACCAAACTTTTTGTTTTACGTAGCCGTTCGTATGAGAAGCGTAGAGATTTTTATGATCAAGATAATTCTCGTAATAACGAGGGATCAAGAAATTCATACGATAATCGGAACAGGAACCAACAAAGAAATAACAACTGGAGAGGAAAAAGTGATTTTCATCGAGGTTTGTGAAATCATACCCCCACGAATATTTGAGTACTGATTGGTGTTGTCAATTTCTGCTGATTTGATAAATATTCTTCTCTCTTCTATTGTTTCTGATGTTTTGTTCAAAATTGATTTGGATTTATTCTACCTTATATCATATCAACTTTATATATGTGTTATGCAAATTCTTGTGAAATGTCGGCAAAATTTCTGCATTTTTGTCTGCTTCATTTCAACACGATACATATTCTTGAAAAAGCCCGAAACCCACCTGATTAACTAAATCTCATACCAGTCTAAAGACAATGAATTCGCTTATCAATGTTTCAGTCAGCCATTGTTTATTTTTTCTTTCAATTTCAACATGTTATATGTGCAACAGAAACAGTTCAGCTCAGCTTTTTCACAGATTTCATCAAGAATTTATAAATATTTATTCATCCAGGTAATAGAAGAGGAGGACGCTCGCGACCAAATAATAGAGGTCGATATAATGGACCACGTAAAGATGTTTTGTCTTTTCAAGGCGACTTTGATTTTGAAACCTCCAATGCTCAGTTTAACAAGGAGGATATTGCTAAGGAGCTCATGGATAAACTTAAAATAACAGGTAGGGGGACGTTTTTGATCTCACTTACAATTTGTGAGTGGAGGATAATTTGGATTGCTGGACACTTGGCCATCTAGAGGTGGTCGACACAGCGCGGTCGACACAGCGCGATCACTAGTCCTTTCCCAACCAGTCGATGCATCTGACAAATTAAATTCTCCTATTCAATGTGAATTTGAGGTTACGTTTCGTTATATGCCTTGCGGTCTTATTGACTTTCCGCTTTCTAGAATAAATATGAAAAATTTTCACTTTGACTCTCGGTAGTTCAAAAATGTTGAGTGGGTCTAAAAACCTCAAAGCTTGACTAAAACGCACTTGATGCAGGCTTTCAAAATCTGACATAAACTCACATTTCTAAATTATGTAAACTGCTCAAAATTTGACCATGAAACATCTATTCTACACAATTCGGTGTCCAATTTTGTCGAACCTTTACTAAATCACCCAATTGATTACAGGAAAGAAAGAGCCTGAGAAACCGAAACCCGAGGATGCAGTTGATAAAGTAGACAGTGGAATTGATTCAGCACACACCAATGAAACTGCAGAGGAATCTGATGACAGTGACAACCCAATTTATTATGATAAAACCAAGAGCTTTTTCGACAACATTACATGCGAGACCAATAACCCTCGAGGGTGAGTGTTTAAATATTGTTGATAGTTTCTGTTTGAGAGCAATGGACAGCGAAGTTAGAGAGGCTCGATTCGTCTAAATAATATAACTCGAATCATCTACCCAGACTCAAAGAAAATTTGGAGCTAGTCTTTAAAATGGCAAAAAAATAGTTTTGGTGCAATATGATTATCATGTGAATTAATACTTTGTGAACAAATTGTAAATTCAATAGATTGTTGTAGATAATATTTCAAGATAGAACGCTAAGGTAAGTGTTGGTAACGGTAATGCTTGCCTAATTCTAGATTGATTTTCAAGATAGTGTTGTTTTAATGCGAGATGGGATGGGAGTCCTAAAAATGATCAATGGGATGTGACCTAATGTGACTTATTTTACTGTTATTTACGGAATCTAGTATGACTCTGATTGGCTTATGACGCGGAAGTGCAGTAACTTAATTTTGATCGTAACTCTTACCTGAAACCAGAATGACCTTGGTCTAACTCACTCCTTGGGGTTTAGTACCCACTTGTACCCAACACTTATGATTGGTCGCCTTAGATTCAGGAATGGCCAATTCCGAATGTCGTATCCCGAGGATTAGAATCCCAAAGTATTTCGAATCCAATGCACTGGACGTTTTAACTAAATACAAAGACAGTACTACATTCACAATTTTGCTTTTTTTAAATTTTGCGAAAGCAATATGGAGGGGAATACCCACTATTTAAATAACTATAAAGATAGAATAGGATTCGCTATTCTGGATTCGATTTGAGTATTCTAGAATAGTAAATTATTCTACATTGCCCATCCCTACTTATTTTAATGGAAAAGCTATTGGCTATGGGGAAATTTTCTTGAAGCCAAACAACTTCTAACATATTCTTATAATGATCTTTATATTTTGTTTTATTTAGTGAACGTATATCGTGGTCAGAGGAAAGAAAACTTAACACTGAAACATTTGGGACTACTTGGCGTGGACGTGGCCGAGGATATCGAGGGGGACGAGGCGGTTATCGTGGCAGAGGAGGGGGTTACAGAGGCGGTTACAGAAATTACAATAATTACGGAGGATACAATCAGAATTACCGTAGCAACAGAGGGTATTATGGAGGTGGAGGACATAACAATCAGAGATACACCAATAGATGTAAGATTTCTTATTGTATATATGAGCACTTGTCTTAACAATTCGTGGAAATTTTGAGTCACTCCAGTCATTGACATAACTAGTTCTCCTTCCTACAGAGTGTAGTAAACTTGGAACTGTTAAGTTTATAAAGTTTTCTGGGGCTCTCGACTCTAAGATGACCCATCACATGCGACTCAGGGTTTAGCGATTTGTACCCAACACTGGTTGTTCGAAGATTCAACTTCTGAAAACCACCAAAGAACAACTCGTTAAAAATAGCCGAAGAAATTGTACTAACTTATTCTTCTACATGAATTGACAATTTGGTTCTCACTGCCCTTCTCTAATGTTAACCTCAGACGGTGATTCATATCTGAACGGAGTCAAAAATGACAACTAATGAAGTGATGAGCTACTGAATCTGTATAGAATTATGGGGGTAAACTATAATTCTAACAGTAAATATTGTTAAATACTGTTAAACACGGTTCTTGTAACCACCCAAGGGAAACAACTAAGGCATAGTACATCCAAAATGGGGCATCAACTTTCCACTTTGAACCCATTGATCAAAATCGATTGTTTGTCAATCAGAAAAGATGATTGTCATTTATTTCCATATGCCTCGTTTAAACTAGTGTTTTCATTTAAATGAGCTACTCGAGATGCCTGATTTACAAAATACATTAATTTGAAATAATCTTTCTTAGCCTGGAATAACGATGGATCTGGTGAAGGAGGTCGTGGTAACTGGCGACAATACAATAACAGAGGTGGGCGTCGCCAATGGGATAATCAAAAACCACAGGAATCTGAAAACAAGCAGTCTAATCCTTCGGTAAGACAAAATATGATATTATATGTTGATAATTCAAGTTGCCGCTTTTTTGTAGACTCGATGGCCTACTGGTTAATGTGGTATACTAAGCTGTGTTAGATTTACAGGTTGGGTTCTAATCCCATGCCCACCACATATGGTTTGGGCAGTGCTTTGTTCGGAGCGTCAAACAAACAATATTAATTGCTTATTTCGATTTTTTTTATTTCAGAGATCATCGAAGCCAGTTGAAGCTTCTTCCTAATGACCTAGCTAGAAGAAACTGGAGTGGTTCATAATATGTTTATGTTCCTTGGACCTACCTGCTCGTTTGAATTTAAATGACACGTGAATGATATTTGTTCCTGAAGCGCTATTTGAAATTGAATGATCGAATAAGGAAGAAAATTCACCCTAAAACCCATTCATCTATGTGCAAAAGTTCCAAATGCGCTCTTTAGTTTCATTACTACTTTCGAAGTAAAAGCCGTTCTTCTCTTATAAACATTTCCTATTTGAAAGAAAAACGAAACTACATGAGTCCTTATTTAGTATTGTTACTTTTGCAAAACTTTTGTCGTTGGTCGATTGCTGATGCATTATTCCACCAAATGGACTGCGTTCCATGGATTATTTTCGCTTCAATGCAGATGACGTTTATTATTTGTGGATTGATCATCTGTACATCATCCATTGCACATTGTGGTGTAAAACTTTTTGTTGCTACTTTGCCACGTTTGTTTAGTTTGTGAAGCACGCTAGTAAGTTGCTGCTGATATGAACTTTTGAAGTTCATTTCGAGGTTTATTATACAGGCATGGTTATTTTGGTGGAAATGCTTCTCTTTCCTACTTTGTCAGTTAACAACAAATACCTGAAATTGATTGTTTTCTTTTTGATTCAAGAGTTTAGGACTTTAAGGGACTGGTTAGATTAAATTAGCTAATTGCTTTCTTCTGATATATGGAGTTGATATGCCCATGAATATTTTGTTAAAAGTGCATTTTACCAGCATTTGTTTAAATACTCTGTGCTGTGCAGTGGGGTTTGAATCATTGGTGATAAGTTTACTATATACTGCTAGTAGCGAAGTCTTTCAAATACAGCATCGAATTCTACATTATAATGAGTAAACTTGATAGTTTACACCTGAAAAGGTATTGGCACCTTTTCATAGGTATCACTGAAAAAGTGGATTCAGTTTCTTTTTGTATTGAGGAAATCTCTCAAAGCATGGTCATGTGCTATTCCTGAGAAGGAGAGGAGCCTGAACTCCAGCGAAGTTATTACGACCACTAAAATATATGATGTGTCTGTAAAGAATCTGTGTAGAAGTAAATATAGTTGCCAAAAGATCAGTGATTTAATTTTCCACCACACTAAAGTACACATGGTGAATACACAGCACAAGAAGAATTAATATGGTACTTCAGTGTGAAGGGAGGCGCGAGACACCAAGACTGGTTATTGAACAGCGACACCCTTGAAGATCAGAAAAACAAACCAATTTGGGTGATAAATCTTGATTAAAATAATATGCATTTATTTCTACCTCATATTGAGCATAACGTGGCAAAAGGAATTTTTCGATACTACTACTCTGGTATATACATATTTAATAATAAAGGAACACAAATATTATTGGTTTCAACGTGACCCTGAGTATAAATGTGCGTGTTTGCAAATGTCAGTAGTGCAAACGTTTATGGACGTACATGTAGCCTACGTGGGTGGATATGTTCATAGGTGCAGATTTTATTCGGTCCCTAATATCTGTGGGTGTAAGTCCACTTATTTGAAATGAATAACTATTTCAGTACACCATGTCATTCAACATAAATTAGTGATCAGATTATAGGCATGGCTAATCATGTGATTTAGTCATCTTGTCTCCTTTCCTGTCCCCAAAACAAATATAAAAAATCCATATCTGTCCTAACCATGGGTCCCAGGCGCTCGGTATAAGATGTCTCATGGAAACGCATCGGAAATCGACTGGCAGGGTCTTGTGTCACCACCAGATGGTAGTGTAGTACTTGCGGGCGGCATTATAAGTTAAATGGCGGAATAATTCCCAACTTAACCGCAGAAACGAGGCGTTGTGACCTGAGTATTTTGTCATCTCCTCGTTTACGGACTTATTTGTGTCGCACGGTTGCTAAGGTACACGCATCGGTATAATAATACCGTACTAAGTTTAGTTCGACTCCATAAGCAGCATAACAGGCAATAAAATGATTTATAAAATCAAATGTATAAAAAGTGATTATGAAATCAGGAGAGCAAACAATATAATACAAAGGTAAGTACCGGTACCGTACTGGTTTAACGGAAGAATTTGACCGGGGCGTATGTGAAATCCGAGGATTCTGAACAATTATATAAGTTCGAAGGGAATCATTTAGGTACAAACACCTAATGTTACCAGTACGCCGGCATATATATGTATATATATGTTGCATATATGTGTATAGTTACCGTTCTAGCCAAAGGATTTTTGTGTAGTTTGCCCAATTTCGCTTCTATTACAGTATTAGATAAGTATATTTATTTCGATTTTTCCGCAAAAAAAATCATACACAAAACAATAAATACACAGAAAATTGGGAAAATCGGGGAAACTGGCAAAACCTTTATAAAGGTTTAATAGTCTACATATTACCTATCTGACCTATTGTAAGCGAGGCATGGCTTCCATCTTTTCATATAACTGTATAATAGTCTATATATTGAAAAATGCATTGAGGTATCTGTCTACTTGATTGATTTATATTATTATCATGACGAAAATTATGCATTCTGACGCAATTGTCATTATACCAAAATCACTTGTATCTGCGTCAAATTGAGTGTTTGTTTTATAGATCTAAAAACCCCGTGAGGCGGTCTGGGGCTCCATGAGGGCACAAATCAACAAAACAGAACTGCACAATAAAGTAAAATAAAACGCAATCTGAAAACGTCATCATTGGATTTCTCGCAAAAAATATTATGATTTGCTGAAGGAAAAATTTTACTGCAGCATTCAGGAGTTTTTAACAAAAAAACGTTGGCTAGCGAGAATGTTGGTCATGTGACGAATTATTTTCAGGATAAACATGGCACAATCTTATGCATATTCTGTCGTGCCAGGCGCCACCATTCCTGCTTTGCATTTTACTCCTACACAATTCACTCTATAATTATTCCAAAAGTTATGGAGTATTCAGCTTAACAACAAATCATACTGGTTCATTTTTGTGTAATGAATGAATGGCAGAATATTGCATTTATAACGTTGATGTACCTATTTCGCTATTACACACTCAATTTTCTTCAGTAGATAGCATTTTATTAAATTATATTAAATACTGGAACCCAAGGTGATAAGATTTGATCCATATTTAAGTGAATAAGACTTAGTATGCATGATTGTGATTACGTCTTTGTCATTGCCTTTGTATGTTGTATTTTTCCCTGTTTATAGGTTGAAAATCCAGATTGTTATCTCTGGGATTTTCGAGCATTTTTGAAAATATCCGACTTACCGTAACTATTGTGAGATCCTATGTGAATCTGAATAGGGATATGTCATCTACATATTATATATCATTTTAATATCATTTAAGTATAAAATCATGATTAATAAAGTAACCTTATGTAATCAAATTAATGCTTTATATCAGGGGTGTGCAACCTGTGGCTCGCGGCCCACAAGGAAGTATTTTGCAACTTGCGGAGTAGTGCCAATTTCGAATTGGTATGCGGCCCAAGAAACGAGTTTTTGATGTAGTTTGTCTGGTACGTGCAAGTTATTCCAATTCCTTTACGTTGCAAATCCTATACCTTAGTCCAATTTATTATCTATTCCTATGACCTCCTATGACCTTACAATGCCCCCGTGGCCTATCATATAGCTTACGGTTGTCCGGGTGCGGCCCTGTTTTTGATAAGTTATTTTTATTTAATGTACATTTTGTCAATTTATTTTCAAACCAATGGAAAAAACATTTCCAATTCCTCAGTATTGGTCCATACATAAATTTGATGAACTCTTTGGCGTCCTTGAATAGGTATGTGAACTCAGAAGAGATCACACAGACAATAGTTCAGTATAGTATCTGTAATCTTAATACTCCTCTAGGCCTCTGTTAGTAATATGATATTTGGTTCCTATGAGGATGTCCGATGACACATAATAGTTTTTTTGTTTGAAATAGTTCAGATAATAAACATTTCAGTATCGATCATTAAAACTACCAAGTGTGTGTTAATAGGGCGGAATATGCTTGATTTATGTATGGTACAAGATAATTAAGATATATGTTATATTAGGATATCAGTATTCACGCTTTTGAGAGTGAAAGTATTATATTCCAGGCTTTCTAGACAATTTGGTCACACGGTTTGTGATCCCATGTTTTGTATGATACAAAGAATAATAGTCGTAAATAATGGGTTTCTTATCTTGATTGGTTTCGGGTACTTTGTGTATGCGAATTCATTATGTAAAAAAGAATAGGTGAAGGTATAGGGTTCATACATACTTTAAAATGTTTGATTAAATTATTGTAGCTGAAATCTTATGAAGTTGACTCTATTACACTATCAAGTATACACATTTATCAATAATTAATTGCATATCACTCTGACAGTGAGAGAGATGTGGAAAAATATGGGTTGTTATCGGGCACAATCTTTAGTCTGCATGTTAAGATGCAGAATTATACAGCTTGATAAAACTTTTTCTGGTTTATATTGTAGCTATGTTTAGTGCATAATTGATTATTGGTCGCTCTTTCAGATGTATTTAAAGAGACTGGTGCACTTTGCATATTGTTTGCAGTTCACCGATCATCCATGTCTCGACACATAGTTTGATCAAGTCTCCTAATTGATTTGTAAATATGTTTAGTGCACAGTTTCAATATGTCCAAATGTCTCTAACTGGATTCGAGCCAACTTGGCTAACTATTTATTGTTCACTAATCATCCATATCTTGTTATTCCTATCGGCTCAAAACTGCCGAACCGGGTCGGTCAAAACTATTTTATTTATGACAAAATTAGCCAGTGACGCAAACACTGTTTAAATTATCGAGAAAAGATAAGTGTTATGATATGGCTGTCTTGTTTCATTTCAGTAAGCAGGCATTGAATACATAGCCATATTTATATTCAATATTGTAAATGTGTATTTCTATTTTCAGTTATTATATATAATATAAATATTAAGCCATGAATTTTAAGTCTAATAATAATATTGTAGTTATTTGAAAGTAGTTTTTTCAATTGACTAGCCGGAAAATTTTGATTTCTCAACAACCTAGTACAAGAATGAGATTGCCAAGAATATTTAATAAACATCAGCGAGCTCCCTTCAAATCAATATGGCTCTTTATATTAATTGCATTGGTTGGATGGATTTCTTGTTCGTTAACATATTTTATTTATACTGTACCGGGAACAGGTAAGATTGTTTTTTTATTTTATTTTAAGATCAAGGGTTCGACGTGGTGATGTTGCACATCATGCTGAGCGTTAGGAATACGTTCGCATTCCATGCGGGGATAGTTCAAGAGGATTGCTGGACTCCTCGCCACCGTAGGTTGGTTCATGTAACCGCTGGTCGATTACAGCTCCCTCCACCATCAAGTCCATGCTTGCAAGAACCAGAAAACTGGCTAACTAATCCGTACATTACATGGACTGGTAACCGAACGAGAGGATGTGGTTTGCCATATAATTAAGCTGTCTTATCGACTTTCCTCTTCTTTGGGATAAATATGTAAATCCTATCCTTAATTAAATTTAAATATTTTTTTGCAAGATGCATTTTAGATTAGAATTCAGAATTTCATATTTGTCCTTCAGGAAATAAAAGTAGTCTGGCTTATTTCTGATATGGCAAACCATAGCCTTTCAATTGCGGATATCGGAATAATGAACCAGTTATTTATATATGTATCTCCCCGAAAGAGTACTCCCAAACAAAGTAAAATATAATCTTGTGTGAATGTGTGAAAAAGATGCAATTTTGGGTGATTGAATAATTAAATTTCATGTTTTTGTAAAATAGCCTATACCATTATTGTACCAAATTAAATTTAAAATTGATGTGATAGTTTAAAATCACCAACCAAAATGCGTAAAATGTATTACAAAGTCTTAGTGCAGTAGTGCAGTATCAGAAAAAGAGAACTCAAACTTATATAATTCTAGATTATTTTTTTTTCAGCTAACACATATCTATATCGTTTTCATTTGATGCGACATTCACTTTACAACTCCATGAAACACGCAAGTGTGGATGCATATCAACGCATTGTCAGGAATTCTGCAATGAATGATAATTATGAAAGGCCAAGTATGAAGCGTTGATGAGTCCTTGCTTAACAGAATTTAATATTCATATTTTCATTAAATACTGAACTAGACATATTTATATTTCAGTATTTTATGACACGTTTATCACAGCCTCACTTTGAACATGGCTCTGTAAAAGAAACCATCGATTTTTTTAATTATTTATTACACCCTCGGTACAGTCGTGGGAATTAAATTTGATCTTCATTTGGGCTGCGACACTAATATGGTTCCCCCAATGCAGATAAATGCCTGGAACAGTCCTTGAATTGAATTTAACATCATTTTTGTTCGTCCGTATTTTAACCTTTGGGAAAATTTGTTGTTGTGTTACTAAGCAAAGAGAGAAACATATATATGTATTAGTAATTTAGTATGTTTACAATATTTCGATCCAACCATTAAAAATGTTATAACAAGCTAAAATCTTTCTCTAATGACTGCAAATCTGCATTAAGCGCATGGATTTTGATATATTAAATTTATTAATCAATTATTAAATTTAACCTGTCTCCTTTGGGGCAAATGCTTTTAGTCAAGGCTTTTTTTCTATTTAGTGTCATAAGAGAGGAAAGTTCAAATCTGGTCTTGTCATTCTTGAAAATGTTATTGGCCTAGACGTACACTTATTACTGCACTCTGTTGTAGCTTTTTCCAAATTATGGAGGGAAATCCATACGAGCTTGTTATCCGCGTGGTCTATCAGTGTTTTCATAGTACAACCACTTGACCACTAAGCATGCCGTGGTGACAATGTTTCTTATTCCAACAAGGCTGTGTGGTAAAACTGGTTAATAATAGTCTTTATATGTTGATAGATAAACGCAAAGGCATGTATAGACACCAGTACCTCGTGCTTTTTATATATATATATTTTTTTTTTAAACAAAGTGGCCAAATGGAGCGCTTTTTTCAATCGATGTGAGCGACTTTTTTGGTTCAGAAAAAATCACCTCTTTTAGTAACCAATGGACGACTCAATTTAAAATTTTGATGCTTAAAGATGGAAATAGTCACTAAAGGCTATGATTTTATTATTTTACATTTCCTTCTGAAATTCAATATTAAACCCAAAATTTCCCTGTTTCATTTTACTACATGGGAACACTGTATTTATTCCATCAAGCGTGACCGCCCACATTATGACTGTCTACCATTCCTTATACACAACTACATTCCAGTGTGAGTCACATTGGCTACCGCCTACCGGTACTACAGTTAGTTAGCGGACCTGCATGGCTGCATGTCCATGTATACTGTATATTAATAATACTGGAAATCTATAACTTTCAATTTGCTTTTTTATATTTCTACACAGTATCTACAAAGCCACCTTCAATCACAACAACAACAACATTTTTACCACCAGGATTCACATTTCTTCCTAATCAAACTTGCCCTGAAAAGTTTCCAGAAATGAGTGAGTTGTTATTGTTTAAATCTGATTTTGTTGATGATTAACTGTCGTTCAAGATGTTGAGTTCGAATCGGGTAACAGGGACAAACCTAAATTTTATCCGAGTGTAAAGTTTGAACTAATATTAGTTTATTGGTAATATTTTTTTACAAATTAGTTGATCCTATAGTTTGGCGGTTTGGGCATTATTGCTATCGCACGACTGATGACCCTACAAAGGTTTGAAGATTTGAATGAGGGATAACTATGTACGATAGGATTGCTGGACTCACCCACCACTTAGGAGGCATTAACATAACCGCAGGTCGGATACAGCTCCATCCATCATCATGTCCACGTGTCTGAAACAAATACCTAATCCCATATTCAACTGGACTGGTAAGCGAACGAGGGGCTGTGGTATGCTAGATGATTACATGGTCTTATCAGATTTTCTCTCCCTCGGGATAAATATGTAATTCTATGTCTCTGTGAATGCTATCTGTAGCTCGTATGTACTTTTTGTAACTACGTAACATGTTGGATCAATATATCGAATTCTTTTTTTTTTCAGCCATTCGACTAGCTTTTTAATCATGAAAAAATTGTCGGAGATATTGATTTTTTTTAAGAAAGTCTATGCTTATTAAAAATAGGGCATGACAATTGGTATAAATCATGATTTTGCTGCAACTGCAATGTGAATGTAGCATATTTTTTATTTCCTAACTATGATCCTTTCCACATGAAAATATTTCAAGTTATCCCTGAAATTACAGGAGGGAACTTTCTATATCGAATATTGGGCATGCTGCTCCATTCTTATATGTCATATATGTTGGAATCAATTGGAATTCTGGGTCATGGAATAGCTTTGATATTCTGTTATTATTCTGTAAACTACCTAATCACTTCCTGTTACTTGCTATATTATTGAATATTTTGCATCGACCAGAATGTTATAATAACTTTCGATCAGCCATGTATGAAAACAAAATAGCTTGTTAGCTTGTAAAAACAGAGGGTGGTGTGCATAATATTAATCCTTCATCTTACATAAGATAAAGGTATCTAAGACTAGTATATGAAATGTAAAAAAACAACACGATTATTAAAACATATTTCTTCATTTAGTGACAAAAGGATCAAATAATCAGCTTATTTTGAATTTGTCTATCACAAAGCAAAATTGTAGCGTTTATTTAGTATAGGTGGGTAGCATGGCAAAATTGAGCAAAATTCAAAATCAATGAATTAGTTAAATCAAATCAATTTTTATAGAAATTTTTCTTATTTTAGAAATGTTGAAACTTGATTTATCTGCGTTAGCCAATTAGTATTACCGGTAGTTGTCATATACGCTATTGCCATATTATTCATTTATAAATATTATATATATAGGATGTCCATAAAGTCCTAAATTTTCTTAAAATTGCAAATGAAATTTATCGATTTTTTATTGTTTTGGCTGTCACAGATGTATTATTAAATGAAGTAAAATACTTAAACAATTACTGATTAATAAACAACAAACCTGATTGAGATATATTGAGAACTGACTTCATAACAAAATTGAAATTGTAAAGGGACTTTATAGACACCCTGCATATACTATATCTGGAACTTTTTACATTTTGAATTCACATTCCAGCCCCCTGTCAAACCATAGTTTTTCCTTTTTCATTGTGATTTGGTCAGTTAATAAAACGGTTGATCCTTTTGTCTCTTGAGTGTATTGTTCTGACCATCAAAGTAAATAATCCCCATTGTTTTAAGCCAAGGAGTGTTTGATTACGACTCCTGAATCCACTTTCATTTTCTTTGAGATTGCGGTTCGGTAACCGTGAAGCAATTTCATATCTGAAATTAAAATTAGTTGAAAGTGGTTATAAGAAAGGCTTGGAATAAATAAATTTAAAAAAAAAATTGAATTAAATATATTTTGTAAGTAATTCTTGTTTCTTTACTATATTCACTTTGCATATTATTGTCATATTGCTAAACGATGTTTCTAATGAATCATAGTTATTATGTATGTGAATCTCAGTTGTAATGTGTTGCTATATGATGACTTCACTCGATTGATAATAATGACTGATAATAAATTACAAGAGGATTTTTTTGGTATATTTTACCACCACAAAAAGTTGGTCATTATAGGCTGGGCTAGGTTTTTGCCCTATCACTCATTATTTATCTTCAGTAAATAATTATTATTAAATTAACAGGAGAAAGGTGGGGCAATTGACACAACTAGTAAAACATAAACAGAATAAAAAAAAAATTGGTACTTCCGTAGTATGTGTACCTCTTTGGGGGTTAGGCCATGTTTTATTCCGATTTCCCTTATTTTAGTTCTATTACGAGTTCTGGGACTGTTTGTGTTAGCCAAGTGATTATACCCCCTGCCCATAGTAATCATTCCCTTTACACAACTTGGTGTAAAGTTGGCGAACAAAATTAATTACCTCCATACTGGTACACATACTTCTGGAGCGCCAAAAAATTAGATTGGTAATAAGTAATTCAGCACCAATAAGATAATTATCTGGCACATATTTACTCCCCCAGTGGCCAGTGGGTGTTACAATCTGCCCTTATGTGTTCACAATTGAGGATAATCTGTCTATCATTCTTCCAATGTAATATTATTAAAAAAAACATTTTTTTTAGCGGGCCCATTCTATGTGAATATGACTGAAATACCAATGTCCGATTTATATGCCAACTACTCAGATATTATCAAAGTTGGAGGAAAATGGAGACCAAAGGATTGTGTACCGAAGTATAAAGTGAGTCTTGTCTCTTTTAATCAGAATTTGATAAATACCAGGCATTGTTTTAGTAAACTGGTAAAATATTGAAATACAAGTATAATTATATGGTAATATTTCATTTTTATTTACTAATAATGTTTTATTTCAAAACGTAATATTTGGGAGTGAACACGTAATATTTGGGAGTGAACAGTGACTGAAACATATATTTTTATCAATTTGTTGTAATATTTGCAAATCAGCCAACACAAAGATGTTTATTTGAGAAACTTGAATACTGAAGACCATCTTTGGGTAATTCTAGAGAATTTTCTTTGTGCCATATACAGTGGCGCAGCCAGGGGGGGTTTCGGGGTCGAACCCCCCCCCCCCCCCTTTTGAATTTTTAAAAAAAAAGGAAAAAGTCGCCGATAACGCGTGCAATTGCTTTCTGCTAAAATCGCCGTATGTTTTCATCAAGGCGGCGTGTTATCCAGGCCGTAAACGCCTTTCCGTTAGTATTTATTCTCTCTAAATCACAAATTTGTGCCACAGGAACAATTATAATTATTTTATTTTTGTACTCGCACGGAATTGTGAAAACTAAAAAAGCGTGCAATTGCCTTCTGCTAAAATCGCCGATTGTTTTCATCAGTGTGTTATTTAGGCCGTAAACGCCTTTACGTCGGTATTTATTCTCTCTAAATCACAAATTTGTGCCATGATAAACATGATGATTATTTTATTTTTGTACTTTGCAAGGAATTGTGAATTCGGTGAGAGTTATTATACGTTCATCGGCGGCGAGGTTGTAAAGACAAATGAAGGAGTAAACCCGCGATCTAAATTTGACTGAAAATCGACAATATAAAATACTGAAAACAAAACCGTAAACAATAGGCTATAAGATTTGTTGAGTCCAGCGACAGTCTAAAAACGCTTTTCTAGTCTAAAAACGCTTTTGAAAATCGCAAAATTTCGTGTGCCCACGGCACACATTATGTTTCCTCTCTGTTTAGGAACACACCGCCATTAAAATCGAAACACGGTTAATTGTGGGTGGGATCCATTACTTTAAAATTGTCGTCGAAAATTTTAGTGTTATCATTAAACAAGGTTGAAAACGCGATATTTTCCCTGTTAGTGATGATATATAAGATAATTAATCTGAAGTATATCCATCAATTTTTATTCTACTGAAATAAATTTTACTCCGTGAGAATTTACAGCAGATTTACTGATTTTTCGAAATCTTTTTTCTTTAAAAATAATCGGAGTGGCAGCATTGCGATTGAACGGAGTCAATGTTACAAGCACATCTCAAATTTATCGAATTCGCAAAATAGAAAAAATACGGATCAAAACAATATATAATAGGGCAGTTTACCACACATTTTTATGCGGAATTCCGTGGTGTTTTAGAGTGGCTCTTGTTTTGTCGGCGCAACCGCAGGTTAAATTGAAGACAATCAAATTAATAAAGCAGGACATTTTAAATATGCCCTTATAGGATAATAGATAATCGGAGTGGCAGCATTGCGATTGAACGGAGTCAATGTTACAAGCACATCTCAAATTTATCGAATTCGCAGAATAGAAAAAATACGGATCAAAACAATATATAATAGGGCAGTTTACCACACATTTTTATGCGGAATTCCGTGGTGTTTTAGAGTGGCTCTTGTTTTGTCGGCGCAACCGCAGGTTAAATTGAAGACAATTAAATTAATAAAGCAGGACATTTTAAATATGCCCTTATCGGTCATGGATTGGTTACCCTGCGCAAGAGAAAAAAAAATCATTTTTCGTTAGAAAGGTCGGCTCTTTTAACAAGTGACGTAATCGCGGTGACTGTTCGGCGTGGATTTCGAGGCGGTGAATTTGTATTTTTGATTCACCGGTATACTTTATATCTATTTTCATTGTATGAAGAAAAATTGTACTGAACGTGATTTTATATCAGATATCGAGATTTTACTTACGGCGATAACGAAGTCACAAGATTGCAAAAATACATATCAAAATTAAAAATATCAGGCAGCTTATCCCATTGTTTTATGTCCACGGCAGTAATGTTTTTATTTTGACATAGAAAGTCGAGACCGCGAGTTGCGTTGGGGACAATAAAATTAATATATCGCCGGATGAGAACAGAAGGGGCCTAAGTCACATTTATGGAAAATTGACTTTTTTCAATATTTTGGGGTTTTAAGCCATGCTCTACAAGGTGGTGGTCTTGAAATCCTGAGTTTCTCAATAATAAAAATTTTAGCTGGACTTAGGACTAAGATATTTAAGAACAGAATGGGCCTAAGTCCAACTAAAATTTTTATTATTGAGAAATTCAGGATTTCAAGACCACCACCTTGTAGAGCATGGCTTAAAACCCCAAAATATTGAAAAAAGATAGTCCTAAGTTCCAATATGATGGGCATGAACATCAGAAATGAAATGTCCGAAACTTACATCCCTAAAAATTTGTTCAGTGCAACTTAGGCCTAAGTCACCTTGTTTTACCTTGCATCCCATACAAAAAAATTCAGAAGTTGTTGAGAACAGAATGGGCCTAAATCCTTTATGGGAGTAAAAAAGCAGAAAGGAATTGAAGCTGAAGTGCCAAAAAATATTGATTACAAAGATATTCTCATCCACATTAAAATAACCAGAGCACAGGACTGGACACACCAAGTGTGAATATCTAGAAATTCAAAAATAAAAAAATTCCAAATTGTTTTTTGCGTTTTTCTCAAAACTCAAAATTGTGACTTAGGCCTGTTCTGTTCTCATCCGGCGATATACGTAAGGACATTTTAGAATCTCGTAGTTGTCATGAATTGAATATTTTAGGCGACAGAAGCTGAAAAGGCGGCTTTATTAACGAGCGCGTGATCGCGGTGACTGTTACAGACGGCATTAGTAATTTCCGATTTTGAAACCCCCCCTCCCTTTTAAAAAATCCTGGCTGCGCGCCTGGCCATATATATTATGAATGAATCCATTTTTAGAAATTATTTTATATTGAAATTTTGTATTTTCAATAAAATTAGTGTGCTGGGCATCAAAATTATGTTACAATTTCTTGCATATTTTGACAATTTTTCTATCATTGATTCAAAATATTATCACAACTAAACAAATCAATCATATGTAAGTATTTAATGATGATTTTTCTTCAACGAAGACAAATTAGAATAAAAAATCGCTTTCCTGAACTTTTATCGAGTGGGTCCAATTTTGACTAAATTTGTTGAATGTTTTCGATTGTAAAAAAGAAAGTACATGAAACATTCATTTGCTGTGTTTGCATTAGTACCGGAAATTTCTAAATAAAATTATCTGTCTTGTATGGTTTATACCATGATCATGCTTGGTCGATGTATAAGTAATTATCTTTTTATTGGTTGATAAAAGTGAAAGTGGTTGTTTGATAGGTAGCAAAGTTTGTGCAGCGTTCTACTTTTCCTTTTTTCGTGTAAAATGAAATTCACCTTTGAATGTGAAACAACTTAAAAACAAACATCTTTACTTTAAAAACCTGACGTCAGCAACCTTTAAAGAGTTGGAACTGCACTCTATAAATTATTAAAGTTTTCTACATAGCTATCTATGCATAGCGTGTGCCAGACTGCTCAGTCTACCTCTCGACGCATTTCTAATTCAGACAGTCAAATCCGTTGCGTAATAGAACACCACAGACTGAAGGTTTAATCTCATTTTACTTTTCGGTTTAAAAAAGAAACATAATTTTATCTTCTGAGTTCCGGAGACCGAAGTTATATTTTGTGAATTATTTTATGTTTTTACAATAACAAAGTTACGTGAAATTGATCTAAATCACTTGTTTTCAACCTTCATTCACTCATCTACTAATTGAAAAGTATTTTTACTCCTTTAACAACGAGGGCTGCCTTTCCAGTGCATTGCACTTGTAAGTGAACTAGGACAGACAGTCTCATTACAGCAGTATCATAATCAACATCAATTTTGCATGAAAGTACTTTGCAATCTTCTATGTGGTCGACAACCCCATTTTACTTTCTAACCTCAAAAATTTACCCCCGATACATCATCATCCCAAGAGGTAAATTTACCGATGGTTGAGAGCCCCGGATCTGAACATGAGCATACTGTTATCCACTCCGTTCTTTTTTTAAGAATATTACCATCATTGCAAATTTCATCTGTGACAAAACTGATAGTATTACCTTAAGATTGAAAAATTAGGTACTCCCGTAGTGTATGTACCAGGTTAGGGTTACCCTTAATTTTATTCCAATTTTCTCATTTTAGTTCTATTATTAAGAGTTCAGAGACTGTCTGTGTTAGCCAAGTAAATATACTCCCTGTCCATAGGTTTCAGTATCTTTATAAATAAACTTGATGGTACACATACTTCTGGAGTGCCAAAAAATTATACGAATATTGAGATGCTTGACAGTCAAACAAAATTGTTTTATTTTAATGGTAATTATTCTCAACGAATTAAAATATTGTATTAACTTTTACATACAAAAGTACACCAAGCGTATTTTCAAACCGTTTCATGTTAGAAATATGGGGATGGAAAAACTAACCTCTTTTTTTATTTTTTTTAGGTTGCTTTCCTCATTCCGTTCCGAAATCGACATCAACATCTTCCGATCTTACTTCGGCATTTATTACCTATGTTGTTAAAACAACGACTGGATTTTACATTATTTTTAGTTGAACAGGTATGATATTAACTTAATATATACACTGGTGAATATTGTGCCTTGTGCCATGAAATTTTCATTTAAATGCTATAATTATAATCCATCTTTGTACTACTGTTGTTATAATTTTAGCATAAATTACCATTTTTGTAATCGGTGTTACCTGTTAGACAGTATGCTATTTTCAGCAAAACTGAATTTATGATATAGGATAATAGATGTTATAGATCAGACCTGCACAACTCAAATTACCACGAGGGCCGCAAGCATAAATCTGAAGGCCCGGCGGGCCGCAAACTTTGCCACATACATATTTCACAAGATGAACTACAAATCAAAATAATATTGTGAAACAGTTAAATTTAATGAAACACTTTCATTACTGGGAAGCTTGAAAATATAAAGAATCTTATTTTCTTGAGTAAAAACAAGGTACAATATTTCTGCAGATGGCAAATATGTATTTAGTGGTTCATCTACCTCGAAAGTGGTTCATCTACCCCACCCTTCATTTTCTATATTCCTTTTTTTTATTGGAATTAGGTATTGCGTGTTGCAGTTTAAATTGACCGCAGGAAAATATTTTACTCAGGTTCAAGTTTTGTAAAATCGTCCAAATATATGTATGACAATTTATTTAGTCATATCTACCATTATTGGATATTTCCATTGTAGGCTATTTATTTGAAATTTTACAGTAAATAGCAATATCTTTTGTGCGAGAATTTCTGCACCATTCACAAATAAAGGAATTGTTTGTTAAGTTCTAAATTTGAATCAGAAAAGAAACTTCAGTTTTATAAACTGCTAGTAAAAAATAATGGGGTTATTAGTAGGTTGCTAATATGCACTAATGTGTGTGAGATTGTATACCGATATTGTTTTAATTAAGCGTGATTCAGTCTGAACACTGAGATATCTAAATCAGGGTTTCCCAAACTGGGGGGCGAGGGACCGAGCGAGGAATTTTAGGGGTTGCGAAGAGCACACCAATTTCACACAATGTTCGATATTTATTGGAACTAGTGCTAAACATAAATCTCACGATTTCAAATATGATCGGAGTAGCGGCGCGCTTGCATAACAATGCCGGCTTTGATTGTTAGACCCGAGAGGTGGCGTGTTTCCGAATCACCCGCGGGCCGCACAGAAGTATCTAGCGGGCTGCATGCGGCCCGCAGGCCGTATGTTGTGCAGGCCTGCTATAGATTGTGTTTCTACAGGACTAACTACTTATCCTTCTTCTATGCTTTTGTGTCGGTGGATCCTTTATGCATATAATGCAAGGATGCTGTAGCAAGAGTGAAGATAGCCATCCTATGTGATGCAAGAATCTTGCTGCGCACTAACACAAATCTATTTTTGTAATGTTTTACCCTTGTTAAATTAAGTATGACAAATTCTGACCAGAATGTTACAGAAATATATTTGCGTTAATGAACAGCAAGTCATTCCAATCACTAGAAATAGAATAATAAGGTTTTTTAAGTTTTTCCATGGCTTAAGATCATAAATTTCTCGACTCAGTCACAGTAAATAAAGGGGGTTTGTGTCTGTTATGGCTACGAATAACAAATCATGATACAAAGAACTATTCATCATATAGGTAGTCTGAATGTAATTGGACTTCATTGAATGGCTGTGTGGATTGAAATGTTTTATTCTGTATTCTTTCTTTTCTTGATCTCAGTAAAGCCTTTGTGTAAATGTTATGCTGTAATGGCGGCTTTTTTCATACACGTATCTTGTGTGAGTATAGATATATTCCGTTGAATTTTACTATTAGGAGAATAATATCATAAAAGATTTTTATTACTCTATTAAAATGTTAATGTATCTTTTACGGTGATATCAAATCAATTTTCAAATATATTAGAAAGAATTTCCTTTTTAATTTAATCAAAAATTTTTAAATTCCATTTTTTCGCTATTTTTAATGTATAATTTTGACAAAGGCCATCTATTAAATCTGCTTTTGTTTTTGATCACTTTGGGAAACCTGTATTTTGACCAATTTTGGCTGAACTGTTGTTGAACTGGATGACTATAGCATGATTCAAACAAAAATTTGACAGTATGGTAATTTTTATAAAGTTGATAACACTAAAAGGTTATTAAGTCATGCTGTACTTGATTGGCAGTATGAGTCCTATGTAGCTGACATAAAAATCAAATTCTCTCTGTATAGCAGCCCAACTTTCCCTCTCTACGAAGTCAGCTATTACAATGGACCATGTATCCATGCCTACTTCAACCTTATATATACGACACAAATGTTAATACATTGTTTGATAATAAATACATTTCAAAATTTCTGATATTTGATGGATTCAATTTAAATTTCATAAACAAGTTATATACAATGCTCTTGCCGACTTTGATATCTTTAGAAGCTACTACCCTAAACCTATTAAAAGGATCACATATTTATGATCTCATAAAAATTGAATATTTTTAATGGCAGTGTGACTCACTCCTAACTCTGTGGTATAATATTTAGGACTCCCGGTTCATAGAACTCACTACGGTACTCCCGTAGTATGTGTACCAGGTTAGGGTTAGGCCATAATTTTATTCTGATTTTCCCTATTTTAGTTCTATTGCGAGCTTGAGGTCTGCCTGTGTTAGCCAAGTGAATATACCCCCTGCCCATTGGTTTCAGTCCCTTTACGCAACTTGATGTAAAGTAGGCGAACAAAATTAGTGACCTTCATCTTGGTACACACACTTCTGGAGCACCGTTCGGCTCTAGCTTAGAACTCTTGTTGTGTGAAAGCATATTTTGATATTAAAATGCCATTTTTCATTTGAAAATGAAGTCTAAAATTCACAATTTTTTTGCCAAATGTCACTTCGAATTTATCTAAATTTTTCCAAATATTTCCGGACATCCTGATTTTTTTCGTCATTACTAATTTTTGGCATTTTAAGTTGAGCCGTGGTGTCTATTTTTTCAGTATTATCATTTATTTGGATTACTAGTTGAGCCATGGTACCGAATGTTAGTTTGAATTCAGACGGTTAATAATAATTAACTTGCTAAAAACACACAAATTGTGATATCGTTTGCGTGGGGTAAATGTGCCACGCCCAGACCATTGGTAGATATTGTTTACTTAGTAACGTATCATAAAAAAACAATGACGAATTTTTGACCTGGTCGAAGGAATTGTGTATTGTTAGGGATTCGTTTCTGAGAGAGTGAATCCAAGTTTCATACGCAATGTCTGGCTTATTTAGCGATGAATAGATGTTTATTCATTCTATAACCCACGCAACCCTACTATTCATTTCACTGTGAATACTATGGCAATGTCACGCTTTTTGAATAAAAACAATGATGAACATTCCAATTTTTTTAAAATAACGTCTTATGCTCCAGACATTGCCAAGAGTTTTAGTCCTCAAATGAAAAAGGCAATTTGTCTTAGACTTGAACATAGCATTTTAAGATGTGGACTAATGGTTAGGAGAAGATCTGGGATATTTGGTTTTATTTTCTATCTTTGTGTATTTGGCCTTTTCATTGTTGGCATCGAAGTTTCACAATATTACTCATAGTAACCACTAACCATCAACAACACACTACTGAATTGATTGTTCAACATCGAAATTTAGGAAAATCCACCCTCGGGAAAATATAGTCGACTTTTATATTATAAAAAACAATTTAAACAATATGAGAAAAAATTCAAATTTTTTTATACTTATTTATAGGTATATATCATTACTATTACTAATCATTATGCCAATTTGAAAAGCGCGACTAGATAACTGTCGCTATGTTACCGGCTCATGTGAAGTGACATCATTCAGTCACGTGAGGCCTTAAATAACCTTAAGAGTTATATTAGGACAATGTTTTATTGACCAAAGTGATCATGAGAGTAATAAATAGCCATCTCAAATTTTATGATTGATAAACAACAATGATGGAACTCCTTAATTTAACACCAAGAGAGTTAACTTTGCACACCTCGATCAATTTATTCATAAATTCATGTCAATTTTGAATTGCTGAAAGTATTCTGGTTGTGTAAAATATCCATTACGGTAATATAATGTTTTATCATCAAGTAAAATTTCATGTTGGTATGATAACCTCTAGAAAGACAACAATAAAGAGGCATTCAATACGAAACATGTATTCAAATACAATAGAAAATATTAAGTAAATTAGAAATATCATATTTTACAGACCATAAAGTGCAGTTGGAATACGCGCTTTTTCTTTAAAACCGATTGTGCGCCTTATAAGCTGGTGCATCTAATGTGTGGATCAGGTGGGAACCAGTACCAGTACCATTTGCGCCTTATACCATGGTGCGCGTAGTGTATAAACTATAAAATAAAACCCAACCTACGCAATTTATTGACAGTGCCTTATGGTCCGTAAAATACGGTATTATCAAATATTTGATATTTTGAAAATTTCTCATCAAACTATTGGAGAAATTAAAACTGTCTCGCATGCCCGCTGGCCGCATCCAACTCTTAGTAACTATCTATATAAAAAATTAATAGGGTGCTCGTGTTTTTTAATTGTAAGTCCCTTTTTCCTATGGTCATGGCAACAAGGTATCCTATGGTGTGGTCATGGCAACACGGATGGTTGAATGAAATAGTGTTACAGTGATAAATAAGTACTCCTGTTGCGTGTGTACCAAGTTAGAGTCAGGCCATAATTTTATTCCGATTTTCCCTATTTTAGTTCTATTACGAGTTCTGGGACTGTCTGTGTCTTTTATACAGTCAATTTAATTTCTAATTGTAATTTGTTCGTTTATAAAATTAAATGGCAAAATATAAGTTATCAGGAAATGATTCAGTTCATATATTATCATCAATCCCTTTACTATCGTACGTCAACACAGCTTCCTCATATGTTGGTACCGGTATACTAACTGTTTGAGGATGTACGTGGTGTCTATGCAAAGTGTTACAGAAGATCAATAATATATGCACATGCACATCTATGGAACATGAATGGCCAAACAATTATAATTTTGATAATTACCACTCAAAAAATGAATGGATCATTTAATTGCGCTTCGAAAGTATGTGTACCAATACGGAGGTAATTAATTTTGTTCGCCTAATTCACATCAAGTTGTGTAAAGGGACGGTAGCCTATGGTAATAGAACTAAAATAAGGAAAATCTGTTTAAAATCATACCCTAACCCTAAACTGGTACACATACTACGGGAGTACCCATTTAATGGTATGGAATAAAATTACAATAATACAAATGCATTAACCTAAAAATTATTGCTTTTGATAACATTCTCTGTTCACAAAAATGGAAAAAAATAGGTTTCTGCGGGACCAACTACTGATCTTTCCGCGTTTTCGGGCATATCAATAGAACATATCAATTTCACTTTCATCTGACTTTACGCTTTCTAAAATCTTATGAATAATAAACAATAAGTCAGATTTTAAGGACAAAAATTTTGTTCTGTTGGTGATCTCTGAGTTCAGTCCAGTTCCTCCCATAAGTTCTGTTATATCTATTGATTTTTGTGAACTTCAAACTGACGCGTAGAGCGGGATTGCATTCATTTGAAATGTTGGAAATTACATTGTTTTAATAAGACCGGTTATACTTTATATATCTTCAAGAGGAATCAGCACATGAAAAAATTTTTGATTCTGACTCGAGCATAACAATTTTTCTTCATTTGTACATCTATTTATTATTTCTATGTTTTTCAGTCTGGTGCTTATCCCTTCAATCGTGCTATGCTCTTCAATGTTGGATTCCAAGAAGCAATGAAGCGTGACAATTTTGATTGTTTCGTATTTCATGATGTTGATCACATTCCTGAGAATGATCGCACTTATTACGGATGTTCGGGAATGCCGAAACATTATGCGACGCAGTTAGACATTCATTTATACCAGTGAGTTTGTGTATTTATGTCATAATAGTTTCTGCGAACGTAAGGAGATATGATAAACTTTGATCACCGAATAGATAAAGCAATTCAAACTTACGAAATTGGAGATTCTTTGTGGCGAAGACCGTTTTATTTGAAAGATTCAAAAAAGATTTGTATATTTACCTGTGGAATAAAAGTGATTTTTGGGCTCAATAATATACTGACCTTACCAGTCAGTGCCAGTAATTCGGTATTGAATGCAGGTCCCTAAATATCGAGTCGCTCTGAAGGTTTAGAAAATTTTATGTTGCTCCCTCAAAGACCAACTCAAAATCATACTTGAGTCCCGAGTAAAGATTTTGATTCGAGTCTAGTTGCTTTAGGTCTTCAAAAAATTGACTTAAATCCAAAATCCTCTCCAAAACTTATCACGCTGATCATGCAAAAGTAAAAAGTTAAGGTGTATTTTTATAAGTGTTGTCATTATTATTGCTCAGTATACTGCTATTTCAAATAAATATATAAATGATTTCTTGAAGAATTTGAGTGTCAAAATATTATCTTTATTAAAATTAAGAAGATCTGCCTACTATATTCCACTATACTCATAATCATGTACCATATTTGGCTTGTAAATATTGTACGATATATACCAGTGAATGATATGATTATCAGATGCTTGATAAACAGACTCTTTATCCTGTGAAGGAAATGACACCATTGCTAATGTAAATAATAATGAAAACAGATGTAAATGAGATCACTGATTTAAAATTTCTCTTTCTTTCAGCTTGGAATATGAAAAATTTTTCGGGGGTGTAAGCGGATGTACAACAGAACAATTCAAAAAGGTGAACGGCTTCACGAACCAGTTTTGGGGCTGGGGGGGAGAAGACGATGATTTTTATACAAGGTGAGATTGCGGTTCTAGTTGACATAGATGACCTAGTTGTCAAATCTTTCCATACAAGGTTTTAATTTCTATCTATCGTTTGGTGGAAAAAGAGAGTAGGGTTCAATGGTTGATACAACGAGTGTTAAGATTGTGTTAGCATGGCATGGTTTTATTCAAGGTTCAAATTTCACACCCACGACTTTACCCAGGTCAGGCAATGCCGAACAGAAAGTTTTCGGTTTTCTACAATATACTAACTCCTTGCATATCATCAGATATCAGTACAGTACTGATGCTGGTACAGGGCATTGTTTGGACTTGAATTCTGTACCATCATTGGGAATGTACAGCATTCAATATGTACTATCTGGTCAATCTAAGGCAGTGTTTCTCAAACTGTGTGCCGTGAGAGATTCTCAAGTGTGCCGCGGAGCTTTTTGGATTTCTAGAAAATAAGCTGTTCGTATCACACATAGACATGCATGCAACTTGAGTGAGATTTGAATATCCATAATTAACAAGACTGATAATATTATTGCATTGTCGTTGTAGTTAGGGGGATTTTTCTGGCATAATTGCATTGTGATGTCATGTCATAAGGTTTTTGTAGACGAGACATCCACTTTCCACCATGTTCACATGAGCGTTGAGTTGGGTCAGTGGTCGGTAAGCTTTATGTACTTGTGGGCCAAATATACACATTTACGATAGAGCGCGGGCCATCCGCCTACGAAAAATAAACTTCAAATTATGGCGCATATCCTTCTATTGTTGTGTTAATATCCAACCACAATGAGACGTGTATATGGCTTTTTTTAATATATTTTCCAACAATATATTGTTTTCATTTACTTACTGGTATTTTCAATACGTAAGATGATGTGGTTATGGCAACTTGGTTGCCCGCGGTACGGCGTCCAAATGACGAGCGAGCACGAAATTTATTCTAAATGTAATGCTTTTAAAATAAAGCCCTTTGGAATGTTCGTGAACTTCCCTCCGTTTTCCAAACATTTTTAAAATTTAAAAAATTAAAATAAACTCAACTTATAATTACAACCAACGTTGGGATATTCATCAAATAAAATACATACAATCGACGCTATTTACTGCAAACCATACAGCAGAACTTGTTACCACTAAATCCGAGTTGAGACAATAATAAATCTAGGATCAATTTTTGTTTTATGTATTAAGAGTCTGATCCTTTAAGGGCCGCAAAAAATTAGTTCGCCAGGAAAGCAAGCTTGGTCGAGTTTTGGCTATCTGCTTGCAAATTCTATTCAATCATCGCTGCAAAAGCCAACAAAATAATCTAGCCATTTGCATCTATACATGGCTCTGTTAACCCGTATTTTCTGCTTTGGTTGAAATTAAAAGCAAAAAAGGGAGCGATGAAACCTAGTTTCTCAAAACAGACATCGCATTAACATTTGTAGAATAATTTGCCCAAGTCTAGCTCAAATTTTTCACAAGTGTGCCGCAACATTTTTCCTATTTGCTTAGTGTGCCGCGAGCAAAAAAAGTTTGAGAAACACTGATCTAAGGAAAATATGTGCAAGTGCAATAGCTTAATTTTCAGGTTTTTTTTTATTTTTAAACTAGCGATATTTGTGGTAGAAAACTCACTCAAAAAAGAATTTTTAAAGGAAAAATAAGAGAAACAGCTTTCTAATACACACTTCTATTTTTAACTACTGAAAATTAAAAAGTGATTGGTCCAATAATTGAAGAAAATAATGAGAATTTTTCGGAATACCAACAAAAATGTCAGACAACTTGATAAGTGATTAGCAAATAACCTTGACGGAAAAGTAAATTCCATTTATCAATTGCTCATACTAGATTCATGTATATAAGTCAACAAATATCAGAGGGGGGTAGAAATTGAACATGGTACTTGGTAGACACACTAGAAATTGTTTGCTTAATTCGCTTTTCTGATGACTTGATATCATAAAAATTGAAGGAGCAATTCTTGTTAATAAAGTAAATATTTTGTCTCGGTGTGTTGTTCCAATCGTTGTAATATTTATTCTATTAGTATCCAAGATCAATTTGTTGTGCTTTTGCTTTATCATTGTGGTTAAATTCGACTCCTTATGTCTGGTGGAAATATTGGTGTACACGCCTGAGGGGGATTTGAATGAATTATTTTTTGTAAGTAAAAATTAACTACTCTAAAAAAGTCTTTTTTTGGATAGGGGAAAAAAAATTATTTCAATGTAGACATTTTCGCAATAGTGCAATATCTTCCTCATTCAATTGCAAATAACATAAGAAAAATTCTATTATTCAATTTCATATCACACTTTATAATTTATATATGGAAATATCATCGAGTCACTATGTAAATGGTTAGGAAATTACTAGACAGACTAGAAAGTCAATTGCCGGCTATAATATCATCATTGCTTTCGTATTATTAATCCATAGAAACAAGGAAGTTTGCATTTCGGTTTAATACCAGTCAGCTCTGCTTATTGTGTTAAACGAAAATTCACGTGTACCATCATTGCTTCGTATTATTAATCCATAGAAACAAGGAATTTTGCATTTCCTTTTAATACCAGTCAGCTGTGCTCATTGTGTCAAACGAAAATTCAAATTTGAATAATATATTGAACTAAATCCTACTATGCACTGCATTTGATTAATTGATATAAATTGATAAACTGATAGATTGATCAATATTTGATTTGCCTCTTTTCGTCCCTATATGATTTGTTATTCTCGGAACAAAATCGCTTTTGTCAAATTCTAATAGATAAATCGATTCAATAAGAAATTTTGTACTTAAAGAGGTACTCCGCAGTATGTTTTCCAGGTTAGGGTTAGGCCATAATTTTATTCTGATTTTCCTTCTTTTAGTTCTATTACGAGTTCAGGCACTGTCAACTTGAATATACCCCCTGCCCAAAGGTTTCAGTCCCTTTGAACAACTTGATGTAAATTAGGCGAACAAAATTAGTTACCTTCATATTGGTACACACACTTCTGGAGCGTCCTTTTATGTCTCGCGTCTTACTAATGTGAAAGTGATATATATATATATATATACCAATATAGCAAACTGATTCCTAGGTTCACATCATGTTCAACAAACCTTGAGGCCAATATTCTCTAATTTCATGTTGTTTCAGAATCAAACAAGGCGGGTATAATGTTTCAAGACCACCAGATGAATACGGAAGATATCAATCAATAAAAAAGAACCACGGTCAAGAAGCGCAGTTTCTTGGACGGTGAGTGCCAACTAGAACTAAACAGTCGAATGTTTTTATTGACACAGAGATAGTCGGTCTTATTTTCCAATTGTTGAAGTCGAAATTTGGAACACTCTCGAATTTCAGATTTCGAGTGGTGATAATCTGATCAGAATTTTCGACATACCCCCAGAAGCATACTCAATTCATAATATAAGAAGGTCTGCTAAAGTTTTGTTATTTGTTCGGTTTTCCGTGAGCTGCAGTTGAAACTTTCATCATTCGGAAATAGTCCATTTTTCGGAATTTCAGATTTCGAATGGTGATAATCGGACTCAAAATTTTTGCCAAACATCCAAAAGCATTCTCAATTTATAATATAAAAAGGTCTGCAAGAGTTTTGTTATTTGTTCGGTTTTCCGTGAGTTGCAGTTGAAATTTTCATCATTCGAAAATTTACATCAGATTTAGAGTTGTGTTAATCAAACTCAAAATTTTTGACAAACCCCCAGATGGCTTTGAGTTTGGAGTCAAGAGACGAATGTTAAATTCCCCCAACTCCGCAAATTTCTTCCAAATCTTGATTGCTAGAGAATGCATTGTAAGATTGCTCATGAAGTATCTTCTCATTGAGAAGTACCGTATATCCTCGCATAAGCCGACCCTCTGAAAAACAGCCTCAAAACGGTGGATTTATAGAAATTCTCATATATGCGGACCCCCTGGTTTGACAACTTTTTGAGTTTCAAACTAGGCTTATATGCATTTCCCAGCAGAAAGAAGGTTGAACTTATTTACAGCATTTGAAGTCTTGTCTTCATCTATAGAAAGATAGTTTCATAGAGATGTTTTCATTACTTTTTTGTTGCAATCCGTTGAAGTTACTATTTTTCATTTTTTAGATTCAGTCTACTTAAACATTCGGCCGATCGAAATTTCGTTGACGGATTGAACAGTTTACACTACAAAACCCCGATCATCACTCAAACGAGATTTTACACAAACATTACGGTAGATTTACGGCCGGTGAAAGATTTGGCATCGCCGACGGACCATTCATAAAAGAAAAAATTTTGTTGGGTTGATAATACTAAATAGGAATTGTCAAAATTGAGATTTCAAATTAGTTCTTGGAGTTTGTGGTGCACAGGCTGCTCCTAATTGTGTATTTACTTTTCATAAATAGAGAAAGGTTTGGAAATATATTGAAAAATGCAGTAAAATCATGATAATTTCAAAGACAAAATTCTCGAAAAGTTAAATTTTAGGAAAAAAAATTTTGACTGAAAATCAAAAACCAGACGCTTTTTTAATAATTTCCGTCAAATCATAATGATTTCATAATATTCACATGAAAAGACAGATTAAAGATTAATTCTTTAAACTAAAAACAGGAGTCTATCCATCGAATCTCTTGTCTTTTGAAAGAATCAGGGTCCTTGGGTGTTTTGATAGCTACAGCATGAACATCCTCCTAACTAAATTAATTTTTTCAACTCTACCTTTGAAGAATATTATTTGTAGTAACAATTTAATAATTCTTTACCTGTATCAAATGATTTTTCTTTTTCTTGCTTTTTTTTCACTTCATATTTGTATCAAATTGTTTAATATAGGTACATAGCGTAGTCATTACTGTTCTAATTGTATTATTATTTTGTGTTTTTCTTAACCACTCTCTCATAACCATGTTTTTCATAACCTTTCTCACCCAAATGTGAACTATATACAATTTTGCACAAAGACCATATGGTTCTATGCATCTGAAAGCGCCCAGCCAATAGGAACGTAGTATTGAATCTTACATTACATGGAAAGTTTCGTGTTTTTTATGACCCCGGTCGCCTGAAATTTATCAAATTCTTCACAATGAACATAAGATTTTATCCCGGTCAATATAAATGAAGGATTGAATCTTATGTTTTGTAGAAAATTGCTGAAAACGTGAAATGTTTCCATGAAGGCCTGCTGGGTTTCGCTCTTCACCGAATTTAGACAAAACAGCGCAATGTAATAAAATACATTTTCTTCTTGACAAGTGATTTTCTTTCACCGGGACATTGTCTAATCATGCATGGAGCTGAATTTGTGAATGCCATCACGAATATATTTTTGTTTGGTAAATGTACAAATAATGATGCACCAAATTATAATTACACAATTTTTTAATACAGACCACAGAACCATTTTATAGATTGTCAGCTAGTTTTATAAGCTATGATGAATAAACATAATTATGTCATAAATAAAATAATACAATGTGTCTGAGAGACATGGCTGGGGTTTAAAATCACAATGCCTCTGGTCACTGAGCCACAAATCAAATCAAACTTTGGCTCCAGCTACGAGTCCTCAGAGCTGGACTCCATAGCCATTGATGTTTTTTCATATTACCACAACTATGGAACATAAGTCCAAATGCAGTTTCACAGCATTAGGACTCCATACCATGATATGAAGGTTTCAAAATTAAACCTTCAATTATACAAATTTCATCTGAAACATTTGAATAAATGGTGAAAAAATAAAAATCAAATTCGAAAAAAATATCAAACTTTATATTTTTTTATGAAGTTTTAAAAATATGGAAAATTATCAGATACTTATGAGTTTGAGCTACTAACATTGCTGGTGGCTCGGGCTCCATCTTTTATCGTAAGCTGGGCTTCATCTGAAGAAAATGGCACAACTCCCGACTCCCAATCCCTGCTTGAAAGACACACATGCTTTTAATTACACTTCTTTAAGTTTTTCTAAATTGATCTTGAAAAAGTCTTTCAGTTATAATATTGCTTCAGATTTTAAAAAAGTATTGGTAAATATTGTAATTATTCATATTATAATCATTGATGTCACGTAAATTATATGGCACAAACAACATGGACTGAAAATAACATAAAAGTTCATATAGATCATCACACGGAAAAAAAATGAGCAGTGATGAACTGTTGAAAATTATAGTTATACATCAATTTTTATTTCAAATATTTAGTGACATCTGATATCGAAGATAACTTTTTATCAAACTTTCTCAAGTAAAATAATTGAATGCTTATATATATATATATGTATATATATCGCTAACTAATTTTTTTCTGGGAGAAAAATTTTTTTGTGGTCAAAAAGGAATCTAAACAACATCAAGTGAAATATTATGTATAAAAATGTTGATTATGTCAAACAATTGTATTGTAATACTATATAATATGATGGTCAGTACTTTTGAATTATATATAATACGTGTACAGATGTTTTTATATTAATTCATTATTTAACATTGATAATTAGAATACTGCAGTTCCAGTTTTACAATATTATAATATAATTTGCTGATGAACTATTTTTTCAATTCTTCACCTGATATTCAATAAAAAGTTCCCTGTTTTCGCAGAGGTTGAAATTCAATATTATGTATTTTTGGTTGAAGTTATTTGACTTTGACAAACCTTTTTTTTTATTGATGTTCGCCTCCTCAACTATATTTAGTCCATTGAATGATTTCTCTTTCAAGGTTTGGTCAAACTCGACAAGGTAATTTTAATCTAACAATTTGTCTTCAAATATGAGTATTTATTCCTATATTAATTCCATTCTACCAAGTTTTTGGGGCGCTCCAGAAGTATGTGTACCAATATGGAGACAACTACTTTTGTTCGCTTATTTTACGTAAAGTTGTGTAAATGGACTGAAACCTACGTATATACACTTGGCCAGCACAGACGGTTCCCGAACTCATAATAGAACTAAACGAAGGAAAATCGGAATAAAATTATGGCCTAACCCTAACCTGGTACACATACTACGGTAGTACTGTTTTATTCTGTTTAAAGCTGCTTTTTACCCGTATAACATGAATAAAGTTGGTTGTATTTATTCTCTTCAATTTGTTCAATCAGTGAAAAATTTACATTCAAGTTCGTACATATCACTAAATTGACTTTACACTTGGATATTTGAAAATTTCAAGTCATAATATCCAGCCAATACCCAACAGTTTGATCAAGATAGTATATGTGATTCTACAAACCGCATTATCTTTTTGTATCTTGAGTCGCTGTGGTGCCCCATGTGGATGTGAAAATGAATCAGATTTTTCCAAGTGATATTTGGATATTGTTACTGTTACTATTCTCTTTGTTCCCTATTTAATTCAGTGTTGTGGTTTTGTAGCAATTGTTTGTAGAAATTTTTTCTATTTTTTGTCTCTATTGAGTGTAATTTATGTATACATCCTGAAAAGCAAGAACTTAGATATCAGAAGCTTCACAAAATATTATTGCGCTTCGGAAGTGTATATTCACTTGGCTAACACAGACAGTCCACGAACTCGTAGTATAACTGAAATAAGGAAAATCGGAATAAAATTATGCGTTAACCCGGTACACACACTACACCTATATTATAGTATACCTCATCATTAGTATATTACCAAACAACACTCATACTTTTTAGAATAAAAAATTGGTCATTTTATTTGGTAATGAAAATTGAAAGTGATCAATTTGTCAGTTTATAGTTATGCAAAATTTATATTGAAAAATTGACAAAAATAATGTTTTCACTCGCTGATTGGCAGTCCTACTAGTTTATATCCTATAAGACTTCTGAATTCCTGAAAATAACTCATGTTGGTGTCTGTCTGAGTTTGCTTCAACCATTTTTTGTTGGGATTGTTAAATTACGGTAACTTGGTTTAACATTTTGAGCACCTGAATATGTGTGACTATATAGGGTTGAAATTTTCTATTGATATGCTGTGTGAGTGAGGTTATATCTTATGCTGCATCTGTTTTTCTCCTGATATGTTTTGTGAACATTCGACTAGAATTGTTAGCAATTCAAAAGCTATATTTTATTTCATAAGATAGAGGTGTTATTTATTCAAATATTTTATTCAATCGGGTAACCAAATTGGTTCAATATAGGGTAGCAAAACCATCATTTTAGAAAAATGTCCAATAACTGTGATCTCTTCGTAAAAAAAGAATACAAATAAAATTGATGGTTTGTCCATTGCATTAAAATTGGTTTGTTCACAATTTTGACCGAAACTTAATTTGCTTATTGTTATACAATAATGTGTATACAACTGGTCTTTTCTATTGTTGCAAATTTTGTTTATGACGTCATTTAAATTTGTTGCGTTTTGGTGCTTGTTCTCCTATTTGGAAACAACAGGTACCGACATATGTCAGAAAATATCTAAAAAGAACTCAGTGTAGCCCGATACCTTAGATATCACGTCGATGTCTTATCCAGCTGTTCCGATGTATAATTTGTATTGAAATAACTTCTGATATTACATAGTTTTCAGTTGCACCACAGTGCAGTCATTAGGGCTGGGAATGGTTAACTGGTTAACCGATTGTACAAATCATCTTTATAATGTACAATTCTTTCAAAAATGGTTACGTCATCGCAAATTTATCTCCTGTGACGTTTAATTCAAAAGAATAACGCTAACTGTATTGGTGAGAAAAATTATTGAATGCCAAGATTGCTGATTATGAAAATTTGACAATCATTTTTTATGAATCAGTTTTCGGTCAAAGTATATTGTTCACGATTTCATTTCAAAATCGTATATTCGATGTCAACCAATAAGTGCGTAGTTGATGCTGTTTTTCTTTATATCTCAAAGTAGAATTTACACATCAAGCATTGAAAATTTGTCACATAAATGACATTTCATAACGGAATCGTTTTTACTAAAATACTTCCATTTGTCCTACCCACGCTACGTATATCTTGCAGCAGAGCGATCGCGAAACTATCTCGATTCGTGAATAATTTTGAGCAATACCGGGATAAGGTCACGCGAAATTGCTATGTAACCATTGTGACGTAACAAGCTAAAATTATTATGTGAAACGTCACCCTGCGGTTAAAGTGTTTTCCCTGAAATTCCCAGCCCTAGCAGTCATCTTATTTCTTTGATATTCTTCCTGATAATAAATTTGATAAATTCTTTATCGCATCTTATTATGTCAGCAGGAAGGGCATCTAGTTTGGTAAATTCAGGAAAATACAGAAGGCAGAGAAAACACAAAAGTGATCAACTCATCGCGTGTTTGTTCACTTTGAATATATTTAAGAATGAGAGTTTACCGTTCTAATCAGTTTTTCTAGGAAACTATATAAAACCTTTAGTTATTTTTAATTTGCACCCCGCGAAATAATGAGGTATTCGCGGTATCTTTTCTGGTGTTTGGTTTTGAAATGTGGTTAATTGTTTTCTTTCGCGACAGATATTACTTTAAAACACACCAGACGCTGTGGTATAACGTTGTTGTGGGTTAGGAAATACGCAGGCTTGTCCATGGGACATATTTTTATGTCTCATCCCATGGTAATTTATGCCCGTCTCATCCGACCCCATGGGATTCCCATCGGGATACAATTCAATAAAAATCGTTAAATTCAGGTTTAGCGTCTGCACACTAAATAAGACTACATGTACGAACGGACGTGCAAAACAACAAAATTTACTCAATTTGTTAACTTTAAATTCATACCCATTGTGCATGTATCCATCAGCCCCTTCACCAGCCAGGTATATTGTTAATTCCTAATATATTTTGCTCTTTATACCTTTAAGAAAGTTATGCTCAAATATATGGACACGAAATTCATAATGAAATGTTTTACCATCATTTCCCTGAAAATAATACACTATTTCGTGTCCCATGGGAAATACAAATGTGTGCTATCCCGAAGTTTAGATAAAAAGCGCGACTCATCGGATTAGTTCAGTCTGTAAAAGACTATTGATTCTTCTTGTACCGATCACAGGACGTCATTCCCATATTGGTAGGGTTGCCATATTTTTTGGACTTCGAAGCGGGACGCCTTCAAAGACACAACCCCTTAGCTGTGATCCTGTAACTTTACAGTTTCGTGAAATTCAAGACTCAAAATCGACTTCGCAACTACAGATATTTTTGTGTTTGTAACAGCAATATACCACCTTTTCCGTGTCATTACCATTTTTGATTTAATGTCATTCAACTTATTCTTGGCATTAATTAAAACAAAATATTGAGTCAAACTAATAATTGACGATGATATGGAATTCCTAGGTTTGATATCGCAGAAACAGTGACACCCTTCTCACTGAGAATAAATCAAGATGTTGTTCTTGTATTTATGGATTCTTATGTTATTGCTGCTAACAAATTTGATAAAATGCACGCTTGGGATTGTATTTTCAATGTAAGGGGAAATTGAGCTTATGGTATTCCAATTTAGGGGTAACGATATTTTTGGAAAACTCTTATTCAGAGCTTTTCAGTTTGTGAAAACCAGGGGGTGGCAACCTAAATCTAGTCGTGGACAAAAAGTCTAATCTAGCGCATAGGTTTTCAAAGTGCTCCGTACGGAGCCCCAGGGCTCCGTGAGAGAAACCCAGGGGCTCCGCGAGCTATTCGATTACTCTTTAAAATACTGACTCAAAATGTTGTAACTGTTCAAAGAAGCAATAACAGCTTTGATAAAATCTGACAACAATATAGCCTCGAAATATTGCAAAGAAGCGGAATTAAAAAATGGCATTATTTATAAGCGGGAGCGCAGCCAGGATTCTTAACAGGGAGGTGGTTCAAAATTGAAATCGGAAATTTCCGCGCAACATTCGCGATTAAAAAACGGATAACGAGATTTCTGTTGCGTAAAATATTCAATCCATGACCGAAGCGAGCATTTAACGTGTCTCGTCGTTATAATGTAATTGTGCTCAGCGTTAATCACGTTTGATTCGAGATTACTATTAGGATTACTAAAATGAAAGAATACTATTCCAAAATAACATAAAACACGTGATGAACTGCCAACTATAAATAAATTGGAGTCGTATTTTTACGATCTTGGGATTTGTCAAACTTGATTCGTTCTTTCGCACTTGAGATTATTTTTAAGCAAGATATCACCATTTAAAAAATCACAAAGTCTAGGCAAAATACGAACAATTGAAATTCATTTTATTGCATTCGGCTTCGTCGGTAGTTTCAGAATGAACAAAAAAGGTACATCGCGGATCGCGCGCACAATTGATTGCGTGCGGCTCCGTCGGTAGTTTCAAAATGGGAAAAAGGTACATCGCGCGCACAATTGACAGTGTTTCGATTTCGCAGTTACTACGGTGAAAACCTAACATAACACCAAATTTTGTGATTTACAATGTCTATAAAAGCGTTTTCGATCTGAGGTGAGTCTGCTGAAACCAAACGTGTGATCTTCCATTTTAAGTTTTAATATTTTAAAATGCCTATTTTCTATCAAGAAATTTGAGTTGCGGATTTACCTCTTTACTACTAATTATTTTTAGCATTTCGTCGCCGATGACTATAAAATTTTAACATATTTTTCACATTGAACTCATAATTCCCCACGAGAACAAAAAGGCAATTAACGTCGTCATTGTGTAACAATACATGTAAATTTTTGATTTAGGGAGAATAAACACCGGCGTAAAGATGTTTCAAGGTTCAAAAACACGCTATGCTGAGAAAAAAAAATCGACGATTGTAACAAAATGCAATCGCGCACGTTATTAGCGACCTTTTAAGTCTTCCAAAAATGTCAAAAGGGAAAAGATTCGACCCCTAATTTATTAGTATGTTTGTCAAGTGTCAAATTTACAGCTTTAGTATATATAATTTATGTTTAAAATTTAGATTTATTTATGACTTGTATTAACCCTATTAAAAAAGGTTCAGCATTTAAATTGAGTAAAGTACTTTTAACTTGCTCAGGAATATTAATCTGAAAGTAACAATTTTAACATTTATTTTGGGGCTCCGTGAATAATAGTCAACATTTTCAAGGGCTCAGCAACACCAAAAGTTTGAGAACCCATGATCTAGTCTAGCGAACGGAAATTATTTTTTTCTCAGAATTCTTTTGTCGTAATTATATCGTCTTAATTATCCTTCAACATACGAACCAACTAGCTAGGTTGGGCAAAATTATATTTTTTGGTCAAACCTTTGTGAGGAATACGGAATAGTTCTAATCTACAACCGAGTTCTAATCTACAACCGAGTTCTAATCTACAACCGAGTAGCGAACGGAAATTATTTTTCTCTCAGAATTCCTTTGTCGTAATTATATCGTCTTAATTATCCTTCAACATACGAACCAACTAGCTAGGTTGGGCAAAATTATATTTTTTGGTCAAACATTTGTGAGGAATACGGAATAGTTCTAATCTACAACCGAGTTCTAATCTACAACCGAGTTCTAATCTACAACCGAGTAGCGAACGGAAATTATTTTTCTCTCAGAATTCCTTTGTCGTAATTATATCGTCTTAATTATCCTTCAACATACGAACCAACTAGCTAGGTTGGGCAAAATTATATTTTTTGGTCAAACATTTGTGAGGAATACGGAATAGTTCTAATCTACAACCGAGTTCTAATCTACAACCGAGTTCTAATCTACAACCGAGTAGCGAACGGAAATTATTTTTCCCTCAGAATTCCTTTGTCGTAATTATATCGTCTTAATTATACTTCAACATACTAACCAACTAGCTAGGGTTGGGCAAAATTATATATTTTTATCAAACATTTGTGAGGAATACGGAATAGTTCTAATCTACAATCGAGTTGACACCAGGAGATCAGTGTGATCATTTCGTCTGTCGACAATATAACGTCGGTAAAGTACTACCTTTCTATCAATTTTTTTTTTAAGTGAATAGTTTTTCAATTCTTGCATAACTGTGTGTTCAGTCAGGCAAACTAGGATGGGATAAGCACACAATGTGCTCCACGTTTGCGGCATCTGCATAATTTGAATATATTTGTAGTCATATCAAAATGTGTAGATGAAATCACAATGATTGATAGATATTTCGATTTGGCTTTAGATCTCAACAAGGACCTCGACTTGCACTCACTCTAACTCAGCGGTCACTTTATTGAGCGTCTTCCGGATAGATAACGAGGAATTTCATGCAGACTCGGGTTGTGACAAATTAAGTGAACTTTTCAAAAAAAAAAATCATCAGAATGCGTCGCATGATCATGTGATTGCTAATAACCAATGAAAAAGCACTTCATTTTCCGGTCTCCTTCACCCGCTTTGTTTCTTTATTATACCTTACATCTTTCTCTTGTCACGTCAAATTTAGTCTGCGCTCAGGCGGTCTTTTCAAATTTGACGCCGTCAGGTGAGCACTGGTTTTATTTTTGCATATTTTTTTGTTAAGTTTAATGGTTTACGTGCATACTTGCATCGCTAATCCTTCTATAATCCAACGCTTGTATTGCTTCACAGCCATCTTCTAAGATTTTTCCAGCTATACTAACGCAGTTAAACTAAACTTAGGACTAGAATTATCGATTCAAATGTCAACGTGGAATGGAGATTACAAGTTCTGAAATTGGTGAGATGAATCTAAACTGGGAGATGCAATGATTATTATTAGAGATTATTTTTCCTTCAGATAGGCCTTGGCATAGTACTAGACGATTCTTGGTGTGTAATTGCTGAATCGAAGACGACGTCGTAAACGAATGGAGGCGATCGAGAATAGTGCATCTTAGCCATCTTACATATTTCAGATCGTGTTGATGCAAACTGACTGAACGTAAACAAGCTGCGAATGTTGACATCGGAAACTGCTTGAGCGGAACAGAAACTACGGTTAAACAAATATTCATTAATTAGAAATTACAGGCCATAATATAGCACTAGATTGAACTGAGTGTGTATTTGCGTTGAATCAGAGACCCATGGGAAGATATGCCTGTGCAAAGATGTTTGGACCATTTCATAAATAAGATCTACATAATTGATGAATTAAAAACTCAACAGAGATGGTTGTGTTGGGATGTTCCGGATATAGTACAGGTGATTATAATTGCTTACTTTTTTTTAAATTATTTCAACGGTCACTTCTGTTGTTAATGTCCAAACCTGTTTTTTTTGTCATGTCAAGAATTTACGTGGGCCCAAGTAGCGTTCTCTTTTTCCATATCTTTCAGTTATTTCAGATATTCAGATACATGACTAATAGCTGAAAATAAACTAAATAATAATACAGTTAGGCCATAACATAGTATTAAAGCGAGGGTTGTCGCCAAATTCCTGAATCGAAGACTCACGTAAGTTTAGTTGAAGAGAGGCGATCAAGGATTAATAAGGTAACTGTTAATTTATTTACACTTATAAGTGCATAACCGCATGGCAATATAGTATACAATGTAGGATTCCGTCAGAGTCATTGTATTGTCTTCTTATATTACCCTTAACATGAATCTGATTACATATAAAGGTTTTATACTACTGGGCTCTTGCGCTGAGAAATGTACGTTCGTTGTAAGTGTATTCAGATTTACACTTTGAATAGTCTTCCAATGAATCCTTCGTTTCAGCTGTTTCACAAATAATATTTATTCTAAAGGCAATTAATAAATGATCTTGTTTCATTCGCAGTCTTCTCGTTATCTTGCATGAAATTTTTTTTTTTTTTTTACATTTATGTTTACTTATGCAGTTAGACAGACTAATATTAGGCCTAAAATCGTTATTTCGAGGTGGAATTGGACCACACGTTTTGGAAATGTTGGCATCGGGATCAGCTAGAGGAAATGCGGTTACATGAACATTTATCCAGTTAAGCATGAAGAATTAGATTTGGTATTGATGACTGCGAATCTGCAGTCCGGGTTAAAGTTGTTTCATTCTTTAGTTAAAAATAGCAAACCTTTTGGCGGTGGTCAGCTGGGACAAATTGCATACCCGGATTACTTCGTTTCGGCTTTCGTGACCATATATTTCAATATCGACCTCTCGTTATAAGTTATTTGGGTAATATATATATAAAGTAATTTGCTATACTGCTGCTTAGTTCATACTACTGTCTTCCTTATAAATTTTCTTTGCGGTTGTTCTCCACGTTATCATAAAAAGCTCGTTGTTTCTATTTTAGAAACTTGAAATCGGTCATGGGATTTATTCAATTAAAGAAAAACCGTTTTTATTTAAGCAAGATGATTGTCTTTCTGATGCGTCGTAAATATAAATGTAGTTTTTGCGTTTTGAATATGTGTCTTGCAACAGAAATTTCAAAATTTTTTTTTTTTAAAAACAATATCTAACATAGTCAGAATCCGATGTTTGTGTTACAGAAATTGTCGGAATGTGAAATTAGTCTTTAAATGTATTCATTGGGAGCTGACAGCTGTTTATCAAATCAGCGTAGGACTTCCGCTACGTCTGGGACTAAAACAAGTTATTTAAAACAATTTGAAGTAAATTGAAATTTCCTATAAAAAAAACTATTAAATGTACAGTTTTTCTACTCTGTGATGTCTTTGTTTTGCCTTAGAAATTGTCAATCGGTGCTTGAAAGTATCCAATGCAAGCGAAAAACATCAAGCAAAATACGACTTTTCTGTGCGTCTTGAACATAAACAAGGTAAGGTAACTTTTAAATTTTTTTATAGACAATATTAAATTTATTTCTCTTAAAACATTCCCAACCGCGGGCGTGTTTTGTCTTGGGGATAAATTTTGCTTAGCATATTATGCTGCAATAAATTGCTAATATTCTTTATTTCTTTATTATTACTATAATGGTTACTCGGATTGTACAAAAGCGTAAGTGAGCATGGTCCATTACGAACAAATAAAGTGGTATTATGTATAGTCAGGGAAGAATAAAAAGTTCCGAAATAGGCGAAGGAGGAATTTAGCGTAAAAGGTTTGGACCACTGCTAAAAATTACTTTTTACTCTTGCAGTGCTCTTTTATATGAATTGAATTCAATTCACAGTAAAACTAATTCCGAGCTAAAACATTCTATCTGTACCGGCATAGGCATCTGTTGAGTGAAGTAACAATGAACGCAAAACAACGCATAGCGGGGGTTACTTAGATGCTCTGGCTGAAATCGTGATTTTTAATTGGGCTGGAATAATTCGGGTTCGACAGTTCTAACTTGTATTTTATCATACAGGTTATGTCCTGATTACGAGCAAGCAAATAAGGTGAAAGCGAATTTCAAGAATCAAGGGTTTGTTAAAGTAAGTATATATATGCAATATATCCTTTCCATATTTATCCAAGTGGAGAGGAAACCCTGTAAGACGGTTTGTTCACGTGGACTCATGGGCATTTAAGCGAAGCTCAAGAATTTGTTGATGTAAGTATGTGCAAGATATTCTTCCCATATTTATCCAAGTGCAGAGGAAATCCGATAAGACGGTTTGATCACATGGACATCACGGCCTCCTCGTCAGGTTACCAGTCCATGTCGAGTATGAGAATAGTTGACCAGTTTTTGTTAGTTTTGGATGCATGTACTTGATGGCGTATGTAACTCTGACCGACCAGCGGTTACGTAAACCACCTACAGAGTTCCTCTACTCTACATGATTCAAATATGTCAGATTATTTAAAGTTGAGTTGACAATTGCCAGGACTTACTCGCTATTATGTTGTCGAAACCCACTTGGAGACGAGGGCTTGCTTCAGCTTGAGGTCCACCATCTAGTACTTTTTTCCCATTGCTTATTTCTCCATGTTGAGCGTAAACAACTCTGTTTCAGTTTTCTTTAGGTTTTTAGATAGTTGAACAACTCTCTCTCCAGCTATTTAAGGTTTAAATAGTTGTGTGTAAAAAATATCATAATGCTAAGTAAATATAGATACTATCCATATATATGTGAAAGTGAACGATGAAAATTATTTCTCAGTTATGGGCATTCTTAGTTGAGTACGTTCCTCATTTTTGAACTGGATAAGCCTTTGTGAGCCATGTGCCGAAACTTATTTCAGTCAGTCGCCCATATTGTGTGAATTTAATAAATTCATGCCTTATTTCAGAGGTTGTCAAACTTTATTTTCAATATTTTTCTATTTAAAAAAATTAGCTTATTTCTTTACAATCGTAACCAGCAAACAAGGAAGTTCTATTCGTAGTGATAGCGTAACAGCCCGCGATAACCGATTTTATGACAATATTTGTTGATCATAGCTTGTATTGAAACTAAAGTAGCCTACCATATGTCAACATATAAAAGCGTTCCGCCATGATTTGTCCGAATAATCTCACCCTGAAGTACACTTGCCAGAGTTGTTCTCTCTAGCTTTGTATTGTTGTTGGGTTGAAATATCCAAAATAAGACGGGCAAGATCAAATCTAACAAATTTTCAATAAGCTTAACGCACCCTCAGAAAGTTGTATACGCCCCCCCTCGTGGGATGATCCCTAACTGCTGCTCACGATCAGCAACTATTCCTATTGAGGCCGACATCTAACTTTATTTTATCATGCAGGTTCTGTCCGGATTACGGAACAAGCTGATTGCAGCGACAACGGATCTCACAAATCATTTGTTCGTAGAAGGCAGTGGAATCCGCTATGATATTGAAATGGTCTTCTACCGATGTGATCGTTTCTTTTGATCAGCTCTTGTGTACCTGCAGGGTAAGTGCAAATTTGCCATTGTTGGGCGAAGTACTAAAACTAAAAAATCATCCTAAAAAATCTATTCGGAGACTGATAAATAGGCGGTCAAAGTCCCGTCATTGACTCGATGCAGTGATATTGGTGAGCTAATATTCCAGTAAACAAAATTTCAGCTTTTCCCTTGTCTATTGCTGCTGCTAAATAATATATTCTGCACCCACGGAAATATAGTTACTGTTGCCATATGCAGCTCCCAGTACACACACAAGCTAGCTGATGAATTTTATAACTACTCAAATCGCCTGGTCTGAGTCTCAAATGTTATTTCTGATGTTATTGGACACGAAATGGACATGCGTATCGTCTTGTTATTAGGTTGGTGTTGTTGGTGTGAAAATATCGCCTTTTTTGTACTAACTACTGGACGAATTGCTTGGAAATTTTCAGTGATTAAAGTATGAACTTGAAAAGGTAGAAGGCAATTACTTCTATTTATTACAAAAATTTCTGTCCACTGTGTGATTCATTTGTTCGATGCCGTTGACGTCATCAAAATTAGATGCCGTCGCGTCCCCAAAATTGAAGTTGCGCACATTTTGGGGGTTTCGCTTGAGCGTTAACAATCTGGGGGTCAAACAGTACCTTACTTCTTCGTGTTGGCTTTCGTGTCCATATATTTGAGCATCGCTCTCTTGTTGTATGAGTTAAACAAATTTATATGTATTTCTAACTTTTTGAATAATCAAAATCTACTTCTCTTCTGCAGTGTCCTGTCCTGCGTTGAATCTATTCTTATATTTCAGTTGCGTTCTGGATTGAAAGGTCAAAGAAGAGATTGACAACACGGCGACAGAAATAAATGGCTTGATAGTTCTTCAGAATTATATAAATCGAATATTTTTATTTTTCCTTAACCACTCTTTTACCTTGGTTTGTCGGATATCAAAGCCTACCCCATATCTACGTGAAAGTTTAAAATGCGCCCCCTTGATTTTACTGAATTCTTTAACGACTGTTTGTTGCTTTGGGATAATTTGTGTTATCAAAATGAGGTTTCACCCATTGTGCGCTCTTATCCAAATGGCGGCCATGGCTGGGTGCGGGGGCAGTGGCCCTCATGCCTAAATATGCCACGGAGCCAAGGTATCACCCAAAAATTCACAATTCTTCATTTCATGTCTGATCTAGTCGGAAAAGCTTAATATCTCAATGTTGCTCGCTTTTAAACAATCTGCCCCTGCATTCTCACTAATATCTCAAAACCTAATCCATCTCTCGTATATTTTTTCTGAGCGCTAGCTAATGTTTTGGGTGAGTTCCCCAGATTACATTTTTTTAGCCCTTCATTTCAGAGATTTCGCACCCAAGAATTGGCTTGATCGGAAAGCTAGCAAACGTTCAAAGTAAGCCAAGGCTCTTACAATATGTTTTCGTGTATTTATTCCTTTTTGTGAAGAATAATAAAATTATTAAAGCAATATCCTTTTTCCGTGGTTATTGGTTGTAAGGAGTTCGGTTTTGTTAAGCGCGGATAAGAAATAAGATTTGGGAGCATAGGTGTAAGAAGTGTCTTAAAAGATCATGCAGCATAACACGCAGAATCCCGCCACTGGTTTATGACGTCACACTGGCAGGCAGCGGTTTTATGGGGCGCGCTGTCGACGATCCACGCTGAAACAACGAGATTTGTTTTTATCCCTGGCCGACCATGGGCCATAGATTAATCGAGTATAATTGCTAGAATTTATCCCCGATCATGCTTGATCATACATGATGTGAATGAAAATTTCAAAATTCTCTATTTTCTGAGGTTCTGACCCTTCGATTTCCTTCATTTTCTCTTATTTTGAGTTTTTTATCGTCTCACTGCTCGGGTTTCACCTTCGCTATATAGATCTTAGCGCCACCCTTCCAGTGAAGACACATATTTGATAAGCGGATGTTACATTCGCGGGATTCAAACTTTAGTCACCGTGAACAAATTTATGGTCTACCCAGCGCCTTTACTAACTAGGCCAATTGAGAACTTAGAAACGAAGGTCTAAGGTCTAATATTCATTTATCCTCTCAAAGGACTTGTAAAAAAAAATTATAAAGTCATTTAAGATGAATGATAAATATTAGAACTTAGCACTTTGATCTCATCTTCGTCTTTGGCCTAGTTGGTAAAGGCGGTTGATATACCTTTAGTTTGTTCATGGTGACCAAAGTTTGAATCCCGCGAACTTACTCTCCCGTATCAATTTCGTGTCGTCATTAATTGGATTACGCAGATATCTGAAATATGAAGGAAGCTCCGACTTGAAAGAAGATAGAAATCTCAAAATAAACGAAAACTGAAGGGTCATTTCTTGGAAAAAGTGGAATTTCGACATTTTTATTTGAATCACATATGATCAAGCATGATCGTAGATAAATTTCAGTAATTACACTCGATTTATCTATGGCCGATGGTCGGCCAGAGATAAAAATTTACGCGTCATATCGGGCCCGGATCCGGCGCGCCCCAAAATGCCGCTGCTCGTTAGGATGACGTCATAACCTAGTGACGTCATACGCATGGTGAACACGCCATTCCTACATACACCACGACGATCGCTAGTTTATCCTGGACAACAACTATTCGAAACCCCCGACAAACCAATCCCAGACTCGGAGCCAGCATCTCATCATTTTCTCATGTTTATATTTTATTAAATACGCATTAATTCAAAATAAAAAAAGGAATCAAACTGTCTAAATGATGTTAAAATAACACAATCTGCTAAGATACCGGCACAGAACGAAAATTGTGACAGAGCATAAAAAGAGTAAGTGAGATTTGGATATACTTAGCACAAGCACAAAGTTCCAAATGCCATTTTTCAGTCCTATTAGTAGTCAATTAACACTAATATAATTACACCAAATCAGGCGGGCCCCAATTAAAGAGTGTTACTCGTATTTTTAAATGGCAGTCTATCGCTCTGTAACCGGGTTTTAGGTCAGCGCTTGCTTCGCCGATCCAGATATTCACCCCACGGCAGATGACCAACGTGGGCTATGGGTACCGGTTTGCTCAATTCAATTAAAAATTAAAATACAGAATGTACAATTTTGAAACTGCCATCCTACGTCTGCTTGATTCGAGATGAATATTTATTTTCTTTTTCCTCCGTCCAGAACGTACCTGAAATTTGAAAAAACTGGTCTGATCTGGCCTGAAATATATTTTAACATTGATAACTTCTGGACTAAAATTGCGACGCCAATTACATATTATACAATACCAATTATGAGACTACACACCACATTCTTGGGATTGAATAACACTTTGACAAAGGATCACTTGGGACAGCGGAAATTGACAGCATTCGACTCCAAACCAGACAGCCGTGAGTTAAATAAAAACGGGACAAGCGTGTCAATAGGTTTTGAAGACATGTAATTCACAATATTCAATACAAAACATTTATGAAATATTTTAGGTCATTCTCATTTTGAGTCGCCAGGCGACCTTCAACTGGCAGCAAACAACACATAAAATCTATATTGATTTCATTTTAGATATGGTACTCTCGAAGTATGAGAACCGAGATGGCGGACACCGGAATGAGTGTGTACCAGGTTAGGGCTAGGCTATAATTCCAGGGACAAATACTACGGAAGTCACTTGGCTAGTTCCGGAACTTATAGAATTATGGCCCAACCCCAACCTGGTACCACCTACATACTCATTCCGGTGTCCGCCCATCTTGGTACGCGTACTTCAGGAGTACCAACAAATTATAGTTGGGCGAATATTCTTGAAATTCAGAATTGCAGCTAAAATTGGGCATTAAATATATCGATAAAGATATTGATTGAATAATTGTTACTATATTTTACGCCTTTATAAGAAGACATTGAATATTTACTCCTTTTATCCCGATTTGTAAGATTCATTTCGCCTCGATCCGCTGTTCTGGGCAGAATCTGAATGATAAGTTACGAGTTTTAAAAAATGCAGAATTTTTTTACAAGAATATTAACTATTCACATATATGTGGCTATTTGATGAAGTGCGATGTTATGTGTAATGGACACACGGCTGTTTTCTTCCCATTGAGATATTGGTGAAATATGATTCCTATTGTGAGTGGCAACTCTGCGAACTGACCCAATCGAATGATGAATTTTGTGTTTTCAATAATAAATCTTGGTGACCTATTACAATAGAAGTTCCCATACAATCATGGCGTTGAAATAGGAAATTTAAATATCTTATTAGTAATCAAGATTCGATTATTGAGTTATCAGGTATCCAAAAATGCCCCGACTTAGTATTTAGTGCCAGTTTAGCAGGTGCTCCCGAAGTATGTGCACCAAGATGGCGCACAACCTGAATATAGTATATGTACCAGGTATCAGGTTGTGCGCCATCTTGGTGCACATACTTCTGACGACTATTTTGTTCCCAGTGACTAGTGAGTTATTGATAAAGCATGATTCTTATTGTGGGTGACAACTCGGCGCGAACTGACTGGGTGATGAAATTAGCAAGTATTCAAAAATGCCCAGCTTTAGTAGTTAATGTCGGTTCGCAGTGGAAGAGATACATCGAAGTTGAACTTACCAACTGCAGCTATCCCGAGACTAGGATATGATTTTTGGAGAATATACGGGTGAAATATTTCATTCCGGCTTCGTCTCCATATATTTGAGCATTGCTATCTTGTTCCTTCAAAATCTCATTTCGCATTCGTACGCCTGCTATATAATAAAGCATTTGGTGTAAAAATATTTTGGCGCAAGATGGAAGAAAGATAATAGCCGTATATTATGTTTTTCAGCGTTTAAGTTAACAGAGCTGTAATAAGTTGGTAGAAATAAGTATTTGATGCTGTACAACTTCATTGGTATAATCACAAAAATTCTTAATAATCACAATACAGCTTTGTTTATGTATAGAAAAACTTATGGTCACGATCGTTCTTGTTGAATACGGAAAATCATTGAGAACGCAGAATTTACTTTTAAGATTTTGTTGTTGGTGAAGCGCTTGAATTATTTAAAATCATACATTTTACAAACAATACGAACTAACAATATACGTCTTTCTTCACAAATAAAAATATTTTTGATATAATAGAAAACATATTCGCCCCAACCTGTCCATTTACATCGATCAATTGCCACTCGGCCACCAGCAGTAACAATATCTTCTACCTTCACAAAGACCTGTAATTAAATTGGAAATTATAAAACATTTAGTCTATAATCAAGTTGTAATAACTTTAGATTTTGTAACATTTTTAGGCCAACTACCTACCTTTCCATTTACATCAATCAATCGTCACTCGTCCACTAGCAGTAACAATATCTTCCTTCTTCGCAAAGACCTGTACTTAGATTAAAAATTATAAGGCCTTTGCTTTATAATCAAGTTATAATGGGACTGTTGAACTAAAATGTTGTTACATTTTTAGATCAATTACTTACCTTTCTACCTACATCAATCAGTCGTAACTCCACCATCAATCAGGCCAATATCATTTGACGGTAGATAGATCTTCTCTTTTATGTCTGTAATTTGAAAGCAATAGTTATGACTTACAATTTAGCGATGATACAAAGTTCTTGTGCAAAGTAAGAAAATTATAAACAGCACTTTGACCAGGATTACAACTCACAAAAAAATTGACCAGAAAACAAGACTTGATCCATGAAGAAAAACGTTGCAAAACACGTGAATAAATATACTCAAAAGGTATATAAGAAAATAAACAAGAACTCAATGCTGAAAATATATTCATCATATAACACTCAAATTTCTGAATAGGACTAAAAAAATGCGCTACTTAATCGAAATAGATTATTATTCATAAATCTTCAAGCTCTAGCTTAATTCAAAATAGAATGGAAGAATGGCAATGAATTAGTAAACCTAGTTATATCTGGACCTTCCCTGTCTTGAAACTGTTCATATACCCTGAGCACACTAGCGCAGAAACGACCTCTCACTACCACGCCCTGACCTGAAATGTGGCACGCGCGACAAATATTTTTTTAAGATCAAAAGAGAAGAAAAAGGGTAGTATTGAAGAGAAACACAAGGAGAGGGAGTTGTCATTCTTAATAAAGAAACGAAGATACTCTAACCTCATTCTCACTCTGATCAGTGACTAATGATTGTTGTTTACTATTGGAAATAAAGAACGTAGATTTATTTGGGATGTGACTGAGAAGATTGTATGATTAAACCACATTCCATGGAACCTTTATCAAGACAATATTTGATTGTTGTTACTCTATTTGTGTTTTGTTTTAAGCCCAGTCCCGACGAAAAATGTTTTAGGAGTCATAATAGGGCATTAGTGACGTTTACGGGGCTTCACTCCTTTGGGTAATTATAATCGGAATTGATCTTATGCGACGTCTGTTAAGATGATCAACATGCTACAGCAGACATGGGCAAAGTATACGGCCCGCGGGCCAAATCCGGCCCGTTGGGTAATGCAATCTGGCCCGCCCGATGCTGCCACAACAAAACCGAAATCGAATTTTGATGTTTTAGCTAAAAATAGCTATTGTTGAGATTGTGATTTGCAACACTGTAAATATTGTTCATAAAATGTTACTTTCTACGTCACGTTTACATGGCCCGCCAGTCTGAGTGAGTCAAATTTCCGGCCCCTGGTTCAAAAACCTTGCCCACCCTGCTATACAGCACTTCACTCCATGTTTGTAATTGAGTATAGGTACACATATACAAAAAACAATACAATACAGGGTGAAACAATACAGCCCAACAATGTTGATTTTCCTACAAATGCCCCTTCCTCATTTTTAAGGGATATGCTGCTGAAACCGCAATGTCTGATGATATTACTCGCGTTGAGAAAGTCCGAGCAATTGAGTTGCTTGAATCTTGTAGAAAGAAAGAGTATCTCGATTCGTGATACAGCAATTTCGCCTTAGCAGCTTACCACTTTTAATTTTCAGGACTGGTTAACGTTATTTCTATATTTATCACCGAAAATCTAGTGTTGGATGTTTTTGCTCGTGTGACAATTAAATAACTCTGACTAACTGACAAACACAAACGGGACACAACAGAACGGACAAAGGCGTTTTTCTCAGTACCATGTATTTCTTGTTTATTAAATTTTTATTGAAGCCCATCAATTTTTCTATAAATTTATTGCCTGCACCTTGCTAAGGTGCTAGCGCAAATAGTTACGTTGAAATGCCTTTTAAAGATCAACGACTGACGTTTTTTAACAGTATCACTGTACAATTTCGCCGTAACTTCAATACTGTTTAAAACTGAAACGGTCTTCATATCAACTCGATTTATTTCATTAAACACTAAGGCGCCATATTCGACCATGGTAATTTCTGTGTTGCCCGCTTGGTGCCCTGAGCACATGCTTATTTTGCTTTATGATTAATCCACTCCAATATACAATTCACTTTACTTTACTCACCTATTGACTAAAATAGAGAAATTTTTTTGTGGTGAAAAAATGAACGACATTCAGATGGATAATGTTTATCATAGTCCATAATTTGAACGTACCCGATCGAGTCCGAGGGGTCCAACAATTCTGTCAGTCAGTCATTTTTTCACCAAACTGAAAATACACTTGATGTGAACAAAAACTAGAAAACGCACTGAAATATGGCATTTCACGGTGAAGGGAGCCGCGCAGAGGTCGCAGGAAATTTAGGTCTAAGCTTCTAAGCTGATAAAGAGGTTGATATCCGTACCAGAGGCTTCTGCTTATCGGCTTTCGGAATAAGTATAATATGGAAAATTGGTTTCATCACGGGAGAACCGGATATCATATAAGGCTTTGATCCCTTACAATTACACCTTCGGACAAAAACGACAGAAGGCAAGGCCGACAGGCGAATGAGAGATGAACCAAGACTGGGTTCAAACCACGCAGGAAGCACAGGCAGACATAAGCGGAGAAAGAATTAGGTAGATAGATAAAACAAGAAAGAAAAGGCAGGTAGACAGAGAAAGTAAACCGAAAGCACACAATTGCGAAGTAGTAATGATAAGGGGTACACAATAAATATACAAAAAGGATATAAAGATATAAAGATCAGGTAAATAGGGATAGAGGCCACATTCACATGAGGAAATTCATTGTGATACACAGATGTTTTTACCGAACTTAAATACCCGCCAAGTTATGATTTACGTTAGAATTAGAGCGTCGCTAAATCAAACGCCTGTATTGCACAACCATTTGCGGATTTCTGGACAACTTTCGCTAACAGACAAAGATATTGTTTCAATTTTAAATGAGCATGATGTGTGCCAATGTCGCGTGGGTTTTATCAACCTTTTAGTGAGCCTTCTTGTAAAATTTAAATAATAAAAACAAGTATCTAATAAAGCAAAGTGTCTGAGATTTCCAAACGGATATATTAATCTGAGATGTGAAAATGCCAATACGTCGATTTTATCAGAATCTTTAACATGTACGTTTTGACAACATTTTATAAGTTTTATTTAACGCAAAAATAACATACACACGAAACTTATAAATGACAACAAATCCCGGAGCCGGTAGCAAAGATATTGTTCACTTGTTATTTACGGTGGTGATAAGGACGATCAAAACCGACACGTATAAGATTATAATTAATCTGAACGAAATTAATTTGGAAATTTGATTCACAAATACCTTTTTCTTCTGCCAATGAACGCGCAGTTCTGCGAGAAATAAATAAATATAAGCATCGATATCGCCAGTGCGCAAGGCTTGATATGTGCGTAATAAGGGAACCAACTTTTGAATGTAGATGGCCGGAACAACCATGAAACATACCGCACCGTTGAATATAACACACTGAAATAGACAAATCGTCGGTATAGCTACTGTTTTCGCAACAGCCGACGTGAATTGAAAGCGAAGTCTTGGAAATTTTCATTTTGAGATTGTTTAGCATACAATAAAAAGAAATCTAGATATCTATCTCTAGAAACAACGCCAACCAAGAGACTAAAAACCTTTCAATAGATATACCTAAGTGATGTTTCTTGCGTGTTTGAACGACGAGGAATAATGTTTTTACGAGAAGTGTGAATACCGGATCAGATTTGTGGGATCGGGTAAAGTTTAGTGTATTTTGAAATATACCGCGCGGGCGACTCGAAACTCTGTCGTGCATTATGAAAACCCTCATGCAAGATTTCTAAAGCTGCATTTTTCGTTTGTAATTGTGAGTAATAATTGTTGTAATAATAATTTTAGCGTATAATGAAACCATTGGCAGATATTTTTCATTGTTTTTAGCTGAATTAACTGGTGTTGGGATCCCGAGATTTAAATCTCTTTCCTAATCCCGATGTCGGGAATGATGTTTGTTAAAATCAAGGCATTTCAATATTGTACCTTTAAACGTCAAGACGGTGGTAATATGGAATGGCGTCTTGTGATCATCATCAAATTTATGGTCTACCCGGCGCCTTTACTAACTAGGCCAATTGAGAACTTAGAAACGAAGGTCTAAGGTCTAATATTCATGTATCCTCTCAAAGGACTTGTAAAAAAGAAATTATGAAGTCATTTAAGATGAATGATAAATATTAGAACTTAGCAATTTGCTCTCACGTTCGTCTTTGGACTAGTTGGTAAAGGCGGTTGATATACCTTTAGTTTGTTCATGGTGACCAAAGTTTGAATCCCGCGAACTTACTCTCCCGTATCAATTTCGTGTCGTCATTAATATCTAAAATATGAAGGAAGCTCCGACTTGAAAGAAGATAGAACTCCCAAAATAAACGAAAATGGGGAAAACTGAAGGGTCATTTCTTGGAAAAAGTGGAATTTCGACATTTTTATTTGAATCACATATGATCAAGCATGATCGTAGATAAATTTCAGTAATTACATTCGATTTATCTATGGCCGATGGTCGGCCAGAGATAAAAATTTACGCGTCATATCGGGCCCGGATCCGGCGCCAGCGCGCCCCAAAATGCCGCTGCTCGTTAGGATGACGTCCTAACCTAGTGACGTCATACGCATGGTGAACACGCCATTCCTACATACACCACGACGATCGCTAGTTTATCCTGGACAACAACTATTCGAAACCCCCGACAAACCAATCCCAGACTCGGAGCCAGCATCTCATCATTTTCTCATCGTTTATATTTATTAAATACGCATTAATTCAAAATAAAAAAAGGAATCAAACTGTCTAAATTATGTTAA